AAAAAAAAAAAAAAAAAAAAAAAAAAAAAAAAAAAACCAGGAAAAGAAGTAAGGATGAGAAAGGATGGGAACCAGGATTCTCGACGCCGCGGGTATCCCAACGAATCTACGATTTATGTTTAGGGCTACGATGCTTGGATTTATGATATTTTTCATGTTTATGATATTTTTCATGTTTACAGAAACAAGATCTGTCGAATGATCATGATAAATGGAGCACATGTAAAATATAACTTTAATAAAATGTTTCTCTTGTATGATGATTTCTTCGGCGTAAAAGGCCGGGTCGCCTTGTATGGCTTTAGTATCGCCAGGCTAGGTTTTAACCTACAAGGTTTTTTATTAAACCATGCTAGAAATAGGTCAGATAGAAAATGGAAATTATATTTAATATTTTTAAAACTAATTCAATCTGTAACGTTTTCAGAATACTCCCTGAACTCCGAGATTACCATACCCGCAAAGAATGATCCCTTAAAACGGCAGCTCATAAATCGCTGTACACTTTCAAATTGAAAGATAGATATCCTTCCTTGATGTTCATCAATCTAAACCTTGTTTTCAAATTGCATAATTATCAATTTGTTGGTTTGTTGTGCTTGTCCTTCTTCGGTTACCAAGTCAAGTAAATGGCCTGGATCCGGGCCATGAAATCACGACCTTTTCGCAAGTAGGGATTGTAGTTGACTTTAATCCCTTCAGAACGAGAAGCTCTAAGCTCCTTCTTCCTCGATGCGAATTGCTCCTTCGGTGCCCGTTCCACGAGACCAGAACCCGTCGACGTGGGAAGTGCTGTGATTGGAATTAGTATTGACCAATACCGTATATCATGACGTGACGGTGTACTTACACCCCCGAAGCGCTGTTGTGGGCGATGAGAAGCCAGTATCCGAGGATTCCCTGAGTGAAGATATCATAAATGGCGAATAGGACACTCTCGCCGTCGATGTTCATCTTCAAAGAGAGGCTGCCAGCCGCGATGGCGCTGATATAATTAGCACTGATTCAAATGAAATGGATTGTCAGACGTACATTGGGTAAAGAACCTTCACCAACAAAGTCACCCCAACGTAGGATCCAAAGAAACGTCTAGTCTGGGTATCCTTGTTGCTCACAGCCTTGGATCCGTGAATACCAACTTGATAAATCAAAGTCAGATATCCCAGAGCGCTGACAGTGAACCAGACCCATCGGGCAGGCGTGTGACCGGCATATGTTCCCAGAATGCCAGAACTGAGCATCACGTAGTCTGCGACGATGGCGACGAGCAAGTGAGCACCAGGGAGACCGGACAGCAATGTCAAATTGATCAGAGTGAGTGGCTCGGTGAGGAACCAGTTCACGTAGCGCAGCCAGAACACCTGGCGGAAAAAGTCGCGTGTGGTGTCTGGGACATGTTCGTGTTTCTCGATGATTGAGTCGTGTTTCCAGGATATGCCTTGTCCGGTGGCTAGGGCGAGGTAGACGATGAAAGAGACGGTGGTCGAGATGGAGATCAGAGTGTGGAAGACGCGTTTGGGCTGAGGGGAAGAGGTTAGTGTCTTTCTTTCTGCGTCAGTTTTGAGGATTGACATACCAATGGTGCTCGGGCACTAAGAGTGTAGAAAACGAGGGACGAGATGCCCATGAGAATAGCAACGACCCTAGAAGGGTTGAATTGTTAGCTGTCGCGAGTCACTGCAACAAAACCGTATAAGAAACATACCATAATGTCCGATGCCCTGTTCCATGAAGCTCCTGGTAGACCGGAGTATTGCCGGGAACGACAGTTGGAATGGGGGAAATCGAAGTTTGAGTTGGAATCGGAGGAACAGGGGGGATTTTGCTCTCAATAATCATTTTGGTGGATGTTGCAGTCAATATCGATAGGGGGATATATTATAGACAGTTGCGCAGAGGAAATCAGAATTAAGCAATAATGTTGGGAATAGGAATGCTAATAATGAATATAAAATAGACACTAGAATTCACGGCATATCATCATAGACTGCCATGAAGTCCAGTCCATATATTGCATTGACATTCGTAGGCGTCATCTTATTCGGCTGGTCCTGGAGACCGTCGTCATGCTGACCTCGGTGTTGTCGTCATTGAAGTGCGGTTGAATGACGTTACGGGATAGCAGTCGGGTGAGCTCTGCCAGACCATATTCAAGGCTGTCATATGGCCAGCAGAAACGTTACAGCTGAATTATCTTTGACGCGAGCTAACTCTGGATCGATTCAAGATGTTGTGCTGGTTGTGGATGCTGGTTGGTGATGATTCCGCACTCGGCGAGGTTGCCACAACGATGACGATGGTCCGGACCACGACTAGAAATGAGTTCATTATGAGCATTATTAAACCCGTATTCCTTGGTAATATGGAGTAAATGTGTGTATATTTCGCTACATTTTATAATACAAAGAGTTTAGGTTTAGATCCAAAATTATGGTACAGGGGAGTATGAAGAATGTTCCATGTAGTCCTACTTCAGCCCCGTTAGGCTGCCTCAGTCTTGCCAGTGGATGCATCAAGCTCTTGAACAACTTCTTCGCAGCGGTCGCAGAGCATCTCTTCAGCTGCCGGGGGTTCCGGGACAGCGTAGCGCCAGCATCGAGGGCACTTGGAAGCCTGCGGAGCGTAGATAGACACACTGCCTTTCTGCCCGTCAGGGAGTTCTACCGTTTCGGTATATTGCCATTCTGCGTCCGCAATTGCGGCTGAAGTGGGCTCACCGTGTGTGCCAATGGTCACGGACGAAACCACAAACAAGTCAGGCAGTTCGGAAAGGTAACGGTGGAAAACGGAATCGGCTGATGTGCCCTCAGGAAGAGCGATATGAACGAAGGATTGCAAAGAAGATCCCAGCTGTTTCTTGCCACGAGCAATTTCCTGCACATTCTTGACAACCGAATTAATGGCAACGATGTTTTGGTAATCAGCCTCGAGCGATGAGTTCTGCCATTCGGACGCGGGTGCAGCAACGACGCGCTTCAGAGGATGTTCGCAGTAGGACCGGATTGCTTCCGGTGTGTGCTCCCACGTTTCTTCTACTAGCATGGGAGTGATAGGAGCAAGAACCTCTTGGAGATGACAGTAGACATGGAACAGCGTCGTTTGCGCAGCACGTCTGCTGGCGCTGTTCTCTCCATACGTGTAGAGTCTATCTTTGATGGCCTCCATGTAGAATGCCGAGAATTCAAGGTTGGCCCATCGGTTCATAGAATTCATGGCTCTGTAGAACTCAAAGTTCTCGCAAGCCTTCTGGCAGCTGAGGACCATCTCAGAGAGGTGCAAAAGGGCAATCTGGTCAACCTTTTGCAGCTGATCATACGGGAGCAGATGGTCCGGGTGGAAGTCCGAAAGCGCACCCAGCAGAACCTTGAAGGTCACACGAAACTTGTGTAAACTTGTGTTGACGGTTTGAAGTACCTGCTTTCCAATAACAACATCACGCGTGTAATCGCTGCTTGCAACCCACATACGAAGCGCATCGGGACCAAGCGCATCGTACACAGGGGCTTGGTTCTCCGGTTGCTTCTTTCCTTTGCCTTTCCTTGGCTTGAGTGGAGGTAGGAGGGTTCCATCCATGATGGATTGTGGGTGCACCACATTGCCAATAGACTTGCTCATTTTGCGGCCATCTTCATCAAGGGTGAAGCCATGAGTGATAAGGTTCTTGAAAGGGGCACGAGGCGCAGCTTCCTGGCCAGATGCAAGCTGATGAGCAATGAATGTGAGAAGCCCCGACTGGAACCATCCACGGTGTTGGTCAGTGCCCTCCAGGTAGACGTCTGCCGGATAGCCATCACTGTGGGCAGAAGTTCCAATTTCCGTCCAGCTAGTGCCGCTATCGAACCAGACATCCATGGTATCAGTTCCACGTCTGTAGCCAGGCCCGGATGCCTCCTGTAAGGATTCAGGAATCCACGCAGTGTCATTTGCATCGTCCGTCCACCAGGCATCCACACCACGTTCATCAATAACCGCCATGATATGCGAAACACTATCCCGAGTAAGTACAGCTTCGCCTGTGCCACGATGGTAGAGAGCAGGTATAGGAACACCCCAAGCCCGCTGGCGAGAAATACACCATTCGCTTCTGTTCTTTACAAAGTTCTCTAGCCGTTGCTTTCCAGTGGTAGGGAAGAACCGAACATCTTCCAAGGCCTTGACTGCACTCCCACGGATATCGGCCACATCAGCAAACCATTGTTCGGTAGCACGGATGATGATAGGAAGTTTTGATCTCCAGTCATAGGGATATTTGTGCTGGTAACGATGTTTGGCAAGGAGTTGGCCCTTGCTTTCAACATATTCCAGCACAGCAGAGTTTCCTTCAGTAAGAACGTTTTTGCCGCTCAACCTAGATGGGTCGCTAGGCATCGCTTTGTCGGTGAACTCGCCATGATCGTTGACTGGTGCGAAAGCAGGGATACCTCGAGCAACACAGGCTTCATAATCATCCATACCGTGTCCAGGCGCGCAGTGAACAAGACCGGATCCAGAATCAGCAGTAACAAAACCCGCAGCGATTATGGGCTGAACTTCCGCATCTGGTCCCTTGAACATGTGTCGATACGTTGTGTGTTCGGCGAGTTCTGAACCAAGGATAGACGGTATCACAACTGATAGCTCTTCATTCAGTGTGCTCTGAAGATACTCTAACCGGGATTGCGCAATAAGGAGATGACCGTGTGTCTCTGACCGAACAATGGTGTAGTCCAAAGACTCATGCACTGCGATAACGGCGTTTGAGGGGAGTGTCCAGGGGGTGGTAGTCCAAATAACAGCATTGATATCTTGATTCTTAAGCAAAGGGTCTTCAGCCAGGCGAGAGGGAAGCGTAACGATGGGAAACTTGACCAAAGCAGCCGTAGAAACATGGTCATCCTTGTATTCCAGTTCTGCTTCCGCAAGTGCCGTGCCAGTAGATGGGGACCAGTAAACGGGTTTGAATCTCCGATAAATCAAGCCCTTGTCAACCATTTCCCGAAAAACACCGAGTTGTCTCTTTTCAAAACTCTTGTCCATGGTCTTCCAGTGATTCTCCCAATCAGCCATAACAGCGAATCGGCGAAACCCTTTCATCTGTTCTTTGACTGTCTTTCCTGCAAGTTTTCGCGCAGCCTTCCGGATCACAGCAGCACTGACCGATCCATCTGTCGCGCCCAATTCCTTCTGTCCTTGCAATGCCTTGAGTTCAATGGGAAGGCCATGGCAGTCCCAGCCGGGGACATAGCGCACTCTTTTCCCCAATCCCAGCTGCACACGGCAGATGATATCCTTAAGAACCTTATTCAGTGCATGTCCAACATGGAGGTCTCCGTTCGCATACGGAGGCCCATCGTGTAAAACGAATGGCTTTTCCGCAGGTCTTTCATGGCGTTGCCAGGCGTAGAGGTCGTCGGTGCATCGTTGAAGGTATTTCGTCTGGTCGGCCGGCGACACGCGTGCGGGGAACGTCGACTTGGGGAGCTTGAGTGTCGACGACCAGGACCGAGCGATCGACCGCGGCAGTTCCGGCATACTACCGCTGGAGCATGTCCTGCCTCGAAGGAAGTTCAATTGAGTTGGAAGACCAAGTTGATGAGCGAGCGGAAATGGATGCTCAGATTCGGAGATGCAATTGGTGCGGGTAACATTACACATTGTTACCATTTACAAGACAGAATTCGGTGTTTTCTCCAATATTACGAGTAATTAAGAAACATCGATAAATTACACAATCCGAAATAAATTCAAGTCGAGATGCTCATCACTAAATGGGATATTGGGTTTCATTAAGAAAGTTGCCCATCATTATATTGAATTATCATGCAGCATATAGCACAGAATTAGATACACGCTACCGCCCGAACTCCTAGTTACTGAAACACTGCACGGTCTAATATATCGTCAAGCAGCTCACAGCGCCGTTCTTCATCACTTCAAAGAGGAGCCCAGGGAATCCAAATAACTCCGTATTCCCAAGACCTCCATCTTGTCCATCAGGGCCCGCTCTATGTCCTCTGCCAGTACTTTCTTCCCATCCACCGAGAAACTCGACACTACTTTCAGGGCTGTCGCCCCAGCCCCGGTTCAACACCATGGGCCGTTGCAGAGCACGCTCTTCTGCAGCGCTTGCATAAGATCCCTTCCAAATGCTCCGGAGTTGTTCAGAGATCTCGTCATAAGGGGTCTCGGATGTGACACAATCCCCTGACGGGTTGAAGCCGATGTTCCAGCGACTGCGTCGGTGACGGTTAAAAGGATACGATCCTGGGACGTTGCCATGTAAGACGATCTTGGTTACAGTCAACTGGGAGGAAGGAGGTGGGGGAGATGGGTCCGACAACCCCGAACCCGGGAACGCAGGACCGGGTGTGGTGGGGTACGAGATAAAAGCATCAAAGCCATGGTGAAAATAGTTGAAGAAGGATTCTGTCGGCAACGAGGCGGGGTCCAGAGCACTGGCCTGGGAAACCTCCTCATCTGAATCATCAGTCACACTATTGTTTGAAGATTGATCTGTATCGGCAACGTCAATCCCTCTACCTGGAGATGGACTCATGTGAAGATGATCAGCACCACCGCCGCTGCCTGCAGCACGATGGATTGATATTCTCCGATCATTCTTACGATATATAGCGTCCGGTGGTCCAAATTCAGCGATTAAATCTTGGGGTGTTGTTTCGGATAGGGTAATGTAGGCCGGAGGATTTGATCTTCGAACCACTTCGATCTTGCCCGCACCAAATATGTTGAACTCTTCAATCTCATCGGAGGCAGACTCTCTATTTTTACCCGCTAGTGCCGGTGAGCGGGGATACTGGGGCTGCTGTGTGAACAATTTAGCTCGAACATCTGGCCAAGAAGGGCCTTGGAATATCGCCATTGACGTGGCTGGTAATGCTGCCGATGAAGAGAGTAATGCCACAAAGTCACACTGGTCAGACCATGCGGAATTCTGTAGCGGAAAAGAAAAGGCGATCCCAGGATATGATAACACGTATGTGCCGTACGGAGTGTTAGATGGTGGAGGTACGTATTCGCCTGGGTATGATGGACCAAAAAGGCGGTTGTAGACATGGCGGAAACTGGGGCCCTGCTGAGAAGGTGATTGCTCTTGTGGCTTCACTCCTTTGAGCACTTCTTGATTCTTGTAGACTAGAGTGATTTTGGAGAAGTCTAGTACTTCTATCAGCCGCAGCCTCTGGTCAGGGCCATCGAAACGTAGACGAAGACCATTAGAGGGCAGTTGTAGAGTCACGGGCTTGCGTAGAGGGTCCGAAGAGGAGTAGGCAATATCGATAGCGGGGTAGGACTGTGGATGGGATTTAACTCGGCTCAAAACATTGTGAAGTGAAGCACCGAGAGCTATCCTACAGTCAGCCACACTTGAAAACTGGGGACAGATTATGAGAAAACATGCTTATGAACCCCAGGCCCTTGCCCGGGAAGACCTGGGCTTGTGTCGGAGTCTTGGAAGCTGTCATGATGATCTCCGGCCCGTTCTCAGGGCTGATTAGGAGGGAGACGATGGCCCATGTATCAATTCAAACTGCAACAGTACAACCAGCGTCGTCAAGGGGTGGATTCTAGATGACAGTTTGAAGTCACAAACGAGGTTATCTATTAATCTTGATAGAAAAGATGTCGGATGGCCCAGATAGTCAGCAGGAATGGCGGCCAGATAGCGATGAGCGCATAGTATCATGTGAGAGGAGAGCATGACCCCCTAAAGTCGGGACCACTTGGCGGCACGTGCACGGCGACGGGGGCTTCCAGTTTGTTTACATTTTCCATTTTGAGACTCCCGAACATAACATCCACCACCACTTAATTTTACGACAACCCCAACAAAACCACAGCCGCTTATCTTCGTCGCGCATTGACTCGCGACAATCGCGAATTTGTTACTGCGTGTTACTACTAATAATTTACAAGAAAATTTGGCACGCCAAAAGTTGTAATCATGGCCGGCGCCCAACGGCCTGCCTCGGGCTTGCCGACGAGAAGAACAACAGCAACAACAACACGGCCAACGACGCGACGGAGGGGCTCAACAGCAACCCAAAGATCGGACTCACCTGCGACTGCGATGAGACCGCCGACTGCCAGTGGACTGCGCGGATCAAAATTACCGAGCGAGCCGGCGAGCGTGATTAGCAAACGAAAGGAAAGAGATTACGAACGCGGAGTCAACGAGGATACCAGTATCCATGTAGTCGTGCGATGCCGGGGACGAAATGACAGGGAAATCAAAGAGAATAGTGGTGTGGTGGTAGCGACTGAAGGTGTCAAGGGAAAGACGGTAGAGTTGTCAATGGGACCAAACGCGGTGTCGAACAAGACATACAGTTTCGATAAAGTCTTTTCGCCAGCTGCGGATCAGACTATTGTCTACGAAGATGTCGTTCTTCCCATTGTTAATGAGGTAATTCATGTCTACAACGGGTGAAATAACCGTCTAGCTAACGCAGTCAGATGCTCGCCGGTTACAACTGCACCATTTTTGCCTACGGTCAAACAGGAACCGGTAAGACGTATACGATGTCCGGCGATATGACCGACACATTGGGAATCTTATCCGACAATGCTGGTATCATCCCGCGCGTATTATATTCGTTATTCCACAAACTCGAGGACACAGAGAGCACCGTGAAATGCTCGTTCATCGAATTATATAACGAGGATCTGCGTGACTTGCTGTCAGCAGAAGAAAACCCAAAGTTGAAAATATTTGAAAACGAGACGAAAAAGGGCCACGTGAGCACAGTGGTTCAGGGAATGGAAGAAACATATATCGAATCCGCGACGTCCGGCATTAAGTTACTGCAGCAAGGTAGCCATAAACGACAGGTTGCTGCCACCAAGTGCAACGATCTGAGTTCGCGAAGTCACACTGTTTTTACGATCACCGTCTACACCAAACGAACGACGGATTCAGGGGAGGACTACATCAGCTCTGGGAAGTTGAATCTGGTCGACTTGGCTGGCAGTGAGAATATTCAACGCAGCGGTGCCGAAAACAAGCGGGCAGCAGAGGCCGGCTTGATCAACAAAAGTTTGCTTACATTGGGGCGGGTTATCAATGCGCTTGTCGACAAAAGTCCCCATATTCCATACAGGGAGTCGAAACTCACCCGTCTTTTGCAAGATTCCCTTGGTGGACGAACGAAAACGTGCATCATCGCCACAATCTCGCCCTCAAGGAGCAACCTTGAAGAAACAATATCCAGTTTGGATTACGCATTCAGAGCGAAGAACATCCGAAATAAACCGCAGATAAATTCTACAATGTCGAAGAAGACTCTGCTTCGTGAATTTACCTTTGAAATCGAGAAGCTGAAGGGCGAGCTTATTGCTACAAGGCACCGAAACGGTGTCTATATGACCCCAGACGCATACGAACAGATGACAATGGAGAGCGAATCTCGCAGGATTGTTAACGAGGAACAAAGAGCGAAGATTGAATCGATGGAATCGAGTCTGCGGAATAAGGTCCACGAACTCTTTACTTTAACGAGCAACTTCAACGGACTCAAGCAGGATAACGAAGAGACACGAGCAGCGCTTAATGACACCAATGATGTTCTCGAAAAAACCGAAATCGTTCTCAAAGACACAAAATCGACTCTTGAAGAAGAAGAGATGTTGCGGAAAGCTCACGAAGACACAGAGGCACATCTTCATGACATTGGGACAGGACTTCTATCAACTTTGGATGAAACTGTTGGGGATGTTGATGGGCTGCATGCAAAATTGGAGCGCAAGGCTGAACTCGAAACTCTCAACCAAGAAACGTGGCAAAGATCGACGGCAGAGGTCTCCGGTGTAACTACGCAAATTGACGCCCGAGTAGAGGAGTTCCAGTTGCACCACTCCCAGCTTGTCGAAAATATGTCCAGCAAGATCGGCCAATTCGTCGAAAATGAGATGAGGAACTTCCAAGCGAGCCAGTCACAGCTTCAAGTTTTCACATCCTCCTTTGATCAAGCAAAATCGGAGGCCAAGACCCAAACTTCAGGTGCTCATGATGAGATGAATGACGTCCTAGAAGAAATCAAGGATCTACGGGAAGAAGTCAAGAGCAAGGTTGGGGCCGGATTGAATGGCCTATCCGCAGCTGCGGCCCGCATCTCAAAAGAGGTCATTGGCGAATTTTCTGAATTCCATGCTCAGGTAAGCATGAATACATTCTCTCCAATACGTCGGTTACTAACAGATTTAGCTCCATTCATCTTATAGCAGCCTTGGCAAGGACTTCAAGTCCATGTTTGAAAATGTCGTATCTCACCTGGATGAACAAAAGGCTGAGATCCACAAATTGCGCCTGCAAGTTCAGGAAGCCAACCGTCAGACAGTCGAGGCAAACCGCAGGGCTTCATCTCAATTGACCCAAAGCCTTGAAGAGGAACATGCCACTGCGGAGGCTGAACGGGAAGCCCTTCTGTCACAGTTCAAATCGCTGATGGAAGAATCCCGCCAAAAGCAGTTTGCTCGCCTCAGGGGCAAGTTCGACCACCTACGCACAGATCTCTCATCTTCGGGCGACTTATTGGAACAGTCTACTACCCAATACGACCGCCATGTCGACGAGTGGGTCTTCAAGTCTGAGCAATTTGCCAAGGATGTCAACGCCTCTCGGGATGAGATCAAGACTAAGATGCAAAATGACTGGGAGGTAAGCATGTTCACAGCTTCATTTAACGGATGTGTGCTAATTTGATAGGTATTCAATCAACGGAATGGGTCTATTCAAAGAGCTACTGAGTCGGTGCACGAGGAAACAGTCCGCATTGTGGATGCACAGATGAAGGACATGGGTAAACAGATGGAGGCTTTGGATGATTTCGTGGCCAAAGCACGGTCCCACAATGGCCGCTACTATGAAGCCCATCTGGGTAGTCTGGACACCATGGCAGACAATGTTCGCCGGTCGTATTCGACTGTCCACGAACAGTTGCAAGGCTTTGGTGATCGGGTTGGTCAGCTTCAGGTTGATGCCGTCGAACAGAGGCAAGGACTGAATGAATCAACCGTGCCTTTGTCCGAGGAAGTCCGCAAACCATTATCAGAACTGCGTTCCAAGATCCAGAGCAGACCCATCAAAGAGTACACCATTACTGGTGTGACACCCCAGAAACGACACTACGAATATCCATCGACATTGCCACGTACGGACCCGCATGATACACTTATTTCAAAATTGAGAGGAGCCACAGAACTCGCGGCTTTGCCATTCAATGGTGATGATCAACTGTCTGCTCTTGACAGTTCTCCTTCTGGTTCGCCGCCCAAAGGCTTTGTCTACAACGACGGTGAGGATGAGGTACGGACTCAACCACCTCCCCCAACCAACGTCACACCTTCCAACACAGGCCTTAGGGAAGTCGATGCAAACGTCGCCGCCAGACCGCTCGGGTATAACACCGATGGCGAATCCCCTGCTGCCGATCTGTCGACATCCAAGGTGCGACCATCCATGGAAGCCGATTCCGTCGCGGAAGAAGACGATTCGGAACAGCCACCCTCGAAAAGGCATTGTTCCACTTCGGCAGTGGGTGATGGCAAACTTCCGCAAAAGCTATTAACAAAAAAAATGGCTGGAATGATGGGAGGCAGAGAGAATGTCCCTCCGACAGGCTCGACTGGAAGAAGACTTAGAAGCCGCCCTTCTAGTGGAGCACTTTAGTGACGCCACTGAATTGTGTCTTTGTTTTGTGTTTTGTGTTTTGTGTTTTGTTTGCATTTATCAGAAGGCCTATACCCCGTGGTTGCTTCTTTTTGTTGGCGTTTTGGGTGTCTTTCGAGACAAGTCCGTACAATGGGTTGATTAAGTTGTACGTTGGCGTATTGGTGATTCATTGGTTCATTCTTGAATACTATCTGAAATATGATATTTGCCTTTTTCTACTACCACGACGTTTCGCCACATTTGAATCATTCAACCCTGAAGCTAGGTTCTCGTGATCCCAGGTCATCGAAAGTAATCATTTGATGCTCTTAGTCTTTGGGCAGACACCACTTAAAATACTTGTTTCGTATGATTTCCTCTACGTATGCTTCTTTGCAGATCAGATGGCAGTAGTGGGCAAGGACAAAATGATTTATGGCAGTGAGCCTAGATTCGATGTCTTGTAACTGGCTCGATCAGTTTCCTCAATTCTCAGACTCCATGTTTATGCTGCTGTGTCTGAGAAATGAGACGCCTCGTCTTCACCAGGGGAGCCGTTTTGACCTCCGCCCTCCACTTCATCCTGAACAACACCTGGTAATTCACCTAGTTCTCCATTGTTTTCGATTCCTTGAGGCTGCTCCGAAGGTGGCTCATCGGGACGCTCCTCTTCCGTGGACTGGCCTTCTTCTCCAACATCGATGATCTGCCTAAGTTCGCTCATGCGCTTTGCAAACTGATCCATCATATCCTCCAATCGTTGACTGCCCTTCTCCTTGTCTTTGTCTTTGCTAGCTATGTTCGGAGGCAATCCCGCCGTGCCGTGGATTTTCAGCATAAGTCCACCGTTCGAAGGCTGCTCGCCGGATGCACTATTCTCGAAGGTCGGGGCTGGCACTAGCTGTGTTCCCATGACTTGCCATGCCGGTGTTAAGCTATTGGATGATGTCACCGTAAACTGTGGAGGTGGTTGTTGCGGTTGCGATTGTCGTTGTTGTTGGGGTTGCGGTAGTGTTTGGGTTGCAGGTGATGTCGAGATAGACTTCGTGCCTGCTGCTGCTGCTGTGAGGCCGGGATCGGCTTCTCCATTTCCTTGGCCATCCAAAGACGTAGGTTCCACGTCTAGAATGATGAAGTTATCCCGCACTCCTGGAATGGGAGGAGGGAGTAACGATTCCTTTCTCGAGCCTGAAAGCTCGCCGTCCTGTCCATATGTGTCCTCTTCGCCTTCGCCCTCTTGCTGCTGATCGCGCGTTGGTCTTGAAGAGCCCTTTGCGGAATAGGGAAAGCTATCCTGCCCTGTTTCCAGCGATCGTAAAGCTGCTTCTGTTACGATATCGGCGTCATCGTCAGAGAAAATGTAGTGAACGGTGGGGTGGTAGTATTCGGACGAAGCGGCGTCCTCGATCAAGGTGAAGAACGGTTGAAATTGTTGCTGCGACGACGACGGTGAGTTATCCCGATGGTTTGTTTCTTCCTCGTAATGTATTGATCCAGTTGTCTCTGCCGCTTCGTGGCTCTGTTGTTCCGCAGGTATGCCGTTGTCGATATGTTGTGCTGTCGGGGGTCGTTCGATGTGTCTTGGGCGAGACGGAGCTGTCGATCCAAGAGTACCTCGGATGGACTGCTTGGAGGAAGATGAAGATAAAGGAGGTGACGTGTGATTTGGAAGAGACATCTCCAATGGTCGAGGCTACATGGTTGAGTGGTGAAAAGTATAGAAGATGAGCACGGCGTTGTTGTCGTTGGAGAAGGAGCTGGCAGCTGATCTGCATTCCTTATCGATATATATGTCAGGTGACTATCTCCTCATACTGTAAAATAGCCTGATGGCGACTGGGCACAAAGATGAAGTTATTCAAAGTTGATAATAATACATTCATTATGGAATCAATGGCACAGAAAACAGGGTATCATATACATTGGACCTTCAACGCCTTTCCACCATGATCAAGTCGCATATCACTCATCATCGTCATCGTTTTGCTTCCACTCGAATTCTACAGCACCATCAGCAATTTATTTAGGATGATGATACAAATTGAAGAATACATACTCTGTCTGCACATCGGACAGAGTCCTTTGGAGGTTTCCTGTTGAATCCATGTCATAAGGCAATGCTATCGTCAAAATCATATCAGTCAATATAGCCCGCTATGAGGATATAGAGCTCCACAATCGCACCATATGAAATGAATGTCCACATTTTCCGAGAACTGCGAAGCAGAGACACCGTGGTCAATATGAGATTCCCATCTCAAGTAATCCAGTCCACTCACGTAGAGAACAGTCATCACCGGGGAATTTGCAGGTTGGACAAGTGCCGTCGAACTGGACGCGACAGATACCGCAGACCTCGTCCTCGGGCATATCCCAACGCCAGGTTGCGACCGCGTTCCATTCCTTGATAGTGACCTTCATTGTCAATAGATATTTGACTTGGAAATTGCTCTCGATGCTGATAAAGAAAGTGGAAAGAAATTCGCTGTGAGAGGTGGAGCAGCCCGATGATAAGCGTTGTTTCCTGCTGTTTTTTTTCTCACATGGCGAAAACACAGCAGTGGCTGGTCGCCGACTCCGCATTTCAACCCAGCGCTTCTGCTCCCCGCGGCCATCGTATCTCCACCATCGTCATTGCTCCTGTTCTCTCTCCCTTGCCGGGGATGACTCAATTCTAACTAAAATCACCCTATCGGCATGTAATTTCGACCTTGTCTTTCTTTCTTACTATTCCCCCCCCCTTTTAAAGCTTCCGCGACCATGGCTTTCGCGGCTTTCCGTTCCTCTGGTCTTTCACCGACTCGGCTCGTCCGCTCGACCATGTCTGCCCCTCAACTGGTGCGACAGCAAGGCCAATGCCGTTCCCTATCTTCCTACCTGGTGACTCCTAAAGAGCTAAACGAAGCTCTCAAGAAGAACCCTCCTACCAAGATCTCAACTGCCCCGCGTGTTGTCCCTCTTTGCGCAGCATGGTTTATGCCCAACGACCCCGAGGGTCGCAAGGGAATCGACGTTTTTCGCAAGAATCGCATTCCACAGGCCCGCTTCTTTGATCTCGATGGAGTCAGTGACCGTGACTCTCCCTATCCCCATATGCTCCCTACGTGTGAAACGTTCGCAGAAGCTATGAGTGAATTGGGCATCCGTCGTGACGATGAGATCGTTGTGTATGACACCGAAGAGCTTGGAATTTTCAGCGCTCCCCGTGTAGGATGGACCCTTAGGGTTTTTGGACACCCCAAGGTTCATGTCCTAAATAACTACAGACTCTGGGTTCGTGAAGGATACCCAACGGAAACCGGCGAACCTTCGCAGGTTGAGAAGACGAACTACGCCCTTCCCACCTACGACTCAAAGCTTGTTATTCCTTACTTGGAACTGAAAGAAATCGCCAAGGAGCATCGGAAAGAGGGCGCAAAAGAGGTGGAGATCCTGGATGCACGTCCCCAAGGCCGCTGGGCGGGAACGGACCCTGAACCGCGCGCTGGTCTGTCATCGGGACATATTCCCGGCTCTATCAGTTTGCCATTCCCAGAGTTGCTTGACCCTGAAACCAAAACCTATCTTCCTGCGGACGAGTTGCGAAAGATCTTTGAAGCCCGGGAAGTCGATGCCTCCAAGTCGATCATTAGCTCTTGTGGCAGCGGTGTTACAGCTAGCATCATTGAGACCGCATTGGGCGAGGCCGAATATGGACAACCTAATCTCCGACGAGTGTACGATGGGAGCTGGACGTAAGTTTTGACCTGCCTTGTCTTTGTCTAAAAATACTCTGAAATCGGCTGCTGACGTATTGCGAACAGTGAGTGGGCACAGCGTGTCAAGCAATCCGATGGCTTGATCAAGAAGACTGCCTAAACAAAGGGCAAGCAGTCATCTGAGATGAACGTCATGATATCGTAGCGCCTGTACGACATACCTTTGGTTTTTGGTTTTTGGTTTCCCTTGCGTCACGTTCTTGAAGATGCGTTGCTGCGATTGTTTTCATGGGCAGATCGCCGTCTATTGGTATTCCTATAGAATATGATGAGACAACTCTCCATCTCCTAGATTTACATAGAATTAAAAAAAAAAAAAAAAAAAAAAAAAAAAAAAAAAAAAAAAAAAAAACAATATTCTTTATTCTCTGTTGACGGAATTGGCATTATTATAACTGCATGCTTAGTCAACCCTCGCTTGGCGTTCCGCGGCTTCGAGTCGCCCTTCATCGCAGGCTGCCTGCATCACTGCCTGTTCCATTCCCCAGATCAATGCTCTCCTTCCAGAACCATTCAAAACAAGATGCTACGTATGAATATTCTTTGTGAGCCTGTCTTCTGCTGTGAGTAGAGCTGCTTTCATTATTCTACTCCAGCCCTTCGTTACTCCGTCCTCCCTCCCGATGTCCGGTCATCCATCCTCATACCACTGCCCCCACATTCCCAGATCTCTCCGCCTCCGTCAAACCAAACCTCCTTCGTGGGCTCCAGCATCCCGCTGATATCGACTGCGGCTTAGTCGCGGCCGTCACATCTTCCAGTTTGGTATAGGGAAGCGCTGTCTCCCCTATATCTCGATCTACCGATACTCGTTCTCCTGTCGACTTGTCTCCTTGAATAATGTCGGCCGGACGCAAGGTCTTCCACTGTGCCGTGGATGAAACGGCCTTGACTACCAACATCAGTGAAATAAAAAAATGGACTACAAACGGTGCCATCACCCTTGTTGTTCCCCTCTACAGTAAGTTGATCATTCTTTGAAACGCCGTGATTTCGCGTTCGCTCACCGGGTCCTTCCCCTCCCTCAGCCCTTGAACGCCTCCATGCGCTGAAAAAAGCCGGATCCCAAACCGCCATCAACGCCCGTGAGGCAGTCCGCTTCCTTGATCGTGTGACCTCCGGAAAAGACAACGTTACTGCCGAGCGCATCGCCCTCCAGGGCCCGATGGAGCAATATGAGCGCTGGGAAGATGCGGAGAAATTCTTCCTGCCGGAATTTGAGGAGGAACCTGAAGCGCTCAATGGCGACATTGTCAATGGCCAGATCCCGTCGGGAAAATTTGGAGATAAGAAAAGGGACGCCAAGAAGAATGGAGCTTCGACGGATGATCTTTCGCAGATGCTTTTGAGCAAATTGAACTTCAAGAAGGACTCAGATGCAGTTTCGATTACCTCGAATGGTACACACAGTGCTCCTGCCTCCCGCCCATCTTCAAGGAGTTCCAGAACCAGCCCCGAATGTACCAGCAATCACTTGATTTCCAACGGCGAAGGATCCAAGGACACCAAAACGAAGCAACCAAATGGGCATCGACGATCCGCTTCGGGATCTAACATTCCCATAGTTCCCCCCGTTATCCGACCGCTGCTCAGCGCTCTTCTTTGGCGACTTCACAATGGTCCGGATGCATCGAATGCAGCCAAGGCTTGTATCCTAGTGTCGAACGATCCGATCACCCAGATTTGGGCCCAGAAATTTGGGGTCGCGGTTAAAAATATCCATCAGCTGCGAACCTCCATCCAGTACGAGGAAAGAGAGTACAAAAACCGTTGCAAATACGTCGAGAAAACACAGGCAACTACAACTACCGAACCAAAGACGCTTCTTTCCTACGAGGATGAGAGTGAGGAAGACGAGTTGGTCTTCGTTCCTCGCGGTCGCGGAAAGGGCGCAACGAGAGGCGGGGGCGCCCGAGGCACTAGCAATCGCAAACCGGCTGCTTCGAAGGCTGCCGCACCGCCGCCTGCGGAGAGCACGGTTGATATCCCAACGCAGCCTATCGACCCCAACTCTTTCAGTCGTTCCCTGGGGCCGACCCCCAAACAGCCGACTGTCGACCTCAGCACACAGTCCGGAGCAGCTCGTGGTCTGGCAGGCGCATCTCGTCCCAACCGCCGGGGTGCCTCTTCGCGTGGCACAGCCCGTGGTGGCAGCCGTGGCCGTGGAGGAAAGCTTTGGGTTCCTTGATTGCAGAATCGGGGTTCGTTGACCATCTACATCAACGGGCCGATCCTTTGCGAATATCCAAAACTAGAACAACACGGTTGTCATTCGAAGCAGAAAAAATACCCCGTCTTGCTCAAACTGCCTACTGGCCAAACTATTTGTTCACACTGTGACAATGGATGAGCCCAAATGGTCGAGTTTCGCCTAGATGGACATCATGGATACGAAGAAAAGATAAATGGCAGGCGACAGCGAATCGAATACGACACGGCCTCGATTCCAACTTCGACCAATCATCTGGTGTGCGAGAGAGAATGGCTATGACTACGTGGAATCGGATACAATCCGAGTGTCAGGTGTGGGATCCTGATGATTACTCTCATGCCTTTGCGATTTCCTTTTATTTCCTTATCGGAAATGAATAGGCTGTTTGTTTCATTTCCAATCCACTACTTGCGCGTGGGACGCCAGGAAACCACCATGCTTTGAACCGGCATGGTGCTCCACCACTAGCTTTTCAACATATCTATGCTGCAGCTACAAAATAACATATTGCGGTCTTTCCTTTTTTTACTTGTCATCTTGCTTTTATTTAACAGGTTGGGGTTGTCTGAACTGGAGGAGAGTGGATGAAACGCTGGTGGTAGAGTGAGATGCTCATGCTTCTGCAAGTTTGTTTATTTTTTGTGGATATGATGGAATTGCGTACCATGTGTTTTCAGACGGATAGAGATCTAGTTGCTAGGCTGCTGATAATTGATTCTTATTGATCTCCTTGACTCCTGATGATCATCATCTTCTGCTGCTGCATGCGGCACCCGTTGCCCCGCCTGCCATCATCCCCGGGTCCCGTGGAAACTCTCCCGTTGCCTCCGCAGCGCATCACTTGACTTCCTCGTCCTCTCTCCGTCGTCACCCAGTCTTGTTTGGTCCCATCTCTATCATTCCCTGGCTATTGATATTTAGCTCGATCCCAGTTCCCCTGGCAGAAATACTTGCTTTGTTCCTGTCGCAATTACAGTCCAGAGATATTCTTCCTCCAATCACATTGTCATCATGGCCACTGCCAACATCGACGAGACCCCGCTCTCTGTATCCATCGAGAGACGCAACTCCCTCGAGAAGCATCTTCAGAATCGTCCTGATCAGCAGGATCTGAAAGAGAAACATATTCTTCTCGATACGAACGTTGCTCCGTAAGTTTGCTTTTATACGTTATTTATCTACTTTCTATAGTTACTCCTATACCCCGCATACACACCAATGCATACTTCGTTGTTGCATAATACTCGATACGAACAGAAGCCTTATAGACTAGGTAGAATAAAAGTTTATGCTGACTATATATGCAAAGATCCTTGCAGGCAGCGAGACAGGAGCTCGCCCGTCAGCGTATGTCAGACGATCTCAAGAAACACATTGAACGTCGCCCCGATCGTGAGGAGCTTGTTGAGCGTATGTAGCCAAGCACACCCAACTCTTTACAAACCCCCTTCATTACCTTCAATAGTAAAGAACACTACTGACGGTATACTGAATAGGAAATATCCTCCCATCTACAAACGCCGCCCCGGCTCTCCAAGCCCACGCCCGCGAACTCGAAAAGCACATGTTGGCTGATACCCTCGACCACAAGATCCAGAATAGACCACAGCCCGAGGAGCTCATCTCCCAGGGTATCCTGACCGAGGATGAAGATCCACGGAACCCGTCTGTTTAAAAAGGGTTGTTGCTGCGCTGTATGCGCTGATGGTTATGAGTATGGGTAAATGGGCGTTTCTTTCTAATGGTGTTTTGTGGATATATGGGTTTCTCTCATTCGCTGCTTCTTGGTTTCTCTCGATTGATTGTTATGTCGATTGAATCGCTTGATGAATCCAAGGAGATCGAATTGGTTATCAATGTCATTCATTGTGTTTATACTTCATTCCAATCGAATGTTTCGTCATATTTTTAAAGCACGGGTGATGTAGCATACCATCCAGATACATCGATTATCCAGTATTTTATGCCATATGCTAAACGTAGCCCAACTCATTTCAAGTTCATTCAAAGCAAATGACAGTTCAGACACGCCATAACTCCCATCCCCAAATGCTCATACACTGCGATTCGTAATCCCTGAAAATAACTCCTTCAGTATATTTCCACATCAGCCGGCGCAGAAAGGTCAGGCATCCACCCAGACGGCCGCTCACTCCCACGGACCAAAATGCCATATGCAGCGCGTTCCACCTTCTCAACGCTGTTCTGCATGACATCCACCTTCTTGGACATATCCTTAAACATGGCATGTCGACGAGGGACAGTCAACGACTCAAATGACGATCGCATCCCGCGAAGATCCACAACAATTCCGGCCTGAGACGACGGAAGTTTCGGGAGATTATGACCACCCGCCTGGTCTGTGTCCGTATCCTTCGCCTGACCACCCGCCGATAAGGATGTAATCGCGAAACGCATCATCTCGCCTGTCAAATCGAACAGCCCCATGACATAATCCTCTTCAGTGACGAGGAGTCCCTGCGGCAAATGGGCCCTGACTTCATCGAGAGTTATGAGGGTTTGATTTTCTAGGTAGTGGTGGAAGGAGAGAGCTTCGATGAATTCTTGGATTGCGCCGCTGATTTGGCGCTGGTATCGCCAGCTGTTTATGCCGGTGACGTCGGGGATGACGTTGCGGAAGAGGGTGAGGATTTGGTCGAAGCGGGTTTTCGTTTCTTTAGCGATGGAGGGAGGGATGGGCGTATTTATCGTTCGAACACTGTAGGGGTTTTAACAAGTCAGTTAATCGACTTTCTTTCGTTTAGGAATCGCGGTACATGGAAGGAGTCTGTCTGACCGTTGTAACGAGAAGATGCTAAAAGAAAAATAGACATGTTAGCATTAAAAACCAGCCAGCAATAGTGTATCAAGAAAGATACGAACATCTTCTTGCTCATAGCAGTAATATCTCTGCTTGTCTTGATAACTCTCTCACGTCGATCATGGTGCTGATCGAGCTCATCGCGGAAGGTCTCAAAAATCGAAAGAGTAGAGACGGATGGCTCATCCACGCCTGCTCCCTCCATTGTTGCGGATTTCTGTGTGTTGTTGTTCTGATCGCAGACAGCTTTACCTTCCCAGGATCGTTTGGTTCCTGCCATGAGTTGAGGTCGAGGGGTTTCTTTTGTGTTGGAATGGAGAGCGAAGCAGTCGGCGTGACGGTTCATTCACCAAAGTTGAGCTGCGGGGCTTAACCAGATTGGGGTGATTGTTATCTGATAAGATGTCATCTATACAGCGCACGATGCTGCAACACTTTCGCAATTTTTTACGATTGTTTTCTTGAAGCAGACTGGAAAATCCATACGGTTTATTGTTGATATACTTTCGGGGAATTTGGTTGTTAAATTGAGCTTGCTCATGACTACGTAAATCCAGCTGACGACATCATCTCGGAATATATATCCAGCCTGAAAAATGACTTATAGCTTACGATCTACCGAATAAGTATAATGTGAGCGACAAATGTCACTGTATATTGAACTGATAGACAGTACTATGATCAAGCACAATAGTACAAAGTATATCTAGTCGACTGCAATCCGTCTAGAAGTCGGCGTTGTTCCCTTCGGAACATACACACTCAGAATCCCATGCTTCAAACTCGCCTTGACCCGATCCTGGTCAGTCCGAACAGGGAAGCTGAATGTCCGACTAAAGTGTCCAATTGATCTCTCCGTACTCCAATACCTGCCTTTTGCCAGCGGCCCTTCGCCCTCTTTGGGAGCATATTCGCGTTGGGTGGCCCCCTTCACTACAAGCGTATGCGGGTCTGTAAACTCCAGGTCGATGTCTTTCTGTTCGATACCAGGGAGCTCGCCATCGAGGAAGTAGGCATCGTTGGTCTCGCGGATGTCAAAGCGTGGATGGAAGGAACGGGCAGTTAGTCCCGAATTCTTGGTTGTTATATGGTCGTTATAGTCGTCCAGGAGGTGGAACAGGGACGACAGTTCGTTTCCAGAAAAGGCACGTGTGGCTGACATTGTTCTTATAGGAGTGTAAGGTTTGAAAATGCTTTTGTAAGATTTTGGAGAAGGTCGAGTGGGCTGAAGTCGATATGCGGGTTTGATATAAGATAGGAGAGTCTGGGGCTTTCGGGAAATCATGAAGACACAAATGAGGACCTCACAGTTTGTCGAGAACAGATGGAATGAGTACAGGAAAGTGCTCTTTATAATTGTGCTCTCTGAATATGTTAGCAGCGTCATGTAATGATGATATGGATATGAACTCATCGGAAAATGAACGCAGCGGCAACTAAGGTAACAAAAACTTCATAATTTGGTGGCGTACTAGTTTCACCAAGGTAAATAAACTGTTTAAAATGAAAGGAGGCTAAACAGTAGTAATTGGATCTGGAATTGAACCTAATTTAACAACCAAGACGAAAGTTCTCTTGAAATAAAAAAGAACCAGAATGGACGGCCGCCTATTGGCCAAGGAATTTATATCTCAATGGTGCATCGTCCGGATTCAGCCCTGTTATATCAACAGTCTGATCGTCCCCAGGAACAAGATCGATGGCGCTATCACTGAGTCTGACTCCATCCCTCTCCTCGAAAACTAAGCACTTCACCGGCTTTTTCGTGCTTATAACAAGTGTTTGCTTTGTAGAAGACTCAGACACTTTCTTGACATCAAGTCCTCGGTCTGAAAACTCAAGATACTTGAATGGTTGGGGCCAGTCTACGTCGCGAGCGACTAGGCGACCATCAACCCACAGCCTTGCAGCTAGCACATGGGGCTCTGGCTCAGCAGCATGATCAATGATGCCATCCACAATGACATCTGTTGTACCATTAGGCAGAAGGCGGATATTCTCCCGTACAATTGGCTCGCGGATTTCTAGTCCGGTATTGATAGAAATGAATCGCAGCTCTATCTTGCCACTGACATGATTTTGAAGGCTGCTGGCAATCCAGAGTTCATATTTGCTTGTTTTAGGAGGCTGTGCGTGAGTGACACTCCAGTCATGATGTTCTCTGCGCACTCCCACTGCAATTGGATTAAGCACTCGTGCGACTGCGTAGTACGCTGGCTTAGGCCGCAGAAAATAATCGACAATGGCCCAGGAGATGGTGGGCCAGCAGTCGTTTATCTGCCAGAGAAGAGCACCACCACAGTGTCTCTCATCACCCCATTGGCGACGCCACCCACGGTATCCAAACATCATTGCTTCGGCTTGGATGAGTTGGGTGAGATATATATATGTCTATCAAGCCCTCAGTTAGATAAAAAGGTAGATGGAATGATGATAAAGAGCATAAACATACGTCAAGGTCTGTAGCAGTCCTGACATTTTCCACAAGATAAGTAGCGATTCTTCGCTCATGGCCGTCGGCCTTGTTGTGGAAATCAAGGACGTGTGATTGAGGATATTTATCGGCCTCGTTTTCGACAAAGTATTCAATTGTTGGCAAGTGAGGGAATGCTTCCATGCCAAATTCACTATTAAATCGACCGCCAAGTGTATCGAAGATTTGGTATTTTTCTTGCGTTCCATGCCATACTATTTGGTATAATTAGCAAGAAAGATGCAGAATGTGTATTTCAGTATCTTACCATTCCATTGATGCAAATCACCAACCGTGGGATCAGATGTCCACTTTCCGTCGCCCCAGGGACTGCCAGGATGATAGAAGGTTTGGGGACAGAGCTCCTGAACTACAGATGGCAATAGTTCCTCGTATATGTAACGAGCGGGGAAGTCTGTTTTCAGCCAATTTTCGGGGTTTTTGTCTTTGTAGTCGTAGAAAAGGCCCGCCTGTTCCTGAACCTGATAGTCTTCGTTGTTGCCGACATATATCACAATCGATGGGTGGTGACGCAATCTGCGCACATTGTAGGTTGCCTCTTCTTGAATTGATTCAAGTAGCTTAGGCCATGCTGGATAGTTTCCACAACCAAACATGAAGTCTTGCCACACCATGATCCCGAATTCATCACATGCTTCATAGAAATGATCGTCTTCGTATATCCCACCACCCCAAACCCTGAACGTACAGTCGTTAGTCATTAGCAGTTATGAGACAAGAGGTTCTGGAAAAACATACCTGACCATGACCTGACGACCAGCGACCATCAACTGAACCCACTTCCGATATCTATCGCGCGTTATGCTTGGTAGAAGGCTATCACTAGGAATCCAGCAAGATCCACCACAAAAGATGTCGAATCCATTGATGCGGAAAAAGAAGGATTTGCCGTGTTTATCATGCTGTTGAATGACCTCCGCCGTACGAATCCCAAATTTCTTTGAAATTCGATGGAATTCGTCTTGTCCGTTGACGACGGACACAGTAATTTCATAAAGGGTTTGGTCACCATAGCCATTGGGCCACCAGAGAGATGGCTTTTCCAAATGGAGAGTTGCTTTAGCAAAGCTGTTATCAGTTACAGTAACTTTCTGCTGCGCGACCTCTTTTCCGTGAAGACGCAGAGTAAAGTTTGCTTCATATGGACCGGAAGAAATTGTTTCCAATTCAGCAAAAGCAGAGATATCAGCTGCCTGATGATTTGAAGAGAGCTGGATTTCTGTCCAGAGATCTGAAACTCTTGCGGAATAGACCTCCAATCGCACATCTCGCCAGATGCCTGCTGTCATGAGGACAGGCCCCCAGTCCCAGCCCCAATGATACTGAGCCTTTCTCACACTCATTCTGGCTGGATCTCCGTTGAACGAAGCCCAATTATGCTTGGTATCCTGCTCACGAAGCTTCTGAGCCCGAAGCATCGCACAGTCGAAGTCGATTTCTAGAACATGCTGGCCCTCAGCTTCCAGAGCCTTGGTCACATCCACCCGATGGGCGAGAAACATGTTGTCACTCTCCAAGATTATATTCCCATCAAGTCTGACTTTTGCAAACGTATCCAGCCCATCGAATACCAGGAACACTGATGAGCCAGCTGGAACAGCTGGTTTCTGAAGAATGTTCCGATATGTCCATGATTTTTCGTTCACCCATCGAGCTTTCAATTCGTTGAAGCCAACAAATGGATCCTCCAATCTTTAATCCACGAAGAAAATATTAAGAGTTAGCATTGGTTTTCTCTGGAACCCCGTGACAGTGCGCAGCTCGATGAGACTCATACGTACTTGTTATTTGCCTTCAAATCCTGGTGAACAACAGAAGGAACGACGGGAACCGGCATCCATGCTTCCGTAGATTCATTTTCGCTATCTCTGAAGCTCCACCCCTTGGCCAGGGAATATTGTGAGAATTTTGCCATGGTTTACGTTTAAACTGGACAAGAAAGTCTTGATAAACAAACGTCACAGATCAGGAATTTGATGTTTCAAGGCTGAGGGCAAGGGCGAACAATGATGAATAAAAATCAGATCTGGGAAGAGGGCAATCCCTAGAAAAAGGATCTTCTTGTTCCAAATCTTTTGAACCATTTTTGGACCTTGCTGTCTGGATGCGGGGATGGAAGGTTGAAGATCGAGAGCTCCACGGAGGGGAGTCCGTCCCACGTGCGGGCATTACCTGTTTGGGTCGTGCCTGGCCGGACCTACCTCCGCGCCGAAGCCAGTTAGACTGTCAAGCATCACTCGAAGATTCATCTTCTCGTCTTGCAACCAGAGTCTGTTCTTTTCTCTGTCCTTGAACATCAGTCAGCAATAATATAACAGAGTTCAAGTTTATTGCAGTCTTTCGACTGAAATCCTCAATGGAAGCCTCGGTTCTCTCTGGTCTCCCTTTTGGGAATGGCAATTCTCCGTCCAGCTTTGTGGAACCATAACAGCTCCTCGCTGAACTGATGTACTCTGCCGTATAGAGGAGACTATGTTATCCAATGGCGTTTATTGTGTTGCAATCCTTATTATCTTTTCTGCCTTGCTCCTCTCTCAAAAATGTGTTCCGACTGATACCGGCCCAGAACTTGACAAGACTTCAAATGTGGGTTGAATTACCATCATCCATATCACCCGTTGATTGAGATTGAAAAAGCCATTTGTGTACGGTTGAATTATAAAGTGAACATTTGCCCTTGTGCTGGTAAGGGATTTCAAGGTATCTAGAATATTTCAGTGCCCCTCTTTTGCCGCCAATCCCTCCCCTGTCACAATATAAACCAACGCCCCGTTACAAGACACTAGAAATAATGGTCTGGCAATCTAACGGTTTTTTTCTACCAGAATCGGTAACCGAATCAGCCCCTTGTTGCATCATCAGCGTTTGCAATAAGAGGGATTAATAAATATTCGACCCTTCATCTTCCATGTCCGGCTAAATAGTCATATCATATTGCGGATACACAGGCAAACATGTGAAGAAAAAATACATTGCAACTCTTGGCAGCCGAGTATTCTAAGTGATCGCTACCTGAGATCATTCGACGATGAGATTGATTGCTGGCGGTTGACTGCTCTTGGCTACATCGGAGGTATTGCCTATTCATTCGCCCCTCAATACTTTTATGAGCACTCGGGATATCCCGAACTGCCAAGCTACTACAAATAGGCTGTTGACGTTCCCTCGAGAAGTACCAATGCATGATTGCCCCTTCAACTAGTGGTGATCTCCGATGGGGTACTCCGAAAACCTATTCAAACACGCACATCAAATACTGGGATTTCCTTTGAAACTGCCGAATAAGGAGTCCCTAACCGCTTTAGACCATTCTTAATATTCGGCTTTCGGGCAAAAGGATAATCTCAAAAAACCGGCTAGCCGCCGTCATCAGCCAACCTGGAATTTATCCAGGCCCTCACAAGCCCAACAAGGGTTGAATCCTACTGATACATCTTGGCCTGTATGGATTCTGATTCTCGGTCTCTCCAAGGCATATACTGGTCTGTGTCTACCAAAGCAAAGAAACTAGACCATATCGAAATTTACATAACAGGACGAGTCTCTTCGTGCGGCGTATATAGTAGCTGGCCTTATAGCTCTGTACTCCATTCTTAATTAAAGCCAGTTTTGGTCATAATTTAGTACCCAGCCTGGGCCGTATTATCAGATCGCCACGCATAAGTTAATGCGACACAGCATAATGTCACTCACAGTTTCTGACCCAACTCTCGGATGATACAGAAGCCCGCGCTGGCTTGAGTACAAGGCCCCTGCGTATCCAAACCGGGGTTTCTGGCAACTTTTAACTGATGTATGGTTTGCCGGCTCCTTTCTATAGGTGGAAAGTCCGGCGAGCCTGGATATCTCAGGGTCTTGATGCAACATAACAGTATGTTTGATGTGGATGGGAATATGACCCCCGCTGCGAGCGTCCTGTCAAATTAAAGCGCCTTCGTGACCCTGGCATAAGGCATGACAATAGGCACAAACACCTCAGATCACCCGCAAGCAGAAGGGCTGAAGGACAGAACAGCCGAAGTGTCTTACATGCCCCGGCAGCCGAGATGACAGGGTCTTCGCCCTGGAGAAAGCGATGCAGAGGCCTGAAAATGGTGGGTGATTCTTGCATGATTTAATTAAACTTGAAAATGCGGGGAACAAGTAGTGGAAGATCCTCAGGCACTCTTTTTGTTGACGCCCATTCAGAGTATTTCTTTGCAGGTCGTCATCGACAGTCTCTTTCGGCCTTTAAATGCCTTCTGCCCATCATCCAACATACCGTGTTCAAGATCGTATGATACCCTGATCAATGAGAATCCGAGAGGCAACATGATTCAGTGGCTTGCTGCATTTCTGTGCCGCGGTCTCCTTCTCTAAATTAATATCTCCAGTCATTCACCCCTGATGGTTCACTGAACCCTTCACGCTGTTCAATTACTCAACACACCTAAGTGGTCTTTTTGTTTGATTGAATACTACTATGCCATAGATTCGTTGTCTATGGTTGCATCGGATCCAAATTTAGTTCGTTGACCCTGTCACTTACGATGTTCCACACCTTCGAGGGTTTTGGGAACCCCGACACCCCGACCAACGAGCGCCAGCAATCTGTAAGCAGGCGCGTCACTACGCTTCGTGCCTGCACATCATGCCGCCAGCGCAAAATCAAGTGTGATGGCGACAAGCCATGCGAAGCGTGTCGATGGTATAAAAAGGCCGACCTTTGCCAGTATTCCGACCCTCGACCATCAAGAAGGTGTGTGCTCCTCCGTTGGTTGAGGTGTTTATGGATAAAGACTGAGTTAATAGACACGTGGAGAAACTGTCAAACAGTCTAGATGAATATCGAAGTGTACTTGAAAGGCTGTTCCCTGACATGCCCCCCGAATCGCTTATCCACTTGCCACGCGAAAACCTCCTGGAGCTAATAGGCAGAAACCTACCGCATCAACATTCGCAGACACACCATACATCATCACCATCCACATCTATATCAGTCGATGTTCACATATCACCCTTTCCTAACGAAGATGGCAACCTGGAGTCACTGCAGACTATGCCAGAGGAATTTACAGGTGATCAACGCCCAAGCAACGGTAATGTCGCCAATGGCGTATCAGACGACGTAAATGCGTTGTCACTATCGACTAGACAGCCCTCTTCGTACTTGGGAGTATCTTCCGTCCATGCAGTGCTCAAGGTAATCGCCTGGATTGCCCCAAACTCACTGTATTTCTTCTCGCGAATACCGGCTGTTGCTGGGAAACAGAATCATATCATGGATTTTCCTTTTCCAGAAAATACGATTTGGCAGAAACAAGGCTATGAAGAGGAACAAGGCAGTCCGCAGGTACATCGGAAAATAACTGATATGCAATCTATCGACGCCTATTTCACTCACATCCAACCATTTGTGCCAATGTTGGACGAGCAGTCCTTTCGACAGAGTTATATGTCTAAATCCAGAAAGGACAGCCGCTGGCTTGCACTGCTAAACACCGTTCTGGCACTAGGAAGCATCGTTGCGGGCACATCAGACGATACATCTCATCGGACCTACTTTCAGCGTGCCAAGAGCTACTTGGGACTCGACTCACTAGGATGCTCCGATCTAGAAACAGTACAAACTTTGGGGCTTATTGGGGGATATTACCTCCACTATATCAGCCAGCCAAACCTTGCGTACTCACTCATGGGTGCGGCATTGCGCATGGCTGCTGCTCTTGGGTTGCACAAGGAGTTCTCAAACAATCGTGACGTTCCAAGTAAACAGAAGATAGCATCAATGGACCTAAAACGAAGAGTGTGGTGGTCCTTGTTTTGCATGGACACATGGGGGAGTATGACATTGGGACGACCGAGCATGGGCCGAGTTGGGCATGCCATCACAGTCCAGCTACCACATTATAGGGATGCAGTAAGTACCATGCCTCCGGATTGGGGTTTTTCATTTTTGTCTGACAGACCTTGCTAGGGAAATATACTCGGGATTCTGCCTCTGATCGAAAACATCCGCTTCTGCAAGATCGCAACACAAATTCAAGAAGTCTTGGCAGTGGCGCCATTAGTGAAACACGTTGAGATCTCCCACTTCGATAACCAGCTTTTGGAGTGGTACGATGATCTCCCGTCCGTTCTCAAAGACCACGAGCCATGCTCTGAGTCTATATTGATGACGAGAACTGTCATGCGGTGGCGCTACTTCAACCTACGCATGCTCCTCTACCGCCCGACACTTCTAAACTATGCCATGCGTCGGGTGCCATATATTGCCTTGAGGGCCGAGGAGCGCATGGCAATCGAAAGGTGTAGAGAAATCGCCGAGGTAGCGATTCAGGATATTTGTGCCACCGCCACACAGAGCCAGATGTCAGGATGGAATGCCGTCTGGTTTATATTCCAGGCCGCAATGGTTCCACTTTTAGGACTGTTCCTCAGTGATGACACCGTTGCAGATCCCAGGGCTACTATTGAAGGGTGCCAGGCGCAGGTTGACATGGCTATGCTTGTCCTGGCACGTATGCAGACCTGGAGCCCGACAGCCAAGCGAACATTAGATGCTGTGGCCAGATTATTTGAAGCGAGCAAGCGAGGTCCAGACATAAGTGAAGAGACCGACAGCACGAGCACTGGTAGCTATACCGCAGCCCACGAAAATTATTTTCATACGATCACCCCTCCAATTGTTCCATCTCAACCAGACGCCGGGAGAATAATGATCGCAGAAGACGGTGGTTTGCCCGACGCTTTGGTGTCTCAGTTCATCGACAACTCTGTGAGTCAGGACCTTTGGGATTATCTCAGCTGGAGCGACCGTAGTATGTGGCCTGCTCTGTCGGATTCTGAAAATACGAATGACTCGATCTTTTTGGGCCACAGTGACAAGGATAAAAATGGGAACAACAACTCGTCCTTTTTGAACAGCATTGCAGATACTGCATATCTTGTAAATATGTCAACATCTTCTTACTGAACTATCAAGCGGCAGTGGACACTGGACATCTTCATTACGCAACCAGGAGGCTTGGGTATCCGCATGGTTTCTCTACATTTTACTGAATTTCCCTATCATGACGATGATTGTTAAGTTTTTACTGGGAGGAAAACTTTATATTCAACGTCATACTTTATATTGCACAACACATTGTGGGATTATATCCAATCAATGAATATACATTGCATCTTCTTTCCTCTCCGAGGCAAGTGGATTCGACGGCTATCTTTATTTTCGGCTCTTCAGCAAATCAAGAAGTCGAGGAATGGTTGTAATCTGTCGAGCTGGTGACAAGAATGATATAAACTAGGCATAAAGGGTAAAGTGTCTGGAGAACCGTTTAGGAGGGCTGTGACTTCCCGGCTTGGCCTTTATTAAATGGAGACAATACTCTTGTAGGATGTCATGTAGCCAGAAATTGAGACTGGAGCTATTCAACCCCAATCTAACAACTGGTTTTGATGGATGTGATGTTCGTAACTCCGCGGTTGATCTCGGGGAGTCATGACCGTAACCCCGAGATGGAGATAGATAAAACCGGCTTGTGCTCGTTGTCTGTTTATCAGATCAGCCATCCTGAGATGTCGGTCTGAAAGACACAAAATTATTAAAAATCATTGCTCACTTCCCTTATCGATCGTTTAATCTCAGTTCGATGGAGAAAAGAAGTATGCAACTCCGAGACTTGGAAGAATCCACTACGATCAGCTCGTGCCCTCTTGACGACCATCATGACGACGACAATGCAAGTGAATGTGGAAAATGATCGTGACTCATCATATATTTCTTTTTCTCTCTTCCCCCTCTATCTTACTCTTCTCTTTCTTCTCTCTGTGTGGCTGTGGGAGTGTCGGCATTGTCTCCGAACGTGTGACCAGGTCGCATAACAGAGCGATCAATGCTCAAGCACATCAAGCATCAAGCAAGGAGCATCACCATCATGCTGATGCCCTTTTCTGGTGTCAGGATCTTCATTGTCGGCTCTGATATCTCAGAGAAACCTCCTCCTGTCTGGCAATTCAGATCCTGACGCGACCACGAGATCTCGTCTAGCAATCTTGCCAACAGGGAGTCGACTGAAAGGCTACGCTGATAGGAACTGTGAATAGGTTAAGTATGACTATCGCCATGGTTTTTTTTTTTTTTTTCTTTCTCTCTATTTTTACCTGATCTGACTGTTGACGCAGCACACCATGGCCCTACTAAACCATCCAGCATCGACGTTCCCCTCGTACCAGACCTTTACCAGCACTTCAAATACTTCCAGTGGCGATATTCATCCAACCCTTTCAAATAAGAATTCAGCGTCCAAGTTATCCGAACAAATAGCCCCTATTACATCGTACCCAACTCAAATAGAAGACGTGGGAACCGTGGGATGGGATGGCGATTTGGATCCGGAAAACCCTCACAACTGGTCGTTGCCAACAAAGCTTACCTGCACGGCACAGGCATGTGCCATGGTCTTCGTGGTAGCTCTCTCTTCAAGCATATTTGGTCCATCTGCCCATGTCACCGCACAGCAATTTGGGGTCGCTGATGATACCATGCATCTTGGGGTTGCACTCTTCGTCGCCGGGTTTGCCGTGGGACCGCTCTTCTTCGCCCCTTTATCTGAGGTAGTTGGACATATGATTCCGCTGTGCGTTGGGCTCGCTGGAGTAGCGATCTTTCAGATCCCTTTTGCGCTCGCAGAAGATGTCAAAACAATGTTGATATCTCGCTTTCTCTGCGGCGTTATTGGCAGCGGCGCCATGGCTGTCGGGTCCGGCATGCTCGCTGAGCTCTGGGGACCGGCCACACGGGCAGTCGCTATCGGACTGTCCGGCATGTTCATGAATATAGGCAGCACTATCGGCCCGATTGCGGGTGTATACATCCTAGAACGATATGGCTGGAGATGGACCGGCTGGGCGACTCTTCTTGTCTGCATCGTGGTCGGATTCAGTGCCATTTTCAACCTACGAGAAACATCCTCAAAGAAAATCCTGATTCAGAAAGCCCGGCGACTACGTAGAGAGACAGGCAATGAATCGATGCATACGAATTCAGAGAAAGCAGGCCTGAGCTTCCAACTGTTAATGAGAAAGCACTTGACACAGCCTCCCCGCATCTTCATGATGGAGCCGATTCTCATCATTCTCACAATCTATCTGATTCTGGTCTACGGGACTCTCTATCTTTCATACCAAATGTTCTCGTTTGCCTTTCTGAAACGGGGCTGGCCACACACCACAGCCAGCCTTCCATTCCTGGCTGTCGCTCTTGGTTTGATCACCGCGTGGATAATCTTTTCAGTCTTCACCATGACCTGGTATCAAAGTCGCTTCAAGCAAAGAGGCACTGTATTACCCGAAGATCGCCTCCCAACAATGATCCTCGGCGCCGTAATCCTCCCCCCTGCCTTGACATGGTTTGGCTGGTCCATGCGAACCAACGCAGCTCCCCAGATCCTGGCCTGCTTCTTTATCGGAATGGCTCTCCAACTCATATTCATGAGTGGTATCGTATACATTGTTGATGTCTATATCGCCTGTTCCAACTCGGCCATCTCCATCCACGTCGTTGTGCGAAGTATTGTCTCCGCCACCTTTCCATTATGGGCTGGGCCCATGTATGAGAATTTGGGGATTGAATGGTCTTCGACGGTATTGGCAGGTTTCTCTGCCATTATGCTGGCATCGCCGATTTTGTTCAGCGTCTATGGTGCTAAGATTCGGAGTTGGAGTAGGTTTTCGATCTAGATATGTCGCCATTCTTATCTTTCATTCTCGCCTTCCTTCTTCTTCGCAATTTAATTTTCTATCAACTATTTGAGTGTTTCCTCAATAAGAAACGAGTTATAAGTCTGATGGAGTTCGGTAGAGTACCTAGACAAGCAATAAGACCTATTGGAGACATATTAGACCAGTTAGAAGAGACGAAACCCTTTAATCCATGTATGCTATTGTGTATCATAACTGCAAGACTCGACTTAAAGCTATTACGCTTTCTTTTACCCCGCTAAGCCCTTACCTTATCGCTATCGCATCCTATCGTTCACCTCAGGCCAGTCTTCATCTCCACCAGACGAACCCCCCTCCTCTCAAGCCCTCAGCACAGCACAAACGACAACATGGAATCAACGTCCAGGGAGCCGGGGATACATCAATAGCTTCCACTCGCAAAGGAATCCCGCCCCAGGTCAGCCAGTAAGCAATGGCCTTATCGCGCAAACGTGCTGTAGCCGTGTGCCAATTTTGCAGGATGCGCAAAATCAAGTGCAACAATGCAAGGCCTACATGTGCATCATGCAGTTCAGCCAATGCCCGCTGTGTATAGGATGATTTGAAAGATATCTTCACGTAAGTTAAGACCAGACTCCATCTCAGATTGAGTATGGGGTTATAGCTGATTTCCGGTAGTCTTGATCGGGCGAGTTTGATGATCATTGATCGTTTGGTTACCATCATGAAGAGGCTTGTCAGGCGCAGACTATGTTGCCTTCCCAGGACAGAGTTGTGCCTCTTGAATCCTCGTTCATGTCAGAGCAACTTCCCACCGAAAGGCGCAATGTCGCGGGGAGCAGCGCTCTATCCGACGAGGAACCAGACCACATATAGATTAGGTCTATCGATACTTGCACTCAATTACCAAATGGAATGTCGCCGGCTTCTGGCGCATTGTACGTGGTTTAGACATTTCGGGAAATAATAGTGCCACTCCGGCTTGCTTCTAAACACCGACAATGCCATCCACAAGCCTGCCTTCCTCCCTCACGATACTCGTCTCCCTATTCCTCGTCTTTCACTTCTTTCTTGGTCCTCAGTGTTTATTTACCGGCCATCCTTAGTCAAATTTACGCGGGCTTCCTTATATATTTCTAATATCGGACCATCTTCGCGTGCCTTCTCTTCGATTTCTATACAAGAGGAAAATCGCAGTCCATGCTACGATTCTAAAAAATATTATCCTGCCCGTATTGGAGAGAGAATCTCCGGGAGATATCATCTCGTTTCCAAGCTTGGATGGGGCGCGAATTCTACAGTCTGGCTGGCAAAAGACGTGAATCGGTCAGTTGGGTCAATTCCCTCGAGAACGTGTAATAACGTCGCTCAGCTGGTTTTGGCAGTCAAACAAATATGTGACACTCAAGATTACAAACTCTGGCAAGGATGGGCAGAGGTCTGCTGAAGAAGAGGTTGAGATATCTAAGCGCATCTCTCAACGGTCGAACAATCATGAAGGCCGAGCATACATTCGGCTGGTAAAAGACTCGTTTACCATCCAAGGACCGCGGGGCGAACACGTTTGTTTAGTGTTTGAACCGTTAAGGGAGCCTCTTTGGCTTCTAGGCAAGCATCTAGGCTGTGTTGACGTTCCCCCTGCCGTACTCAAGGCCTTTTTGAGGCTATTGCTGCAAGGTCTTGATTTCCTTCATTCCGAGTATCATGTAATCCATACGGGTGAGCCTCCATTCTCTTATCAGCGGTAATCCTTTTCTGACAGAAGCGAAAGACCTCAAATCAGATAACTTCCTTGTAGGATTCGAAGACTCTACTGTTCTTGAGAACTATGTCCGGCAGCAGGAAAGTGATCCCGCACCGTACAAGTTCAATGAAAATCACCCTATTCCAGTCACGGCCTGATTTTGGCCAACTGAGGAAAGGGCTAGGAATGGTCCAGATTAGCGACTTCAGTGCTGCTGTCTTTGGTGATGTTGCTACTCCGCATAATCATGATCTACAGCCTCGACAATTCTGTGTACCAGAGGTACTTCTGAAGGCAACATGGTCGTATAGTGCCGATATATGGAACCTGGGTACCGCGGTAAGGACCCATGAAGACGTCATCACCTATACAATACACTAAATATTCGTACAGCTATGGGAGCTTCTTGCAGATGCTACTCTTTTTGATGGGATAGACCCTACGACTAATCAATATTCTCGAGCAGCGCATTTGGCTCAGATGATACGGCTCATTGGCCCACCGCCTCTTCACGTATTAGAGAAATCAGATGAAAAGATGCACTTTGAACTGTTCTCGAGCCAAGGTATGACTTATTTTCGCTATTTCACTCCAAATAGTTATATAGCTATTCTTCTAGGGGAATTCATACACCCACACCTTATCCCGTCAGAGGAGTTCAATCTTTCCAGTCGTACACCGTTTCTACATGGGAAGGATAAACGACTATTTCTTAGCTTTGCCAGGAGAATGCTTCAGTGAGATCCAGAGCGACGGTCAACAGCAAAGGAACTCTACAACGATCCTTGGCTGAGGTTTAATCCCTAATGACAGTTACTGCAGACGATTTATGCTCTATAGATGCGATACCTTCGAGTTGCAAGCGTAGAATTTAGTCATTTGGTCTCAACTCTTCGGGTTTTAATTCCCCTCTCATATGATGGCTACATAGGATTCAGAATTTCACGGTTTTCAATCAATATCAAAAGTAGAACAGACAACAGAACCTGTTCAAAATATAGTGCATCCAACAGACCGCAGCTAAGGTAGACCACGCTAATTAGCCGACGTGACCACACGTGATTTTACACGTGACTTCAGCAATTTCTCACTTGACCAGGACCTGCAGATGTCAAAAATATAAATACCTACACTAGTCCTATAAATACACATCATATTCTTTAACTCTCTAATCACACCCTTAATCTTGACTAGTCACAGACCCACTTTACCAGTTAGGAACTAGCTAGACACTTTATTAATATAGCTAAACTGCAACCAAGATTAGTTATAGATAATAATCTTAAAGATAACCCTAATATAAGAGAATTAACTAATACTACTACTAATTACTAACTAGTTATATAGAGAGAGATTAAAACTCCTCTTACAAGCTATGCTAGGTTAGGTCTAAAGACTATTTAGTTTCTCTATAAAAATAGTTTACTAGAATATCTAGAATCATATTATATAGGAGTTACATATATTCTACTAGCAGGGATATATAATGGGGGATATATAGGTAAAATTATAGACTAGGTAAGTCTAACTTATACTAGTAGCAGACTAGTACCTGACTGGTTATAGATATAATATACTGCATAGAAATAATATAGTCTAAAAGATACCTTTTACCTATATCTTAACTAAAAATATATACAGTGGAAATGGCAATGTAATGGGATTAAGAAATATAAATTTCTTACCCCTATATTAGCTAATCTCTTCTATATAAAGGTTGAAGAAGCTATATAGGTAGAGATTAAAGAGATACAGCAGTAAATTCCTTAAAGTAAAATAGATCAGAAAAAGTAAAGGGCTTAGTCATTAGTACTAATCTACTACTAGTTCTATACTAGTTACTAACTATGAAAGATATTACTATGGTACATATGAAGTATTTAAGTATAGTATAGCCTGCCATGAAGGTGTATAATTAGAGACATGCCAGCCTATAATATAATAGTCCCTAAACTAAGTAAGTAAAAAAAATAAAGAGGTAATAATTAGTTACTAACTAGTTAATAGATAATTCTAGGTATTATTAATTAGTGGGTTAAATGCTTAAATAAAGTAATTAAGCCTTATAAAAAGCACTTTTATAAATTACTTCTCCTAAAATAAGATACTATGGATCTCTATCTTCTTTCTTAGATCTTTTATTAATATACTGTGCCAGTTCCTAAACCTTATAGAATTATTAAGTTAATAAAGATATAATATCAAAAGTGTGGTAAGTATAGAAAATGTTTTATTATAATTAGTTATATACTAGTCACTAATAAGTTAAAGAAAGGGATCACCCTATAGGTAGTAGGAAACTTCAGATCTAGGGCTGTAGAGTAGAATTTAATATTCTAGTTTCTAAGGATCTTAAAGTATATCTATATATCCTTTTTACCTCCTTAGGTACTTATACTCATCCACCCCTACTACTATATAAAACACCACCAGAGATATAGGATGGGATTATAAAGCTTATCTAAAGACTAAATAACCCTAAGCTAGTTTAGAGTAAGTTATATCTTACTATTACTAGTCCCCTACTAGTTACTGACTAGTCACTTACTTAATAGGCTTATTTCTAAAGAGTTTATAAGTTAAGTAGTTCTGTCAGCAGTATAATATAAATATACTCCCTAAACTATATCTAAGCTTTTCTAATCTAGATCAGATTAGGGCTCTTATTTAAAAGTAATAGATGCTATTCTTTATAGAGGGCTAGGATATTAATAGGCTTAAATATAAGCTATACAGGTTACTAGAGATTAGGGTAGGTTTATATCCTATAAGTACTTAACTAGTTAAAGCTAATATTATAAAGGACTATATCTAATATCTCTCTTATAGAGGTAATAGAATAATAATACTATATGCCCACCCAGACCAGCTAAAGGTAATGATAAAGCTAAAATCATTTTAGATTAATATAGGATATAAGAGGGTTTATATAAGTGGTCTAAAAGAGATTATCTTTACAGCCTTTATTAAGGAAAATGATCATAATAAATATAAGGAAAACAGACTAGTTTACTACTAGTTACTAACTAGTTACTAGTGGTTATATTAGCCCAGGCCTTTATAAATAGGGAAGATATAGAAGCTTATTAGGAGATATTTAAATAGCTCTTTAAGGCTGTAGAATAACATTCTAATATACTAAGGGAACAGCCTTATAATAGGTTTATGAAATTTAGTTATATACATAGTACAGGAATCTAAAGTCTAGTAATAGATATAGACCATGCCTAAATAAAAGGTATAATTCTATTTAATAACTAGCTGCCTACTAGTTATAAGTACTAATTAAAAACTACTTATATCTAGGACTTAGTAATGCTCTTGTTAAGCTTTATAAAGATTAGTATAATATATGGTTAGAACATAGGGATATACCTATTTAACAACCACTAAATAATAATGCTCCTTAAAGGTATTAAGAGTATCATATAAGTTAAATATTATGCCTCTGCTATATATATTTTTAAAGAACTATTAATAAGGCAGTTGGATCAGATTATTATTCACCTCTTTAGAAGGAGATAGCAGCCTTATTAGACTGCTAAACTTAAGAGTAATAGGATAACCTAATAGGGTATTTAAAAGGTATATCTACTAGTGTCTAACTAGTCACCTACTAGTCACTAACTAGCTATTTAAGGCCATGATAATATAATAGTTTAGAATTAGGCTCTTCAGAAGGATAAGGGCCTTATAAAGTCAGGCCTTACTAAGGCCTGGTTAAATATAAATCTATTATTTTAGGGTGAATCTAGGCATGAAATAAACCCCACTGAATAAACCCATTAAAAGGGCTATTTATAGGGGAAGTGGCTCTCTCTAATAAGGGCTGTATAATAGTAAGTAACTAATCTATAAAGAATATATTATAAGTGTTTAATTAGCTAACCTAAATAGTGGTTATTAAATAGATATATAGGATGTTAGGTAATATTTTGCTTAGGAGCTATATGGTATTAATCCTACTAGATAAGACTAAAGTAAGAGCTTAAGAGTATAGGACACTGTATAATAAAGTCATGAGTTAAAAATATATTACCTAACTAGTTACCTACTAGTAGGAGCTAATCTAATATTTTAAAGAGCTTAAGTAATCTAGGGAACTATTATCAGCAGGCTTAATACTACACTAATAAAGGATATAGACTCCAGAAACACTACAGCGCTCTAGATCTTAGTTATTAGGCTTAAGGTCTCTATAGGTCTAGAGAAGAGGCTAAAGTATCCTTATAGAAGGCTCTCTAAGGTAAGGTATTTCCACCACTAGTCTATGACTAGTTACTAACTAGTCATAGTCATGGCTATAGTCTTAGATAGTAGGCTGGTAAGAATTCTAGGGCATTAAGAACTGCTAAGATACTTTAGGAGGAAGAGCAAAATCTTTAAATATAATAGGAATATATAAGGTTAGAGTATTTTCAAGCAGAAACAGCTCTTATACTGAATTAATAGTAGAATAGGGATTAAGGTAATTAGATTAAAATATATACTTACTACTAGTAGCCAGCCAGTATATAATTCATCCATAGAATACTTATAAGGAGATTTTTAATAATATTATCCTATAACTAGTTATCTATACTAGTAAATAATACAAATATATAGAGAAGGGGTGACTTTATATAAACTAGGATATATTACTAAGCATTATATATAATATAGAAAAAAAATATAATAGTATACTAATAGGTAAGGAGCCTGTCTATAACCTTAATAGTTAAATATATAGTAGTAAAGAGTTTAAAATAAAAAAGATAAAATATATAAGAAGTACATATATATATATCTATTTATTATAAGTTACTTTCTTTAAAAGTTCCTTTCTAAAAGAAGACTACTATAGTTTATAAGCTCTCTAATATTTAAAATAAATTTACTAACTAGTCTTTAACTAGTTAATAAGTAGCTATTTTATTAGAATTTTATATTATCTTACAGTGTTACCAGGTTAAATAATATTAAATATAAAGGTAAGGATAAAATAGCTTTAAATAAAGAGATAAAGAGTGGTTAGTAATTAAAGCTAGTAAAATTTAAATATTACCCTACTAGGTGCCTACTAGCCATATACTAGCTATGTACTAGCTAGAGTAATAGGGATTCTAGATTAAGCTAAAGGCTAGATACCCTTTCTTAACTAAATACCCTATCTACTAAATCCTATCCTAAGTAGTAATACCTCTAAGGCATTACTATAAGAAGTCTAAATCACTTAAAAAGTTTAAAGACCTTATAGGTAACTAGGTACTTGCCATATACTATACTAGTTAGCTACTAGATATAATATTTCCTTTTTATAACTTACTCTTGCAGTTAGAACTGTAGGTATGATATAGTATAGTATATCTATATGCCTTTCTAAGCTTATGAACTTTCTTATTATTAATCTAAGAGATATTAGTAACTAGTAGGTAACTAGTAGATAACTAGTCATAGTCTTACCTTCTTATTATGCCTATAGGGAACAGTAAGCATTGGTATTAGCTTATAAATATTATTATTCTTAAATTAAGCGGAATCAAGATTAGTTAGGCTAGGATATATTAGTAATTTATAAGTACTAATTAAGTAGAAAACTTACTTCTTATTATCACCTATTAATCCATTATGCGTATTAGGGACATCTTTGTTCAGCACTTTAGTAGAACCAGTTAAGATATCACTGACTAGTTAGAAGATAAACCATACTTAAGATTACCAGCCTGCTGCTCATCATCTTCCTAATGAGTGCTGGCCTCTCTATGCATCTCCTTTAGATCCTCCCCTTATTCTATCTTAATATCTGCCACCTCATTTTCCCTAATAACTTATTAGTGACTAGTCTATAACTAGTTAGATAGAGGATGAACTATACTTTACTATTTTAACCTACTCCTAGCTTTTAGTACTAAGAGCTTCTGCCTCCTCTATAATACCTTGCTCTTTTATAAACTTATTAACTATATTATTAATAAGCTTATCCTTCTGTTGACCCTATTTATTCCTATAAGCTAGTTAGTAACTAGTTAGGTACTAGTAAGGTAGTAATTTATACTGAGAGATCTCTAGCTGGCCCTCATTATCCTTAGGAGGATTAGTAGTAAGCTCCTAGACTTTCTCTACAGTATTCTAAGTAGGCTTATTAAGAGCTAGAGGAGGATTAAGAGTTCTAACTAGTTAGTAACTAGTAGTAGACTAGTAGAGTATCTTACTATTCTTACCTCTAAGGCTAAAAGCTAGTAGTTCCCTTCTTCTACCTCTTCTAACTAGAACTACCCTCTCTAGTATTATCATCACTGCTATTACTGTTAAAGATAGGTTACCTAATAACTAGTTAGTAACTAGTTAAGGACTAATATAGGTTATCTAGAATTATACTAATACTTAGATTCCTCTTCTTTAAGGTCCTTAACTAGCTTAACTAGTGGTGTATCCCCCTTAGCCAGCCTCTTACCCTTAGCTAGTATTTTACCCTTAGATTTACTATGGCCAACCTCCTTCTTCCCTTTAGGCTTTGGATTTAGAGGGCTGTTAAATATATAGTTATAAATAAGTGAACTGTCTAACTAGTATATAACTAGTAGGGGCTTACTAAGTCTCTAAATCTTTCTAGTTATTATCTATCTTAGACTTAATAGTATAATACTTCTTTATAGCCCTAATACTATGGTGAAGATATTACTGCTTATATATAGGACCATAAACTTTTAGACTCTCTGGCAGTGACTTAGAGCTTGACTTTATTAAGTTAATACTAGTCCTAACTAGTTAGTAACTAGTTAGTATCTAGGTATAGACACTTACTCCTTAATCTCCTTATCCTTATCATTAATAAAGCTATTATTATTATTATAGTCATCTTCCTCCCTATTATCTGCCTGGTTAAGTATAAATGGGTTAGACCTATAGCCCTTATAATTTAAGCTAAATGTAGTATATATCTAGTCAGTAACTAGCCATCTACTAGTACCTAGGATAGTATACCCCTTAGACTTCTTAGATACCTTCTTACACCTATTATCTTCTATACTAGTTATAAACTAGTCAGCCTATTATCTAGTATTCTATATTTAATTAACTTACTGGGGTGCCTTCTAATCCTTCTTACTCTTCTTCTTACTAGAACTAGTAGGAAACTAGTTAGTATGTAGTTCTAGAAGTATTCTATTAATACTAACCTTTTTTCTACTCCAGCCACTTAAGTACTATTCTTCTTTATCCTCTTAGCTCTTTTTACTTTAAGATATTTTCTTAACTATTCTTTCCCTTTCTTATAACATATCTTTAAGTCTAGAACCTGTAATTAAGTATCTTTAATACTATAACTAGTTAGCAGCTAGTAGTAGAGCAGTAGAAGGCTTTATACTTAAGATTAGAATCTAACTCTTCTAAGTCTACTTCTACTTCCTCTTCTAAGTTAGAAATGTCAACCTTATTAAGTGCCCTAAAATTATTAGCTTTATTATTAAGACTAGTCACTGACTAGTTACTAACTAGTAATATACTGCTTTTTCATGCTCCTTTTCTTAGTTACCTTCTTCTCTTTAGTTATAGACTTATTACTGCTCTTACTGCTCTCTAGGTCTATAATACCCTTATAGAATCTTATCTAGAACTAGTTAGCTACTGGTTATCTACTATATTATATCCTATACTTAATGCTATATAAAGGTCCTTTCCTATCTAACCCCTACCCTTTATTACCTAAAACTGGATCTCCTTATACTAGCCTTTAATATACTTCTTTAAATTATTTATTAAAGAAAATTCTCTTATCCCTTAATTATAACTATCCCACCTATAGAATACCTCCCCTAGATAAATAATGTAGTACCTATCCTATATTTATATAGATTAGTTCACTACTAGTTAGGAACTAGTATATAATATAATTACTAACCTTCCTCTTCTTATAGTTAGGCAACTTTATGCCCTTCTCCTTAACATACCTAATATATACTTGAAACATGCTCTTTCCCTATAATAATCAGTATACTAGTCCTAGATTAGTTAAATACTACATAAATACTTACCTTACTTTAGATTGACATCCTGGGCGCTCCAATTGGTGTAGGTAGTGGGTATGTATATTATTTTAAAAGAGAGGGACTGACATGACCTAGTCATATCAGCTTTGTGAGCTCTAAGTCACATGATGGCCACGTCAGTATCCCAATTAGGCTAGCGTGGTCATGTTGGCTAATTAGCGTGGTCTACGTGAGCTGTCGTCACTCCATCCAATCTATGTGACACGTGACTTGGGCTAAGTCCCGATAGGGCTTAGTCGATGTCTCACGTGTTAATGCCTGAGGCAGTAACATAGACCCACATCACCGCCAAAAAGACAGCGAACGGCATGGATTGTTGATGTTCGGCTTCATCTCACGAATCCCGATGGATTGAGGGAATTGACATTCATTAAAAACAAAAATAAGAGAAACACTGTCAAACATGTTCTTCTGAACTTGTATTTGGTCTCTCCGATACATCAAATTGCTATTCCCTGGAACTGCAATCTGCGGTCTCCCGAATAGGGATTGACCCTGTTCATTAACTGGGAAGCCATTTATACATCACCCGACCAATTGAGCAAAGAAAGACATGATAAACTCGCCATCATGAAATCCCTATTTGAATCTCCGGCTCTCATATTCAGCGCCTCGGTGGTCCTGCGCGCCATCCTCCTCGTCTACGGCGCCTGGCAGGATGCCCACTCAGCCGTGAAATACACCGACATCGACTACATGGTGTTTACAGATGCATCTCGCTATGTCTCTCGCGGTGTCTCGCCATACGCGCGAGACACGTACCGATACACTCCTCTTCTGGCGTGGATGCTCCTCCCGACAACCTGGAACGGGTTCTTCGCTTTTGGAAAGGTGCTTTTCGCCCTTTCGGATGTCCTCGCTGGGTGGTTGATTGCGAAATCGCTCATGGCAAACTATGGCATGGATTCGTCCCGCGCGCTGAAATACGCCAGTGTGTGGTTGTTGAATCCGATGGTGGCTAATATTAGCACCCGCGGGAGCTCGGAGGGCCTGCTTTGTGTGTTGGTTGTTGCGTTGCTTTGGGCGGTGCTTAATCGGAAGGTCACGATGGCTGGGTTTATCTTGGGAGTTGGTGTGCATTTCAAGATTTATCCGTTCATCTACGGTCCGTCTATTATCTGGTGGTTGGATGCTGAGCGTGATGGGTCGAAGACGAAGACATCCACCAAGGACACCACCAAAAACACTTCTCTCCTATCTCAAATATCCGCCTTCATCACCCCCTCCCGAGTCCAGCTAACCCTCACTGCCCTCGCCACCTTCTCCGCCCTCAATATCTCAATGTACATCCTCTATGGCCTCCCCTTCGTCCACCACACCTACCTCCACCACCTCACCCGCATCGACCACCGCCACAACTTCTCCCCCTACCACACGCTTCTCTACCTCTCTGCCGCAGGAAACGTGCAGACCAGCTTCGAGTCGCTGGCGTTCATCCCCCAGCTGTTGTTGTCGGTGGTGCTGATCCCGTTGGTTCTGGCCAAGAAGAGTCTTCCCGGTGCGATGCTTGCGCAGACTTTTGCGTTTGTGAGTTTTAATAAGGTTTGTACGAGTCAGGTTAGTGTTTTTCCTCTTTCTTCTTGAATCTGGTGGGTGGGAATGAAGGGCTGATTGGTTTGGTTTGTGTAGTATTTCCTGTGGTATCTGGTTTTCCTGCCGTTTTATCTGCCCAATTCGTCGTTAATGAAGAGGCCTCGGCTTGGTATTTCGGCTGCTTTGTTGTGGGTTGTTTCGCAGGTATGTCATCTACATCTCCATGTCTAGAAGGTACAGAGCTAACAATCACAGGCACTCTGGCTCCAACAAGGTTTCAACCTCGAGTTCCTTGGACTGTCGAGCTTTATCCCGGGATTGATGTTTGCTGGATGGTTCTTCTTTGCTGTCAATGTGTGGATTCTGGGGATTATTGTTACTGATGTCGGAGGGGTGTCACGCCCTGCGGATGGGAAAGTCCACGCTGATTAAAGGGGGCTGGGCTGGCTGTAGACTATATAATATTTCCATCTAGACTGTTTGACAGTCAATCATTGAAAGCTTGGTAGATTTCATTATTTTGGTTGATTATCGTGATATGAAGTTCCGACCACCAAGTGATCCCGGTACTGGATCGTTGGTGTTCAGCTCAGCTAATTATAACGACCGATGTCTGGTATTCATACAGTGTAGATGAAACCAAGGCCGTATCCATCGTTCCGAAGAGAAAAGCTTAGGGACATCTCTGCGCAGCCTATAAGCCAGTCCAGCTGAGGTGCGGAAGATGTAAAGCGCAGCGAAACAAAGCAAATGATGGTAAAACAGGTTCCGGACGACCATTGCACCGGCAGATATTTCCCCCGCAGTAAGAAAAAAGAAAAAAAGTCAAGTGGAATAAAGCAATCAAACAAGCAACAAATATCTCTTTTTAACGGTATAGCTGAATGAATGAAAAAAGGCTCAAGGGTATTTTAGTAAATCAGACAAGATATGGCCAGCAGTTAGTATGATATGGTTTTAAAATAGCAGTGATTAATCGATTGGCCAGCAGTGGATAAGTTTAAAAGTTAATCAATCGTGAAAGGGCCGCCATGGGCTACGGCTTTGAGGCATCGGCGATAATCTTGTACATGCATGCATGGATACTCTGTGGCCGGATGCGTGGGTAAACAGCACCAACAACCTGGTCATTGGGCCCATACTGAGGATATATCCCATCGCAGAGTTGAACAAAACTTGCCTGCGGTCGGGTTTCGTGAAGTACATCCAGGATCCATTCGCTCCAGAGGCCAGAGCACTGGTTGTTAATGAGTTGGAAATACGGATTCAGCAGAGGACATGCGGAGTCCAGATCGATAAACCGAATACGCAGGTAATCGAGCAGCGGATGATTCTCAAGGCTCTGTACAGCTCCAACGACTAGTCTCTCGAAGGATCTAATAAACTTCATGTTCGTGATCCCGGAAACATCGTCAACGAAAGGGTAGCCGGAGTCATATCTGGGGTCGCGGCAGCAAGTCTTTACCACTAGGTCTAGAGACTTGAGCTTCGACATTGAGGGTAGACTTTTTTGTGCGGCAAGAAATAGGCAAGAACACACTTTCCCAGTAAATGAGAGTGATTCAAGGCGGGGAGCAACTTCACCCAGCAAATAGCACAAATGTGGTGGTCTTGGGCTGTCGCTGAACAAAGTGGAGTGCCCAGTTTCCTTATTGTAGAAGCCTTCTAAGCTAATGTTCAAATGCAAGATAGACGGCGATAGCCGCATAAGAACCCTGGAAATGGTCTCGTAGCCCTCGATCTTCGGCTTGGCATAGGTGCAGTGCCACTCCCGCAACGACGGCAACGCTTGAGACAAATTGTTCCAGTGTTGGTAGTCTCGCATGATGTTCCAAGCACCACGCATGACGAATGTCTGGATATTGGGCAGGGGGGTAAGGCGCTCCTTGCCCGAGTGACCGGAAGGATCGTTTCTAAAATGTCGAATCATGGGCGGTTTCTTGCAATGGCCACCTTCAAGCGTCAGAATACGAGCCTCGGGAAAGTATTCCTTGACATGTCGGAAAATATCCTCCATGGTTGCGTTGTGACTGGAGTAGTGGTAGTTGTAGTTGTGGATATGGTTCGTGTCGGGATTGTCCCATGCCATCGTAGCCTGAAGGAGAGCAGTCACATCCGCCATTCCAGCATCCTCATTGTTAAAGCGTCGGGCGGGAAGTTGGTGAGATGCATTCTTATTTGCACGGTTGCCCCAAACAGGCACCCATACCTCGATGTGCCGGACATAAGGTGCAAGGTAGGGGTGCGCGTCGAACCAACTCCCACATTCAGCCAGTCCTTCCATAGTGCCTTTCACTTTGACTGTGTTGCGAGGAATGTTAACGGACGAAACAAAAACTCGAGATGAAATGCAGAAAATAACTCACTATGTCTGTAGATACGATCCTGTACCAAAGGTCTCCATACTCGCGCAATAAGAGATAAGTTGGAAAGTGCTTTTCGCCGGGGATGACGTAGGGCTTTAGTCCAACTGCGCGCAGATGATTTCCCTGGCGCTGTAGTGGTGAAAGCAGACGCCCTTTCACCGAACAGATGATCCAGTATAGCCTCGTGAATCTCAATTGGAAGATTCTCAAACCGAAGTTCAGATCGACGTGGGTGTGACTCGGCCGCGTTCAACTGTGTACCTTCCATCTCAGTATCCATGGGAGTCTCGCAGTCCAGCTGAGACGGCATCACAGTAGGAGCATCTGAATCATCGTGAATCTGGATCTCTGCGCTGGTGCTTCGGGTGCCGGTGCCTTTTTGGTATGGGATCGTAGCAGACACCGGAGCTCTCGCCAACGAATTGACGGAGACCGGGCGAGGGGGTGGAATGGTGAGCATGAAGGGCGATGGAGGCGAGGATAACAATTCTGGTGCCATCTAGATGAAGGGGCGATAGAGAAAATATCAAAAGAGAAAATGTAGCAAGGCAAAATCTTAGCGGTCGTGTGCTCGGTCAAATCGTAAAGGTAGGAGAGGGAGAGGGGAAGGTCTGAGATGGTTGAAAGAATCAGTTAGTCAAACGTTCGCAAGAGGCGATAAGAAATGCGATGCGAGACATACGGGATGATGGGCAGAAAGCGATGAGTTGTACGAAACAGACTGGTAGAAAAAGAGGTCAGCAGTCGAAGAAGCGACTGCAAACTCGCGAGTAGATCAGCCACCGTCACGACCAGCCAGCGTGGTCCATGGCGGAGACAATGCTGTGTTGGAGGCGTTTCTGTCGTCAGTCGCGAGAAAGAGGGGTTTATCAGCGATCAGGCAGAGTCGGGCAGCGGGAAAGGATGACGAGAGTTCCGTAGGTCGAAAGTTGTAAGGTTGGATGCAAGGGAGAGGATAAGAAGAGCGAAAAAATAATGGATGGAAAAGATGTAGCGAAAAGAGGAAAGAGGGGGAAAAAAATGGAGAAAGAAGAAATAATCTGGTGGTGAGGGAGAAAGACAGGGGAGACTGTGAGGGGAGGGAATTCCCACTCTGGCTGGCCCCGGATCGCAACACCGCAGAGAATGAAGACAGGACGATTATTCTACCCCAGCAGTCGTTGAGAATGAAAATGGAGATTGTGATGGGACAAGAAAAATCTGGGATAATGAAGGGGAGAAGGAGTCTGGAATTCTCGGGCGTAATAATAAGATTGAAACCGTAGGATTGACTAGTGGAGCGATAGTGTGCTATTTTTGTTTGGTGTTGGAGATCTTTTGGATCGATCAGAAGATAAAACGGAGGAAAAGTACGTATCATCTTGCTAGTTTCTTATTTCTGATATGCAGGTCTACGGTGAGGAGATGCTCTTGCTAGATATTCTTGCTTCTACTGATCCTTTTGCTATTCTGGAAATACCCAAGCAGCCAAACAACCAGGCCTGGACAACGCATCGATGGTGGGTGCGCTGATGGATCGATGATAAGCATTTTGGCTAGTGGGTTCATCACTGGATGACCCGCAGTCCCATCTGGACCAGAACAGACTGAAGACTAAAGAATCGACAGTAGATGCGCACAGAAACATTTTGACTCTCGACAACCTGTATATCCTATACACGATGCCACAGGAACTGTCTTCCGGCCTCTGCGCAATCAGGTCACGTGGAATCGTCATTTCTTTTCTGGCCATGTGATTCCAGTGACCGCGCTAGTCCCGATTGGGCGGGCAACCGTTTGAGTCTTCAGGAACATGAGATAGCATCATCACCATCTCCATTAGGAAAATATCAAATACTTCGTCCATAGTCTATCAAGAACTCGTCATTATGTTCTGTTGGTCAATTATTAAACCCTTCTTTCCTCTACTGGCTTTCAAGGGTTTGTAGATGAGAACTACCCTTGCGTGACCACTCCAGAATACCCAACTATCGCAGAAAACCTACATTTAACAAAATAAATACATTGTAGATGTGAAAATATATTCTTTATGGTTTATTTTAGATGGTTATGGGAAATCTGGTCCAAAACTGATAATTTATCCTTTCTGACGACGCACAGGCATGGCTACGTGCATTTATATATATTAAGTTCATGCGAGGTGGACAACTGCTGCAATGCGGGAAGGATCAATATTCCTCGAACTCCTCGAACTTGGCAACAGAACAGATCTTCAGAGTTGGGACACGGAATATATCCTACTGGTTCACTGGATATGATTATGCTAAGCATTGTGGTTGATCGTCTTGGTGGTCAGTTCCCGTGGTTGTGCCGACAACTAAATTCGTACCAAACTTCTCAAAACTATGTTGAATTATTCTGTTAAAATGTAACTTAAAGGCCTATTATTTATAGATGCTATTATCGAGGTATGAAACAAGCCCCTTGCATGTCCATTTTGCCATTGCAGACACAAGCCTGACATAATACCTTCCAGAATAATAAACATACTATCCCAACAAATCCTAACAAAGATAAAGAATATCTCTTTTTGAACGAAGGCCCTTGAAGGCCCAGAGTAATAGATTATTTTTTTTTTAATTATTTGGAGTGGTCTAGAATTACCTAGTATCTGATGATCAGATAATATAAACCCCAGAAATGGCGAGTCACCGTAGAGTGGAATATATTATGGTATACGCAGAGAAAAAGATAGGGGCAAAGGTGTTGGAATTTCGAGGGAATCAAGAGATTTATAAGTCTGAAAACTATTTATCTGGCGTTAACTTCTCGTAGGGGTATGGCTTGTATGGGGTATGGCATTGCGTCGACAATTATGGCCTGGATGAATGAACAGCAGAACGTCATCAACGCCCAATCCAACACTTAATGATTGAACTTTTCTCCCAGGCCACGTTAGACGCCATTGAAGTGATAGACATGTGCGTGTGACTTCATAATATGGGGACAGACGATGGAATAGTTATATCCGCGGATCTTATCCATTTGAGTTGTTGTTCCGACGTACGGTGTAGCAAAAGTGTCCAGGGTCCTTGCAAATCGGAAAATGAATACCGATGTCGATTTCGAGTGCATTCTCTGGAGAATTCATATTTTCACGAGCAATAGAGATATACGGGAATGGGCTGTATCTTTGATAGAGTTGAATAGACGTTGACGATGGAAATGATGGATGTCAAGAGTCAAGTAGTGTCACTGTCAGCTGACACCCCGGATCAGCTGACCTGCTACCAACACCGCGTGTTAAACCCTCATCCCACACTCTCCCACAATCCGCACACGCAATGCCCGTGTATGTCATTCCCCGATCCCAGAGATTATTGAATATCCGGGGTAAACGGACATTATGCTTCGTTATGCTTACTTTTTGCAGGATGAACGTCTTCAATATTCCTCCACCACCATCCACGGATGCCTCGGCAAAGTTCCGATTATCCCAGTGGGGCTAAGGGCTCACCCCGAAGTTCGTTCGTTTATCCTGCCGAGCGGGGATAAAGGCTGGACTGGGGATGAACAGAAATTTTGCCTTCACCGGAAGAGCCCTTGGGATAGTCGCGATGGGTAAACGCACTAAACCGAGCATTTTCTACGACAGCCACCTTAGCGTGTTTTCTCTGGTGGACAGGTCAAGGCCACTCAGATGGACCAGAGCCATCAGTCAGCTCTTCGAGAAACGCAGAGTGGCGGCTGTCCAGAAGATATAATCAGGGCCACGCGGCTGAACGTTTCCCTGACCAGGATCCTCCCCACCTTTTGATGCGCTCAACAAAGCCTGGGGAAAACACTCCCCCGGCCGGCGTTCCCACTTGATATGGGGATGGTGAGAAATTTCTGCATACCAAATCCATGAATCCTTCCTGCATACGGGGTTGTAGACGTATCGTCGCCTCACTATCCAAACCCCACGATGCCCCCCGGATGGGGTTGACCACGACGTATGTTGTGGAGATAGCTCTGAAGGAGCAAAATCCGCAATCCACCCGTACAAATAGAAGCGTAGATATTACTTAGGGCCCCATCCTGTCTATTTCTACCAGGAAACCTCCCCATTCCAGTCTTCAGTTCTTTCTCCCCCCTTCTCACACCGAAGAAATTTTCTCTCCCGGACAGACTTCATCCTTCTCTTCCTTCCTCCCCCCCTTAGGCTGTCTGTCTAGCAGCAATGGGTATCCTCACTCTTCACGAAGACAGGCCAACCCCTAAATCGGTCTACAATTGGCGAGTCTACGTGCTTGCAACAATTGCATCATGTGGTTCCAACATGATCGGTTACACCAGTGCCTTCATCGGTACGACAATTACGTTGGATTCCTTTGAGAAGGAGTTCGGCCTCGACAAGATGTCCGATGACCACGTGGACTTGATCAGCGAGAACATTGTGTCGCTTTTCATCGCTGGTGCTTTCTTCGGTGCACTTCTTACCTACGGAGTCAGTCATTTCCTGGGACGCAAGTGGAGTTTGGTGCTTGCTTCTGGATTGTTTGCTCTGGGATCCGGTCTGTCTTGTGGTGCCAATGGCTCCCGCGGTCTGGGAATCATGTATGCTGGTCGTGTCCTGACTGGACTTGGTACCGGTGTTGCCTCCAATGTTATTCCAATCTATCTGTCCGAATTGGCACCTCCTGCTATTCGAGGACGACTTGTTGGTCTCTACGAACTTGGCTGGCAAATCGGTGGTATGGTTGGATTCTGGATCAACGTAAGTTTTCCTTTCTCTTGCCTTGTGTTGGTAATTGGGAAGCTGATTTTTTGTTTTTATAGTACGGTGTTGAGCAACACATGGGTCCGACCCACGAGCAATGGATCATCCCATTTGCCATTCAGTTGGTTCCCTCCGGTATGCTTTTCATGGGTGCTCTGTGGATGAAGGAATCCCCCCGTTGGCTCTTCCTCAAGGGACGCCGCACACAAGCGATGAACAACCTTACTTGGATTCGTCAATTGGATGAAGGCGATATCTACATTACTGAAGAGGTGGCAGCCATTGACCAGGCCCTTGAGGAGCAGAGAACCACCGTTGGACTCGGCTTCTGGAAGCCCTTCCAGGCTGTTGCCAAGCAGCCCGCCACTCTCTACCGTCTCTTTCTGGGCTGCATGCTCTTCTTCTGGCAGAACGGATCTGGTATCAACGCTATCAACTACTACAGCCCTACCATCTTCTCTAGCATTGGTGTCGACAATGCCACTGTCAGTTTGACGACTGGTGTCTTCGGTGTCGTCAAGGCTTTCATGACCATTATTTGGCTCTTATTCCTGGTTGACCAGTTCGGACGACGAAAGCTTTTGCTCGTTGGTGCCATCACTGGATCCATCTGTATGTGGATTATCGGAGCGTACATCTGCGCCGTCGAGCCCGAGAAACACCCCAAGGACCATCTGGACAGCGGCGGTATTGCTGCCATCTTCTTCTTCTACCTTTGGACTGCCGTGTACACCCCTACTTGGAACGGTACCCCATGGGTCATCAACTCGGTTAGTCTCCCGCTTCCCCCTCCACTTCCCCTCCGCTTCCCTTCCGCTCCCACCTCCGCTCCCCGCTATCACCTCCCACATCACCCCCTTCACCCGCAACATCACTAACAACACCTCAATAGGAATTTTTCAATCCAAACATTCGTTCTCTCGCGCAGGCTGCGACGACTGCTTCTAATTGGTTATTTAATTTCCTGATTAGTCGCTTTACGAAGCAGATGTTCGCAGCGATGTCCTACGGTGTCTACTTCTTCTTCGCGGCCCTGTCATTCCTCGCGTTCTTCTTTGCCTTCTTCCTCATCCCCGAGACAAGCGGTATCCCTCTGGAAGTCGTCGACCAGCTCTTCGAAGCCAAGCCCATCTGGCGCGCAAACGAGATTCTCAAGGCCCGCCTCAAGGAAGAAGAAGAACAATTCCGCTACGAAGTCAAGGGCGGTGCCTTTGACAAGCACGAAGGCCAGGAGCACGTCGAGAACCAGAACACGAATAGCGACGTATAGACTTATCACTTATTATTATTAGACTCTTGTATATAGAATTTCTCTCTTTTATTTTTGTGTTTGTTTTTTTGGCATTGCCTCGATTGACGGTACGAGTTGCACACGGATACATGCATTTGATGAGATAGTTTGGATCGGTGATCCGGTATCTGGTACGATGAAAGCTTAACTATAGAGAATATGAAATTTTCTTTTTCGGATCCAAACTCTCCCGGTTGAGCCGGGAATGAGTGTCGGATCCGAGTTTAACAAACCTCTATTTCTAATACCTTACAGAAATCTCAACTGAATTGGAAAACCGGCCAAAAGCCGAGATTGAAACTCGGATATACCCCCCCGCAAGGCCGCAACCCAAAATGCTGGCTTACCATTTCCCCATTAGCCCTTTAAGCGCCAGGATCGTACTAGAACAGTAGAAGCCAAGTAGGATGAACGAAGAACTCAATGGAAGATTCCGATCTACATCCTCCAACACCCTGGGGCCGGCCGGATCTCGGTACGAAATGCATACTATATTAGGTTGATTTTTACTTCGCCCGGCAAACCCGTTGTATTCGGAGTTTGGACGGAGTCCTCCGTTTGGGGGCTAAAGAATGGATCATCTCTTATCATCTTACGCTACATATAAGTATGGGGCGGCCATTTGTTGATCCCGTGTTCTTCGCGCGGGGTTCGAGCGAGTCGAGGTGAGGAATTGGCGGCGTCTGGCGAGGCTGGATCGTCTGTTGCCTCTGTGTATTCCTATTCGTTGCCTCCTGGGGGTGAGGAGCCGAAGTTTAAACGAGGTTATAGTTTGGATAGCTAGAGGTTAGTAAAGTTATGTCTATGGATAAAGTTGCGTTGGGGCATTATCACTAGTGAATGTGGTGGGTGTTAACTGTTATCACACTAATATGATGAATTGTCGAACCTGCGAGCAATTATTTGTACAATATCTTTTACATAAACTAGATCCAACCGCTGATATAGCTGTTATCACTATCTTCGGCGGCGGAACCGGAATCGAAGTTCATCGTCATCACTTTCAGAATCACGGACCTCCCGAGCTCTCTTCTGACTTCGCGCCTGAGATACTGGAGCCGGTGTTTGCGATTCAACTGGAGCTGTTGATTGGGGCGGAGAGCTTGAAGCATTCTCCTGACTCACGAATGTTGACCGGACAGAACGACTTGCTGGAGGGGGACTGTTCTCGGGTGATTTGCGAGTGCTGACCCAGTGGTGGTCACCGATACCAAATTCCTTTCTGGTCACCTCTTCCAAGGGAACGATAACTGTCTGGACGCGATGGCGAGGCTGGCTTGAATCACCCTTTGCCCGAAACTTTTTGAAATTCTTCCGTCCGTTCCATCTCTCATCCCACCGGTCACCCTTGTCAGTGGACTGGGCACGAGCCAACCTGGAAGGTACTTCCATCTCTTCCACAATGGCAAGATCCTTCAGCTTCTCAATATCTGTATCTTTCAGCGAATCTTGGAAACTGGCTTCTTCCTGCTTGCGCCGGGCATCATCCTCTGCTTCACGGTGTTGTCGGGCTGCCTGGATCACATCCAGCTTCTGCCGCTTAGGTTTGCGTTCTACTTCCTGTTTTACATGAGATTTTGAATCATCTTGGTCAAGATGGACAGTCTCAGCACGGCGGCGCTTCAATGCTTTAGCACCGGGTAAGAGGCTAGACATCACGTCTTCTTCTTCCTCTTCCATGTTAGGTTGAGCTTGTGACGGCTCTTCCGGGATGACTTCCATATCCATGGGCGGAGGTGAGGGAATATCTGCTTCTGGTTCGTAGGCAGGAATAGACGCGATATCAAAACCGTCGTCAAAGGTTTTCATTTTGCTGACAAAGGGGCGGACTCGGGAGGCTTTCGCTTTAGACTTGGGAGCCTGGCTGGGTTCCTCAGGCGGTTGAGAGGTCAAAGGGGACTGGGATTGACTGTTATCAGGAACCATTGCGGCTTGCGATTGCGGTTCCATGCGGGTATCTGGGCTTGATTCCGGTGAACTAAGGAGCTGCCGGCAAAGAGGTGTGGCGTCGTTCCCTAAGATTGCATCAAGAAATTCCTTTTGCTCAATGACACGCTGGTCAGTCATCTGAGCAACCTGCTTATCTAGGTCGTTTGACCATTTCTCGTAGTCTCCGCTTGCGCGAAATCGAACAAGAACGACACCTCCTGGACCATCTCTTTCTTCACCCAGTCCTTTCTGACCAGCTGCATTTCTCATATACTGCACAATTTCTGCTGGTGTCGTGACACCATTCTCAATCGGGTAAAGTAGAGCCTTTCCATGCCCTTCATTAATTGGCGCCTGAAGATTGTCGTATTGGCTCGGATCGCCAAAAATAAAGGTATACCCGTCGAAAATATTCATGCGACTAGCATTTGGAACAAACGCCTCGGCTGGTCTTTGAACGGGTTCGTTACCCGGGGGTGGGACATGCTCCATCGGATCTGGCCATGCAGAATCAAAGTCTGATTCTAATGGCGATAATGATTCCAATGCTTCCAAATCACTTGGTGTTGCGGCGTAGACGAGTGCATCGATGTACGAGTCCTGAACGATATATTTCCCATTCACGAGCCCCTGTAGGCCTTTGGACGTGTTTCTCTTTTTTGAAACAACGTGCGTGGTTTTACCGACGTACTCGACAATTGTCTTGATATCCAAGTCTTCAACGCGGGAGCGGACGCGGGCTAGAGGATCTTTCGCTTTTAATTCCTTGGAGGAAAGGGAGAAGGTTAGGATGACCGGCTGCCATTTTATGCTGAATTGAATTATGAGTTTCCGGATTTGCAAACCAAGATGAGAATCCATACCGTAGGTCATGTTTGTATCTTCCCAGCTTGATCGTGTGTTCTTCTCCAGCCAACAACTTCTTGCTCCCGCTTTCGATTTGCTCCCCATCAACTTGTGTGCCAACTTTAGAGCCTTGATCGCTTACGAATATCTTAGATTTCGCGTAAGGTCGAGCCTAGCTTCAATCAGCACTGGACTATCACGGCCGACTCGGGATTGGGAACTGTACCTCATCGCCCGGTTTAACTGACGCCACCTCGATCACCATATGTTTGCGGGATATTGAGTTATGCTGAATCGCATGTCGAACTATACACCGTAAGGGTCAGTTATCACCATCACAAAAAAAGTTATTCCAGCCGTTCGCACTTACCTCCATCTTGTTTAATCCGACCGAAGAGGTACTTCTTTCCGGGGCGCAGCCAAACGCGCTTCCCTGGAAAAGTCAGTTAATAGATAAATGCAGCACAAGCTAGGGCAATTACCATCCAGAAAGTCCCCTTCAGAGTCGAGAATCCACATAGCAGCGAGCGTGGCGATGCGCAAGAGTCGCAGCTTGACGGAGAACACAGCGACAGTCGGAGCCACGTGAAACACCCGATGCCCGCAACGCGAACTCACGTGATCAGGCGTTTCAATAGCTGCCTGCTTGGGAAATGACCTTGCTTTCTGCTATCTACCGTCAATGGAAATAAATCATGGAACCCCAGGGCGATGAGCCTGAGGACAGAGAGCAAGAGCAGGCATCTGAGCCTCAAGATGCCGTCGAAAATTCTGATACCCTGAAATATCATTTGTTAGGACCCTCGTTGACGAAGGCGGGTCAAGACGCAGTCGATCAGCAGAAAGTAAGTAGTTCCGGTGATCTAATACATTGCTCTTGGAAGCTGAAAAGTGAAAAAGGTTTCTGAAGTAATCTACAATGCATCGAAAGGATCGAAGTTTTTTAATCATGAACAGAACCGCGATCGAGTTCTGACTGCCAAGATTGAGCGCATCTTAACAGAAAAAGCCCGTTTGGAGAAGTTGGATTTGTCTCAAGATCGAAGGCGAGCTGATGAATTCATTGCGGAGTTGGAGCTTACGAGAGATCTCTCACAAAACGTGGTTCACGTCGACTGTGATGCGTTCTTTGCTGCCGTTGAAGAGCTCGACCGGCCAGAACTGAAGACGGTGCCCATGGCCGTTGGTAAAGGTGTTCTGACCACATGCAATTACGAGGCTAGGAAGTTTGGCTGCCGGAGTGGTATGGCGTCTTTCGTGGCCAAAAAGCTCTGCCCACAATTGGTATGCCTACCCCAGAACTATGACAAATATAGCGCAAAAGCAAAGGAGATTCGTGATGTCTTTGTCCAATATGACCCTCTCTTCGAGAGCGCCAGTATTGACGAAGCATATCTTAACATCACCGCTTACTGCGCTGAAAATCATCTCAATTCTGAAGAAGCGGTTCAAAAAATGCGAGCAGAAGTATTGGAAAAGACAAAAATCTCGGTCTCGGCAGGAATCGCGGCAAACGCAAAAATAGCAAAAATTTGCTCAAATAAGAACAAACCAAATGGCCAGTTTTGTGTTCCAAGCGAAAGGGAAGCGATAATGGAATTCATGAAGGAGCTCCCAGTGCGCAAAGTGAACGGTGTTGGCCGTGTATTTGAACGGGAACTAGATGCCATTGGCATTAAAACATGCGGCGATATCTACCCTCACCGGGCGCTGTTGACCAAGCTCTTCGGGGAAAAGGCATTTCAGTTCCTGGCACAGTGCTATCTCGGCCTGGGTAGGACAAAAATCCAGCCCGTCGAAACATATGAACGCAAAAGCGTTGGCACGGAAGCTACGTTCCATGAAATCGGAGATAAGCAACAACTCAGGGAGAAACTTTGGTGGGCAGCACAGGAACTTGAGAAGGACATGACCCGTACACAGTTCAAGGGTCGGACTTTGGTCCTCAAGGTCAAGCTGCATTCTTTCGAAGTCCTCACTCGTCAAACAGCTCCTTCGAGAGCAGTGTGCCTTGCAAAAGATCTCTACTCGTTTGCTCTTCCGATGCTGGCAAAATTGGAAAAAGAAATCCCAGACCTAAAGCTCCGGCTCCTCGGTCTTCGCTGTACAAATTTGGTGAGCACGAAGAAAGTTGGGCTTGAATTCTTTGGTGTGACTTCGCAGGCGAAGCCAGCGCCTGCAGTAGAATCTGGGGACGCAACTAGCGAACAAGAAATTGAGACCGAAGAGGCCTTTGAACAAGCTGCCCGTCAAGAGATACAGGACGAAATGAATGATCTTGAAGCGCTCAGTCAAGAGATTAATGACTCTGCCGAGCCTGGGGAAGGTGCAAGTACACTCGAGGCAGAACCTACTTTCTGGGAATGTCCAATTTGCGGGAAACCCCAGGCAGCTGATGATCGGGCTTTCAATGATCATGTCGACTTTTGCCTCTCGAAGCAGACCATCAAAGAAGCAGTGCAAGGTACTGCTCAGGAAGAGATGGTCTCACCTATGCCTTCTAAAACCCGAAAGAGGAAGACTGGCTCTGAAACACCAGACCCTCGACAGAAGCGGTTATTCTTCACCTGATGTCTGGGTGAAATGGGTCTCCTGTGGATTTTGATTCTTATTTCATCTTATCTCTGAACGTGAGTGTCGATGGAAGCAAAAGCATTAGAGTTTAGGTTGTTGGCTGGGACATGTCATATGCGCCTCCGTTGCTCCGAGATTTGGACATAAAAAACCGTACAAACCCGTCGATTTGTGATAGAAAATAATACTATATTGTTTCTGGAAGTTTGGAAATATTTTCCTAGAATTTATTCTGCCCTCTTTTTTTTTTTGTTTCTTTTCCGTGTTTTGGTTGGCGATAGTGCATAAATGGTTGGGAGCTGGTGTATCACTACAGCATATGTCCCCTCAACATGATAGAGGACGATTCTCTCGTCTAAATATATGGAAAGAACCTCGGTTAGAGATCAAAATGCCGTGTGGAATCTGAAGAAAATTCCTCGACAGGGGCTTGATCTGCTTAATGTATATCTTAGTGTCGATCCTGAAATTAGCACGAGGAGGTCAGTGACAGGCGCATTGCAGGTGACACCTAACACCCTCATGAATCACGCTGATATGTGCATTCGAATAAGAATAGCCCTCCAGAAGTAATTATAGCAATACCAGCGCCTTCTCAGCTTCACATTCGTCTCCTCAAGACACAAAATCTCCCAGCCGTGCCAGATCATACGGGCAGTTGCGGTGAATAGACGCCGTCGCACACTAGGCCGCTTTGGGCGGGGATGTCTTGCACCCTAGGCGATGAAGTGTTGGCATGAATCTTCGTGGTGATTATTATTCCCCAACGCCCGTCTTTCTCTTCCCCTCCAGTCAGGTTTTCTGTCTGTCTGCCAGCCCATCTCGGCTGCCTATCACAAAGACCCTGTTAGCTGGCTGGTGCCATCATGCTCGCAGGTCGTCGTGGAGTCTCGCAATGCCATAAGCCGCACTCCCTCCCGCCCCTCGAATCCCGCAACTATGACCTCCGATAAACAAAACAATGGCAACATCGCCAAACCCTTCACCCCATCGCTCAGCGCCGCCTTCCACCGAAGCAACAAATCTCCTAAATCTCCTCTGACACCGAAACTCGCTAATCCTGGGGGTTATCGTACTCCCAGGAGATATGTGCAGTCCGAACACCCCTTGTCGAACTCCAAAGATGACTCCCCCGCCGTCGGGCCCAACTATCTCAGTGCCAATGTCACCCCTCGATCGGGCTCTCGAGCAACCAGGCGGGATGGGTCGACATCATCCCCGACTGCTGTCTCTTCGAATCCATCGTTTCCCCCGCATACATCCTACTCGCAGCCTGTTGTAGCGGCCCCTGCATCGAGCGTTGGCGGGTACCGATCAGAACGCAGCCCAGTGCGTGTTGGAGGAAGATTAGAACCAGCAAGATCCGGTAGAGCAAAGACCCTTACAACAGACGCCCAGCATGTCTCAAGACCTAATTCTCCCTTCGAAGTTTCATCAGGGTCACGGATGTTTTTTCACGCCTCCGACGCACGGTCTTCCACCTCCTCCGACCCAGATACTCGACCGAAACCACAGAGCAGACCGACATCGTCGACGACGTTCATCTACGCTAATGGCGAGCAAGAACGCAAATTATCTGCAGAGGAAACGGCCTCTGTTGCGCCGACGGTGAAACGACGCTCCATAGGCCCATCTCGTCCTGTGCCTGCCGTGAAAACTCCTTCCGCGTCGCCTCGGCTACGATCCCCCAAACTCAGTGGCCCAACTACTCGGGTTTCAGATGGTAGCCATTCGCAGGTTGGCTCCCAGATTGGCTCTCAAATAGATGATGCGTCTGAGACTGGCTCGCAACGTCCCGGCTTGCCGTTGAGTCACTTTCCTGACAGGCCTTCGCCAGTTCCAATTGGGCGACATATGAAGTCTGCGAGCCTTGATTCCACAAACGCCAGCAATTCTCCTCGCGAGGGGCTACGTCCTAGTCCTATCTTAATATCGCCCTCAGATCCACAAGTCGATAGCAGTGCTGCGGCTTCGGAACCCCTTCCACCCCTTCCAGCACTTCGACCTCGAATTTTCAGTCATGGCTCGACGGGCTCGGCAGACACAAGTGCGTCCGGGACACAAAGTCCTTCAAAGTCCGAAGCCCCAGCCCAGGCGAACGATCCGCATGCCCATGCTCGCACGGAGCGCAAGATTATGGATCTAGAAATTAGCAATTCGTCACTTCTTGCAATTAACCGCACCTTAGAGCGAGAAATGCGAAAACAGGCTGCGGAATTGCGCAGATTCCGACGAATGAGTCAAGCCGGCCGTTTATCCATGCCCCAGTCTACCCATTCGGTTTCTGGAACGGCCCTGTCTGTTACTAGTGAGATGGATGAGGGAATCAGTGAGCTTTCATCTGCTCATTCCCCGGAAGAATTATCCGATTTCAGTGATGAGGATTCCACGGATGAAGGCGCTGCGAGTCCTGGCTCAAATGCCGACCAAGAAAAACGACACGAAGCTCGGGACGAAAAACGCTTTTTTATTGACCTTGCGAAACACCAAGAAGTCCTGGCCGATAGCCAGCAGATAAACCAAAGTCTCAAACGGTGCCTTGGGTGGACAGAGGACCTAATAAAGGAAGGAAAAAAGGCGCTTGAGTACAGTGTCCACGTCAATGACATTGAACTGGGTGGAAGGGTTCTTGCACCCGAAGAACTTGCTGAAGTTGGTGAAAGCGCTCGGGGACTGCTGAGCTCAACTGGCGATTTCACGAACGAAGATTCCACCCTTGAGTCGAACCCCGATACAACCCCGGAGACATCTTGATTATTTCTCTCTTTTTACCTCATTATTTTACTGCAGCGTTTTGACGGGCAGGCCCAGTCTTTCTTTCATATTCCCCTCTTGTGATATACCACTGTTTCATTTTCCTATTCCTTCGTCGTCTTATTCCTTCAGACATCCTCGGTGCATTTATTGACGCACTGAGAAATTTATACGCGATGTTCTACACGGCCCTATCTAATGCTGGCGTTCATCTGATCTAGGCGGTTGGGGATTGGCTACTTCAATATCTCTGCATTTTCCTTCTTTTGACACCTCATTCAGCGTCTTTTCTGATCATTATATAAGAGGATAGATACGCAGTTGATTCCCTGACGCGGAATCTGCCTGCAACATCAGATGCTATCTCTGGTACCTTTAGATACCCTATGCGCGATAATCTTGTTTGCATATTTGTTTTCTCATTGGATGTGTACTTGATGAATTTCCTTATGTCTTGTGTTATAGGTTCTGTTTAGCGAAGTGAATGGAGATATCACTCTTCAACGTCATCATCAAAGATTAGGCATTTGTAGTGGCAACCTCTGATGTCTACAATTTCACTACGTCACCTAGCCATACATACCCTCGGCCTGGAGGTGTTGAATAAGAATATAGTAAAGAGACCGAAGAGGACTTTGAATGGGAGACATGTTTCATTTCAATGAAGTTAATACAGAAAATAGGTCAACAGGTTGTAGATCTTGATTTTTTTTTTAAAAAAAGGGGCACACACACACACACACATGGGGATGGAGATGGAGATGGAGATAGAAAAACTAGATGAACAAGATGATCTGGTATCACAAAAAAGGATCAAAATACATGAATATAACCAGAAAAAAGTGTCTTCTCGATCAAGCAGAAGAAGACTTGGCCATATGAGCCAGGCAAATGGTACAAGACTCGAACAACTCAAAAGGTTGGAACGAGTCAATCGAGATTTCTGGAAGCTGGGGAGGGATCTGGATACCCTGATATCCCGCTTCGGTAAATTCATCGTAAATGTCACGAATGGCAGCTCGCCAGTGGTGTTCAGGGATGGCGCGAACAGCCGTAATCTCGACCGTGGGAATGCGTTCTTTGATGCCGTCGATGTAAATGTCTCGTTTGTTGGAGGGGAAGTAGATCTTCTTGACGGGGATGTTGTGCTTGGAGAGCGTCTTCCGAGCTGATCTGTAGAGTATACTGTCGATTTTGAGCTTCCTGGATCGAGGCAAGGAAGACGATGGTTTGGCGACTTTGGAGCCCTTGACGAGCCTGAGTTGAATCGTAACCGTGTTGAGTGGTTTCCCTGGTTTCGGTGGCTCTGGGTTAGAGCGAATGGCGGCGAAGAAGGCCGCGATGCGGGCTTTTTCGTTGTTAAAGCTTGAAGAGGGAATAGATCTCGAGCGAGGTCGAGTTTTGACGATGGTCTTGGAATTTTTGGAGACAGGCATGTCGATGAGGGAGTTAGCGAGCGCAGCCATGTTTGTTGATGGCGAGTTGAAAATGAATATAGTAGGGTTGGTTGATATATTGAAGGTTGAAAGATGAGTTGATGTAGCGTAGCTTGTTGGTCGAGAAGGCAAATGATATGTAGCAGACAGTATGAGGGATCTGGATAGAGACTCGAGAGTGGTGAAGGAGAAGGAGAAGGAGAATGAGAATGAGAATTTTGGAGCTGAGAAGCGATTAAATGCAGGGGACAGCTTGTTTAAAGTAGGCTTCTACATCGCGACCTGGATTATCTTGGATGATTCCATGGTTAGATATAGAAATGAGCAACAAATGAACTAATTGTCAAAACAAGAGCTGTGTGCCTAAATGAATTGATTTGAACTCTAACAAGAGTGTAAAAACAAATAGTTGCCTGTAAATATCTGTGTTGATATAGTATCAAAAACAAAACCGAAGATGTAATAGAAGCCGTAGAATTTCCAAGGGAAGGTGGTATGATAAACTCGTTGAGATGGTCCTAATCAACAATATACGGAATACCCGTCAACTTAAAGGCACGCTCACTAAGGACCGGCTCATTGACTGGACGAAGCCGATTATAGGGACAATCCTGTTCGTCACGCTTAGCAATATTGGAGCCAGTATGCTTCGCATTAGGCCAGTGGGTGGTGCCCACACGGCGCTCGAACGCATCTTTCTTTCTCAGCAAATCGTCTTGCGTCGCATCTGCAACCGGCATGTAGCAAGTGTAAATGGCGAAGCGCGGCTGCTGGGTTTTAGAGCTGAGATTGTAGTGCGGAGTTCTGGAATCCCAGAGTAGTAGGTCGCCAGGTTCAGCGCAAACCTTCTCCCAAAAACCTCCATGATCCGCTAGCCACTTCATTCCACGTTCAGTGAAGCCATACCACTCAGGAGTCCAGGCGGGAATCCTCTCTTCATCTGCCATATCGCGGTGGAAATCCTCGGATAGGAGGTGGCCGCCACGGCAGACAATGAGGCCGCCATCATCAGGGCCATTGGGGAGAAGGTTGACCAAGCCTTGGAGACAACGGAAGCCAGGTTTGGCTGGATCCTGGTCTTGGTGCGGCCATGGCTTGTTAGGAGGCAAGTCCGTGCGGCTGTTTTCTCATTAGCCTGAACAGGTCCATGTCGACTTGCCGTGTAAAATCCTTACTTGGGAAATCCGAAATTGATTGCATCGAAAGACACAATCAGATCATTATCGTTGTAGACCTTCTCGAAGGCACTGACAACACCCGGCTCACTTCGAATCTCCCAGACGAAGTTTTCGTGAGTGACACCGTAGTGCAGACACATTCCCTTCTCATTGATGATAGGAAGCCTGTCTTTGTGAACGGTTGACAGGTCATTCCTATCATAACCAAGGTCACTGTATGTCTGTATTAGTTCATGTCATCGAATAAAACAAAGAGTGGCATATGAGTTGACTTACAAGCCCTCCAGCCAGGAATGCATGTCACCGGCGTACTTAAGAGCCCTTTCACGAGGGATAGCTCCCTTCACAACGGCAAAGCCATCACGGGCCAGGTCATCGCGGAAATCGCCAAATGTATTGTCAGTGCCGTCCAGGCGCAACCGGCCAACGTCAAGGGGGTTAGCTTTGCTTTCGCGTTGAACTTGAACGGTCTCGGTGATGGTCGTAGTGGCAGACATGATGATAAGTTGGTATGAATGAAGCTGTTCGCAATCTAAGTTTTAAACTGCTGTTGAGATAGGATAGTAAGTCTGATATGTGTTTATATGCGTACTATGCCCACATAATAGCCCTGCTCGAGTAACAGTACTAAATCAATATATTGCCCACAAGAATTGTACACAATGGAAACAAAATATTTACCCAACTGTCACACTACCAAATTTGCATGGAGTATTCGCCAGTGGAAATGGAGCAGAGGAGCTGTCGGAAAGTGGAGGTGGAGGCGTTGGTTTAAGGTGAGTAGTCCCGTGTGGGGGAGCCTGTGGGCATATGTAGTTATTGGAATGGCTATTAGCACAAGAAAAGTCATATGAACACAAAACCATCTTTTATCATAATACTTAGGATATCCTATTGTCGAGGACCATCCATACAATGATAGAAACCAAGCCCTTTCGAATTATCATTGTTGGTGGTGGCATCGCTGGTTTGAGCGCTGCCATTGCGCTGCGAGGACCAAACAGACAGATAACAGTGCTCGAGCAGTCACGTCTTAATAAAGAAATCGGGGCGCTCATATCCTTGCAGCCAAATGCTTCAAAGATTGTGGAACGGAAATGGGATCTAACCAAAGAGCTGCAGGGTGCTCGAGGAATGATCGACGAGGGGTTTCGGGTGTATTCAACTGATGGAAAGCTGGTAAACACAGTTCCATTGTTGACCAAGACAGCATACGGCGCAAATCGAGTTCTATATCATCGCAGAGACCTGCATGAAGCATTGAAACATGGTGCAACCTCTTCCGAGTGCGATGGTGATCCTGTTACTATCCGAGTTGCATCTCGTGTTGTGGGTTGTGATCCTCTCCAGGGAACTATCATACTCGAGAGTGGCGAATATATACACGCTGATTTGATTGTTGGAGCAGATGGGATGTAAGTTAAACTTCGGTATCCACGGAATGCCAAGCAACTGTCAGAGCGGATTCTGATCAACGACAGATGATGCTGACATTGACTTGACAGACACAGCACCATTCGAGAGCATGTTCTAGATGCTGAGCCTGTCGCAATGCCAACAGGACATTCAGGTAAGTTGTCCAACAGTAACACCCGCGATTTGACTGATAGACTTCATGTAGCGTACCGTCTCATGGTAAGTGACGCAAGATTTATCGACTCTGGTCAAAGGATGACGTTTTAGATACCCACGCAAATTTTGCAAGAGAAAGAGAAGGATTTCTGTAGCAAGATTGATCCTCGCCTTCCATATACCTCGATGATGCTTGCGCATGAGTGCCGTTTGATAATGGGACCGGGCCGACAGGGTGATGTATTTGGCATCGTTGCATTGGTGCCAGATGGTATGTCTTCAATTGACTCAATTCATATAAATCTAGGTTCGTGACGTACTGAAATAATTCTAGATAAATTGAATGAGGATCCACATGCAAAGCAGTCATGGGTTTCCGAGGGTAATCTGGAAAAGATGTTGGATACGTTTTCCGATTTTCCAAGCTGGGTAACGAGCATCTTCAAGTAAGATGAACTGCAGGCTTCTGAGTTTCTTGAGTGGTAATTTCTAAGCATTTCATATCGAAATAGACATTCACCAGATCTCGGGCTGTGGCAACTGCGCGATTTGGTAGGCTTTGGGCCTTATTTTGTCGTTAAACTGTGCTGATATACATCAGGACCCTTTGAAGTCGTGGTATAGGGGACGAGCTATTTTGATAGGAGATGCCGCTCATGCCATGCTACCGACGCAAGGCCAAGGTGCTAGTCAAGCCATCGAAGATTCCGAGGCTTTAGGGGCCTTGTTTGAGGGAGTAGTCGAGCCACCATCATTTGAGAAGCTCACAAGCATCCTTGAAGTATTTCAACCGAAGCAAAAATAGACAGAGTGTCTGTAAAATTGCTAACGGGTATAGGATATCTTCCAATGCCGGTATTCGCGCGTCAGTCTCATTCAAGCCTACAGTCGACAAGCAGCCAAGCCAGCAACAGCCAAAGGCGAGAAAACGGTCACTATGTACGTGATCTGTGAGATAAATTATAGCCTGATACTAATAAGCATTATTCAGGAAACCCGATGAGTTCATGGACTTCAACTGCATGTATAACGGTGCCGAAGAATGGAGACGGAATCAGCAACTCCAGCAGACTGGTTGACGATAGAGCACTTTATATTAGCAGATTGCACCTGGATTTTATCTGGTAGCCAGCAATCAATTAGCACAATTGAGATATTTGAATTCAATACATGGGTAGATAGAGATTTTGCCGTCAAAATCCCCGAAGTGCTCGCTGACGTCGCAGTGGAGCCGATAGCTGCTTGATTCCGTGATGCCATCGCGCAGAAAGCCAAGGATGTGCATACTAGTAGCTAGTTTCAGTCCATTTCCAGGCAGCCACACGAAGCCAGGGTTATAGTCATTCATGTCAGTGATCATTGGATGATGGCAATCGTTCGGGAGTCGATGTGGAGGAGAAGACGAAGATGTGCACCTTGGGGCTGCCGGGAGGGGAAAACCCCCCGGGGCCGCAGATCACGCGTCGTTCCCCGCGTTTCTTCTCTTGGGGTTGTCAACACTGGGACATCAGGTCAACCATGGCTTTCAAAGATCAGAAGCTGGCCTCTTCGCAATCCATATTCCTCATGCCACCGTATCTTCATATGCCTGGCAAAAGGATATCGTCCTAATAATGTCTCCATGTCTGACCAAAAGTCTCGACGCTCTCCACGAGTCAAGCCCTCCGGCTCACATCGTTGTCCGCAGTGTGACAAGGTTTATGAGCGTCCTGATCATCTGGCTCGACACTTAGATTCTCGTATGGCTGGTCCTAAGACAGTCTACTGATGCGAGTGCTGATATAAGAGTTGACGACGGCAGATCGCAACGAGCGTACGTTTCAATGCCCCGTTTGTTGGAGGGGGTTCAATCGTCGGCCAGTCATCCATGGAGCCTAATTATCAGAGCCAGGGCTGACTTGGATCTATAGTGATGTCTTGCAAAGACATCAGGTCGTCCATGAAAAGAATACGGCCGAAGGAAAGACATTGAAACGCCAGAAGGAACGAGCCATTCAAGCATGTGAGCCTTGTGCAACCGCAAAGCTCAGCTGTGATAATGAGAGACCATGCAACGTAAGTAGATGATCACGCATCCTATATCTGTCTATCACTGGTATGAATTCTATGGATGCGATTTCTATGCTTCAAATGCTGACCAGTAGTTAGCGGTGCAAGAGCAAAGGAACTGAGTGCATTGCTAAGCGCCCAAGACCTTCCATGCGAAACAAAGACCGTGCTGTCTACACACCCGTATCGCCTCAGAGTTGGTATCAAGATGAGAGCATTTATGTATGCTCAGGGTCAATTGCGACTCCAATATCCCGTTCAGATGAAATCAGTATGCCACAAGAAACAGCAGGAGCTCATGGCATCTACACCCCAATTCCTCCAACAAAATCTACAACGCAGCTAGATCAGCTTTTGCCAAACCACTACCCAAATCAAACCGATCTTGCTGGGTATCAAAATATGAACAGCTTTCCTGCATTCTTCGAACAAATCATGCTTCCAGATCTACCCGGAGTGAACGAAACCCAGGACCCTCAGCAACCTCGAGATGTATTTGATTTCATGCAGGACGCGGATTTTACATTTTCAGACATTGATTTGTTTGGAAATAATTTTATTCCTGATCTTGATATGATTCTTGACCCGCAGGTCCATATACAGGATGATGGAAGCGGTCCGGATCTGATAGTGGATTCGGTAGGATCTGCAAGGTTGCGTGTCGAAGCATTTCAAAGATCTCTATGGTATGTGCATAGTATTTGATATTCGATCATGTTTCATTACGGCAACACTAGTATAGACTAACAAATACATAGGCTTTGGATTCCTGAAAAGAACCAGAATGCATTTAGTGAAGAAGGTCGAATACCGCTGAGGGATACAGACATGACTACTGCCATTTCATCCTCACACCGAACCCCTCTAGATAATCTGAAAATCCAAGGCAAACTTACCAATCGAGCGAGAGACGATATGTTCCAGCTAGTGGTACGAACTGCTGGATCGCGACTTCTCGTGTCCGCTTTTCCTGCTGCAGAACATCTAGATACATTGATCAAGATTGGGATTGCAAAGAAGACAGAAACGGATTCCTGGATTCACCCATATACCTTATACAATCAAGACTTAAGGCCAGAGCTTTTGACTGCCATGGTCGCTGCTGGGTGCGTATGTTGTCGGACGCCGTCCATCAATAAGACCGGTATAATTCTCCAGGAAATTGTCCGAGTCAGCTTGGCACAACTGGTATGACTCTAAAGCACAAACCGCTATTGATTGTAGCGAGTCCTGGCTAACTAGCTCGCCCTTTCCTACCTTCAGGTGGAATACGATAATAGCGTGCTGCGGGATCTCCAATACCTCCAGGCGTCAATGATGTGGCTTGATATTGGCGTTTTCTGCGGCTACAAGCGGAAAATGCAAATCGCCGAGAGCTATCTACAACCGCTTTGTACAGTGAGTCTACTTGAATGATCTTTAGATGGCTTGCTTATTGATGGACAGGCCCTCCGGCGTGCTGGCACGTTTGACTGCTCAGCATATTCTGCAATCACGCCTTTTTCTTGTCTCGATAATGAAGAATCGCTAGAAGATATCTGGCATACATGGGTCAAGCAGGAGTCCCTAAAGCGGTTAGTACAAGAGACACATTTTCATGATACCATACTAATAGGATTTGACTAGTTTGGTTTACCACTTGTTCGAGCATGATATCCAGGTGGCCACGGCAATGAACCGACCGGCAATTACCTGCTATGCAGAACTAACCCTTCCATTTCCGGCTCATCGAGATCTTTGGCTAGCACCCACAGCCACAGCTTGGAAGAATGTCTATATTGAAATGTATGGCCGTCACATAAGAACATCTGAGTTGAGTTTGCGGGATGTTCTTGCAGATCCGAGTCTCCTCAACCATCCTCCTTCTGATTTTGATGCGGGAATTGCCACATTAGCCCTTTTACATGGCCTAGCAAGCCAGGTATGGGAATTCCGACAACAAGTTTTGCTGTCGCGTTGTTGTCTCTCTGGATCTCGTGCTATGAATCGCTTGTGGCTGCAGAGCCGACAAGATGATATGTAAGTAATCTCCTATTTTTGAGGGCATCTTCACGAAGCGGAAATACTAATTATTTTAGATACTCCATTCTCCAGGGCTTTCAAGGCGATTTATTCAGCGCATCAGCGGTTGCCACACTGCTGAAGGAGTTCACCATGATGTATTTACACATTGATGTAGACGCTATACAACGATTCGCCGGTAAGCTTGGGGAGCTGGATGCGAAACGAGCATATCCTGGGCTACGTGATTGGAGCCAAACGAAGGAAGCCCGCATAGCTATCTGGCATGCCGGTCAGGTCTTTCGCACTGCACGACTTGTGCCCCCTTATCAATTGCGCGGATTTGATTGTCTAGCAATCTATCATGCAGCGTTGACTCTGTGGGTTTACGGGCTCTTGCAATGCGGCGAAAATAGACATGTGGAAGTGAATACTCCTGTTACTGTTGTTGATGGTGCAATCTTTGTTTGCATTGATGGTCCTGAGTGCCAACTCACGAAGGCTTTTGTCGCCCGCAACATTGGCCAACCAGGGTTGACATTCGATACTATTCCTGGAGGTCATGACTCCGCCAGCCATCAAGGCTTTTGTGAGCTTTCTAAGCCTCGATCGATCATGGTAATTGCCCGCCAGATATTTGAGAGCAATTATCCTGGCGCGTCGCCGGCTAATAACTTGCCACCACTCGTCAGTAACCTGCGCGATTTGATGCAAGACTTAGGGGATTTGCCATAGTATAATTCAGATATGTTACACCATTCATCTCTTGGGTCAAGTTGGCTAGATGCCACTTCAATATCCTTCTCCCCAGAGGATTACAGAATACTCGGTACATTACCATAATACTTTTCAATACTTTGGAGGGCAAATATAGCCAATACATTACCAGAATATGTCCAATTAAAGAACACATCCTATCAGAGTTTACACTATGAATGGTGACAGGGATTATTTTAGGCCCATGTGGACTACCCGGGAAAAGCTCACCTGATATGATCCTTGATATTTCTCCTCTGGGGTCGGCTTGTGGGGGATTTTCTTTCCCCACAGCCAGTGTTGACGAATCCACCAAGTGGGCGAGAGGTTGCGAGGCATGTTTAATTTCGAGTCTCGAGGTGTCCAAAATACTTGTCTGTGATTTCCCCGCTTTTGAGTATACGGGGCAATTATGGTCACTGCGTCTTGATATAGCCCAAATCCCCAACACCGGAATGCCGAGTTGGTGGTGTACTGGATCCATCCACCATGTCCGCCATCATGGAGCAGAAGGCCAGCGTTGAACTGAAGGAAAATCTCAAGGCACAAGTATCTTCGTCCGATGATGTGCTGGTTGGTGCTGGTGGTCAAATCCAGCGACTTCCTGTTCCCAGCAACGATCCTAATGACCCGTTGAACTTCACGTGCTGGGAGAAAATGGGCATTATTGTCAGCTGCTGCTGGTTCTGTCAGGACTCCATCTTACCTCAATTTACCGTGGAATACTGACAGAAATGCAGCCGTCATGTCTCTATCGGTGGTTGGGGGATTGGGTGCCATTCTCGAGATATTCGTCAAAATGTATACGCCACAGGGACATTCTACAAATGAAGTTGTCTGGCTGTCGACCTTTCCATCCTTGTTTGTTGGCATAGGTAAGTATAATGCTTCAAAAATGATTTACAATATTCTAATCCGATAAAGGGAACTACCTGATTCTACCTCTAGGTCTTGTTTATGGACGTCGCTTGGGAACCATAATCTCCATCTTTGTGCTTTTGGGGGCAACTGTAGGATGTGCCCTATCTCAGACCTGGGAACAGCATTTCGCATTGCGCATCATTCAAGGCCTTGCCTCTGGTGCAACTGAATCGGTTTGCTTCTCCTTCTTTCTTCATTAACATTTACTAATTTATGCACATTTTCAGCTCCTTCCTCTGATGCTAGCCGAGGTAACGTTTGTTCACCAACGGGGCATGGTTTACGGCCTCTACTGGGCAACGCAGAATACAGTAACAAGTTGCCTCAACCTGGCTAGTTCATACGAAGCCGCAGCATTGGGATGGCGCTGGTTTTACTGGGTCTATGTGATTGCCGTCGGAGCTGGATTTATCATTGTCATTTTTTTCTGCTTTGAGACCAGCTATTATCGCGGGGCTCAAATAACCAATGGTCATGTTATAGTTACTGACCAGTTCGGGGTGACCCAGGTACTCTCCGGGGAAGAAGCGCAGGCGTATCTTGGTTCAGAGGGTGAGCATGATCAAGATACTATTCCAGAGGAGTTGCGGCCGAAAAGGACATATGCACAAATGCTCAAACCATGGTCGTGCCCAACCCAGAGCCCCATTAAGACCGTTCTAATGGCTTGGTTTCACATGTTTGAAGCATTCAGTTCCCCTGGTATCTTATATGCCACTCTACTCTCTTCCGTCGTGCTCGGGTCCTCCGTTGGCTTATCCCTCACATACAACACAGTCCTAGAATATAACTACGGCTGGGAAGCACGCAACATCGGCCTCATCAACCTAGGAGGCGTCTTCGGCGGCTTCGGGGGCATGTTATACGCAGGCGTATTTGGCGACTGGTTCGTCCTGCGCATGGCCAAACGAGCCAACGGAATCCACACACCCGAGCATCGTCTCCTCCTCCTCATCCTGCCCGGAATCCTCACCGTAGCTTCGCTCCTCGTATACGGCTTCACAGCAAACGGCAACGCAACCTGGGGCGGTCCATATATGGGCTGGACATTGTTGCAAATCGCCTTCGTGTCGGTGCTTATCCTGTCTACATCTTTCGCGGCGGAGGCGTGGGAGAGGAATCCTGGCCCGGCGCTGGTGGCTGTCGTTGGCACGAAAAATATTATCGCTTTTGCGTTGAGTTATGGGATTAATCCCATGGTGGAGAAGTATAGTTATCCGACTGCGATGGGGGTTCTGGCTGCTGTTACCGGGGGGGTGTTTTTGCTTGGGATTCCGGTTTACTTGTTGAATCCTGTGGTATGTGCTCTTTTCTTTTCGAGGTTCGTTTAAGACTTGCTGATGAGTTGTAGTGGCGACGGTATATTAGAAGACGGGAGTTGAAGGTTACATGAAACTATCTATTGATGTTTTCATAGCTTTTACAAACTTTCATCATATCATGTATCACTTCGTAAGTCTTGAGTAAACATTGATTATTTATCAATACTCGCGACTACGTAGTCTGAAAGTATGTACAGATTGTCAAAGACAATATCATAACATCATCTAACCAATCTCAGCTGGTTATTAGCAACACTCTGTACTCGGCTAAGTATCCTCACAACCAAGTCACCTATTCCTCTGGATACCCATCCCCAACCTGCCCGGTGGAGTTATAGTCCCCATAACACGCATACTGGTACTCAGCCTCCTTCTTCATATCCGGCACGCCCTTGAGGAAGTCCGAAACAGCACAAAAACCATTCTTCGCACCGTCGCACCCGGGCACACCCTTAAGCGGGACGGGAGCATTATTGAGCACAAATCGGATATAATCCTTAGTATCCTTTTTCGAAGACAGGTCGGGGTTTTTATATAGTGTAGCGCCGAGATTGTCGAACGATGTATCGCTCGGACATGTCCAGACCTCAGAGATGAACCGGGCCCCAAAGGGTGTTATCTCGTTTAACTTGAAGGTGCGAGGGGGCGACTTTGTCAAGTCCCCTGGTAGACCCTGGGATCCGTAGTTGAAGTATTCCATGCCCAGGGCGGCAATGACAGAGACAATGTTATCGTCATGCGACATGTCCATGTACAGCGGTTGGTGGAGGGGGAATTGAGCGGTGTTGTCATCGTATGTGTAGTTGATGCTGGTATCGCTGGAATAGATCAACTTGGCTTCCAGCCTAGCAGCGAGTTCGAGGACATATCCGATCCCCTGGGCGCGGCCGCTCGGGGACCCGAACCCGTAGTCGCCGTAGAAGATGACGTCGGTGATGTATTCGAAGTCACGCCATTCCTGTTCTGTGAAGAGAGAGCAGAAGGCGGAGCTGCCCAGTGTTGCGTATTCGTATGGGCAGAGGGTGATCATGCCGAGGACGTCAGAGGAAGTGAGGTTGAAATCCGATGGGAGGAGCTTGGAGAGTCGTTTCAGGGCAGGTGAGAGTGCTTTGGTTGCGAATACTTCGGCGGAATCATCTCTGGTAGCAGTTAGTAAGAGCTAGAAGGGAGGTTATTTGGTCTCTGACGTACCCGTCAGTGTGAGCGCCAGGACAGGCACTGCCAGGCGCGAGGGTGTTGTTGAATGGGTTAACTTCGGGGATGATGACGAGATCATATTGATCGTAGGAGCTGTTAGCACCGGTATTGCCAAAGAAACCACCTGGAAAATGGTTAGAATCAAGATAAATTAATCAAGTGCCATAACATACTCAACCACCAGCGAGCACTCTCCAAGATTCTGGCCTGCGAAGTCGTCCTAAACACCGGCTTTGAACGTGCAGTCCCATTCGGGTACACATTCATCGACTCATTCCATGATGCCTCACCCGGACTGGCGCGATACACTGTCCGTCCATATTTGGCCCATGTATCAGCGCCCGATGTCGCCTCAGTCGCAGCACCGGTGGTGAGCAACAACTCCTCGCCAAGGAAATATTCCCAGTCATTCAAAAACGCCAACGGCCCCTTGCCCACTGCCTCATTGGGGTGGGATCTGGTGTAATTTACAAACTTGTCATGGAATGATTCCATTGGGACCCCATCCAGCGGCGCACCGGTTGGATAGCGCTGGGCGTGTCGGTGCAAGACATGCACCTGCGACAGCTCACAGCCCCCGGGGACACCCTTGGGGACATTGAAGCTGCCAGCCTCCTTGTAGGGACTCAGATTACCCCAGCTGGTTTTCATGTCGAATCCCGAGGCAAAAGTCGCCCCCGTCGGGGCAGATGCGGGGACGGAAATGGAGGCGGACGCGACGGTCACATCGAGAGCGGCCATGAGGGCCGAACCGGTGTGGAGGAATCTCCGCATGATGATATCGCAAGGATTGAAGCCGACGATAACGTGCGGTGTACCGTGTAACTGTTGGGACAGAATGTCGAATGAGACTGAGACCGGGGGAAGAAGGGCCTTTTATCGACCTGCAGAGGGCAGAGCAGCTCCTCCTCCTGTCGTACGAGATGCAAGAGCGAATGCAACATCGGGTGCATTATTGATCGGATCTGCAGGTGATATACCGCGTTGGGAAAAAAACACGCTCCAAGCTGCTGAAACAACGCCAGTCATCGCGATTTGCATCTCGAGTCAAGCTCTCTTGGCAGGGCTGAATTGGAGATGGAGATAAAAGATACACTGGTGTCGTGGGCGGATTCGAGCGGAGACCGTCGGTTCTCATCGTGCCCAACTGTTGTTCCTTTTCAAATCTGTCTATCCAAGATGGAATTGAAATCATCGCAACACGGAGAGAAGACCGTATAAGCGTGAAGGATCTGTCGGAGTTTCCGGTCTGGCTGCATGGCATTGACGTGAGGGGTAAGCTGGGATGCAGGCCGTTTGCCGTTTCTGTTATCCAATTCGAACCTCTCCAACTTTCGCCAAAGCAATTGTCAGCATGATGAGTTGGAGTCAAATAGTGCTTATCTGGAATTACTGGGATGGAGTTTTATTGTGTTGATGTGGATGCTGTTCTTATCGCGAAATGTCGGTGGGCGCCGAAGAAATTGTTGGTGGCAACCAGAACCTTGGCGTGTTATTGATAGATAATAGTATCAGTGGGATAATCATGTTTAATTCATATTCAAGTTTTTTATCATGTTCATTGATAATTCTGGTTGTGACTGTACTATCTATCTGGTGGTAAATATATATTCTGCTATAGCAGAGCTGAAAAGCGGGATGAACATCATGTCTATAAGGTACTAACAACAGCCCTCGCATGACGTGCCTTGCTCTAGATGCAGGTGCAAGAGTTATTGAAGTCAATCCAAGTACCTACATCGGACAGTTTCAGGATAGATTCAGGAACTTTATCCCGTTTCAAGAAATATCGTACACTTCATAGTGATCAGATAAGATGCTTACGCCGCTTATGTAAAAATAATGGAGAGAATAGATAAATAGAGCACAGAATGTCTATGGAATATAATTACGCCGTGGATAGTACGGAGCTGCGAAGGCATGGGTATAAGTCGCTACAAAGCTGATGCATCCCTCGCAAACAAGGTATCCAACCCACCCGCGGGAAAATAGAGCACGAAGCAAATCGGAATCAATGGGTAAATGAAATAGTAACAGGTATCTATGCAGTGGCGGCAGCGGGTTCCTCGGGCTCGTCAACCTTGCCCTTTCCTTCCTTTCTCTTCTTCTTCTCGTCCTTGCCCTTCTTCGACATGGCTTCGGCCATGAGCTCCTCAAAGGCCATGTAGTCTCCCTCTTCTTCGGGGTCACGCTCCGCCTGGAATCACGGTTAGACAGCCCAGAGACATGGGATAGTAAACTTACCTTGGCGTAGATGTTTCCGGCAATGACCAGAGCATGAGCACGTTCCACGCGCTTCTCCAGCTTGATCTTCTTGTCGCTCAGGACCTGATCGCACACGTCACGGAGCACGCTCTGGATCTCGAACTTGCTTCCACGCCATGCGGCGGCCAGGATCTTGCCTGTAACCTTCTTCTCGTACTCTGCCCTCTTCTCATCAGTCCACTCCTCTCCGCCGCGCTCTTCCATCTTGGCCATCTCCTCCATTGTCATCTGAGCGTCAATAGCGGTCGAGATAGTGGTCCAGGTTTCCTTGGCCAAAGTACCCTTGTCCTTTAAGCGAGAGAAGAAACCAGAGATACCGAGGAACTTCTGCGACTTGAGGAAAGATGTAGCTTTCTGAACGTATGTGGCACCGATGGCGTGGAGAATCTCAAGACCAAAGGACTCCATCTTCAAGTTTTCAACTTCGTGACGAATCTTCTCCTCAAAGGCACGAGTGACATCTTTACCCTTGTCGGTTTCCGTCCATACGCTGATCTTGTCGACGAGCTTCACGGCCAAGGTGTTGACACGCTCCTCACGTGCCTTCTTCCTCTCCTCTTCGTATGCAGCCAGGCGCTCCTGCTGTTCCCGGGACAAACCACCCTTCTTCTTTTCCTTCTTGCGCAGCTCCTTTTCTTCCGCCGACAGACCAGCTGCCTCCATCCTTGCCTCTTCCTCCGACTTGTCCATGATAGCTTGCTGACCCATGTAGCGACGAGACGGCGTGCTGGTAGCAGAGCTCTGGGCAGACTCTCCCTGTGCTGGGGTCTTGGAATCGGCAGCCGCAGCAGCAGGGGCACCCTCTGACGGTGCAGCGCCGGAAGTGGTTGAAGCACCCTGGCCCTCCTGTTCGTGGATGTTGAGCTTCTCCTCAGCCGAGGCAGCCAGCTCTTCTTCTTCCATCTGCTGCATGGTGATATCCATTGTGGCGGTCAGGTCCTTCATGAGCGAGATCTCTCCGATAAGGTCGACAAAGGCAGCGCCGCCAAAGATCATGCCGAAGAATTCCGAGGGGTCCTCTTTAGAATGGTGTTAGCCATGTGGATGTATGGATGCCGTTCGAGCTTGAACTGACCGAAACCACCACCGGGAATAGCATCTTCCTTTCCAAACTTATCATAGCGTTTTCGTAGCTCTTCATCACTCAGAACTTGATATGCCTCTCCGATCTATGCCAAAGAAACGAGTCAGTTATGATGCCATAATACCCAGGACTGGATGAGTATACCGCTTGGAATCGGGCATGCGCAGACTCATCACCAGGGTTTTTGTCTGTCGCACAGAGTCAGAATAACAATCTCCAGATCTCACCGCCATCAACGAAGCATACCGGGATGAGTGACGATGGCCAGCTTCCGATAAGCCTTTTTGATCTCGAGTTCGGTGGCCGTGGGGGCGACACCGAGGGCATCGTAATAAGTGGTGTCCGCAACCATGATGGGCTGCTGCAGAGGTCAACCTAGCGACAGATCCAGAATCCGACCGTCTAGCAGTCCGTGATGAATGCAAGTGAGCCCGATAAGATGACAGCCAGGTATACTCACTGCGCGTTGTCAGTTCACGCGTTGGCAAAGGGTCGAGTATTTTTTTCTCTCTGCCTGCTGATGCTGCCCAGCCCGTTTCGTCATGGCGGGGAGTTTGCTTGGGTGGTTCTGTATGGTATGTAAGGTATGGTCATATCGCTCAGGCCTCACTGTGGGCAATGTGTAATAATGGTAATAGCCTGTTCTGCCCGTAATATAACCGGAATACGCCGTCACCGCATGAGCCTCCGCCTCAATAGCAACGCCAAGCCCCCGTTCTGCCCCTAGCCACGAACAATACGGTAAATACGCCATAACAAACCCAGCCGACTTTAAAGCCTCCCGTTTTTCTCCTCTTCTTCCTTCTTCGACTCCTGGGCTTGATTTGATTTCCTGCTTTCCCCCTTTCTTCTGCCTTCTTCCCTTCAATCCTCATCCGCTTACTCCGTACTTTTCCTTGCCTTCTTCCCTTCCACCCTATCTTTGTCTTATATCCCTCTCCGTCCTGCCTGTGACAGCTCTTATTCGGCGACCTGTCGCGACTCGCCGCCTCAACCTCCCGTCCGATTCTCCACTGCTCATTCGCTTGTTGACCCCCACATTCCACTTTTTTTCCTCGCCATTTTTTTCGCCCTTTAAAAACCTGTCGCCCTTCTTCTTCTTCTGTTTTTATTTTTATTTCCTCCCACCATGGGCATCGCAGCGAATGCCATTTACTATATCTTTCATCCCTCAGAATTGAGGTCGATAGCTCAATGGTTGGTTGCGGTCCTTGGCTTGGAGCGAGCTCTCTGGGTTTAGTGTTTATGTTCCAACGCTTACGGATGCCCACGTGTCCTTTGTGATAGGAAAATTTGGCACAACCCTGTTCACGAACGCAATGAGAAGGAAGAATGCGAGACTTTGAGGACTTGCTTCAAGTTTCTCCAGAAGACCAGTCGTAGCTTCAGCGCTGTCATCCAGGAGCTCCACCCGGAATTGCTCGTCCCCGTTTGCCTTTTCTACCTCGTTTTGCGCGGCTTGGATACTATTGAGGACGACACTTCCATTCCTCTTGAGACCAAGGAACCGTTGCTGCGGGATTTCAAGAATGTCTTGGACAAGGAGGGCTGGTCATTCACCGGCAACCGCCCGGAGGAGAAGGACAGAGAACTGCTGGTTCAGTTCCACAATGTCATCGCCGAGTTCAAGAAGCTGAAGCCGGTCTACCAAGAGATCATCAAGGACATTACGGACAAGATGGCCAATGGTATGGCGGATTATGCCCGCAAGGCCGAGCTTGAGGACGCTAGTGTCAAGACAATCGAGGAATACGATTTGTATTGTCACTACGTTGCCGGCCTTGTCGGAGAGGGTCTTACTCGCCTCTTTGTTGAGGCTGAGTTCGGCAACCCTGCTCTGATCAAGCGCGTCGCTCTTCACAAGTCGATGGGACTCTTCCTGCAGAAGACAAACATCATTCGTGACATTCGGGAAGACGAAGATGATGGTCGACGGTTCTGGCCCAAAGAGATTTGGTCCAAGCACGTTGACAACTTCGAAGACTTGCTCAACCCAGAGCACCTCGACGCAGCCCTCAACTGCAGTTCCGAGATGGTGTTGAACGCCCTGGAACACGTCGAGGCTTGTCTTTTCTACCTTGCTGGATTGCGTGAGCAGAGTGTTTTCAACTTCTGCGCCATTCCTCAGTCCATGGCTATTGCCACGCTGGAGTTGTGCTTCCGTAACCCGGACATCTTCAAGCGTAATATCAAGATCACCAAGGGTGAGGCTTGTCAACTGATGATGGAGTCGACTCAGAACTTGCGCATTCTCTTTGAGACTTTCCGTAGATACGCTCGCAAGATTCACAAGAGGAACACTCCCAAGGACCCTAACTTCCTGAAGATCAGCATGGCCTGTGGAAAGGTAAGGCATTCTCCCTGCATCAACAGAACTTCTTACTAACGTGACTGCAGATTGAGAAATTTGTCGAGACAATCTTCCCCTCGCAGTCTGCTGAACTGGCCAAGCGCCAGATTACTGGCGAGAAGACCAAGGAAGAACAGAAGAGGGCCAGTGAAGACGCTGAAAATCGCCAGGACATGTACTTTATGATGGGTCTGATGGGTGTCATCGTCATTATCGTCTCCTTTACCATGGTATGTTTGGTGCCTTTTGAATACACTCCATGATGCTGACTATATCTAGATTGGCACTGCCTGGTTTCTGGGAGCGCGATTTGATCTGGCTTGGAAGGAGCTGATGCAAGGCAACTTCAGACCCCCTACCAAGCCACTCCGCGATGCGGAGTTGTAACTTTCTACGTTGCATTGACTTACGATATTTATCACTTAATTACTAGCACCGACAGTACTCTTGCAGATGGCCCTGTTTCTATATCCCTTTTATTCTCGCCTCTGTCAAGTGTTTTATCTAATAATAGGATTTATCATCATCTCTCTCGTCTGTTTTCATTTTTTGATCTTTGTTTGAACAGAACTAGCACGGATGTCAAATTGCGATCCAGTCCTTTCATGACTGTGGTTGTGCCGAAGAAGTGCTTACATCGAAAGGAATTTATTCCCAAGCCAGCGACGTACTAGATTTATGTCTTGCGGCATCTGGTTTAACTACTGGAATGTTGAGATGGCATACGTCCATTGAGGACCTGGAACATACGTAATCTATCATTTATTCTACATAGTCTGAATCAATTCGAGAATCTTTGCCTATGATCTTTCTATCCATCTTCTATCCATCGTCAGTTGTAACCGTGTAAGTACGCCTCTGCATCTAATTGAACTGCCCTCGGATGCTATCATAGACAACTGCCGTTCTGTGGGCCCAAGCGACTAGTGGCAGTAGAAATCAGCAGCTTTTGATTCGCAGTTTTCCATTTCTAAGTTCTTGACCCCTCTAGAAACCATCTAAAAAGCCAGAGTTATAATCAATACATAAGAAATAGAAAGCCTGCCCATGCGCGGATTGCGATTCCCCATCCCGCCAGTTCTCCGTGGACATCTCCCCTCAATACGCCTGGCATCTTCTTTCCCTAGCATACCTTCCAACTCCATGGCGCAAAATACCAACGAGAGCGAGGCCCTGCCCGCTCTCTCTACACGGGAATTCCGCATCTACAATCGCATGGCCGAGCAAATGGACATGTTTGTACGTATCCCACCCATACACATAACACTATCGAACTAACCATCCAGCACACCCACTTCCGGCTCACATGGAACGAGCTCCAAAACGCCTGCACCACCACCAAACGCTCAGCCATCTCCCCGCGCCAACTAATCTCCATGGGCGAGAGTTTCTGTTCCCACCTAACAATGCACCATAACATCGAAGAGCGGCATATCTTCCCCGTGTTGGCGAAGAAAATGCCCGAGTTCAAGAAAGAACTCGACCTGCTGAAACAGCATAAGCAGATCCACGCGGGCTTGGACAAGTTCGAAGCCTACCTGAGTGATTGTAGACTTGGGAGGGCGGATTTGGAGCGGGGCGAGGTGAAGAGGTTGATGGATGGGTTTGGGGAGGTGTTGTGGGCGCATTTAGATGATGAGGTTAGGACGTTGGGGGCCGAGAATATGCGGCGGTATTGGACGTTGGAGGAGATGCCGAGGTTGCCTATGTAGTTGGGATTGTTTGGTGTTTGGTGTTGATATGTTGTTATACTTGGCCTAATGGTTTATGTTTGATACGAAACAGCATTTCTGATATGCCATTGGACTTGAAGGCAACAGTATGGTCTACCATAGCTGCCTGAGACAAATCTAAGCATCTTAATTTGGATTTCCGGTGAATGACTGGAATGCTGCTATGTCATGACCAGATCCCGCCAACACTGAGCTGGAGGGAAAACTACAGGCAGCACACCATTCTCAGCATCATCAGACAATAGGGAAATCAGTCACTGGAGCAGCCGTAGTCTGCAGACATCGAAGACGCGTGGCCATCCGTCCCCAGACAGGAAGTTGTTGTTTGCAGAAGGCCACGCGGATGGACTGGAATGTATCCCTTGCCAACACGATGATATCGGAGATACGTTTGAGAATACATGGTATTGATGCTGAGAATTAATTAATTGATTGCTATTTACTGAGAGATTAGATTGCAAGACGCATTTCATAGTAAAGTCTATAGTAGATATGATTGATGTGTGGTGAGAACATATTAGCTGTATGATTTCCCCATGCGGCAATATCCCACGGTCGATCTTCATCAAGTCCGTCAACACGATCAAAGCTGAACCCCAGATTCAGATCTTGCCCGTTTCTAAAATTATCAAGATCGCGTCGTAACACGACGGGTGCGTGGGGTTCATCTTGATAGACTGAGCCTCGTAGGCTATGAACATGACCAGTTGTCCACGAGGCCTGTCCGCATTCAAGTCGTCTCAGGATTGACGTGCTGTATAGCTGACAGCTGACAGCTGCCGGTGTTATGTTTCAGACCGCATGCAACAGCCCATCATGTCTATAAAACCAGGTCAATACCCTGACCGGAGGCTTATCATCATCCCACTCAGTCCACTGCCATCCATCCATACCATCCACCATGAAGCTCACCACCGAGCTCCTATACTCCCTCTGCCTCGCCGGCAGTGCATTGGCAGCCCCCCGCAGCGGTCTCGCTGAGCGCATTCAAGCCCGCACTCTCGATCGCCAAACCCATCCCCTCCAGCCCATCGCCCCGAACGAGGAATACAGAACCCTCGCCAACATCCAATACAGCAACAACTGGGCCGGCGCAGTGCGCACCTCACCACCCCCCGAAGGCGCCTACACCGAAGTCTCCGCCTCCTTCGTCGTCCCCGAACCCAAAGCCATCGCCAACAGCGAAGGCACGCAAGCCGCCTCCGCCTGGGTCGGCATCGACGGCGACACCTACACGGCCGCCATCCTCCAAACGGGAGTGGACTTCTACATCGATAACGGCAAGCCCGTCTACCACGCCTGGTACGAGTGGTTTCCCGAGAAGGCGTATGATTTCGACCTCGTCGTCAACCCCGGCGACGTGATCTTCACCTCCGTCCAATCCTTCTCACCCAGCGAGGGCATCGCCATCGTCGAGAACCTCTCCACCGGCCAGAAAGCGTCGCAGACAATCAGCGCGCCAAACGGGGACGCCACCCTTGCCGGCCAGAATGCGGACTGGATCGTCGAGGACTTTCAATCCGGCGGGACGTTGGTGAATCTGGTTGATTTTGGGACGGTGAGTTTCTCGGGTGCGGGGGCGACGGCGGGTGGTGCGAGATTCGGTGTGAAAGATGCGGGTATTATTGAGTTGAAACAGGGCGATAAGGTGTTGACTGATGTGGAGATTCTGAGTGATTCCGACTTGGATGTTAGCTTTACGGGATGATCTGTACAGGTTGATATCGCTTTCTGCTTACTATACAATGCCTAATAAATATAATATCAGTCACACTCCACGGGGTACTCTGAATACCAAGACTATCTATTATCTATCACTCCTCACTTCGGATCATCTCCGCAGTCGAATGTGGCAGGGATCGATATCAGATACTAGATAAGCCGTGATTGGCAGGATGATACGAGCTTCATGATAGAGTATCTGTACCCCGCATTTTATCTACTAGATAGACACTTGGATATAAAGTAGAATACAAGTCTAAATATTCCGAAATATTTCAAATCCATAATACAACAAACAAAATGACAGACAAAAAGACCCCCTCCATAACCAAAACTGACGTCGAAATCGGCCAAATCTCCTCCCTCGATGAAGCCGAAATCTTCCTCCATGAAAATGGCATCTCCCACGCTCAGCTGCAGGAAATGCTCGACGATCCGGTCCGGTGCAAGAAGCTGCGTCGCCGGATTGATCTGATTCTGCTGCCGCTGCTGTGTGGGACGTATGTGCTGCAGTATATTGATAAGCAGGCGCTGTCGTATAGTGCGGTGTTTGATTTGTTTACGGATGCGCATATTAATAGTGAGGAGTATAGTTGGTTGGCGAGTATTTTCTACTTTGGTATTCATATATCTTTCTTTTGGCTCTATGCTTCCCTTTGATATGTTGTGATGCTGATGGTAAAGGGTATCTGTTCTGGGAGTATCCGGCGAGTTATATTGCCCAGCGACTGCCCATTGGAACTGTGATTTCGGTCTTTGTGTATGTCGTCTATCCCATCACCTTATCTATATCCATTCTAACCTATATAGACTATGCTGGGGCTCCATCCTCATGATAACCGCCAGCTGCCAAAACTTCACCGGCCTGGGCATCTGCCGCTTCCTGCTGGGCTGCTTCGAAGCCCCCATCACCCCCTGCTTCATGATGATCGTCGGCATGTGGTATACACGCCAGGAGCAGCCATTCCGAGCAGGCTGCTTCTACTGCTGCAACGGGGTGGGCTCGATGGTGGGCGGTCTGCTCACGTTTGGCATTGGCCAGATGAATGGGTTTCCGGTGTGGAGGGCGATTTTCTTAATCTGTGGTGGTGCGACGGTTGTCTGGGGAGGGGTGTTGATGGTGTTTTTGCCGAATAGTATTCTTTCGGCGAGGAGGTTTAGTGTTGAGGAGAAGGTGGTGCTGGTTGGGAGGGGGATGCGGAATCAGACGGTGAGCTCTCCATCTTTTATACAGAGTGAGGCTGATGAGATAGGGCATTCTGAATCGCTCGATTAAATGGTATCAGATCAGAGAGGCGTTTACCGATCCCCAAGTCTGGCTTTTATTTCTTTTTACCCTGCTGAATGAGACTATCAACGGAGGCATCGCCAATGTAAGCCATCCTCGCCCTATATACTCTCAAACTAACGATATAGTTCGGCAAACTCATCATCAAAGGCCTCGTGTCTAAGCCCCTTCTAACAACAGCCCTTGGTATCCCCCAAGGCGCATTCCAGGTCTTTTTCATCCTCTCCGGCTCATACCTCGCGACTCGATTCACAAAGGTTCGCACGTACATTATGGCCATCTACCTGATCCCCACGGTCATCGGCATCTGTCTTCTCTGGCAGCTTCCGAGGACGAACAAATACGGTGTTTTATTCGGCTATTACATTGTACGTCCCACCCATTCATCTATATTATATACTAACAGGTGATATAGACCGGCTCCTACGTCTCCTCCCTCGTCCTCGCCCTCCAAATGCCCGCCAGCAACATGGGCGGCTACACCAAGCGCGTCACCGCAACCGCCTTCGTGTTTCTGGCATACTGTATAGGGAATATCATCGGGCCGCACGCCTTTCTGGCAGATGAAGCGCCGATCTACCAGTCGGGCTGTAAGTTGATTCTGGCGTGCGCGTTGTGTCAGATGTGTTGTGCGGTTTCGTTGCGGGTGTTGCTGGTGAAGAGGAATAAAACCAGGGAGAGGGGTGTTGTTGATGCTGGTGAGGCTGGAGATGGAGAGGTTTTGGCTGATTTGACGGATTTTGAGGTATGTTCTTTCTTAATTTTCTTTGGTTTGCATATGAGGCTGATTGTGTAGAATTCGAGGTTTCGGTATGTTTTGTAGATATGTTAGATAAGAATATTTGATTTGTTTATATCAGTTATCATGAACCGAATACTTTATCTACTTATATACTTGTAAATATAGGATATAGCCTACGGCTATATGCATCGGCATCCTCACCCGACGCCGAACCGAACCCCAATCGGCCATTTTGACCGACATAAACTCACAAAGTAATATAATATAATGAAATAATCTGCATATTCAATCAAGATCATCAAAATGTCTCTCCGACTAACCACCCACTCCATCCTAAAGAGGATCCTTCGATCTCCCATCCCGTCAACGCGGTCAATAACACGATATCATCCACACAACCTCAAGCCCAACCTCACCTCCCATATCCGATCACGACATCTAGGCATCCGCCAATTCACCCTCTCAGCCACACAAAATGAATCCCTAAAAACCATCATCGTCCCGCCCATGGCGGAATCCATTTCTGAAGGAACAGTCGGATCATTTCATAAGCAGGTGGGCGACTATGTTGAGGTAGACGAGGAGATTGCCTCGATTGAGACGGATAAAATTGATGTTTCGGTGACTGCTACTTCGGCGGGTGTTATTAGAAAGTTGTTGGCTGGGGAGGGGGATAGTGTTGCTGTTGACCAGGGGTTGGTGGAGATTGATGTTGATGCTGCGAAGGGAGAGAAGACTGCGGTTAAGGAGGTGAAAGAAGAGAAGGTTGAGGAACAAGTTGAGAAGGCTCCAGTTGAGGAATTGAAGCCTGAGCCAGCTGCTCCAGCTGTATCTTCTACACCTTCATCCACCCCTACAGCCTCAGCTCAGCAATTCCCCGGCTACAAAGGCAGCCGAGCAGAAGAAAGAGTACGTCCATCAACTCATATACAAACACCACTAATGAAGAAAGATCAAAATGACACGCGTCCGCAAACGCACCGCCGAACGCCTCAAAGAATCCCAAACTACAACCGCCTTCCTAACCACCTTCAACGAAGTCGACATGACCAACATCATGGCCTTTCGCGAGAAACACAAAGATTCTGTTCTCGAAAAACACGCTACAAAGCTCGGCTTCATGGGCCCTGTTGCGCGCGCGTCCGCACTCGCCCTGAAACAAATCCCGTCTGTGAATGCGATGATTGAGAATGAGGATACAATCGTATACAGAGATTATATCGATTTAAGTGTTGCGGTTGCTACGCCCAAGGGATTGGTGACGCCTGTCTTGAGGAATATCGAGAGTATGAATATTGTTGAGATTGAGGCGGGGATTGCTGCGTTGGGGAAGAAGGTACCATCTACCCATCTATCTATATGAGGGAAGCTAATAAACAGGCCCGCGATGGCAAATTGACCCTCGAAGATCTGTCTGGCGGCAGCTTCACCATCAGCAACAGCGGAATCTGGGGATCACTATTTGGGACGCCTATTATCAACATGCCGCAGACTGCTGTCTTGGGTATTTATGGTATTCAAGATCGACCGGTTGCGGTGGATGGGAGGGTGGAGATTCGTCCTGTGAGTTTATCTGATGTGATATGTGATATATGTGCTAACTGGATAGATGATGTATACTGCCCTGACATATGATCATCGCCTGATTGACGGACGAGAAGCGGTGACTTTCCTGACGTTGATTTCCAAGTATTTGCAAGATCCGGCGAGTATGCTGTTGGATTGATGCATTATATCACTTGAATACCACTTTTTTCCAGTTTTACCTACAATTAACTATCAATGATCAAGAGAAAGTGTTGATCAGAAAGAACAGTCAACTACCATGCATCCGATCAGTAGGTACCTGGGCGAGCAAGGTGCTTTCCTTCAGCACTAATAAACAGACGTAGTTTATATTATCTATTGAATCAGCATTTAATATCTAAATCCTCTTATCCAGTTACTTAAAATGCTTATTCTTGTGCAACCCATTCGAGTTTGATCTTCGCAAGGCTGAGATGATCTTCATAGAATGTGGCCGTGTTCAACACGGAATATGATTGGCCTCATGGCTTTCATCCACAGCCTTGTCTTGAGCGAGACTTAAACCCCTCATTTTCTCAATGAAATTTGCATAACATCAAAATGGTTCTCTCTTCCAATATATCTGCCCCTGTCTCGATGGGCTTGGTCCTCGTCGTGGCCATTGCATTTGCAGTCGGTCATCATGCCTTTTACCAGGACCTGAATGGCCAAGTCGTGCACGACTCTGGATCGCCGATTGCTCGAAAACTATCCCTCGACGTGTCTGACCAGCAGGTAAATGTGTCTATCGGCACCTTCTTCGCCTTCCTGGTCAAGTCATTCCTCGGGGTAGCTGTGTCGACCGTCTTCGACCAGTTCGCATGGCGACAACTTATCAAAGCGCCATCCACTAGAATCGGCGTGATTGATGACTTCTTCTCCGCTCTCCGAAATGGCTTCCAGATGGCCAATTTCAATCTTTGGTGCCATTATCCTCTCGGCATGCTGTTGGCCACCATCATCTGGCTCCTCCCGGTGGCGTCGGTGATAACACCCGCTACTTTAAACGTGCAGCTGGCGCCGTTCTCGATTTCCTCGCTACTTCGCGTCCCTCGAGTCGACTTTAGCAGCATCAACTTTGTCAATCTGGATTCTGATTTCGATCCCTATACGGGGACTGGCACGCTCGACATTTCGTATAGTGGCCCCATGCCCGAGGTGCAGAAAGTGGTCACCAGTGCCGCCATGCAGGGGTCTATACTGAACATACAGCCGCCATCAGCCAACTCCTCATGGATGCTGCGCTTTCACGGACCGGCGTTAAAATGCGCCATTGTGAATAGCACCCTGCATGCGGCTATTGTACAGGAAGTACAGTCGATGATCAACAAGATGAATGAGCAGCATATGATAGACGATGTAGGGACGTATTCAATCGAGTTCCTCTCATGGACGCCATCCAACAGTTCGATCAGCGGATCCTTGCCATTCTTGAATCGTGCGAACCCTAGTTCAGGATCTTCTGATTCGGAACATCTGGGGCCGAAATCAGACGACCTTATCGACTTGCGAACCCCAGATAAAGATACTAACCTTCGCCAGGATCCACTGTCTATTTTCCTCGCTGCTTTCCCACAGATGTCAAGACCGGAGAATGGAACCATTAAGCCAGTAGCAACTGCAACGGAAGGCGCAACAATTCTGCAGTGCACTCTGTACAATGCGACTTACTCGCCGAATTTCACATATGTCAATGGCGAACAGAGGGTGGAAATGCCTACTCCACAACTTCTCAATGGAGTCGTATATATAAACGGGGTCGAAATCACCGCTCAAGGAGGGGTGCCTTCATACGATGCAACCATGCAACAAGCAAAGTCATATCAGCACTTGTTCGAGGGATTCACATATCAGTCTGTGATGGAGTCATTTGGGCAACTGTTAGTCGGTGGTATCGCCGTATTATTCCAGGAAAGGAACTATGAAGATACTTATGGGCCGCAAAACTCAACTACCACTTCGTCGATGACCACTGGTAGTACGAACGTCATGTCGACAAAGTTGGGAGATACAAAAGAACTAGCCGGCGTCAGGGGCATCACGAGTAAGAGGAATGTGTTGAATTCCTTCCAGAACAGCTGGCAGGAACATTCAGTGAGTCAGTTGGGAGGAAAAACATCGACTTCATTTGCGGACATCGTCGAGGAGATGTCCCACAACATCACCATTTCCCTGATGAGTTCAGCTCTCTTCCAGTACGTCCCTATTTCATCACCAATAACCGCACACTAACAACATGAAAGACCAAACTACACCGTTCCCTCCTCACCCCCAAACACATCCGTCATAGTAACAATCTATCGCAACGTCTACACCTACTCGCAATCCATCCTGTGGACAGCCTATGGCATCGCGATCGGAGTCACACTGTCCAGCATCTGCCTGGGCGTGTTCGCCTATTTTTCGAATCACGGGTCATATACGATGAAGTTCTCCACAATCCTGCGAGCGACAAAATATGCACTGCTTTCTGCGGAGCCGGATGAGAGGGATTGTAATGGGATGGATCCGTTGCCGTGGCGTATTGCTAAGACGGAGATATCGTTTACGAGGAAGGCGGAGGTGGAGTAAGTATCAGAGGAACATACTGAAGAGATGCAAATGGCGGAAGAGAGAGGCTAGTGTGATGTCTCGACCCAGCACCGAGGTTGATCCTAGACATTCTAAACAATCCAGTGTATCTAGATAGATCAGTCTTATAGCCTATATACCACCGGAAGCATCACCCGACAGACAATGCAGTACAACCACCACGGAAAAGAATCCGTCACCTTGCATTCATTCCCATTCCCCATTCTCCAGCTTGACTCCATAATAATAGGTGGACTGCAAGTCAACCGATAACATCAACCAAATGGGGAAGATTAGATTGGGGAAGGGGGTCGGGGGGATCACCCGACACAGCCTACTCGGCCAAATGCCACTTCCCCGATATCGATTATTCCCCGCTTGACTGATTTAGTATTTGTACTCTGTTCTCCTCTTTGTTCTTGAATTAATTATAACCTAGACAGAATGATGTTACCCAGATTGATGCGCCCGAATGGGGCGCGGTTACTTCGGCAACCTGGATTTCGTTTACAGAGACAGAGATGTCTGCAACTACAACAAAGATGCTACGCCTCTCAATCTGTACGTCCCTTATTGCAGATTTGATACCTAGATACTAACAGTCCAGTCCGACACCTTCCTCCAAGGCAGCGGCGCAGATTACGTCGACCACATGTACTTTTCGTGGAAATCGGATCCTACATCCGTACATACATCATGGCAGGCATACTTTTCCGCGATAGAGAATGGAAGAATACCAATTGAAAACGCATTCCAGCCGCCGCCGGGGTTGGTTTCGCTGAAGCCTGTGCAACGGACTGCACATGGGTCAGGGGGAGGGGTGGATGAGATCAAAGTCCAGCAGTTGGTGGGTGCGTATCAGAGGCGCGGACATTTGAAGGCGAAGATTAATCCGCTTGATTTGGGTGGTGAGAGCGAGGTGAAAGAGTTGAGGATTGAAGAGTATGGCTTTACAAAGGAAGATTTGGATAGGGAGTTTGAGGTTGGAGGGGGAGGGGGACTGTTACCTCACTTTCAGGGAGGGAATATGAAGTTGCGGGATATCATCGGCGTGTGTGAGAAGGTCTATTGTGGTTCCCACGGCGCAGAGTATACGCATCTCAACAACGCAGACGAAGTGAACTGGATACGCAGTCGACTCGAAGTCCCCGATACGATTGTTCAGTATTCTCGCGACGAGAAGAAGCGGATTCTGGATCGCCTCGTGCGCGCAGCCACATTTGAAAAGTTCCTGGCGACCAAGTTTCCGACTGCGAAGCGATTCGGGTTGGATGGTGTCGAGAGTCAGGTTCCTGGTGTTCATGCTGTGATTGATGCGTCGGTGGAGAATGGGGTGGAGAGTATTATCTTTGCGTGCTGTCATCGGGGAAGACTCAATGTGCTCAGCAATGTACTGGGGAAGCCGAATGATGTGCTGCTTAGTGACTTTCACTCTGGTGCCAGTCCGCGACATGGCATTCCCGGTGATGTCAAGTATCATCTGGGGATGTATAATGAGGTTAAAACTGCCTCAGGGAAGAAAGTTGAGATAGGCATTCCGCCTGTGCCGTCGCATTTGGAAGCTACCAATGCCATTGCCCAAGGCATGGCGCGAGCTATACAAGCACAAGGCGGGGATAAGAACAACACGATGGTCTTCAACAGCCATACCGACGCTGCCTTCGCGGGACAAGGCATCGTGTACGAGACGCTCGGGCTGGCGAATCTCAAGCACTTTTCCACAGGCGGAACAGTGCATCTCATCGTGAACAACCAAGTTGGTTTCACGACGGACTACGACCAAGGACGAGGGACGATGTACGTGTCCGATGTGGCCAAGTACATGGATGCGCCTATCTTTCACGTCAACGCAGATGACGTTGAAGCCGTTGCTGCAGTTTGCAAATTGGCGGCTGAGTATCGGGCCAAGTTCCACAAAGACTGTTTTGTCGATTTGGTGTGTTATCGCAAGAACGGGCATAACGAGATGGATCAGCCGTTTTTTACGCAGCCGGTGATGTATGAGCAGATTGTCAACAAGGTGCCGCAATTGGATTCGTATGTGCAGAAGCTGTTATCTGAAGGGAGTGTGGCGAAGGAGGAGGTTGAAAAGATGCAGAGTGAGGCTTGGGATGCGATGAGTGACGGACTGGAGAAGAGCAGAGGAGTACTGGATGATATTACCGGGGAGTATCACACGTCACCATGGGATGAGTTCAAGACACCAGAGGAGGTTGCGAACGAGACATTCCCGGCTAAACCAACTGCCATTGAAGGGCAGACCATCATGAAAGTTGCATCCAAACTCGGCGTCCCAGCAGAACCATTCACCGTCCACAAAAGCCTCCAGCGCATCCTCCAAAAACGCCAACAAAGCCTCCTCGACGGACAGGACATCGACTGGGGAACCAGCGAAGCACTCGCATTTGGTTCTCTCTGTCTCGAAGGCTATCACGTCCGCATCTCAGGACAAGATGTAGAAAGAGGCACATTCTCACAACGCCACTCTGTCCTGCACGACCAGAAAACCGGCGAAACATACACTCCTCTCGACAATCTCTCCCCCGACCAAGCCAGATTCGAAATCGGCAATTCCTCGCTATCCGAATACGGCGTCATGGGCTTCGAGTACGGCTATTCATGCCGGTTCCCTAACGCCCTGGTCATCTGGGAAGCGCAGTTCGGCGACTTTGCCAATACTGCGCAGTGCATTATCGACCAGTATATCTCGTCGGGGGAGAAGAAGTGGATGCAGAGATCGGGACTGGTGCTGTCTCTTCCTCACGGACTTGATGGACAGGGACCAGAGCATTCGTCTGCACGGATAGAGAGATTCCTGCAGTTGTGCGATGAAGATCCGCGGGTCTTCCCATCGGCAGAGAAACTGGAACGACAGCATCAGGATGCGAATATGGGGGTCGTGTATATGACGACGCCGGCGAATTACTTTCACGTTTTGCGGAGGCAGATGCATCGTGATTATCGGAAGCGTAAGCCATCTATCTTGTATATGATATGGTATATACTAACCAGACAGCCCTTATTGTATGCTTCTCTAAATCCCTCCTCCGCCATCCAATGGTGCGCTCCAACTTGGCCGACTTTACAGGCGACTCGCATTTCCAGCCTATCCTGCCAGATCCAGAACATAACAAGAGCATATCTGCGCCAACTGAGATTAAAAAAGTCATCTACTGCAGTGGACAGGTCTACATCGCGCTATCTAAATACCGACAACAGCACAACATAACCGACACAGCCATAATCCGCCTCGAACAGCTCCACCCCTTTCCCTGGCAGGAAGCAAAGGATAATCTAGCGCAATATCCCAATGCGAAAGAGATAGTCTGGTGTCAGGAAGAACCGCTCAATTGCGGGGCCTGGAGTTATATGGCACCTCGCTTTGAGACGATTTTCGATACGATTGAGGAGCACAAAGGACGGAGAATGAGCTTTGTAGGGAGGAAGCCGATTGCGAGTGTGGCTGCTGGATACGTGAGTGTGCATCAAGCCGAGGAGGAGGAATTTATCAGAGATGCTTTTCGAGATAACTAAATAGATAGAAAGATAGTGTTGTCATGTTATTATCAATTGATACCATAGTGGATCACGGAAGGAATCCGATGAGGGGAAAAGCGGGGATGATAAATAGCAGATAGCCCCATCTTCAGTCAATTATTCCATCTTCACATTCACAATCAAGTGAAGATGCTCAAATTACTAATTCTGGCCTCTCTGCCAGCAATCATCTTTCACCAACAATTAACCATCTATACACTCCCCTACCTCCCAACATCAGTCCATCCATATCTCCCCCTCCCCCTCACAACCCTCCCCCAAGGAATCCTCATCGGCAAAACCCTCAAACAAGATCTGAAAACACCCATCGATGCATTCCTAGGTATTCCATACGCGGTATCACCAGTCGGCGAGAGAAGATTTCGTCCTGCTGTTCCTGTCCCGGCGGGTGAGGGGGTGGTTGATGCGCGGGAGTTTGGGCCGAGGTATTTGCACTCATATCGCTAATATGGATGAGGTGTTAATTAAGGTAGATGTCCGGGAAAACAACTCCTGCAGGTGACTGGGGATGTCAAGTATAGCGAGGATTGTCTCACTGTGAATGTCTTCCGGCCAAGTCGGAAGGATGGAGGGAAGAAACTGCCTGTGGCGGTTTATGTGCATGGAGGGGCTTATAATAGAGGAACTTGTATGTCTTTCACTCTTTAGTAATGGATATAAATACTAACTGGGATAGCATCAATGCACAACACCGCCTCGATGATCAGCTGGTCAGAAGAGCCGTTTATCGGTGTTAGTTTTAATTATCGGTACGTCCCTATCCGGACAGTATGTGAGGGTGGGGTATTGACGAGATAGAATCGGTGCACTCGGTTTCCTACCATCGACGCTCTCAGCTGAAGAAGGGATTCTGAATCTCGGTCTGCGCGATCAGATTGTCTTGCTGCAATGGGTGCAGGATAATATTGAGTCGTTTGGTGGCGATCCGTCGCAGGTTACGGTGTTTGGATTGTCGGCCGGTGCTCACTCGGTACGTACACTACTGTATAGCTTCATGCATTAAACTGACAGTATAGATCGCCCACCACATCATGAACACAGATCTACCACCCCTCTTTCACCGTGCGATCATCGAATCTGGCAGTGCAACATCCCGTGCCGTGCATCCGTACAATGCGCGTCTCCACGAAGACCAATTCAACGAGTTCATCTCTTTGGCAAACTGCACCACGTCCAAAGACCACATCATGTCTTGTCTCCGCTCAGCGCAGGAGCCAGTCATCCTGAACGCCTCCTACACCGTCTTTGCAAAATACAACCCCTCCGTCCGCTGGGCTTTCCAGCCCGTCATTGACGGCGACCTGATCAAACAGCGTCCCATCGACGCGTGGAAAAGCGGAAAGTGGCAACGAATGCCGATAATAACCGGCTTCAACACAAACGAAGGCACATACTACGTCCCATCTACCGTAGAGACATCAGAGCAGTTTGACGACTTTTTCAAAACCCTACTCCCAGCCTACTCATCGCAAGATATCCAGACCATCTCAAACCTCTACCCAGACCCACTCTACGCAGACGACTCACCATATATAGAGCGCAGAAACATCCCCGTCGGCCCACAATATAAGCGGCTTGAAGCAGCGTACGGACACTACGCATACGCTTGTCCAGTCCGCCAGACTGCATCGCTTGCCTCGCAGGATCAGAACGCGCCTATCTTCCTCTATCACTGGGCATTAAATAAGACCGTGCAAGGTGGCGCAAACCACGGCGACCAGATGGCGTATGAGACGTTTAATCCGGAAGTGAGGAGTATTTCGCCTTCGCAGCGGGAAATGGCTGGTACGCTACATGCATACTTTACCTCGTTTATCGTAACTGGGGATCCGAACAAGTTCGCAGGAATGTATGCAGACAGACCACAGTGGAATGCATACGGTGCGGAAAGGAAAGAAAAAATCATGCTCTTCGGCGAGGGAAATGACGAACGGGCAGGCGGGGATGGAAAAGGCGTGATCGCGCAGATGAAAGAGGATGAATGGAGTAGAAAGGAGTGTGATTTCTGGTGGACCAAGGCTGGCATTTCGGATGTTTTTTAATTAAGCTCTTCTATAGATAGCGTGCATGGCTGTCAGAGGCGATAGATAGCTTATTACACATGGCAGAGAGATAAGAGATGAATGAAATGCCTCAGATAAGATATTCTGACCGGAACCGGGCCGGTGATGTAGCCTTTAAGGCTTATTGCATCCGGTGACATTGACAGGCAGATAAAGTTGTGGCTGACAGATAGTTTATCTATCCTCGGTTGGATATAGACACAGTGCTGGATAGACTCGAACATAAAGTACGGTATGTGGGTAAAGTATGGATTCTGTTATGTAAAAGAAATGCAAATCCGGGGAAGGAAGCAATTGACCAATAAAAGCAGCTTCAACCAATGAAAGTAGATTCAGCCACTGAATCTAGAAATAATTGCCACTACCTATGCATTCTCGTATTCAGATAAGCCCTTCTCCTATCCATGATCCCTGCTTATCTTCCCGTGCGGGGCTTATCACTAGGAATACTTTAAAAGCTGCCTTCCTCCCTCAATCTCATCTATCATCTATTCATAATTATATTGTATGATACTCTCACAAAATGGATACTCACAGCAAAATGAACGACCCAGAAAAACTCGATGTCGTCTCCTCCCCCTCCCACACCGACGAAAAGGTCGGCACGATGCGCGCCCTCGTCGAGCAAGACCTCATGGACGAGCGGTACCAAAACACCCAGCGCGGTCTGAAAAACCGCCACGTCCAGCTGATGGCGCTGGGAGGAACCATCGGCACCGGTCTCTTTGTCGGATCAGGACAGGCGCTCGCTATCGGGGGGCCTTTGTCACTGCTACTCGGATATTTGTTCATCTCAGCATTGGTCTACTCCCTCGTCACGGCCATTGCGGAGATTGGCGCATACCTGCCCGTGCACGGTGGCACAATGAGCTACCACGGCTTCCGGTACGTCTCGCGGAGTCTGGGGTTCGCGATGGGATATCTATACTGGTATTCGCTGGGGATTCTGGTGCCGTATGAGATTACCGCTGCGTCGCTGGTGATTGATTATTGGAATCCTGGGGTGCACATTGCGGTGTGGATATCCATCATGTTGGTTGTCATTGTCGCGCTCAACTTCCTCCCTGTCGGTGCGTACGGTGAAGCTGAGTTTTGGTTTTCGGGGATCAAAATCATTACTCTTATTGGATTGTTGATTCTTTCGTTTATTCTGTTCTGGGGAGGAGGGCCGGATCGCCAGTTACTGGGTTTCCATTATTGGAAACATCCTGGGGTGATGAATGAGTATTTGGTCAAGGGGGATGCGGGGCGGTTTGTTGGGCTGTTGGAGTGCATTGTCAAGGTATGACCTGTCTATTCTATTTATGTGATATCGGCTAATTGTCAGTCTGCTATTGCATTCATCTTCGCCCCCGAGTTGATCGTCATCAGTGGTGGTGAGATGGAATCGCCCCGGCGCAATGTCCCTCGTGCTGCTCGTCGGTATATCTACCGTCTGGTCTTTTTCTACATCACGGCTGCAATAGCTATTGGTGTTATCTGTCCATCGGATGACAGTCGACTTACCAACGGTGGTGCCGGTGCTGGTTCTTCTCCATTCGTCGTTGGCATCACCAACGCCGGCATCGCCGCCCTCCCCAGCATCGTCAATGCCGCCATCCTCACCTCCGCCTGGTCCGCCGGCAACTCCTTCCTCTACATGTCCTCTCGCTCCCTCTACTCCCTCGCCGTCTCCGGCAACGCCCCCAGCATCTTCAAAACTTGCAACAAATGGGGTGTCCCGTACCTCGCCGTCTCAGCCTCGGCCTGCTTCTCCGCCCTCGCCTACCTCTCCGTCGGCAGCTCCTCCTCCGTCGTCTTCGACTGGCTCATCAACTTCACAAACACCTCTGGCTTCATTTCCTGGATCTGCTGCTGCATCGTGTACTTCCGCTTCCGGAAAGCCGTGGCCGCACAGGGCATCGAACAGCCGTATAAATCCATCATGCAGCCGTACGGGGCATACGTGGGTCTGGCGGGTGCCATCTTCCTCATGCTGATCAACGGCTTCTCGTGTTTCTTTCCATCGAAATGGTCGGCGAGTAACTTTTTCACGGCGTATATCGGCATCCCTGCATTCCTGCTACTGTATGTTGGGCATAGGATTGTGTACCGGGCTGATCCGTGGGCGTGGAGGCCTGAAGATGTCGATATGCACACTGGGTTGCAGGAGATTCTGGCTGCGGAGAAACCGCCTCGACCAAGGAATACGTGGTATGAGAAGATGATGGTGTTGGTGGAGTAGTGTATATTACCTAGAGGAGTTGGTGGCACCGTGAAATATTGATTTTAATGGTCAACCAGACCTGTTTTTGTAATGGTAGATCTAGGAAAACATGTGGTAAATTAATTATTATATTATGGAATAAAGATATCTCCTTAATCTACTAGTTTACCTGCCATTCACTTATATTTAGGTCCTTTATATTCTATATAATATTTAGAAAGATAAAGCAGCTAGTAAATAATAGCTTACTATGGCACACCTCGGTGGCCTGGTCGACTATTTCCTACTGTCTGAATCCCAGTGGGAATTCTTAGATGAATGAATGTTATTTATACTTATATATGTATAGTAAACCTGGATAGGGAAATAGTAGATGTTAGTAAGACTAGTGACATAGGAAGTGTTAGTTCTGAGCCGTACCACAGTATTTTAAACCATGCCATGTTAAATCTATTAAATTGAATTGTAGCAGTAAAAGATGAGTAATTAAGTATCATTGAAATTTTTCGTGAGTACTGACGTGGGCAGACAATTAATCCATGTCTCTCCTTCCCATCTCTCAATCCTCTATAACAATATCACCCAACGTACATGCATTAGAATTTGATTAATACAGCATTGTTGTTAATAAAGTCCCGCACAGCGGACACACTCGTATAAATATCTGGAACCTCCTTCTTATCTTCAGAAGCACAAGTCAGTTTTCCGAATGAGACGATACCAATCTGCTTATTGGTCTTCGAGTCCACCAGAGGGCCACCAGAGTCCCCAAAACAACTACCCCCTCCGGTCTCCGCATTGACCGCACAAACCATGTTGGGAGAGATTTTTTCCGGAGGGAATTGGTTCGCCCATGCATCTTCACACTTCGTCCGATTGGTCACAGCAACATTGACAGATTGAAGTTGGCTTGGAGGTGGCTTTGTGAGGCTCTCAAAACCCCAGCCCGAAACAACAGCGGCAGTGCCCTCGGCAGGCAGGCCATCCGCGGCATCGGCAAGCTTCACCGGGTAAACAATGTCAGAGACGAATTGGAATCCAGACTCCAACTCAATGATCGCGACATCGTTGTTGTGGGGGGAATCCTTCTGGTAGTCAGGGTGGCGTGTGAAGCGTTTCACTTTAATCTCTTGCCCTCCGGAATCCGAGTCCGATGAACCTGCCCTCACACTGAATAAGGAGGGATCTTCCAATGGATTCATGCAATGGGCAGCGGTAAGGATATATTTGCCGCTGAGGATGCTTCCACCACAGATATGTTGTTTTGCGACTGAGCTTTGGATGCTGACCTGCCAAGGGAATTTTTGGATTGGAGATTCGGTTCCCTTGATGATTTCATCTTCAGCAAAGGCAAGTGAGCCGAACAAGGCGAATAGGCTGAGGGAGAGCTTCATATTGGCTTGAAGTTCAAGAGGATGGGAAGAGAAGATGATGGTTGTACAGAGATCTTTCTGTTCCATCCCACTATTTATACTCAATCCTCTGCGCGGGTATTCAGGGGATTGTGGGATTCATGACTATTGGAGCCAAGTGGGGGCATTTACTAAGGAAAACTGACAGCCGAGATACACCCAGACTGTTGGTGAACCTGATCAGCAGATTGGCTATGCTAAGAGCCTATGATCATGCTAGTCGCTTATATTTCCCTGAGATCGAGGATACACCTGGTCGCAGATGCCGATCCCAGCTCCACATTGTCGCCCTTTACCGTACATGGCAGGAGTCAAACTGTGGAGCCGAGATAATCTCGATAGATGTACGTAGATCCACAGATCCCGCCCAATGCTATCGATCGATCAACCGGGCCTTTGCGATAGTTGCAGCCAGTCTTCAATCTAGCAAAATTGTGGAGCTCACTAATACAAAAGATGGCTAGATTTGGCCAAACATTCATCCATCGGATCAACATCAGCCAGCCATCTACTCGCTTTCTCCCACAAACTGATCTCCACCATCTCGACCGCTTCCCTATCAAGGTTACCATGAAGATATAACTACAAATCATATCATCTCTCTGGAAATTCCCGCAGATTCCTATTCACACTCCAGGAAGCAGCTGAGCCAGCCCCATTTGCATTTCCGATCTGCACAATAGTGCATCGCCTAGTAAGGCACAGCGCACATGGTGCATCTCCTATTACGGGGCGATTCCCAGTGCTGGGGCTGGGAGGGACGATCGGGCCATTTTATTTTAATTTTGCTCTCTATGCGAGGCGATCGTGCCGAGCAAATTCCGAGATCTCTTATTTCCTTTACTATGTATAGTACTATGTATTTCTTTTCTCTGTAGTTAGGTTAATATCATTCTTGTTGCCTGGTATGAGAAGTGAGACACCAGTACATTGAATAGAACGTGGCAATTGAGAGATTAGGCGCCGCCCACAGATAACGGATATTTTGGGGAGTTCGGGATTACGCGAAATTTCCGGGCGTGGGATATAAACACATATCACTCAAAACATGGCAGGGGAACGGAATCCTTTTCCATTAGTAAAAACAGTAGACAGTCACAGACTCTCCAAGTAATTGGGCGACAAATTCAGGCTATATCTTCTAATTTCAATAGTTTAGGCCGTGGCTGTATGAAAGTAAGGCACAATCCCGGAACCTGCACGCGACCATCACGAGTGCGGAACTCCCAATCCACACTGTTCTCTGGCTCGGTAACAGGGTATTTGACCACCCAAGCGATAGCTTCTGATAATTTGGCCATAAAGAGAATTTCTTCCAAGTCAACCTTAAGCGTCGCAATTCTTAGTGATAGGTTTTCCTTTCGGAGATATATAATAACAGCTAGTGTAAGATGGGCATCAGATTCACTAGAAGGAAATAGATTAGCATGCGTGATCCACAGCGCTACACAGCTTAATCTAGCAGACTCATAGTATTCTAAGATTAATTTGCCTTGCAGCATGATAGAAAGTGGATCCACTTCCTGCATCACTTGACAGGCGTTCTGATCGGACGTATTTTGAAAAGATAATCCTCGAATCGCTGAGCTCATGAGACTGATATTATCTATCCACACAATTCTCGCGGTTTTGGTTGTCCTCAAAGCACATTTTTACATTGCGAGGATGGATACCTGAGTAGGTCTGTTTGGGTTGCTTCTTTTAATTCCATTTGGTTGGATGTGCCATCTGTCATGGAGATAGAATATAGAGTAAATTACATTACATCCCTTCTAATAACTGTCAATATGGATGGGCATATGGTCATTTGGATGTACTACTAGGCTTATCACCCTTCGTTAATGCGTTTGTCCTGTCTAATCATTAACAAGATGTGAGAGGAGGTTAGGAAAAAGGTGAGAGATAAAAAGCAATCTATATGTGATAGAGAATGCAGAGAAATCAGTTTAGTAAATGACCTAGGTATTCATTTTTAATCCCTTTCCTTATACTCACTGTTGATATGGATTGTAGATAGGAGGGTAGAGTAATGAAGAAAGAAAGGGAGAAAAGAGGAACGCGAAAGAGGGGGGGAAATCTAATGATTAGGTAAAGCATACTTATTATTTTACGGTGATTTCCACTCCACTGATGGTGGACCACCCTTGGTAAATGTATGTGGACAGAATGGGCCCAAGTGACTGCTGTGAGAGGGCGTTCTACGTCCAACAAGAGGTTTTTAAACAAGAAAGGAGCATACTCAGGTAAAGAAAGCATCACCAGGATGCCTGGGCTAATTATTAACATATATTTCCCAGCTCCATTACAAAGCGCTCCACCTCCACTCGACGAAATCCCGGAGCGCGTCCAAGGCAAATACAACATCCGGTAAGCACTGATAAGCAAATCAGTCTGGGATAGGAGTAGGACGATCACTGTCGAGTAATGGGACGCTTACTTTGAATCAGCGCTCGTTCTTCTAAGAGCTTTGTTGTAGACCCGTACTGCTGAGCCTTATTATGCGTGGATGCGAAAAAGTGCCGGCCGTTTTGCAGCTCGTCATTATTGTCATTTCGAGAGTGTAAGTGTGGATGAGTGTTCACCGAGTGTTTGGAAACACCGACAGGGACAATACCATTCTCTTTGAGATATCCTTCTACATCGTAACAATCGAGCCAGACATCTCGCATCTCATAAGTGGACTGGTGATTAGTGGCAACGTTTGTTGAGCTTTGCTCGCGAATAGTATTTGCTGTGATATAATCCCTCCGGTAATCGATATAATGTGACCCGGCACCGCCGATACCAAAGAAGGGAACCTCCAGGTCACCGGAATGGGCAAAAAAGCCATTTCGCAGAAACGATTCGAAAAGAAATGTCAGACGTTGCGGCGTCACTATCCCCAAGGGAAGACCAAGTCGTTGATAGATGGTTTGGGGACGAGAATCTGGATCAGTGAGACACCTGTATGCAACTTCAACGCAGGCACGATGAAGCCGGTAAGCAAATCCTGCTTCTCCGCTTTGGCTGGTGATAGCAGTCGGGCAGTCCAGTGATGGCGGCAGAGAATAATCCGCAGGAAGGATGCTATTATTGAGATTGCCTTTGCCTTCGGCAACAGGAGACGCATCACTAGCAGGTAAAGTTGAGTCCGAGGGCAAGAAGGAGCTGTCAGTTGCCGTATCACCAGGGCCATTATCCACGACCGAAACTGCCTGGTTTGTGAGGGACAGATAGTGTTTTGTAGACTGTTGAAGTGTCCGTGCCAGGTCTGGGGTCGATGCCAAAACTCCAGACTTTACCAACTCACCACTCAATGAAAGAAATGTTCTGCTCATTTGCTCCACAAGTCCTTCTAATTGATAAATCCGGTCATTCAGTGATGCTATAGTTGCATCTTTGCGCGCGCGATATGCTCGTTGTGCTAGCCTGACTTGAGTTTTGCGTTTCTGAATAGTTCAGCCTCCAGTCTAGTTCTCATTTATGGTTGCACCACCCACTAACATTGTTAGGCGTCTCTCCTCCCGACTGCATTTTTGGTCGTCTTTTTCCCCTTCCTCGTTGTCCCTTTTCGGAAGGGCTATCGTCCGGGCCCGTGGCTTCTGGTGACCCACTAACGGTATTGAGAGCAGGATCGACCGTCAGTGTTTTTTCGCCATTAGCTTTCCCACCCCCAGTGAAGGGAACATCTTTCAATTCGTGGTTGGCTTCTAGTACGGGCTCTTCGATCGTTGGTATTGTGGCGGGCCCGAAAGCGGTATATCTGGACGGTGGCATAATTATCTGTGGGCGGGAGTGGCAAGTGGAATGTGGTGACTCGGGCGCTGTATATGGCTTGTCGGCTACTTGTATTTGCCCGGTTTCCGAGTCGGCGCGGACCATTACCGCCACTTCGCAATAAGTTGACCAAGTTTCTCTAACTACCCATTAGATATGGTTATAATGGATTTGGGCTATAAGTAACCTAATAAGTCATTGGAGTAGGGTGTCCTAGAAGAGATGTTCTTTTAATATTGTACCTCCATAGTACCTTTTCCTTCCGAATAACGTCTGAATTATATCAATACTCTTGATTAATTAAATATTATCCTTGGTATTTTATTGAGAATTTCATTGATAGTACATGGTGTTTATTTAAGCATTTCATGAGCATTTCACGGAGCATATCATCTATTATTTCTTATCATTTTATTAAGCATCTTGTCGATCAATTTAATAATCAATTTCTGGATTATTTTATTCATTATTTACTAATTATCTTCGAGTAAATGATCTTTACTTATATATCTTAGAATGGCATAGTAATTTCTATATCATATAGCTAAATATTCGACCAAATTTAGAGTTAAAAGTTAGGTGTCGGGGTAACAGGGGGTCGGTCAGTCTAACATCACCCTAAATATACTTATCATATCTGTCCAACCTCCTCGAAGCGGTACGGTTTCTGGCAGTGTAGATATCCAGCCCTTGAAGACTTTCCCTGAATGCTCTCTGGTTATCTACTATTAGTGCAGGCATGGACTAGTTCTTCACCACAAATACAGGACAATATATCTAGCGTGGGAAGCCTCAGTAAGCGATGAAGCAGTATTGCATTAGTACATGAAAATAATAAAAAGCTTATATATGATGGCGACGACAATTAGTAGATCTCCCACTACCAGATATGCAGTGCAGTTCGGGTAAGTTTCGGAAAGGGAAGACTCCTGAGTGGATATTATCAGATACTATAAGTAGTTTTGCGACTGGCTCTTTCTGTAGCTAACCCACTTTTATACAGTAAATATGAGATACATATCACGAACTGTGAAGGCACAGGTAGAATATCAAAAAAAGAAATATGACAGATGTCCTGATGATGTATGCAAATCACCGGGTCATACTGTTTGCCCAGCTTGACCACTCACAGGTTTGGTGAGCGAGGATCTGTAGTTGAAGGTAGCATTCGTCTCTCTTTCCCTTGTCTGTCTGAGATGATCAAGCTCCCGCTCCCAGAAAATAAAACGCATTTTAGTAAATGTTATTTGTAAGGGATTGAAGCTATTCTGCCTCAAATGCTTGTAGGCTTCAGATGTGTTGCCAAGCATGTGTAAGGGGAAAAAAAGGGAGACAGTTTATTTTACCGATCAGGAACTACTGTAAATTTGAAGTGTATTCGAGCCAGCTATGGACTGGAATGATGTCATATGTTGGTGAGAGCTCGGATCTGATTACTATTCATGCCCGACTCTAAGGACCCATGTCTAAATTCCGCATCATGTTTGAACCGAAGTTGCGACATAAGATTAGTGATGTCAACTTTCCCCCCCTCGTCTCGAACACTCGGACGGCACAAGGGAAAGCAATTGGTTTTATAAAGTTTTAACTAATCTCTCGATCTCCGAACTGAAGCCCCAGCGACAAAAGTTATCAGCTAGATCAGTAATCATTATAATGTGTCAGGTGCATGAATGCTCATATTAAGAATTGTTGTCCTCTTGAATTTTTTTTATCTCAAACCAGTCTTCCCTTTGCGCCAACCAGAAAATAAACTGGCAGGTCCTACAACCAATACTCTACAAATCAATTCCTGTGATATAGAGCGCCATGATTTCGGGAAAACAGGTTGACTATTCCAAGTACAGCTTTTCAACGATGGTCGTATCTAATCTTTGGATATACCCTGTGCGGATTTTGCAAGTTATCGTTGCTCTTGTCGTCTTTGCTCTAAGTGCATATGGTCTGTCACTTCTAGTACCACCTTCTCGCGTTCACCGAAATAGCTGGTCCTGACCTCGGAGGCTTCGACAGTGATGCTTACTTTACATTTCGACTACATTATCATCCTCACGTTCTCCAATGGAATATGGAGCGCCTTCCTAGCAACACCAGTCCTTGCCCTACAACTGGAACTACCCAGCCACGTTGCATATCGCATTGCGATACTAGCAGTAGAAGGGACTACAATGATACTGTGGTTTGTCTGCTTCACTACGTTAGCTACGTTGTCCTCTCCAAGCTACTATGATACACGCAGCTCCGTTGCGTCTCGGGTAATTACTCTGTTCGGGGCAATTGAATGGTATGTTATATTGGCTTCTGCAGGGCAGGGACTGCTCGCCTCTATAAGCTAGCAGCAAAATCAACGCCACAGCTGCTGATTCTCAGGTTTTTAGGGTACTATTCTTGGCCACAACTGTATATCGCGTCGCAGGTTCCAGGGGCCGAAGCGGGGCTTTCACTTCCACGGGAGCGAAATCCAATCATCCAGAACCTCACAAACTTGGAGATTCTTCTCCCCAAGACATCCGCTCCTTTACTGCACGTCATACACAGTCCTGGGCAAAGTTATAAACGACTCCCATTTAGAGGAGATTAGTTTATTACTGAGTGACATGTATGTTGCTTTATTCCCAGAATACACTAGCTAGGAAAACCCTCACCGTAGCGAAAACAAAGTGAAGACCTGGTGTGATGGATATGTCCTTGTGGGCTTTTCATATATTACGTGTTGATGTCCAGCAGATCATCAGAGTACATATATAGTATTCAATAAACTTGGATAATTGATACTAAGGATTATAATACGATTTCCTGTATACTCATGGAATAAAATCTACGCTATTCCTCACCGGAACCCGGACGAATTAAAAAGCCTTGCTTATCTTATTAAGTTAGGTTGTGGGTCAAGTCCAACCACAGAAAGTGCTTGGATCCACAGGGTTAGTTGCTATAAGGTTAGAGCCGCCCAATGGGCGGGCTCAGGCAGTCCATTCTCATTACTAATAGCGTTCAAAGATCGGAACGTATAGTAATCATCCCGGTCAGATATGCTCTAATTCAGTGAAGACGGCTCAACTCACTCATGAATGCCGAAAGGAGGTTTAATGTTGAGTAATCGGGCAAGATTTGATTATTTGGCCAGAAAGGGGTTCTACTGTCTTATCGTACCGATGGTATTGTACAATATAGAAGACTTGGTTATCCAGGTCAAGCAATATAACAGGAGTTATGCCGCCAATACAAACTTCTCTTTAATTATTATTTTCGTAAACTGGCGGGCATTTACCGCGAGTTTATGCCTCTTTAATCAACTCATAATATCTACACCTTTACCACGTCTACCTATCCTCAACCATGCCTTCTACTTCATCAAGCATGGATGCAGAGTCCATAATTGCTGATGGAGAACTACAATCCGCAGATGTCAAGGGCGATACGCAAAACGCATCCATCGATCGCACCGGAATGACATGGCATATGGCACCCGAACTGCGCCAAATCAGGGAACGAGCTGAAGACGGTGGAGAGAAGCCCAAAATGCTCGGCGTGGCCTGGCAGGATCTCACCATCAAAGGCGTTGGCGGCAACGCCATGTTCAATGAGAACGTCCTCTCCCAGCTTTTCCCTTTTCATAGGGGTGGCAAAGCCACCGAAACCAAGACTATAATTGAAAGTTCGTTTGGATGCGTCAAGCCTGGGGAGATGTTGCTCGTTCTGGGACGGCCTGGAGCGGGTTGCACGACGCTGCTGAATGTACTCGCAAACAATCGTCTCGGCTATGAAGAAGTCAGCGGAAATGTTAACTACGGAAACATGTCTGCCGAGGAAGCCAGGAACTACCGTGGCCAGATTGTCATGAACACGGAGGAGGAAATCTTCTTTCCAACCCTGACCGTTGAAGACACGATCAATTTTGCCGCTCGCATGAAGGTCCCATATCAGCTGCCGCCTGGGACTGCGACTCATGAAGAGTATGTCCAGTTCTATAAGGATTTCCTCCTCCGCTCAGTTGGGATCTCCCATACCGCGCGGACGAAGGTCGGTGATGCCTTTATTAGGGGTGTCTCAGGTGGGGAGAGAAAACGTGTCTCTATTCTGGAGTGTCTTACTACTCGTGCTAGTGTCTTTTGCTGGGATAATTCGACAAGAGGCCTTGATGCCAGTACAGCTCTTGAATGGATCAAGGCCATTAGGGTGATGACTGACCTCCCTGGGCTCAGTACAATTGTCACCCTCTATCAGGCGGGCAACGGAATCTACGAACATTTTGATAAGGTTCTGCTTCTCGACGAAGGCAAAAAAATCTTCTACGGGCCTCAAAAGGAAGCTGTCCCATTCATGGAAAGCCTGGGCTTCATGCGGGATTCGGGTTCCAACCGGGGAGACTTCCTGACGGGTGTTACGGTTCCTACCGAGCGCCTCATTGCCCCTGGGTATGACGACAAGTTTCCACGCACCGCCAACGACATCCGGGCTGCATATGAACGGTCCCAAATCAAGCCGCAGATGCTGGAAGAGTCCCAGAGTTACCCGACAAGCAAAGGCGCAGCTGAGAACACAGCCGTTTTCAAAGAAATGGTTTCTCGAGAAAAGCACAAGGGTGTATCCAAGAGCTCTCCCGTCACAACTGGTTTCGTCACTCAAGTAAAGGCCGCGATTATCAGGCAGTACCAACTTATGTGGGGTGACAAGGCGACTCTACTCATGAAGCAAGGTGCCACAGTTATCCAGGCACTCCTCGGTGGTTCTCTCTTCTATTCTGCCCCTGACAATTCTATCGGCCTTTTTCTCAAGGGTGGTGCCCTGTTTTTCTCTATTTTATACAACGCTCTTATAGCCCTATCAGAGGTTACCGACTCCTTCACTGGCCGACCTATTCTTGCCAAACACCGCTCCTTCGCATTGTATCACCCAGCGGCTATCTGCATCGCCCAGATTGTTGCCGATTTACCTATCCTTTTATTCCAGGTTACGCACTTCGGCCTGATCCTCTATTTCATGGTTGGCCTGAAGTCCACGGCGGGGGCATTCTTCACTTACTTGGTCATCAACTTCATGACAGCCATGTCTATGACATCTTTCTTTCGACTCGTTGGTGCCGCATTCCCTACGTTTGACGCTGCGTCCAAGGTGTCGGGTCTTTCAATTGTAGCGCTGTTTGTCTACATGGGATATATGATTATCAAGCCTGAGATGCATCCATGGTTTGTATGGATTTTTTGGATCAACCCGATGGCCTATGGATTCGAAGCTCTTCTTGGAAATGAATTCCATGACCAGGTTATACCATGCTACGGCCCCAACCTGATTCCAAGCGGCCCTGACTATATTGGTGAAGGGGGGCAATCATGTGCTGGTGTTGTCGGCGCAGCACCTGGTGCGACCAGCTTGACTGGTGACGAGTATCTCGCAGCCATGTCCTTTAGCCACAGCCATATATGGCGTAACTTTGGAATAATCTGCGCCTGGTGGATGCTCTTCATTGCGCTTACCATATTTTTCACTTCCAGGTGGAAGCGACTTGGAGAAGGAGCTCGTAAGCTCCTGATCCCTCGAGAGCTACAGCATAAGTCAAAACATCTTTTGGAAGTCAGAGACGGGGAAGCGCAAGCCCAAGAGAAATATGTGGTCAGCTCTGGATCCACTGCATCAGAGGGCAGCGTTGGAAATGACCTGCTCAGCAATAAGAGCATATTCACTTGGAAAAATCTGACTTACTCTGTCAAAACAGCTGATGGTGATCGTGTCCTTCTTGACAACGTTCAAGGTTATGTCAAGCCTGGTATGCTTGGAGCTTTAATGGGCTCGTCTGGTGCTGGCAAGACTACCCTACTGGATGTTCTCGCACAACGCAAAACCTCAGGGACTATCCACGGATCCGTTCTGGTAGATGGGCGTCCTCTGCCTATTTCCTTCCAACGCTCTGCTGGCTATGTCGAGCAGTTGGATATTCACGAGCCCTATGCAACTATCCGGGAAGCCCTTGAGTTTTCGGCACTATTGCGCCAACCTCGCGATATACCCACCGAAGAAAAGTTGCGATATGTGGACACCATTGTTGATCTTCTTGAGCTGAATGATCTTGAACATACTCTCATCGGCCAACCAGGTGCTGGTCTTTCAGTGGAGCAACGGAAGCGTCTTACTATTGGTGTTGAATTAGTGGCAAAGCCCAGTATCTTGATCTTCCTTGATGAGCCGACGTCAGGGCTTGATGGTCAAGCTGCCTATAATACTATTCGCTTTCTTCGCAAGCTTGCAGAAGCGGGTCAGGCTATCCTGGTTACTATTCATCAACCATCAGCACAGTTGTTTGCACAATTTGATAAACTACTATTGCTGGCTGCCGGCGGGAAAACGGTATACTTTGGAGATATTGGCCAGAATGCGAACACTGTCAAGGAATACTTTGGGCAACATGGGGCGCCTTGCCCACCGGAAACAAATCCTGCTGAGCATATTATTGATGTTGTGTCGACAGGGGACCGTCTTGATTGGAACCGGGTCTGGCTGGAGTCCCCAGAACATGAAAGACTCTCCGAGGAATTGGATACCATGGTTGTTGAAGCTGCGGGTCGGCCTACAGTAGCAAACGATGATCCGCATGAATTTGCTGCCTCTCTCTGGACGCAAATCAAGCTCGTGACGCATCGGATGAACGTCTCGCTCTTCCGGAACACCGAATACCTCAATAATAAATTCGCCATGCATATCAGCCTAGCGCTACTGAATGGCTTTACCTTCTGGAAAATTGGAGATGCTCTTACAGACCTGCAGCAGAACCTCTTTACTGTGTTCAACTTCATCTTTGTCGCGCCAGGTGTTATCTCGCAGCTTCAGCCCCTCTTCATTGACCGCCGCGACATCTTCGAGGCGCGTGAGAAGAAAAGCAAAATGTACCACTGGGCTGCCTTTGTGACGGGCCTTATAGTCTCAGAGTTCCCTTACTTGCTTGTCTGTGCGTTGCTGTATTACGTTTGCTGGTACTTTACGAGCGGCCTTCCTACCTCCGCTGAGCACGCTGGGAGTGTCTTTTTCGTTGCAGTAAGCCCGCCCTCCTGTCTTCGAATTTCCTTGCTTTCCGAATGGGTGAGCTAACACCATCTCAGGTAATCTACGAGTGTCTTTACACGGGCATTGGACAGATGATCGCCGCTTACACACCAAACGCCGTGTTTGCCTCTCTGGTCAACCCTCTGGTGATTACCACTCTCGTCTCCTTCTGTGGCGTGATGGTTCCATATAGCCAAATTGTAGCATTCTGGCGATACTGGTAAGACTTCCCTGGATGTGTCACGGTGATGCAGTTTGAGCAGCTTATAACGACTATCGCCTTTAGGATGTATTACCTCGACCCCTTCAACTACCTCATGAGTTCTTTGCTGATATTCACTACTTGGGACAAACCCGTACAATGCAAGCCCGAAGAACTAGCTGTGTTTGATCCAGCTCCCAATGTGACATGCGGCGAATATCTCAATGTCTACCAGCGTGGCGTGGGAATGGCCACGAACCTTCTCAACCCAGATGATACACTCGGATGCCGCGTCTGCCAGTATACCCAAGGTGGAGACTACCTCCGTACGCTAAACCTACACGAACGATACTACGGATGGAGGAACGCGGGCATTGTCGTTGTATTTGTGGTTGGTATCTACGGGCTCGTATTTCTTATGATGAAACTCCGGACCAAGGCCACCAAAAAGGCTGAGTCCTAAAGCGGAAAGGAAACATGGATGAGTACCATACTATCTGCTGGGTTAATAACATTGTGCTTCTTGGGAGATTGCCGATTGCCGGTTTATAGTGCTTACATACTTATAAATGGTACATAATAGTATATAGGTATATTTATAGTTAATTGTCAGCCTTCCTCAATCATCAGATGAGCAATAGCCTATCCTTGTGTAGCACATTTTGCGTTTACAAAACAACAGACTTTCGGTTCAAATAGTTCGAACAACAACCTCTAAATAGCTTTTACTCTAGGAAAGCGTAGACGAGGCAAGGGCGGAATGACAATCATCGTCATCACCATTGGCGGTCCATCCGATCATTCTTCAATTCGTTTTCTTTCTTTCCATAATATTCACTTTGGCAGTAGACAGACACTGGAGGTGATCTTGATTATTGTTGTTATATGTGTATATATAGAATGGATAGTATAACGAGATGATACAGGTGGTTAGTAAATATATTTATCTAACAGTCTAGATATGCAGCATCCGAACTATCTCTACCATCTCCCATAAAATCTCCTGGTTATCTAATATAGTAATATCATTTAAATAGTATACAAACACTACTATAATACTTAATATCACCAGAAAACCAAATTGCAGTATATAGGGTAATTTAGAATATGCAAACATAAATATGGAGTAATTGTTAGCTCCTTGCAGATAAGATGATAAAATATGATATCATATCGGCCTCCACCGACGGCGATCCCCGCTGTCCTCGACTACATGTAAAGCTCATCCCCATCAATTAACTCAATCTACTCAATTAATTACAACGATCTCATCTATAATCATGGCCATCGAAATCAAACCCCTTCCACCACAGGAAGGCCGCGACACCGACTTCGGCGCGGAAGTGTATAATGTCGATTTGGAGAATCTCTCGGGTACCTCCTCACCTCACTCCATTCTATTAATTAATACTAACAATATAGACTCCGACTTTGAAACCATTCACAACGCATTATACAAAAACCTCGTCCTCGTATTCAAAAACCAATCCCATCTCTCCCCAAAAGCACAATACACCCTCACAAACCGGTTCGACCCATCCGCGCAAACCTACGGCCACGGAACATCCATTCCCACGGCAAAGAAGTCCATTCTGCACCCAGACCTGAAAACAGTTCCGCACCAGCCTCAAGTCCAGGTCATCGGACATGGCTTCGTACCCGAATATGAAGGATTAAAGAATATTCAGCTCAAACATCCCCATCATAAGACGTTTCATAGGGACGCGATTCCTGAGGAGAAGGATTTGGATTTCACCCGCTTTTATAGATGGCATATTGATGCCGCGCTGTATGAGCTATATCCGCCTAAGGTTACGACATTGTTGGCTGTGACGGTACCTAAAGGACGACGGCAGACGTTGCTTTATGATGATGGCTCTGGGGAGACGTTGGATGTGCCGCTTGGTACGACGGCATTTGTGAGCGGGGAGAGGATGTATGAGATCCTCTCGGATGAGGAAAAGGAGTTTGTTAATGGGAGTCGGGTTGAATATGCGCCTCATCCGTGAGTTACTACCTCTATACTGATTAAGGTGGAGATGCTAATGATGTAGGTACATCTGGATGAACCAATGCAGAGCCCTCCCCACCGGACTAGGCCTCTATAGCGAGGGCAGGGAACTCCCCCTCTCTGACCTCCCTGAGATTGACGAATCCAAGATTCAAATCTTACCGATGGTCTGGAAGAACCCAGTGACAGGTAATCCGGCACTGCAGATCCATCCGTCGGCAGTGAGGAAGATCCACCGCGCAGATGGAAGCGTGATTGATGACCTCGCTACCGTCCGAGACATCGTGTATAAACTGCAGAGACCCGCTATTAGCCCCAAGTATGTGTATCCGCATGATTGGGAGGAAGGGGATCTAGTCCTCTTTCATAATCGGGGCTTGCTACATTCTGTCGTTGGTGCGTTTGGGGAGGGAGAAGTGAGGATTTTCAGACAGTGTAATTTGGCGGCAGGGGAGAGTGTTTAACTTGATATAAGTAATAAGATAGATCTATAGACTAGAACCGTATAATATAAAATCCATTCACCAGCACCTCCCTATCCTTCATTTCTGCCGTAGCACTCCTCACCCCAATCCAATGCAAGGGCGCTTCCTCGATGAACTTCTGTCCTCGCATGCGTACATTGTTAACTCCATCCCTCGTCCGCTCCATCCACCCCTGGCTCCGATCATGCATGTCAGGCGCCCAAGCCGGATGATCGAGGATACTCTGCGCCAGACTCGCATCGCACGTATCAGCCAACATGGCCGCCTCAGCTGCAGCCTCGCGGGCGTACTGGAGTTGATCCTGTGTCATTGCGAGTGAAGGCGGGGGGAGATCTGCGCGGATGAAGCCCATGATGCGGATTTCGAGTTTGGGGTTAGCTGGAAGTGGGAGGGTGTCCAGGAAGCGGAGGACGGAGAGGCGTTTTGTCGTTTGGGTGATGTTGATGTTGGATGCGAGGAGCGGGTTGAGGGTTGTTATTGAGAGGATGGATTGGTGCCATGGGCTTTGTTGTTTTGGATTGTCGATGCGTGTCCAGGCGAAGAAGTAGCCGTGGAGAGTGTCCAGAGTCAGGTCTGATACCTTGATATTGAGACGTGGGGGTTCGTCGGATGGATAGTCTGGAATGATATCTCCCCTTGCTTTGATATTCATAGGAAAGGGAGACGTCGGCCCCTGCTCGAGATATCCTGCATCTGGCTCACCCATCGGCGACAACGAATGCCTATTCTGATACCCAGCCGGCACACCCAGTCTATCCTTCATCCCACTCAGATTCCACGCCTTCTCCCCCGCCACCTTCTTTACACCCGACGGCGTATAATGATCCATCTTGGCCTGCACACTCGCCGCAACAGGCCCAACAAACCGCTGCACCGTCGCCTGCGCATACAGACTCGCCACCATCGCACCCACTTCCAACGGCAGCGTACTCAAACTCGCTCCCCTCAGTGAATGCGGCGAAAACGACGTCGACAACACCCGAAACACAGGACTCATACACAATACCTTCTTCTTGCCTGTGCAAAGCACAAGCTGGAAATACCCATCCCCGGCTTCAACAGGGATGCGCACGACGGCCGTCTCGCGCAGCGCATGCCCATCACGGACCTTGGCCGGAACGCGAGTCGGGAATTTGGCGATATCGCGCTGCCAAGCGCGTTCGTCGGCGGGGTCGACCTGGTCTGATTTGACGGGGAGAGAGGGCGTGACGTTTAGCCAGTCATCGTGGAGACGGAAGAGGGCTTTTGCTTTCATGCCTGTTTTGCCTGTCCAGCCTTTGGATTGGAGCCAGAGGGTGCGATCTGGGGGTAGGGGGGATGAGGAGAAGATGGAGATTGCTACGGAGGTGGTGCTGCCGCGGTAGAAGACGACGCCGTGCGAGTGGCGCAGAATGGTGTAGTGTTTTGTTGATGAGGTGGGGTGGTTGATGAGGCCGCCGAGGAAGTGTGTTACTTCGCCGTATGCTTTTTGGATGCCTGATGGTGAGGGAGTTGATGGTGATGGAGATTGAGGCTCAGTTGGTCGAGGGGGAAGACGTGGGCCTATGTCACTGCTTGATCTTTGGAGTGTAGGCGTAGGCGGAGTGAGTGTGTTTGTTTGTTGATATCGATATTCATGATGAAGCGTATTCGACGAAGCAGCCTGTCTGAGTGGTGGCCGTGGTGGGAGAGGAGGGCCCCTCTCTGCATCGGTGAAGCTCTGATGCAGATTGGGATTGGAAACAGGCTTCCGTTTGATGCGGAATTCAGGTGGGCCTGCCTGGAGAGAAGCTGGGACTTCCAGTGCCATTGTGACTGAGATCTTGGTAGCTACCCCGTATGACGATCGATGAAGTCGGATGCCCCGGATTGGTTCAGGAAAAGGGGTGGACCCTGATTGGCGGTGTGCCTGAGTCAGCACAATCCCTTTGTTTGCAGCCAATGGGAAATTAGAGTGAAAAGCAAAGAGCCAATCAAACACACAGACCATCCCCGCATTCCAATAGCAGCCCCACTCTCGCCAACTGCCTGTTTCGTACAACCTGAAGACTTTGCGATGTCACTCCAGATTGCCACTTCTTTCTTCTCAAATCCAGCAGGGATGTCGAATACCAGACTCTACCTCGGTGATGGAGGCAGAAAAAGAGGTCCCGGGGTCTAACAAACACAGTCATGAAGGTGACTGGGAGTGCGATCCACGCAATCCGTTCAATTGGTCGATATGGAGAAAGTGGATGGTTATGTTGACGTCTTATTTAATAACCTTTATGATCGGGCTGAATGCTACTTCAATCACAACGGCTGGAGAGGCAATTTCTGTCGACTTTGATCTGGATAATGGCATTTTCGAATATAACTTTTTCTCCGTGACGGCGTGGAATGCAGCCGCGGCTTTTGTGCCGTTGGTTACGCTGCCATTGATGGAGACATACGGAATGAGATTAGGCTATTTGGTATGTTTCCTTCTACTCATTAAGAACTAACTAACAATCAGACTGCATACGCCCTCTTCACCATCTTCACCATCCCCCAAGCACTCGCCAAGAACTTTGCCACTCTCGTCGTCTGTCGTGTTCTCGCCGGCGCCTTTGGCGGAACACTGCAAAACGCCCCAGACGGAGTGGCAGCGAATATGTTCCGCACGGCCCAAGAACGTGTATTCCCATTGACGGTGTATGTCTTTTCGCTGCTGTTTGGTGTTACCCTAGGCCCGGTTTTGGGGGCTGTGGTGGAGCCGCTTGGTTGGCATTGGTGAGTGTATACCTACTGCATGGATGTTATGGTATGCTGATGATGGAAGGATATTCTGGATTCAACTCATGATAAACGGTGTCTGCGCTCCGATTCTTTTCTTCGGGATGCCAGAGAGTCGGGGTGAACTCATCTATGGCAAGATATCCAACACGCTATCGACACAGTCCGAGAATGCCGAAGCAGCGCATCTTCTCAAAGAGACTGTCGTTCGTGGTGCTATCCTCCTCACCACCGAACCTACTGTTACTTCGTTTACCGTGTGGTCCGCTTTTGCATTTGGTCTCGTCTTCATCTCCACCCAATCCGTCCCGATCGTGTTTACGGGGACGTACGCCTGGCCGGGCTTTACAGGAGGCATCGTGCAGCTATCTCTCGGGATAGGCCAGATAATTGGTCTATTTGCCTTCCTCATCCAGAAGAATATCTATACAGCATCTGTAGCAAAGAATACAGAGAGACCAGGAACTCCGATCCCAGAAAGTATCCTGCATCTCGCTATCCCGAGTACTCTGATCGGTCTGGCTGGTGGATTGTTCATGTACGGCTGGTCTACGTTTCAATCGCATTGGATCGTTCCTGCTATCGGACTTGGTCTGGTTGGATACGCAAGCATGATCATCGTGAATACAGCGACTATCTACGTTACGGATGCTTATCCTGGCTACGCAGCGAGTGCCATTGCGGCAGTCGCGTTTGGAGAGAATACCTTTGCGGCTTTCTTGCCATTAGCTGCGAAACCGATGTATGTGAGGCTGGGATATGCGTGGGCGAGTAGTTTGCTGGGCTTTGTGGCGCTTGTGCTGACTCTTGCGCCGGTTGTGCTGTTATGGAAGGGAAGGACGATTCGGGCAAAAAGTGTTGCTATTCAGAAGATGGGATGACCAAGCAATAATATAACATTAATATTGACGACATCTCAGCAAATGTCATAGACGATCTACCGCAATCTCTCTAACTCTCTCGCTATCTTCACCCTCTTTAGAAACTTCGACAGATCCTTGTGCCCTGACTTAAAAGCCCGGTCTGCAGGACTTTGTCCTTTCTTATTCAACGCATACTGAATCCCATCCTCAGCCAGCAGTAATTCCACAGCGGGTCTTCCTGACTGTGCCGCGTAGAATAACGGGGTATTACCCTTATCATCCGGTTTATTAACATCCACCTTGCCCGTATCAAGCAGCATCTCCATGATTTTGACATGTCCATGTTCGGCCGCAATCGCCAACGCCGTCGCACCTCTATCACATCTCGTGTCTGGATCGATTGTATCATGAGCAAGTATGATCTTCATCGCCGTCTCGTCTCCTCCCCGGGCTGCGTGTTTAAGCTCATTCTCTACCCCCAATAGCCTCAACGTACCCCTCTTGACACCATTGAGCAGCACCTCTCCCATCTCTGGGTTCCCCATTCCAGGCACTCGCACTAGATACGGCGTCTCCCGGTGGACATGGGTATAGCCTAGAAGAGCGCGAGCGGTGCTTACATCGCCATGTGTAATGGCAAAAGTAAGCGGCGAGCGCATCCCGCAGGACGAATGGAAAGGGACCGCCGTGTACGATAGGAATAGCTCCACGATTCCTGCATAGCCTTTCGTCAGCGCCACGTCGAACGCCGTGTGGCCCATGACATCTTTGGCTTGGAGCTTGATGTCGTCTCGCGCGAGGAGTTTCGTTACGATTGACTCCATGTATTTGCTTACGGCGATGTGTAGCGCTGTTTCATATATCATGTTCTGCGAATTAATATTCACGCCATCCCGCGCTAGTAATGTCTCTGCTATGTCAACGTGGTCGTTTTTCAAGGCAGTCAGTAATGGTGTCTGGTCGAGCAGACCTGGCTTGATGGTTGATCCCAGCCATGAAGGTCTCAATGAGCGCTTAAAGGCTTTCCATATGGTAAAGTTGGGATTACACACGACCACGTATTCTTTATTGTCATATTCGCTGCGGTATAGGTGGACCGGGATATAACAGACCATGTCCATTTCAACGATCTGGATGTTGGGGTCAGCGCCATGTTGTAGGAAGATTTCGAGTGGTCGTTTGTGGCCATAGTGAGCGGTCCATATTAGGCCTTCGCCTCCGCGGTGGTGGATGTTATGTTTGTAGAGGTAGTTATTCAGGGTGGTGTGGAGAGAGCGGTTGGCTTGGGTGAGCGAGTTGATGTCTGTTTGGTCGATATATTGGCTGATGAGGAGGAGGAGCTCTGGGGGAAAGTTGGATAGCATGGTGCTGGTATATTTATTGATGTAGTTGGGTGGTTGGATGTGGACAATATATGGAGGGGATGATGTCTTGACTTCATCGTGACATTTACATGGAAAAGTCTTCATACTGATTAGCTTTCCGGGCACATCTTGATCTAGTTTTGTATAAGAGTTAAATGAAAATTGAACCTCATTCACAGCGATGGTCGATCTATATAAAAGCTACGAAAACTGTCTCCTGTACATATTAGCACTTGTCCCAAGAGGAATGGAAGTATGAAGTACCAGCCTGCTATACATCCAGCAAGCTTTCCAACTCCCTATTAAACTTCATCTTGCCTTGTAAAAATCGAGCAAGAGGTCTATTCCCAGACACCAACGCGTAGTGAGCTGGTGTTTCTTTTGCCTTATTAACCGGATACTTAATGACTCCTTCCTGAGACAGTATAACATCCACGGCATCCCTGCCTGCCTCGGCAGCGTAGAATAACGGCGTGTTGCCACGTTTATCGCAACTGTTGACATCTACATTGTCCAAAACCAGAAGTAGTCGCATCACTGGTATATGGCCCTTCTGTGAAGCAATGGCCAACGGGGTCATGCCGTTCTCATTCTTCCGGTCTGGGTTGACTCTATCATGGTCCAGGAGGATTTTCATTCCTATTACACTTCCTTCGCGTGCTGCCCGCTCCAGAGAGTACTCTGGGTGGATGAACCTCAGTGTCTTCTTCAGAACACCTTCGAGCAGCGACTCAGGTATCCCAGGCTTATTATCCGTCATCCAGAATATATCCATAGTCTGTCGATAGAGATGGTTTTGATTAAGAAGAAGCCGTACGATGGACTGATTGCCCCGCTGAGCAGCAAGACTCAGAGTCGAAAACTCTTTATACTGCGCCCCCGTATGCTCCAGACCGCTGGATATGAGTAGCTCGACGATGCTTGTGTGGCCGCCTATCACAGCGACCTGGAGTGCCGTTACCTACGACCGGTCCTGCAGCCGGAGGTCGCAGTCAGGGCGATTTAGGATGAGCTTCACCAGCTCTTCATGTCCTGCTTCAGCCGCCAGATGTAATGCTGCATCTCCATTGCGGTTTGGGTAGTTGATGTTGATATCACCGCGTGTCAGAAGCAACTGCGCAATTCTCATTCGGCCTGCTATCACAGCCAGGTGTAGTGCTGTGTCCCCATTCGTATCTCTAAAATTGATTCTGGCTTCTTCCCGTGCTAATATCAATTCAACAGCCCGTTCAAGTCCATCCCTTGCTGCCAGGTGTAGCGGTGTCTCGTTAGAAAGGTTCCTGAGCCCAACGTCCACAGCATCACAACCCAACAACATCTCTGCCACATTGACCTGTCTGTGCTCTAACGCCGCCATCAATGGTGTCCTGTTCAGATATCTTTCCTGCCAGTCATATCTCCCTTGTGGATCGGGGTTGAATGGCTTCCACACCGTACAGTTGGGGTTATGTGCGACTACCCATCCTTCGATGTCATATTCATCCCGGTACAGATGCTGCGGGACGCATGCCATTTTACCCATCTTCGTCACTTTGATGTTGGGATCTGCGCCATGATTCAAGAAGCGTTGAACGATGGCGGTATGACCATGGATGGCTGCCTAGATCAGGCCATCGCCTCCGCGATATTGAATATTGTGGGTGTATAGATGGTCGTGCAATGTAATGTAGAGCCCTCTATTGGTGCATATCAGCTTGAGAATGTCTTTCTGGTCGAGAATCTTGAGGATGAGGAGGAGAAGCTCGGGTGGCAGAGTCAGCAGCGACATGCTGGGTGTTTATGACTTTATCCGTGAGACAATATCTTGTATATAAATCCAAAGTCATCCGAGGGACCGCGTAGCCCTTTTGGTCTAATCATTATTTTCACGCAGGAGACTCATTTTCGCGTAGTTTATGGAGAATTACCAGAGCTATAGACCGACATACTAGGCCTATTCGGGAAATGGGTGCCTAGAGTCACATACGTTTTGACTTCATCGTGACAATTCCATGTGGAGAAATATGTTCTTTAGTAATAGTATTATCAACCCTCTATGACAGCATTATCTTTTACTGTACTATCTAGCAGGCATAGTTACTACAAAAACAGTTCCATAGAGATAGCTATATTGTAGCCTGTCGTAGATCGCAGCTCTCCAGAGTCAGCAACTTTGTATTGTCCGTAGGAGTTTATTAATATTCTGACACTTACGTTGGTTTGATGTATCTATATTAATCAGTCTGTTATGCAGATGCCTATATCAAGTCTTTCATGCCGTGCGAGCATGGAGTCAAACTATATTTAAATCTAGGCATCCATTGGCCTGGCATGCTATTGCCTGAACGTTTGTATAAACGCTGACATGGAAGACCTTTTGCCACAACACTCAATCAATACATTATCACTTCTCGGACACATCCTATCATCGTTATCCGGTTTATGTAATAGTGTTAAATATGAAATGCACTGGGATATGTTATTCTATGCGATCTGTAAATTCTCTCAGATGCCCAGAATAAAGCCCTGTTCCCGGACTTGCCCTCCTTGGTTGGTGTCCACCTTGCCTGTTTCCAAAAGAAGCCGCATGATTGGTAAATAGCCCCTCTCTGCAGCAATTGCTAGGGGGGTTTTTCCATTCTCATCCTTCCAGTCTGGATCGATTCCATCGTGAGCAAGAAGAATTGTCATTGCCAGTACATGTCCCACACCCGCTGCCTTTCCCAGCCAGGACTCCGGGTGGGTGATCCTCAGCGTTCCCTTGTTCACACCCTCCAACAGTAGGTTTGGTACATCGCCTTCTCCATTAGCAGCATAGACGATCTCGATGGTGTGTCGATGAACATGGTCCTGGTTAAGGAGGACACGGACAACCCCCTCATGCCCATTGCGGGCGGCAAGAAAGAGAGGCCGGTTTCTTTCAGGCCCCAGCGCTGTGTAATCCGCCAGGTCGCGAGAGATAAGCAGCTGGACGACGCTTGTATGCCCCTTCCCCGCGGCCATGTGGAAGGCCGTTTCTCGTCGCCAGTTTGTTTGGACGCCCCTGACATTGGGGTGGTCTAGAATCAGCTTGACGATGGCCTCGTGCCCGTGGGCAGCGGCTAGATGGAGTGCTATGCAGCCTTGGTCATCGGTGAGGTTAATGTCGAGCTCATCGCGCGCGAGCAGTAGCTCTGCGATCTGGTCGTGCCCCTGTCTGATCGCACAGTGGAGGGCGGTTTGGCCGTTGAGGCCGGCCATATGGATGTCGATGTTGCGTCGAGCCAGGAGCAGTTCAACAATTCTCGTATGCCCTTCCATCGCAGCCAGAATTAACGCCGTCCATCTGTTGCCGTCCTGGACGTCAATTCTGACATCTTCCCGCGCCAATATTAACTCCACGATTCTCGTGTGTCCATCTAACGCTGCCCAATGCAGCGCCGTCCGATTCTCAGAGTCCTTCGCATTGACCGCCACATTGCGATGCTCCAAAAGCAATCTCACAACATCTTCCATTTCCCAACGCACGGCCAAATTCAACGGCATCAGATGGGAGGGAATCCCCTTCTCAACATCCACCCCATCCAAACCCACCAACAGTTCGGCAACTTCCACATTCCCATTCGATAAAGCCGCCTCCAAAGCCGTATCCTCTATATGCACACCCTCCCGCCGGTTATAAAACCCTTCCGGGTTGGGATGGAACACCGTCCAGTGCGTGCACGCGGGGTTGTGCGCAACCATCCAACCATCAAAGTCATATTCAGGCCTGTACAGACCGCGCGGGATGAAGGACAAATTGCCTATGCTTGATACTCTGATATTTGGATCTGCGCCTTTCCGCAGGAAGCGCTGCACAAGCGCTGTATTGTCATGGGTGGCTGCCCAGATCAGGGCATCGCCACCGCGATGCTGGATGTTGTGGGCGTACAAGTGATCATTGAGGACGTTGTATAGTTCGCGGTTGGTAGAAATCAGCGCAAATACATCAGCCTGGTCAAGGCTATTTAATATAATAAGTAGGACTTCTGTGGGGAGGTGGAGGAGAGACATGGCAGATGTTCAGGGCTTGGTGCATGATAAGAGTTAAGTGATTTTTGCAAGCACGCGACTCCGTACGGAGTACAGATCATGACGTTCCGTGCCAAAAGTCATTTTCCCGAAATTTCATATCCGAATACTAAATACAAATGTAGTTATCCATTCCATTAAACAAACCCCTAAAGCCATCTTTCTATAGTATTCTATTAGTACTTTAAGTAAATATAGCATAAAAAGGTATATTACAATATTTTTCAATGGTATTTTTTTCAAAACAAAAATTAATATAAGGGGGGTATTCCATAGAGTATAGTTTATAAAATGCAACTATAGGTATATTATTTTAGAAATATATATTTTCAAACTAAAAGTATTATTTTATACTTTTATCCTCTAAAGATGGTTGACTGACATGAAGAATTAGACATAATTAGGTGCGTGGCTATATCTAACAGCAGTAGAATTATAACTTTTATCGCGGAACTCATTATCATCCACTGTACTAGGCCTATTCCGGAGGGATCTGCTTCTCCATTTAAACTCTGATGATATCCCCACACAGATATCTCGTCTATCTGGTGCGTCTGGCCAATTGTATTAGACTATCTTGGACTGACAGAACCAGAATTAAATGCTGTCACCACACAGGATAACAGGTGCTATTAAACTATCTATTGTCGAGTCAGATGTACTGACCTCCCCGTATTAATCACATATAAATAGTCTTCTGTCTGTCTATATTTAGAGATGCCTATGGAATGCTCTAATACCATGTCATCATGAAGTGGAAGCATACTTAATGGTAGGCATCCATTGACTGAGCATGTCAGCCTGGACCTTTGTAAACTCGAAACGTAAAGCACCTTTGCTACAAAACCAAACCATCTACTCTACTCTTCCATTATATTAATTCACTTTATAAGACAACTATCTCATTAGATACTACCCATAATGGCTCTAGATAATATACCAGCAGAGCTTGTGTTTCTCATTGCGAAAAATATCGATGATCAGAAAGACCTCAACTCACTCGCCCTCACCTGTCGTCTCCTGTACAACGTCTTTAATGACTACCTCTATACGCACAACGTCAAGCATCGTGGAGGCGATGGCTTAATCACGGCAGCTGGTAAGGGCAGCAAAACCGCGGTTGAATACTTCCTCAATAAAGGCGCTGATCCCAACATCCAAATCGCACCGATCGACAAGGCGGGCTATGTTCCAGCCGACGCCTTCCCACATGGCTATAATCCCAAGGAATGGCTGGTCGTGTACAACCCCGACTTCACAGTATGGAAAGCGATTCCATGGACAATGAATGATTTGGGAAATGACGAGTCACAGCCATACCATGGAAGGACACCACTATTGCTTGCGTTAAAGCACGGCTATACAGCCGTTGCTGAGGTCCTTCTTGCTTACGATAAAGTCAAATTGCACATGGTGGATCCATCAGGCAGGACGGCAATGCATTTGGCTGCATCGCATGGACTTGAACGCATTGTTACAATGCTACTGGCACGGGGATGTGATATCAACGCCCAAGACAGGAAAGAAGACACGCCACTACATTCAGCCGTGAAAGCGGGCCATGTCCAAATGACCGACTTCATACTCAACTGCCCGAATGTCAAATGGCGTCAGCAAGGCATATCTGGAGGTCCGTTCCATGTCGCTGTGATGAATGGACATACGCAGCTCGTGCAGATGCTTTTATCTCGGGGCATGGCAGACTACACAACACCCGTTCATGTGTCACACTCGGCTCTGTTTTTTGCTGTGCAGGGTGGCTACGAGACAACTGTGCGTCTTCTCCTGGACCAAGGCCATCTCCACCAGGAGTCAGTGGATATAGTTTGGTTGGCCGAGAGAAGAGAGGGGATGATGGACGTACTCTTGGAGGCCGTGAAGAAGAAGACTCTACGAATCACCCATCCAAGCTATGGGTTGGGATTTGCAGCCCGCAGAAAAAGTGTCAAGGCGATGGAGATCCTCCTGGCTCACGAGGATATCAATCCCGAACAGATCTGTTCCAAAAAAACTCCTCTATCAATCGCAGCAGAGAATGGAAACTTGGAGATAATGCAGATGCTTCTGGATACTGGCAAGGTAGATGTCAACTACCGTGATGTAGCAGGAAATACACCCTTATTCTATGCCGCGAAAGGCGGAAGAGAAGCTGTCGATTTCCTACTGGCGCAGGAGGGAATCATACGGGAACCCGTCAACAACGACGGACTGACACCAGCTCATTATGCTTTGATTGCGGTGAACCAAGACCTGTGCAGGTACTTGAAGGGTGGGAAGAAAATGAGTCGGGAGCTTGAGAATTTGCTGTACTCTTGAATCTTCTATGTAACTCGGTAATTGGAGCATGGTGGGAGATTGAAACTCGCTTTTTATTAAGTCTGTGTTTATAGTTGAGTTGTTATAGAATGATCGAATATCAGGATTTTTTTCCTTCCGACAACAACCTATTATTCTGAATTCCTCCATTTATCTCTAGAAAGTATTTGCCTATACATCAGAAGCGGGCTGCAGATACCTAGACAATTATTTATGCTATCCAATGGTCATTATGAATTAAATATAATTTATTGTAGGCATTCACACTTAAATCGATATATCTGCCTAAAGGGTAGTCCCGCCACCCAGTCAATCCACACTCATTCAGAAGCCCGCCCCTCCACAACGCACTCCACAACACATACATCAGACACATCAAATACATCAAATACAGTCACTCAGGATCAACTCTATCATCTACAGCATCATGTCTCTATTAACCATACCAAACGAAATCCTTATGCAGATCGTGCACGAACTCGACGAGCAAGGCCTCAATGCCCTCCTACAAACCAACCGCAGCCTATACGAGGCCTTCAACGACTACCTTTACGAGTCTCACGTTGAGAAATACGGCGGAATAGCCCTGTTATGGGCTGCCATCAAGGGAAGGGTGGACACCGCAAAACGACTGCTCGATCTAGGCGTTGATCCAAACACCTCGTTGAGAGAGGCCAAAGATAGCGGGTGTCACATGCTCGAATCCGGGCGCTTGGCGAAGCTTGATGACTGGCTTGTCGTGCAGAGGATTTCAGGGTATCTTGGCGATCCCAGGATTATGATACCCAAGAGTCTGGTTCAGCGATGGTGTGAGGAGAGGTGGTGTTGGGGACACGAAAAATTCTTCCAAGCTCCATTGCTGTGTGCTATAAAAGGCGCCCATGCAGATGTTGTGGAGTTACTCTTATCGCAACCCGGCATTGATAGGAAATGCAGAGACGACAATTTACATAACACCCTGCAAATAGCGGCTGCGAAGGGGCACGTCGGAATCATGAAGATGCTCCTGGCCAAAGGGCTTTGGGGGATAACCGAGAAGTGTGGCCAGAGTTATTCATATCATAGGACGCCTTTGTTCCAAGCAGTTTCTTGCGGCCATGAAGGGATATTCGATCTGATTCTCCAGCAGGACGTCTGCCATTGGGAGGAAGATGAAATTCTCCGATACGCGCGACGACGCGGAGGGAACATGTTGAAGTCGCTACTAGGATATGCCCAGTGTTCTCGATTCAGAATCACCGATCCGAATGCCGGATTAGCGGATGCCGCTCAAGCTGGGGATGCGATCGGACTGGAAATACTCCTCACTCAGCCAGGGGTAGATCCAGGGTGGACGAGGTACAGTGGAGATCCCACGCCATTTGAACTGGCAGCAAAATACGGTCAAGTCAACATAATGCAGATCCTCCTGGCCACGGGAAAAGTGGATGTCAATAGCCGGGATAGCGACGGCAACACCCCCCTATTTCATGCTGCATCGAATGGCCATGAGAATGTGGTCGACTTCTTACTTTCCCAGCCAGGGATTTCGCAGTATGCACGAAATTATGACAACAAGATGGCCGCTCACTTTGCTTTGGAGGCTGGGAAAAAGGATCTGTGCAGGCGCTTGAAGGAGGATATCCAATTGGAGCCGGGATTTGAGTGTTTACTTCGGTGATTGGCATATTATTTTTGCTCTACTGTTTAGTCTTTTTTATCGTTGCGTTTTCTCATACTCTATTTTATGTTATGGGGATATTTACATGCTATGGAGTACCTTGCTGATGCTTTGTTGAATGACGTTGCATGTTGTATACTGTACCGATAAATTGTTATGAATGTTACATCTTAAAACACGATGATCAAAGCAATGTAATCTAGTACGAGATAGCTAAGGCGGCCTAAACTATATATAAACGGAGTAAGATCAGCATATCTGGCCTTACATATTAACTTCTATATTTGACGCCGACTTGCCGCCCCAATGCAAAAGTTAATCGAATAATAACAGCCAAATCCCCAACTGATCCATCTCGATCAAACTATTTATAGTCTATCCGTACGGCCAATAATATTATCTAACCCAGCCATTGTTGGACAACCTCAACACAGCCATAAGCGCCATGTGACCGCTCAGCCCAATTGGAAACGCCACGAAAACGATATAAACACGTTATACCCCTTATTTCAACCCTTCTCTTTGGCAGACTTAGGATGTCTCTGAAAAAGAAATCCCGCTGCAAGGATAGGATTCAGAATATCCTTGACATCTACGATAGTGGAAGACCACTATTCCCACGCTCGCTACTACAGGATCTGGACAATCAGATCGCAAAGGGGTGCAAAAAGATTTACATTGAAGATTATGACGGCCAACGACGTGAATTCGACTTTACGCCGTCATCTCGGTGTAGAGATGAGATGTATGGATCCCAGACTGTGATAAGGCAATGCTAACACCATCCAGCAATGGGTCTTGCATTCGGTATAACTGCATCCAATCTCTTACAAATCTCAGCCCAGTCGCACGGCTAGATGCGAATCAGCCTCCAGTGTCGATCTGCCACACGCATCATTACGGCCAGCCCAAGGATTCGATTGCGGAGATTGCTGCGGGGTATCGAGATCAGTGCGAGGTGTGGAGAAAGAGCGAGACGTATCAATCGTTGAAACGGGGATTGATGGAGTTGAAATGCTCGACCGCTACTTCAATTGATAAAGTCGTCTGCTTTGGTCTGGGCTCGCTCGGTCGACTTGATAATTGCAGTTCGATTCGCTCGCACACGCAACATGCCGCAGTCGAAACGATGGTACAGGTTTTCGGGGCGGGGGTGAAGTGCTACGCTCAAGAACCGGTGTATGACGATATCGACAAGAAGTTCCTAACGAGTATCGGAATAACGCCACTGGATGATCCAAAAGGTTTCTTGGAGGTTGAGTCGAAGACGCTGGTGTTTTCTGTCAATCCGAATATACCAGTGAAACAGATTGTGGCGGATGGAGAGTGGCCGGCGGGGATGGTGTGGAATACAGTCGAGGCAGATGAAGAAGCGACAGAGTGGAAGAAAGAGCATTTTGATGGAGATGAGATTTGGGTGAGGTGAGTATTCATTTTTATTATGACGATAAAGATACTGATGAATAGTCCGTATACAACTGATCCGGATTCATCGAGGGTGCGGTCGATGGTGGAGGGATATCAGCAGGCGGCATTGCATGATGTGGATGATTACTTTGGAGACTTGACAATTTACATGAGATGAATTGAATTGATTACTTGGTAGATACCATCATAGCCAGTATATCTCAAATGTAAATGGTGGACCTGTGAATTACTGTATATGGCTTGTCTTGCCTGCTTAGGCTTAGCCCTTTCAACTTCTTTTCTCTTTCTTACCTTCTCTTTAACTCTACTATCTTGTACTTATTTTCACCCCCTTTATTTTCTTCTTGCCCCTACTAATGGCTTGCAGCCTGAAGAGCTGCCCCTTTTATTTTACCTGAGATGCTGCTTAATCTAACACTGAGCCTGTAGTGATTTAGGCTGCAAGTTCATACCTATATTCTAATGGGGAATACCCTGGTCTATGATCTGATTTTAACCTAGCAGTATATTTTTAAGCTAAGTATAGAGTAGGTATTTTACTACGAGGGAAAGAAGAGTTTTATATTACAGGCCTGATGAATAAGCTATCACTATTAGGTGAATCTCAGGTAGATTTGACTTGGCTATGATAAACATGCAGGGAGAATAGATACATATATGAGATGATTATATTTAATAAACAGGGCAGAATTCCATATACGGCTTCCTAAAATATTTATATCAAAGATAATTATATTTAGCAAAGTGATTTACTATGTGCCCTTAGTGAAAATTCATTTTGAATCCTTCATCCTAGTTCCGTCATGCTTAAAGATATGCCTACTAGGCTGCCTGGAATTCATCCTTCAGATATGCCCATGGATCAGATGAAGGAGTTACTCCATTAACGAGTCACTGATTTTTGACAAGGACAATCAGAAATTATTTACTCTATCCGACCAAACTTAGGTTGATAAACTGATTTCTTAATTGACATACTTTTGGGGATAAACTAATATCAGAGATGTTGCACGCCAATGAAATTCACAAAGTCCATCAACTCATAACATCATACATGAAGCCATTTGCTCATAATATCATACACGTCAATTTAGAAAGGCCAAAGCCAAGCCCCCTTAGGTACGCTGAGTACCCATAGTCTGGGATCCATCCAAGTCTGAGTCCACTCTGGGATCCAGCTTATTGGCGGTATCGCTCTGATGAGGGCCAGCAGTCTGCGTCGCATTTCCACTTCCAGGCGCATTGTAGCTGCTACCAGCGGGCGTGCCTTGGGGATCGAATGTCTTGGTCGAGGTAGGTCCGCTGCTTCCAGAAGCTGGGATCACACCTGCACCACCAAGGCTGGACTTGTGCACCTCGGAACTGAAGTTTTTGTTCTCGGATTCGGATGATGAATATTGAGCGGTAGAGGTAGTGCCGCTTTGAGTGGGAGGCGCGGTACCCGGCATCTGGTTCTGGTTACTGTCGAGATTGCTGTCGACCCGGGGGTCGAGCTTGTTGCCGACGTTGGAGGAGTAGGGACCCGCGGTGTCAGAGGCAGGACCGGTGGAGCGATCGTGGACGGCTTGCTCGCCCGACGGAGCAGTGTTGTAGCCAGTTCCCTGGCTAGCGGGTACGCCGGTTCCTTGACCAGAGGTGTATCCAGTTCCCTGGCCGGTAGGTAAGTTCGTTCCCTGACCAGTAGGTCCGCCTGTTCCTTGACCAGAGGTGTAGCCAGTTCCCTGACCAGAAGGTCCGCCTGTTCCAAGTCCTGAAGCTTGGTTGGAACGGTCACTGTCGATGCGGGGGTCGGCCTTGTTGGCGATGTTGCTGTCGTGAGGGCCATGGGTCTGAGTAGAGGATGGATTCTCGTAGCCAGTGCTTTGACCACTGTCGACGCGAGGATCAACCCTGTTTTCAACGTTGGAGGCGTGAGGTCCGTTGTTGCCGGACAAAGTTGTGTTTCCCTGGGTGTTGGCGTGGTGACCGTGGTGCATGGCCTCCTTGACCTTGTTCATCATGTTGGACATTTTGATTGCAGGTTGATAGAATTGATAAATACTTAGATAAAATTGATAAATAGTTGGTTGGGAAAAAAGATGGTAGAGTTGAAATTCTTGGGTATAAATAACATTCGATTTCAGCAGTTCGCAAGCCATGTACGATCCGTTGACGGCATTTTCCAGGGAACAGCCCAGTGACGTCGGTGCAAACCCCACAACTTCCATGGTTTCAATTAAACAATTCCTTGGACTGCCAAACTGCAGTTTCTATTTGGAGATGGATCTGGGGGGCGTGCATCACGCGATGGTGCCTTGATAGTGGATACGGCATCATGGTGGCGTCATTCCCAAGGTCGGAGCTTCAGATCTGGATGACGTAGCCGTTACAGCATAACCTTACCTTCACCTCATACGTTTTACTACAGGATTTATTTGTTTGCCTAGTGATAATGATGTCGAATTGTTTTTGATGATGGATCATCGTGATCAGAAGACCTGTTTGGTAATTGCCTCAACTTGGATAGCGAGGATGGAGGATTAGGCAAGGTAGAATAATATTTTCATTAACATGGAATATGAAAGGCTACCAATTAGGCATCCTTATAGAAGGGATATCCTACATAGCTGGCCTTTGCGTCAGTTCCCATGGATGACTAACATTGCTGTAGTTAATGAGTTCTTACTATAGGAACTACACCGCGTTAATACACTGTATGTACGACACAGACATGACCAATATTAATGGAGTGAATCGATATTTACTAGGTAGGAAATATATATAAAGTAAATAACAAAAACATATAACAGCAGCGAATCGCTGGTGGTCACCCACCTAACTACTAACCTGCCGGCGTGTGGCTTATACACAGTCAATACCTTGGTAGGTGCCCTCCCAGGGTCAGTGTGGGTGAGCAGTCAAGGCTTGACTGTGAGGCTATCTGCAAGTTGGGTCTTAAGGCTAAGATTTTGACCCATATTCGGTGCCATATGGACGATGCGCGAATTGCCGTGGCCACCGGCGTTGATGGCGTGTAAGCCCCCTTTCTCCCAATACTATGTCGTCTTAACTAATTTTGAACCAGCGATGTAATGATCGGAACATCGTCTCTCATGCGCCAGCATTCCCATGGCAAGGATATTGAATACATCAAGAAGACCGCCATTGAAGTAATCAACTTTGTCAAGTCGCAAGGGATTGAAGTCCGCTTCTCAACTGAAGACTCCTTCCGCTCTGACTTGGTAGATCTCCTCTCCATCTACTCCGCCGTCGACCAAGTCGGCGTGAACCGAGTCGGAGTCGCCGATACAATCGGCTGCGCCTCACCGCGACAGGTGTATGAGCTCATCCGGGTCCTCCGCGGCGTAGTCAGTTGTGATATCGAGACCCATTTCCACGATGATGCTGGATGTGCAATTGCAAATGCGTATTGTGCTCTGGAAGCGGGTGCAACGCACATCGACACTTCTGTGCTGGGGATCGGGGAGCGGAATGGCATTACTCCGCTTGGAGGGCTTATGGCGCGGATGGTTGCCACGCATCCAGAGTATGTGAAGTCAAAGTACCGCCTGAATAAGATTAAGGATCTGGAGAATCTTGTGGCCGAGGCTGTGCAGATTAATATCCCATTCAACAACTATATCACGGGCTTTAGCGCGTTTACTCACAAGGCCGGTACGTACCTCTTCCTCAAGTTCCCTGACAACTCACCAACATTGGTTCCAAGGTATCCATGCCAGAGCCATCCTCAACGACCCCAGCACCTACGAAATCATCAACCCCGCAGACTTTGGCATGACCCGCTACGTGCACTTTGCCTCGCGGCTCACCGGCTGGAATGTCATCCGGTCACGGGCGCAGCAGTTAAACATCAGCATGACCGACAAGCAGTACAAAGAGTGCACGGCCAAGATTAAAGCTCTAGCTGATATCCGCCCAATTGCGATCGATGATGCCGACAGTATCATAAGGGCATGCTATCGAAATTTTCAGTCGGGTGAGGAGCTCGGGGAAGTCATGAATGCGTGATTTTGTTCATAGCGATTTCGGGGAACAGGCGATATGGGAAAGTACAGAAAATTTCGATGTTTTGAATAAATCACGTATAGTAATGAGAGTGATGGACGATGATAATAGAGTAGTCTTGCCTTAACCACGAGCAATTTGATACACTCGATAGGGCTACCCTGGAAAGAGGCGAAACCAAGGAAATATTTCGAATTCGATTCTGCTTGCTTTCATTCACTAATGCCAGATTAAGGAGCATCTTAGCCACGTGAGCAAGCGTGCCCATATCGCGTGTCAATTGGGTTTTGACCTGTATGAACGAGACAAGAGGCTGAGCTTGAGAGAGCTTATTCATCGCCAAAGACGTCACAGTGATAGCATAATTTGCGCATTTGCGCACAATATAATTTTCATTCAAGGAGAGATCCTCGAGAATAAGACGACCTTCCCCGGCTCCGAGAAGGAGACGACTCGAGATGCTTCCCGGTGTCAACTGCGGTATCAGGTTCACGACAAACCGCATGCGAGAGCCGTATAATCTTCTAGGGGGCACTGGCAACTCAATGACACCAGTAGGCTGGTTAAAGATGGCCTCGCTACTCTTAAGGTTCTTAATAGTATGGAATACGTTCTTATAGGTATTATAGCTAAAGATAGATAAGACCAGTGATTTAGGGTTAGTAAGAGCCTTAGGCAGACAGGTACTAATTATAGAAGATGCAGATGGACTGACTTTACATGTACACTTTGCCTGCAAGCTTGCAGGCATAATCAAAGTTACCTATGCCAGCAATTAACACATATCCAGAGCGGATCGGGTCGAAGCAAACCTACTTTGTGAACAAACCTATACTGTAACGTCGACATCGTTAGGGGGATGCCTTTTGAAAAGATGCTGCTTCTGAAGAGGCACATATGTTTGAGGATTTTCTTTTATCATCCCAGTTGTCCGATAGGGGGGGGCAAAAGCGAGACGCACCATTCAATGCGATGTATGGTTGCTCATGAGACTCATGAAGGGGTTGGCAGGGTTAATACAAGTAGGATATACCTTACTGGCATGCACTTAATTGGCCATTGCAACATTGGATGGTATCTGATATTGAGGTGTCCTATGTAGTTGGTGAAGAAAAAGCGCTCTATAGAGTAAACACACCAGATTCTGACCACGGTTTACCTGCCAAACTCGTAAATCATGCATAGGATGACTGACTTGATATCAGGCAGCGATGCCACCGGATGCTAAGACCTGCCATCTTTGGTATGACGGCTGTCTGCATTATTAGTTAGAAGGACCTTGGGATATCTATCTATCTACTGGACTTCCTACCATGGAGTCGGTGTAATTTCGGGGGTATTATACATGCTGCATGAGCCTAAGAATGTGCTTATACCACGTGAATACCTAAATTTAGTTTAGTCGAGTAGGCTAAGGAAATTTTAGGTTACTGCAAGTTAGCCCACCCCAGCCTAGTAGGTTATAGGGGGAGTTTAGGTGGGAAATGTTTAACCCAAACCCATTGCGGGTTGGGTAGTATAATATAAAATTGGTGCGCTGGCATGCAAATCTATACAGTATTTTTAAAGGCATGATCTTATATAGTCATCAATGGTAGACTGAAAAACAAGGATACAAGTATTATTATGTCTAGTAATGAATTGCTTAAAGTTTGATTATCCTTGATATATGAAGTAAAATGTGTAAAACATAAATTTTACAGCTTGGTCTAACGATGTTGTAGCTATATACTATACTAAGACTCCCAGTGTTTTACTGTTAGCTAATTAAAACTAATCTTTTAGCTTTCAGTGGAGCACAGACCTTCCAGTTCCTGATATTACCTATAAGCCCCAGTCCCTGGTGAGTGATGCTCTAGGTCTTACCACCCTCTATACTACGCCTACACTAAGTATGTGACCATTGAGCGTGCTCCGAGGCACACGGGTTCGTAAGCTCAATGTAATCAACCCCAAACTCATCGAGTGCCTTCGCAATCTCGATCTTTTTCTTCGTGTCGAAGAAAGCATTGGCAAACTGCTCGCCCTCGCGCAAGGTACTCTCGATGATCTTAAAACGCGAGACATTGCTCAGAAAATCGCTCACCCCATTGCCGTGGCCGTAGGGGTTGCGGCTCGCAGGGCTAGGGTTCGAGCCTGTTGAAGTTAGAAAATAAGCGCTTCTATCAGGCAGGTGTCATACCTGTGCTGTTGTCATTGTCTCTTGGCATTGTGCTGGTTTTTTCTGGGGTGGTTGTACAGATGCAGGATTGAGGGTATCCTTTTTCGCGTTATTTGAGGCCAGGGTCCTTTTGCCCATTCCCATGCGTCATTCGCCAGTGAGTCATCGTCAATTGAGTCACAGAATCCTAATCCCCGTGGGGAAAACAGGCGATGTGCTTCAGATGCGTGGCGGACTTTTTCCGTCACACGTCGGGAATTCTCCGGGCTTTCGGACTACCGCTATCATCCTGGATAATGCTGCCTCGACAAGTGTGGGCATCTGCTATATGGCTCCTTCAATTCCTCGCAAAGTGGTTCGATTCGAATTGAATGAGGCTATAGTCACCACTTTGCCCACATTCACAACACTATTCTGACTTTTCAATTCGTTACCCGTTACATATACGCCCAGGGTTTTCACCACTTACACATCCATCATATCATGAATATATCAGTGTGTGCCACCACGGTCACTACATAGTTATTGTTCAGTTTTTCCTCAGTTTATTTTAGTCTAACAATTAGGATTAGAGGAGGGGTGCCTAGTTAAGATATAGACATTCACCTTAGTGATATAATGGTCAGTAAACTAATATATACACACACATGTGGGAGTAGTGCAGTATAATTATGTTGGAATATTTAATCACGGTAATTTTCACTAGCTCAACCATCCACTAATAATTCTTAAGGAACTGGAAACACTGCAAGGTAGGTCACCATAAAGGGAGCAGCCAAATTCTAGATGTTCTTACAGATGAAAGGGGGATTTAGTGATTCGAAGCAAATATACCGGGATGAGATGGTGTTTAGAAGAAACAAAAGGTTTGTGAAGAATAGATTGCTCTTAGCGCTTCATGCACGGAGTGAATGCAATAGCGAGATTGCCAATGCCTTGAGAGAGAGGTACATGGAAGAAAATAGTGCTCGTTCCGATGTTCTTGGAGGACGTGCAGCTGGGATGGACATCAACGAGATCATAGGCACCTGGAATCCACCCATGCCATGGTAGGTCATATGGGTTTTCAGTCATATCTTGACAATTTCCAGATGCTTCTCAAGACTGAAAAGTTTCCAAACATACTTGTTTCACCCAGACAAAACACCAGGGTACGCCGATCCATTCGCTCAATTTTATGTCCTTAGCTGGACACTTACAGCCCACTAATGGTTGTCGCCTCCGTCCCACCAGCTGCACAGCACTTCTTGAAACAAGAGCCTGCTCCATCGCTGTCCTCCCAGCAGTGATAGGTAGAGATATCGGTGTTGTAGTTATCCAAACCGCATTTCTTACCACAGTCAAATGTGGGGGAAACGGATCCCACGTGAGGTGTGTTCTCACAGAAATAACAAGTACCGGCCAGGGCCTGGAGTGGAAGAATGAAGAATAGGATCGCAGACACCTTCATTTTGACTAAGATTATCTTCGGAATGACAATGAGTTAACATCATCATGAGTAGATTTAATTCAAGTGGATACGTTACCTCTGGAGGCTGTAAACAGGTAAAAAAGAATAGGATTGCAAGTATGTAGAGTGGATCGTGGTTCACTGTATAGACTGTATTAGAATATTATTTTTAAGAGAAAGAATATAGCCACTCACACTTTTTCTCTGGTCGAGGTTTCCTGGTGCTCCGGAAATACTATCTTTCAGAGTCTTTCAAGCCATTAATATACCCTAACCTGTGAAGTCCAGAAGCGCCTCATATACAATTATCTAACCTATTTAGGGTAAGGGAGGAAGAAGTAGTTAATAGGGGGGCATCCACAGTTCAAAAAAGGGAAAAACTCTCGAATGTTCTCGTATTGCTTAAATTGCTCGATAGAATCCGGAATTTCGCAAAGGCCACTAAGCGTCGCTAGCCAATTTAACTGGGTAGATCGGCAGTGAATACGACTAGATTGGTAGCATTCCTTCAGCCTATCAAGAAATACGAGGCGCTTGTCTTATTTTAAACCTTAAGATGTTGACTGCGTAAGTAGATCTTCTTCTTGGATTGCTGCAATAGCTAATTATAATGAGATCTACCTTTTATACGAATACAGGTTGCTAATATACTGCGGCGGTCAACTCGTATGCCACACTTTTGTTGATGAGGTTCAAGAAGCCACAGAAAACCGTTCCTCTTCGAATGAACCCCATGACTCTATATCCTCGCGACTCATTAGTTCAAGACAAAGATAAGGTGAGCTTCAGTATGGATGGAAACGGTGTTGAAGATTGGAGTTGGATTTTGAACCCATTCATCATTGTGGCCGACACCATGCCCGATCTCACAAGCACCGTCAAGTTCAACTGTTCCAAACCCGCGGACCCGCACCCAGAAGACATCCAGCAGCCTGTCCTGGGATGTCAGTGGCATTGCAAACGTTGCGGTGTCATATAGCCTGGTCAAGAAATACACTGTGCTCAACATCACTATGTTAAAGATATTGCTGCAATCAGGGAAGTAAACCTTCTAGTCAAAGTAGAGCATGCTGGGCAGGAACCCATTAAGTTCCAAAGCTCTGTCGATACTACAACTCCGCTGCGTCAAGAATTGTGGGATCAGGGTACCGCAAAGATCAGCGTGGATTCTGTCATTGTGACAATAAGATATTTTCTTTCGATGACCGGATCATAGCCCTCTCGCCGACAGTGGTGATGACCACTTTTTACAAAGGCTCCATAATAGACGTCAATACCTCGAAGTTCACGAATCTACCAGTGGTTATCAATAACAAATTGAAGCTAGGCTCTGTCTTTGTGGATTAGATTCGAGCATCTGCATCCATGAAGGGCCAGGAGAGGCCTGATAAGTAGTATATAGATATGGATAACTAGAGGAACTATAAGTTAGATCTATCCTGCGAAGTTTATGTGGGCGGGTGATTTATCTGCTCATAAGGAGATGGGAATAGATGCAATACTAAACACCTTTAGAATTACTGTACTTTACCAGACTGCCGGTTCCAAACTTTCGGGTCTCATAGATGCTTCCTTTTGTGGTTGTTTAATATTTGGTGGGGTAGATGGGATAATCATGGGTAGGGCCGCCCGCATTACGGCAAGGTACTGTATAGGTCAAAATCTAAAGATACCTTTTATGAAGGACTGAGTGCTTTATAACATGTTATCCTTTACTAGGAGTAAAGACGATTCCTTCTATATGGGTAGTTTTTCCGGTGTATTATCATATCCACATAACCAATTCTCTCATTCGAGGGACGTCAGCCACATGACACTCTTGGCATGATACGTACATCACTTTCCCTATCATTATTTTCATATAGTAAGTCAAAGTCATACTCTGAAACATCGGAGGAGCGTATTATATCACCCAAAGCCTCCTATTTTTTATCTGTGCTGAATGTCGCGCCTTTGACATGCGTGTTATAAGCCAGGTCGCTTGAAAGCAGATGTTTGGATATCTTCGTCAACCGGATAGCCCAGACGAAATCACTGGACCCCCCATATGACAAGGCTATCTTCTGCGATTTAGACACTCTAGCGTCGACGCTGCCGTCAAGGATCTCGGCAAGAGATCTTGACCGAAGGTTTTAATGATATAAACAAGATAGGGCAACATTCCATCCACTCGCACTCCTGGTCCACCGTGCAGACTTGATTCTTGATTATCCTCTCGTTCTCCTCGAGCACCGTTGGCAACGATGATTCCAATTACCATAAACAAGGTCCATGTCTTGAGGCGCGACCTGTGTAGAATAGATAGGGCCAGTATGTAATACGCCCAGCTCTGGCTGGGTATATTGTAGCCTTGATATGTTAATAAATATTATAAGTAGAATATTAGATGTATTAAGATATATAAGTGTAGAAAAAACAATTACTTAGGGGCAAACATGTGTTCAGCATGAGGGGCGTGGCTGTGGCTGCTGCCTATGTAGTATAGTCAAAAGCTTCAAACTATATATTATGTATAACCTACCCCATAGGCTTACCAGCTCAAACATCCATAACCTATACTAGCCAATTCCTCGGAATTATTATACTCATGCTATACCTATAAACTAGACACCTATTATCTTTACTCCTATTGATATCACAGATCATGCTGTTAATAATTGTGCCTAAGATATACTTCACTTTCAATATATGAGTGATAATATCACCCCAGTAGGACACACTATTAATCCTACTAGAGATAATAAGCATATAGTTATCTATAATAACTGCATTAATAATAAGGGTTAGTAGGTAGGCTGTGGGTGTGGCGAGGGAAATATAATGTTTACTCAAACAAGCCGTAGTATTGTCTGGGTATGGATTTATTATTTTGTGGTATACCTAATGAGAGCGTGATTCATCTGTTTCATTTATATATATATATATAGTAGTCTCTTCCCGATTGATCCTGAAGAGATTCATTCATGCCTAAGATAGCGGATCTATGGCGGGGAATCGGTAGTTCTTGGCAAGGCAATTACACTACCCTGGGAAGCGCCTAGTACACCAGTTTTGAATACTCGTTCAGTGATATAGCACGCTACCTATGGATTAAATAAGTACTTATTGTCGTCAGATCTACTCCCCGTTCCTCTATCATTGAAGTTTCCAAAGTCAGAGCATCAATCACAGTCGGAATAGGAGCCATAATAACTTTTACCTCAGTGACAGATACTGGATCACTTTAGAGTTGAGGCCAGTCATAGTAACTAGGTATTGAATAACTCCGATTACTTATGAGGCATAGATAGGGCATTTGATAACTTCCGGGATTTCTGCTATATTGCAAATGCTTCTAGATCTTACAGAATTTTTCAATACATATATTGATCTTTGTTCTAGCTGAGAAGTCATCAGCACTAATAGACACATTATAACATCCTCAACATGAAGTTTACCAGACTAGGAAGTGGATAAGACAGGGGCTGTGAAGGTCTATATTAATCAAGCTCCATTTTGATGAGGCTGTTCACTATCAAGCCTACCCCACCATCATGGGGGCCAGAATGTCTTAGTGGAGACTAAAATCTTACGTGGTGAACTGATTTGTCACTTATCCAAGGCTAAGAGATAACCGACCGAATCAAGCTCCAGTAAGGCTGATTGATCTGCATCGTCCGCTCCGTATTGGGATAGCAGTGCGAAATGGCGTAATCGCTGTGTAGGCTTAGACTTGATGGTTTTAGATGTTTATAAATGGGGTGTGTTTCCCATGACAGCCTCTCATTCAAATTATACATCATTCTTTTTTTGAATACCCTGTTCTACGTCCATTTCATTCCATTTCCTGCTTATCAGATCATCAACATGAGTGCAGCAGATTACTACGGGCCAAATCCCCACAATGACCATACTCCTGGACCCATCAACTACAGACCTCTCGATAATTATGCCCCCTCAGGAAGTAACAGCAGCCCTCCGCCAAGCGGCTATAGTCCGTCAAACAACTACGATCCCAACGACCCAGAAGGCGAGCGGGGTCTCGGGTCCACGATCATTGGCGGTGCAGCTGGAGGATACGCTGGACACAAGCTGGGTAATGGAAAGCTGGCAACAGCCGGAGGTGCCGTTCTAGGTGCCGTCGGTGCAAATATGGCAAGTCATGCTTGGAAGGAGCAGTAAGTTTATCCTCACTCCAAACAAACAACCCCCTTTGAACAACAACTACCCTCCCCTGCGCTTCAGAGACTTACTTTTCATCAAACTACAGTAATCACCACAGCCATCCACCCACTAATTACGGGCCTCTACCTAGTAACTATGGTCCTCCTCCCAGTAACTATGGCTCTCCTCCGATGAACTACGGCCCTCCAAGCAACGGCTACAATGTTCCCTACCAAGCTGGTCCGCCACCACCAGGATATGGAAATCCAAGCTACCCCCCGGCTCCACAACCAGGCATGGGTATGGGTATGGGAATGGGAATGGGCATCCCGCCCCTCCCCGCAGGAGCGAGCAAAAAACAGCGAAAACACTACGAGGATGCTCTAGATGAAGCGCAAAAAGCCGATAAAGATCTCATGGAGATTAATATGAAGATGGAAAAAGAGAGGGCCAAGGCGGCCAAGGAAATGAGGAAGAAGGGTGATAAACCTAAGGACAGATTTAAGATTGAGGAGGATTTGAATGAGGAGTTGTTCAAGTTGGAGGAGGATAGGAGGAAGATTCTTTTTGAGAAGGAGGAAAAGGTGGCGAGGGCCTTAAGGGGTTGATTGTGGATTTGGATCTGGAGTTTGGGAGTTGACAATAATTCACTGGGTAGTTCTGGGTAGCTTGTAAGAGATGTCTAATATCATTGAGTTCTGCTGGTTAGGAATGGCTATCGGTTTTATGTAAAGTCGTTCCCATCTCGAAGCTGAACATCTTGGACTTGTCTGTCTTCCTACGCTAATACCTGTATCCAACGAATAATTTGCTAGTCAAGATGATCCACAACGTTGACAAGTACATCGCTGAAATACCGTATACAAAAAACACAACCAACAATCACTAGTTCCAGCAAGGCCGATCTGACGGGAAAGCTGAACTAGCACGCTGCCAAGCTTGCTGTCCTCTTTTTCTTCGCCTCATGGTCTTTCCCTTCCCTCAATATGGCTAGCTACCTTTCCCCGTTCGACAGTGAGTTCAAGGGCCATGTTGAATTCATCCGGGTGGACTATGACAGAGCCGAAAGCATCTCCGATGAGCGTGACATCAAATCTGTGCCAGAGGGGTTTTTTTTTTTTTTTAATTAACAATAAGTCGGTTGTGAAGAAGTTTTATGGTGCCAATCCAAAGGGATACTAGGGAGAATATCAGTGCGCATTTGTAATGCATTATGGAAGAGTGATTTTTGTTACGGGTAGAATGTGGTATCAATAGGGGGTTCATGTCTTAATAGTTAGCCGAGTGGTGAGAAATGAGGATTAATGCAATCAATAATCGATATATTTGCTTCTCCAGCTGCGGGGTACGATATGCATCCCAACCGGAAAGCGGGGATGCGATAGATCAGATCGATTCAACCTCGCTCTTCTTTCATTTTTCTCCTCTCCCATCCCTATCCTCACCTTCAAGTCAACCTAGAAAATGTCCACAAACATCCTCTCCTCCCTGCCCTGCTCCCTCCCCCAAACCAACATCCCATCCGACATCGACGCGCCAGGCGTAGCAAGCGCATACTCGCATCGTCTTCACGCCCTGACACCAACCGACTTCACCCCCGACGCAATATGGCGCGACTCATTCGCGCTAACAGGAACCCTGCGAACATTCTACTCCGCCTCCGTCCCCGCCGCATGGCGCACCCGATGCAGCACCCGCCAAGCGCAGGGCTTCCGACTCAACCACGAACTGGCGCGCGTTAATCGCCCCGTTCCCGGGATCGGGTGGATCGACGTCCCATTTGTCTTTGAGACGGCTGCTGATCTCCCGCTTGCGTGTGCGGGTTTCGTATCGTTGGTGCCCGGGCAGAATGGGAGCTGGAAGGTGTGGATGCTGCGGACGGTTTTGGATCAGGTGCTGGGGTGGGATGTTGATCATATGCCGGAGGAGGTGGAGGTTTCCGCGGAGAGGGAGGGATATGTGGATTGTGTTGTTGTGGGTGGTGGCAGGCGGGATTGAGTACAGGAGGCCGATTGCAGGCTCTGGGAGTGAGTTATGTGATCGTGGATAAGAATGAAGAGGTGGGTGGGTGTTGGTTGGGGAGATACGATTCGACCAAGTGTGAGTATTCTATTCTTTATATAGATGATGCTGATGAGAGCAGTACATCTGAGTCGACCATTCTCTCAACTCCCATTCGACCGCGCATTCCCAGAAAACTATCCAGATAAGCTGTCCAAGTATGACCTAGCAAGAGGATATAAAGACTGGGCGGACAGATATTCCATCGTAAGTACATACGGTCTTTCCAATTTCAGGATAACTGATAAACAGAACATCTGGCAATCAACAACGTTAACATCCGGCACCTGGAACGAAAACGAAAAGAAATGGACTCTCCATCTAAGACAGCCAAATGCACGCAAAACTATCCAATGCGCGTTTGTCGTCATGGCCACTGGAGGGGGAGCGCAGAAACCAATCATGCCGCATTATCCAGGCGAGGATATCTTCGAAGGAGCGATTATACATTCGGCAGAATATAAGAATCCACTTCCGTGGAAGGGGAAGCATGGTGTTATTGTTGGGTCGGCGAATACAGGTATGCATGTACCTATAAATTTATATAAATAAGTTAACAGGACCAGCCCACGACGTAGCAGAAGACATGCTCAACGCAGAACTGAAATCCGTCACGATGATTCAACGCAGCAGAACTTGTATGTCACCCTCTCTCGTCAATCAACTACGCTAATATTATCTTAGATGTCATGCCCCAAGAATATTTCAACGACCGCCTATCCAGTAACCTCCCCTCTCCCAACTATCAAATCAAACTAACAAAACAGCGCTATACAACGACACCGTCCCAACAGCCACGGCAGACCGGATCTTCTACTCCAACCCCCTCGTAGTCAGCCGTCTGCTCGCAAAAGCCAACAACGACAAACAAGCAGCCGCCGAACCGGACCGCTTCGACAGCTTGGAACGAGCCGGGTTTAAAGTCGACAGATATGGGGATATGATTTCGATTCTGCATGAGCGGTTTGGGGGACATTATGTGGATATTGGGACTTCGGCGAAGATTGCCGGGGGTTTGGTTTGTTTATCCTTCTTTTGAGTGTTATTGTTGCATGGTGCTGACGAGTGTAGATCAAGATGAAGTCGGATAGTCTTCCTGGTTCGTATACGAAGAAGGGTATACTGTTTGCCGACGGAACGGAACTCCCTGCTGATCTAGTTGTCTTTGCTACCGGGTTTAATGGGAACTTGCGAGATGGTGTCCGGGATATATTTGGCGATGAAGTGTACAATTCGGTCGATGACTACTGGGGATTAGATGGACAGGGTGAGGTTAAAGGGGCTTACAAACCGACTGGACGTGAGTAATTCGATGTTTGGACTGGATGATACTGACTGTACAGATCCTGGATTATTTTACATTGGAGGAAAAACTGGGCACGCACGGTATTACTCTCGATTCGTGGCATTGCAGATAAAAGCTGCTGTCTTGGGAATACCACTTCCAGTGTATAACGATACACCAGGAGAAAAAAAAAAAAAAAAATTGGTATAATTAACTAGTCCGATATTATGTTATATAGCCGTTCATTCATATCTATGTCTGTCTCATTTGAGCGGTTTCTGCGCTGTGGCAAACGAACTATTCAATGTTAGCTTCATCCACTAGAAAATAAATCGATAAACTCACCAATGCGTATAAACATGCATCTTATTCTCTTTAATCTCCGTCCTCACATGCGCCAGCAACACCTCGACCTCTTCCTTCGACCAGCCCCCAAGCCGCGTAAACAGAGCCATCGAGTAACTATCCACCGCGCCCTCGAGGAACTGTAGACGAAAGTATCGTCCGATATCCTTCAATCGACGGTCTTTCGGCCATGTGCCGATGGGACAGACTTGCTCGACGACGTTGATATTTTCGAATGTGGCTTCTTTCAGCATGCCTTGATATTCGGGGAAGAGATCGAAGATCAACCCGTTTTTGTGAGAGATGCGATTGAATTCGGCCTGCTTCGTTAGTATACACACACTTGGATAGGGGGGATCACGAACAATCCATTTCCGCGTATAGCAATCCTCAGGATAAGAACTGTCATCGCAGTCCATGTGCGTGCGACATTCGGCGAGTTCGATCTTTCCGCCCGGTTTGAGGTGGCTGTCGATTAGCTTACATGTCTGTACTTTCGGCGGCAGACATACTCGTAACATTCTTTCAGAAATTGAGGCCAATTTCTCAAACTACCCGCTAGGCAGCGGACGTGGATGAAATCAAACGAATCATTCGGAAAACTCCAGTCTTGCTCGACGTCATCGATGATGAAGCTGACATTCGGAGGGACCCTATTCAGTCAGTATAATACATAATACTCACTGTAGGATGACATACCACCCCGGTTGAATTGGCGAAAGATCCACGCCCGTAACCTCGGCAGATGGAAATTCATCGGCAACTGCACTGTTAGCATAAGAAATTCCGCAGTACCATTATTGAGTCAGTGGAGCACACCCTCCATAGCCCAAATACCCGTTCCCGTGCCGATATCGAGCATTTTCTGGGGCGATTTCAAATTCGTCATACAAAGTCGTCCATCCAGCGACAGTCGAAAGACATGATGGAGGAGGTCTAGACGTTCTTGTTCTTTTTCGTCGTTGGGGAGGACCTGAATTGTCAGCATCCAGTGAGAAAGGAGGGGGAAAAAAACGTACATAAGATCCCTGACGATATGCATGGTAGGTTCGGCCATTCTCGTAGACATAATTGAACACCGACGAGGCGAGGGAAGTCAATTCGCTATTGACGCTCTCCAAATCGCTCACGTCGGACTGGACAGTCAGTATGCAAGATAGAGTACGGTAGGGACGGCAATACATACATCCACCTCGGGCATTATGCCGGCCATCCTGATGATCAATAATCAGATCAATCGAAGCGAAGTGAGATGAACAGAAGGGAAATGAGAACGATTGACGACAAAAATGACAGCTCACAACCGCTCCTTCTGCCCGCGCCCGAACAAACGCCGTCCGAAACGGTTTGAGTTGGACAAAAGGGAAAAACAGTGCCAAGCTGGAAGCCACGCAGGACAAGATTGGTTGGTGGAGTCGACCGTTACGCTAGCTGGGGCTGACAGGCTGTCATTGGACGCGGACACGGCAGCCGGCCCGTTGCGTGTGGCCGCTATACCGGATCCAGCCAGATGCATGATTCCATTTTGTTTCTAGTGGCTGGCAGACAGGGTTGCGATTGGTTCAGGGGAGGGGGTGATGGGGACACTGGCATGGTGAGTCGGCTGTTTGCATGTGCTCGTTTATTTTCCTGTGACTGCGGATGCAGATTCTTTGTCTGCGTCAGGAGCATTGTCTCAGCATTGACGGTCGATATGTTGGGCTTCATCTTGGTCGGTGCTCTCGTATACTGTGTCCTCGGTGCTATATACCGTCTCTATTTTCATCCTCTGGCCAAATTCCCGGGCCCGAAGCTGGCAGCTATTTCAGGATGGTACGAATTCTACCACGACATCATCCATCGAGGCCAATTCATCTGGAAGGTTGACCAACTGCATCGCACATACGGTATCTCCCAGCTCACCCCTATACAAACAGCTAATACTAACAGTCAGTAGGGCCCATAATTCGCATTACCCCCTCGGAAATCCACATCCAAGACCCCTCCTTCTACGACGACCTGTACGCCCCCTCCTCCAAACGCCGCGACAAATACGCCCAATGGACCATCCTCGCCGGCGCACCGCGCTCAACTTTTGCAACAGTAAACCACAACCACCACCGCCTGCGCCGGTCCGCGCTGAACCCCTTTTTCTCGAAACGTGCCGTGTGTCACGCCGAAACGCTCATCGTGGATAAAGTTCAGCGGCTGTGTCAGCGCTTCCAGGATGCGTGTGTGCGCGGCACCGTGATCCGACTGGACACGGCGTATATGGCGCTGACGATGGATATCATCACGCATTATGCGTATGGGGAGAGTTACAATCATCTGGCCGAGGAGGACTTCAAGCCCGAGTGGAAGGAAACGATTGTGGAGGCGTCGGCGAATGGGGCGTTGCTGAGGCAGTTCCCGTGGTTGTTGCCGGTGCTCAAGGCGATTCCATTGCGGGTGTTGAGGGTGTTGGAGCCCAAGGGGGCAGCGCTGATTGGGTGGCAGCGGGATGTGAGGAGGCAGGTGGATGCGATTATTGAGAATGATAAGGCTGGGAATAAGGCGAAAGGGACGATCTTTCAGGCTATTCTGGATAGTGCTCTTCCGGTTGAGGAGAAGCAGGCGGATCGATTGCAGGATGAGGGGCAGACGCTGGTTGGGGCTGGAAGTGAGACGACAGCTAAGGCCTTGAGCCTGATCACATTCTATCTGTTGAGAGATAAAAGTATTCTACAGAGACTGCGGGAGGAGTTGGTGAATATCCCAATCGAGATGGTAGAAGGAGGACTATTATCGCAGTTGGAACAGCTGCCATATCTGGTAAGTCGACTCATTCTGTATAGAACCATACTAAGGAACAGACGGCGATTATCCACGAAGGACTGCGCATGATGCACGGCGTCACGACTCGACTTCCCCGTGTAGCCCATGAGCCAATTCAGTATAAAAATTGGACGATTCCAGCAAACACCCCCGTCAGTGAATCCAACTACTTTGTCCACATGGACGAATCTATCTTCCCAAATCCCAACGAATTCATCCCTGAACGATGGATCAACGCAAAGAAGAACAATTTTCGACTAGACAAGTATCTAGTCTCGTTCTCAAAAGGAAGTCGACAATGCGTCGGGATCAAGTATGTTTATTCCCACCCAGAATATATGAAGCTAATCTTGTCCAGCCTCGCATATGCAGAATTATACCTCACTCTAGCAACAGTAATGAGGAAATTCGAAATGGACAACTTCAAAACGACTGTCGATGACGTCCGCATCGTAAGAGATTATTTTGTTGGCGTGCCCAAGTTGGATTCAGAAGGCGTCAGGGCTATCGTTACAGGTGTATATAAAAACTAAAGATATATACAATCAAATAAACAATCTACCCACTCTCCTCCAACAAAGCAGCCGAATGCTCAATCTCATTATGCGAGAAGCAAATGCCCATGAACCGCACCATTTCCTCAGCTGCCACAGTTAGTATATCGTCATCAATAAGTGACAGAGACTTACGAGGAATCCGTCCTCCTTTATCCTCATCCCGCGCGTTCATTCTGGTATATTCCATTATCATATCGACCCTTGGCCGTCGAGCCTTTTCGTATATCGCCAGTCGAGATGGGATATCAGCTGCCGATACACCAGCGGGCAGGAGGGTAGCCAGACTGACGGCATCCTCAATGGCCATTGCGCCTCCTTGGCCCATATCTAATAAATCAGCTCTGTCGTGTTAAGTACCTAGATGATAGACATACAAGGTTGGAACGGATGTGCAGCATCGCCCAGTAAAGCGGAATTATGCTTCACCCACGTAGGGAGCGCTTCCATATCAGACAGTCCCCACACCTTCAGACCTTCATCCGCCGATTCCGTGATTCGTCTTACGCCAGGGCTGAAGTCAGAGAATGCTCGGATCAATGAATCACGGTTTCCTGTTGCTTGCCAGCCTTTATCCAATTAGCGATCATCTACTATAAGCATGAGCATACATACCATCACCATATCCACCCGCCTCAGCCGTCGGCACAAACCCACATAGGTTGAACACCTTACTATCCGAGCAGGGATACGCCACGATTCGACGGTCAGAGGCAGCCCATTCGATAAACACGCCTGTATCTTTGACGAACTCTTCTGTCGAAGTGTGTTTCTTCAATTCTGACGTCGGAATCAACCACCTGAAGCAGGATTTGCCGGCGGCGAATGGGACGGGGGCATTTGGCGTGACTTTGTTGCGGAGGAAGGACTGTATTGTTAGTTTTTCTGCAGTAGATTGTTAAACAGTTGACATACATGAGCTCCATCAGCTCCGAGCAGGAGATCACCCTCGAAGACCCGTCCATCTTGAAGAGTAACAGACGGGCGAGCGGACTCGACATCAGCATCGACGATAGCGCATCCGGTGTGTAGAGTGGATGTTTCAAGGGCACGTTTCTTGAGGAAATTATGCAGCTCGACTCGGTGGACAAGATAGAATTCCTATTTCTTAGCTGGGTCAATGATAGCATGCGAATGGACATACTGCCTGCCATTTAGAGCGAATGGCATTGAAGTCTTTGATATAAGTAACATTCCCTAGATGATCATACCGATGCATCTAATCATTAGTATGAATCACACGATGATTATATGAGAATTACCTGCTCAAGCAATGTTCCTCCGAAATCTTTAGGATCAACACCCATCCAATTTAGCATTGCAGTGCAATTAGGGGGCATGTGGATCGCTGCTCCGGTTTCTTTTGCAAATCTTGATTTCTCGAGTATCTTTATCTGTTAGCATAAACCATAACCCATAAGAATCAACATACGACAACGCGATGTCCCTGCTTGCCCAGGGCTATAGCGGCGGACAGACCGGCAATGCCGGCGCCAATAATGACAACATCTAAGGGTTGTGCTGTCATTTTGCTGTATTTTAGATGTGACTTATTTGTCTCAGTTCCTCTGGATCGATTTCCTGCGAAAGAGGTTTTATCTACGTTCGGATCTCGGGCTCGGACTCGGAGTTACTGTATTTAGCATGTCCGAGCCGAGTATAAAAGACTTTATGCTTGGTTTTCGGCACAATCAATGCTTTATGCCGGATCTTGACATTCGAATCGATTAAGGTTGATGTGGATCTGAATAAATTTAGATCTTCGATAGATAAGATATGGATATTGATTGTTGCAATGCTGTCAAGAAACACATATATTCTTCGACCTTCGTCCACATAACTTCAGTTATACAGAAGTATATCTATCTCCTCCTTCTCCTTATGTCGACGCTCAATCTGCCCCAAAAGATTAGCCCAAAACCTCGGTTTGACCTTTCGTTCGAGCCATTCCATATCTTCAGGATGTACCATTAGATAATCTAGCTCTCTATTAGGAATTGCCTGGGCTTTTCGAAGCCTCCTCCGCACAGTCCTTGGTACAGGAGGCTTTTCGTATGGCTCGTCTGGCCCAGGCGTAAAAGGTATATCTTTGAGCTCTGCCTGCACTTCCTCGTTTTGTAGGAGTTGAGGCGTAGGCTTGCTAGGGGATATTAACGATAGATCTCATGATGGAATGAATAGTCGTACAACGATTCTCCTGTCCACTCGTAGCATAGAATCGGCACATCATCGTCGTTATCAGAGGTACCGTAATCGACAAGAAAGAAGCACCGACGATTGTTGTAACCGAATTCATCACCGTAGGAGTAAAAGCGCTGCACACCGGGTTGAAAGTCACAGTTCCAATGATGCTGGCATATTCGATCAAGCATTGCCATCAGTTTGCTGCTGTATAGATCGCCTTCTGGAGCCCTGCCATCTGCGGGGACGAAGTGTGTCAATGTCTGAACTAATACCCGGAGCGCAGATGGTTTCAGAAGTGGTGATCCTGGGTCTTCATATTCGCCTGATATTGTGTCCATAACTGGAAGTATCTTGATAGAATGAAGAAAGAATGCTGATGATGGATGAACAGGTGGTGGGCTCTCAGCTCTTAAGAACGATAGGAGATGCATGCAGATCACTCCCGGGCCCTCATCCACATCCGTTGGATCGCCCAATAAACTCATAATTCCCGCGCCTGTAAGCGCCTGGGAATACACAGCCTCAGTAGAGGCAAACTACACTTTCACATTCGCCAGTGAAAAAATCATTGGATCATATTTGAATTTCAAAAGCCATCTCGCATACGAACCGCATTTAGATTGGCGAGCGTGGTTAAGGGTGGATAAAATGGCTTCTAGACTTGATGGGACCATCAATGTGTAGATATTGGTCAAATGCAGATAAAAGACTCACGGAAGAGGGTGAAGGTTATTAATCCAGGCAATTATAGTAGCCACCTTAAGTCGGCACGTAGTACTACCTACGTAAATCCCAACAGGATGGGAAATAGGCGGCCATAGAAGTCCAAAACGAACGGTCGACCACTTTCCACGCAACACACTTCTCCCCAAATCATCTTCGTTGCACATCACCAACAATAATCGACAATATGGATAAAAACCAGGAAAACAGTTTCTACGCTTCACAAACCTTCTCAACCTCTCCCCAAAATGGACTCCCCTCCTACGGCGAGGTCATTTCCGGTTCCTCCCAGAATACCACGCCTCCTGCATCCCAGCCTAAAGGAGCCAAATTAACCACCAAAACCCTAGATTCATCTCTTGCAAAAGATCCACATGAGCTTCACAACTTCATCCTCCGGCAGGCGAGTATCCCGCCTTCCATCTCGTTGGTGGTCAAAGGCACGCACGAGGGGAATAATGATCACACTGTCGAGGACTTTCACTTTTGTATTGACATTACGAGCGATATACTCAACCCACAAAGCCAAGGGCCACACTGGGCCGATATTCATATCGTGGCAGATGGCGATGGACGGAATGTATATCGGGGTGGAAGACATCGTTCGCGAAGAGATAAAAAGAGACATCTTGAAGATGGAAATGAGCCTGGGTTGATGGGCTGGTGTAGGCGGTTCTGCGGTGATTCTGCCAAGGTCAAATCGTATGTTCTCTTATCTTATTTCGGATTGATTATATCTAACCAAAGAATAGCTTCACCTTGAAGAGGAAGATCCAAGGCTTCAACTTTCCAGCCGTGAAGTCCACCCTGAAATCGTACCTCCGCGTAATCAACTATCGCGGCAAGATCAGCATGAAGATCGCCATGGCCAACACGAAATCTACAGTCTACTCCGCGAACTGGGTGAACCGCCTACGAAACAACCGATGCGTGGCCGGACTTTGCTATGTCTCCCAGCTGTGGATCTTCACCTGGCCAACTATCAAGTTCCTGGAACGCCGGTATAAAGTTGTCGAATCAACATGACATGTGTCGCAATTCGTCAAAGACAGCCAAAGCCCCTCTGCTCTAAAGAGAGTGTATGCATGCGGTCGCGATGAAGCTGCTCTTGCAAAATACTGGGCTCCTGTTGTGGTGAATGCAGCGTGGGAGCGGCGGAAGTATCGTAGACATCTGTCAGACTCGGATGTGAAGACATTCCGACAATTGGGGATGGATGGGTTGCAGGGAATAAAGGCATGGGGGAAGAGATGCTAAGATTAGATGTTCAAAGGGAATTACATGTACTATTGCTGTGTTTGCTCCTTTTTTCCTGGATTATCTAGTTCGGGTGTTACTATAGCTTGCAATCAACTATGTTGAATAGTTGAGTTTCTTTATGAGCCGCAATGTATAGACAACGACAAGTCGAAGATAAATCGTGATGTCACTTTGATATGTGCAGATTTATCCAACCTCACCAAATCAACCATCGCCATAACCTCTCCACAATGGACGAAATACAACAAATCCCATTATTACCGAATCCCTGGCGGACTGAACCACCTCAACCTCCCCGCTACGATGAAGCCATCTCAGAGATCCCCAAAGGCACCGAATCTGCCAATACTCCCGAGGCCAATTCCCCTGCGAAACGTCTCACAAAAGCAGAAAAGTTTTATAACCGCATCGTCAAGGAAGCCGGTGTCTCTCCTACCCCCGTCTTGACTGTCCAGGGCATGCATATTGGGACTGTGGCGACGGAAGTATACAATTCCAGCAGAAGCAGGTTCGAAAATAAGTATACCAAAGAAGATATGTTGGATTTTTATCAATCTCAGTGACTGGCTTATCTGTCACGATGATGGGTCTAGAGAGAAGAAAGAATGGTATGCTGTCAAGGCGTGGGATGAATCAAAGGGCGAATATCCAGACGTTGAGGATAGAGAGAGTGCAACACCAGGGCTGAGGGGGTGGTGTGATCGATTCTATAAAAATTGGTCGCCATTCAAGACGTATGTTTCTTACAAAATATAACCCTTCATGGCTAACACTGATAGATTCACAATCCAACGAAGCATCCGAGGCTTCGATCTCCAAATCCTGCGTTCATTTCTCATCGCCCAGATCCGTAGCCTCAACTACCAAGGCAAGGTTTCCATTTCGCTCGATCTTGAACGGGACTCTGTTACAATCCATTCTGATCACTGGATGAATCGTTTGCGTCAAACCATTCTTGTCCGCTGTCTGTGTATTATCTTCCAGCTGCGGATTATCACCTGGCCATTCATCGCTCTCTTCAAGCGGCATTACGAGGTTGTCCGGGTGAATTGGTACTCATCGCGATATATCAAGTATAATCATCATCCATCACAATCCCGCAAGATCTACGCTACCGGTAAGGATGAGTCTATGATTGCAGAGTACTGGGCTCCGATTGTCAGACAGGCTACCTGGGAAAAACTACGCGGGTCGAAAGCGTTGGATGAAGGGGATATGGAGAGATTGAGATACACAGAAGCGGGGGTTCACCGGGCTACGATAGAGCCGTGGGGAGGGAATAGTTGATTTTTCTTTCATCTGTTCACATGTCATTGCTGGCTTGTAGACGATTTATTGGCTTATATCTTTGCAATCGATTGTTTCCCTTCAGGATCAAAACTGATTGCCACCTTGAGGCAATTGTGCTGAGAGGCTGTTCGGAACGTTTCGTAGGCATTACTTGCTTCAGTAAAAGGGAAGGCTACAAATTAGCATCTTGTAAGTAAAATCATAGGCAGCACTTACAATGCGTCACCATCTTCGACACGTCGAGTTTGCCTGATTCTACCAGTCGTAGTAATTTGGATATGGTATTTGCGTTGAGTAGTTTCATGTTGATGCCTGTATTTATTAGCAATGTCACCACCGGGTTCAGCAAACATACTGATATTACGATCCCACAGCTTCTCGATATGCAAATCCACCTTCTTCCCGTGTACACCAACGTTGGCGATTGCACCTCCAACAGCGACGAGCTCCTGACTCAGTTCAAACGTAGCAGGAACCCCAACTGCCTCGATGACAGAATCGAAGCCTTGTCCGTCTGTCAACTTCAGCAGAGTATCCACTGCATCAGATGCACCCGAGTTGACAGTCGCATGTGCCCCCAACTCCTTCGCCAACAGTAATCGAGACTCGTCCAGATCGACCATCACCACCAGCGAAGGCGAATACAACAACGCACATAACATCGCCGCAATCCCCACCGGTCCAGCCCCGATGATAACAACCGACTTGCCTATATCGACATTCGAGTTGAGGACACCGCATTCTAGACCTGTTGGAAACGCGTCGGAAATGGCAACCGCCGCGCGAGGGTCGATATTCGCTGGTAACTTGGACAGCGACAGCGTCGCGTGTGGCACACGGACGAACTCCGCCTGTGTCCCGTCGGTTTTATTCCCCAACTGCCATCCACCAGATAGACAATGAGCTGGTATTCCCCGTTGGCAGAAACGACATGATCCACAAGATGTGATGGCCGCGATGAGGACGCGATCACCCTTGCTGAGTCCTTGGACAGCCGATCCGACAGAGTCGATGACTCCCACACCTTCATGGCCTAAGACCCTCGGAGGAGGAATAGTCGGGACATCGCCTTTGAGGATATGAAGATCAGAACCGCAGATAGACGCGTGGAGCATGCGGACAATGGCATCAGTGGGAGAGAGAAGGGTTGGTTTTGGGCGGTCTTGGATGGCCACGGTGTTGTGGCCGGTATAGACGAGGGCTTTCATTGTTGCCATGATGTATGTTGATTAGAAGATGATGCTTTGTGATTGAAGGGATATAAATATCAGTCCTCGGAGTGACGCCGATCCAGGCGACCGAGAGCAATGCGGGGTTGAGGATTGAAGGGGTATTCCGATATGCAGACTGGTCACATTGTGACTTGTCAAGTTGAGATTTCAATTGAAGCATGGATAAGTCGGCTTCCATTCGGCCGATAAACTCGAGGATTTGGCTGCTTATGATGCTTTTATTTGTCTGGTCAGTTGCGATCATGCACTGATTTATATAGTGGAGAAGCACAGTTTATATATGTCGGATATATGCCACTTATCGGTACACTAAATGAATTGAGATTACTTACATAGTTTAATCAGATGGAAATATAATTATAATTCCTTAATTTAAAAATTTAAAAATATCCTTGTTATGGCGATGAATCCGTCCAAATGAGCTGATCGTGTGGAGATCCAAACCCCGCATCTTATCACAATTTTCTTATCGCCCACAACTTCGACACTCCAACAATTCAATCCATCCACCAACCTCATCCCTAATAAGAAATCAAGATATCAGAAAATGCCACCAATCCTCATCCTCGACGGCGGCCTCGGAACCACCCTCCAACTCGCCCCGCACAACATCACCTTCACCCCCGAAACGCCCCTCTGGTCATCGCACCTCCTCCTCTCCTCCCCCTCCACCCTCAACGCCGTCCACCGCGCCTTCGTCTCCTCCGGCGCCGACATCCTCCTCACAGCAACCTACCAAACCAGCTTCGAGGGATTCACACGTACAGATGAGAAGCTCACCCACGCCGATGCAGGGCGATACATGCGCTCCGCCGTCTCTCTCGCGCGCGTTGCGTTTGGCAGTGATCGCCCCGCCCGCGTCGCGTTATCGCTCGGTCCGTACGGCGCGACCATGGTTCCTGTTTCGGCGGAATATTCGGGGCTATATCCTGCTGGGATGAATGGTGAGGGGCCGTTGAGGGAGTGGCATACGGCAAGGTTGGGCGTGTTCGCGGAGGATAAGGCGACGTGGGAGGGGCTGGAATATATTGCGTTTGAGACGGTGAAGAGAGCGGATGAAGTGAGGGCGATTCGTGGGACGATGCAGGAGGTGTTGTCGATTGCGTCGAGAAAGCCGTGGTGGATTTGTGGTGTTTTCCCGGATGAAGAAGTGAAGGAGGAGGATATCCGGGAGTGGGTGCAGGCGGCGGTTGGCGGGGATGTCTCGCCCCGTCCGTGGGGAATTGGCGTGAATTGTTCTAAGATCAGCAATCTCGGACGGATCGTGGATATCATGCAGGATGAGGTGACGAGGTTGAGTGCTGCAGGACAGTTTGTTGATGAGTGGAGTGCTACCTCTGGACGGCCGTGGTTGGTGCTGTATCCTGATGGAACGCGGGGAGAGCGATACGATCCTGTTTCGAAGGAATGGGTGAAGACTGGCGATGATACGCAGACAAAGCCGTGGGAGCATGTGTTTTGCGATGTCGTCAAGGATATCAAGGAGGGTGAATGGGAGGGCGTCATTATGGGTGGATGCTGTCGGACAGGGCCAAAGGAGATTGCGGCATTGAAGCAGCAGGTGGAGGAGAGCATCACTGTATAGTTTGTATACATATTAAAAAACTGGAGGTCATAAAATGATTCAATACTACTGTTCTACACGTCATGCTGTAATGGACTTTAGGATGTAAACAAACGATACATGGTGCATTCCTAATACAAAAGACTATTTCTAAACTTCCCTGATAGCGAATCCTCCTAATTATTCCAATGCTGATATATGTGCTACCTGATATACCAGAGAAATACACCTGATATGGTATTCAACTCCTTGCCATTGTGCTCTTTCGAACTGACCGATATCCCTGGGCCATGCACGAGATAAAGCACATCACTTTTTCTCAGGTACTAACCCCGGCGGGGCTTTCACTTCGGGCCTTTCGTCACTTTCACGGTGAAGCCCAAGATGATCTTTAAACCAGTCCATCCCTGACCGTCTGTTTCTAAGTTTGCGATCTGGCCCCATGCTCGGTCCAGGGGCGGCGGAAGGAGGTGGTTGGAAATGGGCTTGCGAGATCTGGCCCCTTCGTGGCTGTGGTGCAAGCTGTGATGTATTGCCGACGGGATGATTTGCCAGGTACCTGACGAAAAGGTCCATGGGTGCTGTTTGGCTGTCGAAAAATGGGAATAGCTGAGTCTTGTAGAGCACGAGGTTCTGACCGTCGTGGTAGGCTTGAATGATTCTGCCATACTGGCCCAAGAAGGAGAAGATCATAATCTGGTCAAAGATAGTATTCATTAATAAGTGACGTGTAGAAAATGGAATTCGAACATCACCTACCGGTATAATCAAATGTTTCTTGAAAAGCTGAAAGGACATTCGGCTCCGCATGGCAGCCAGGATTGCGAGCACCTCTCCTCTGAGCAGTCTTTCCTCGCCCCTAACATCATGCTTCATACAGAACATGAGATGCGGTTTGTCCTGTCTGTCGTACGACTCCCATGAAAACATGGGCTGGAACTTCGGGTTCCGTTCGAGGAATACTGTATTCGCATATCGAGCTTTGAACATGCACTTCGAGAACCCCCTGTGAGCCATCACGGATTAGGTTAGCAGATTATGTCTTCTATAAAGCTCCAGTGAATGACTTACTCCTGATACCGCCATCTACTGAGCCATGCAAGGTTAGGACTGTGAAGACCCTCTTTGTCTTCTGGCACGTTGTCTCGATGGGCGGTGCTGAATTGCCAAGCCAGGTTGCCACAGAGCGCGCTTGCAGCAGAGATAGGCCGATAATCCGGGGGACGAATGTCCATCGTTGTGTTGTGTATTTCGAGACGAGATTGTGTTGGTTCGTGTTCTGCCATGGGAAAACGTTGCATGGCCTCGTCGAGGAGTGGATCGAAGAACATTCTTCGCAGGCTGCCACCCTCGCCTTCGTCCGTCGCAAGGTGTTCGACTTTGAGCTTGAGATGGATCATATCTTCCCCGTCCAGAACTGGCTTGGGGATACTATCCACCGTAGCGTACAAGAGATCGATGGCTTCGAGAACACGCTCTCTTTGGATTTGTACTTCGGCTTCTGTTGCCTCATCGTCATGCGACTGGTGTGTAAAGCGCTGTCGGATAGAAAATGTCCGTCGTAGTGATCCTGACATGGTGGTTGGTGGGTGGAACGTAAGAGGTTGATATTGAAGCTGTACGAGGGAGGATATTAAAACGCAAGGCCAGTAATGGAGCTAGTGATACAGCAGAGAGATGAACTTAGAAAAGACAGGATGGCTGGGGGTGATTCCAGGGAAAGGAAAATCTGTTGGGGGAAAGGCGACATGCTGCCCGACGTTGTTTGTCTCTGCCTGCAGTGAAGTGAATCCATCCAGTGAAAGGCGGATGACAAACAAACGCAACCATACCACGGTACAGAAAGGTACAGAAAGTATCCATGAAGTCACTGCGGATAGTTGCAATACTATTCAAAGGGAGTATTATGCAGTTTGCCTTATAGTCGGAAGGGAATATACAGAAGTTGACTATAATGGGAGGTTTCTTTGCTTTACCTAACCAATGTCTCGGGACGCTGCTTTGATACCACCCTCAGGTGGTTTGCCCCAATGAGACAGACTACTTTGATTCTGTATTGTGGCTATTCACTTTGATCCTGTGCTGTGGCTCTTCACTGAGTAACGCTCTGTAGATATATGGATAGAATCTCCTCTCTAGCAACAACTCCCATACGCTTACTCTTGCACTCTCCGTGTATTGTTACTCTTAATCCTTCCTCTTCGTCTTCTAGATCTATCAGCACATAATATCCAGTTTGCCTAAGGTCGCGGTGAGCATCAGAGGCTTGAAAATTGCATGCAAATAGCTGACTGGGATTTCGCTTCGATAAAGCCATGGCTTCCACCTTTTTTGTGCCAGATTGCCCTGAAGCCTGTCGGGAGCTGATCAAGAAGTTCGCACCGAAAACCGCCCTCCACAAGCTGGAGAAGATGTTCTCTGGCTCCAAGGTCTCTCATGAGCAGTTCTCTTTGCTTCGGGTTTATTTCCCGCAAATACTGGAGCCATTGGAGTTCCTTACCTTCAAGGACAAGTACGGACTGGCATCAGTGTGGGGAGATGCGCAAGCGATACTGAAGCAGTCCGACTCGTTCAACGCAATGCTCCGATGCATCCGCTCTGAACACCCTAATTTCGACTGCATCCCGAGGAGTGGCCCGGACTGCCCAGGGGAGTTCATCCCGTTTTTGACGTTCCTCGGCGAAATCAGTCGCTCGGATGCCCGACCGGTCGATCAAATCCCGGATACCAATGCCCGGGACTTACCTCGAGGGAACCGCTCGACAAGGGCAACGGCCATCAATGTGTGGGAGGACAGTGACAATGAAGAGCACGCGGACGAGCCGACTGTTCATGTCCCTAAAAAGCGAAAGCTGCCAACCGCCCCTCGAACCAAGAAGAAGTCGGACAAGAAGCTATTTTCGGACGCAGAATATGAGATAACGGTCAATGCGGCCTCCGGGATTCTGCTGAGGATGGTGGGGGATCTAATCCCTAATACGAGATCGCATTGGGTTTTAGATCATGTCACCCTGCGGGCGAGCTTCAGCAACGCTTCTTACACTGCCGTCACTGACGGTGCTCTGTGGACGAAGATGAAACGAGTCATCCAAAGCATTGTTGAGGTAAAGAGAGCCTCGAGGTGGAATATTCTGAATGACGTTCGGATGCAGGAGGGGGGCGAAGGCGCATCATGGATCTTCTGTGCAGACGAGACTGGTCTCCCGGCCTTGAATGGCCAGTATGTACTTTCTTCTTTTGTTGTTCCTTTTTGTTTCGCAATATGCTAATATCCTTTGTCTCTCCCAGTCGACTTCTAGTTTCGATGGATCGGGACCAAATGTTTTTAACATTTCTGATGCCAGGTCAGGGTTATAAAGAATTTTTGAAAACGGGAGTGGATGGTCCGACTGCATTTTTAGAGATGCGAACTTACGGTCCGTTTGACCTGTGCGATGCGGAGGAGATGGAGGCGGTGTCAATTGCCCTTGTGGCATGTTCCATTCTGGCCTGTCAGGCTGCAGAGGCAGCTCGTCTATTAGAAGCCAATCTTCATGTATAGCGGAGGAAGTTGAGGAAGTTCTCGAAGCTAAGATACAAAGTAGTCGGATGCGTGATGCTGGATGTGTGACAAGGGAATCTTCTCTTCAGTCGTGATTGAAACATCCCCATTCATTTGTGCCCCAAGAGCTACATGTAATTTTTGAATCAGCAATCATGTCAAGTAGGCTCAGCTCAAATCAAGCTCTCGTCGAACTCGTGATTGAGCAAGCGCAGAAAACTGGCCGGCGACGACCGCTATCTACAGCAGGTCTTTGCCGGCAGTTCAGCCTTTAGACTACAAGAGCACCCAGTGACCTTTATCTGCTAGGTGCTGAGTATCTGAAGATGAAACCAGAAAAGAGAAGTTCGATTTGATTGATATCTTGTCTGGCCTGCAATGATGGTGATCTCTGCAAATGGCCGGCGGTGGAGCACCGGGTCCTCGGGCCCGATTCATTAGAGCAAAATGGGTGGATTAGAACTAATATGAAGATATCATAATAGAATGTACAGTCTGTCGATATGGAATCTCATAACAACACACTCTCCAGACCCGGTGGGTTCTACACCGCTATGAGCCTACAGAGCCCTATGTTTGAACACGGATGGGAGTGCCTCATTAACAAAGATGATGGAACAATGATGGCTTCTCCATAGCAGCAGATCTGCTTGTATAATTGTACCAGATCAACCCAGTTCTGTGTTTAGTGTTGTTTTTATTTTGTCAGCTACTGCTTTATCTTGGAAGTGCCACGAATGACTAGGGCACTTTGGTGTCCTTTCCCACATCCGAGATACACAGCATATTCTATCATCATTTGAAGAGGATAACCCTAGCAAAAGACAATGATTAATTAAAGTCGAGTAGTACGGATAATTGAGTGAAGGTGTGTACCTAAACTCCATGCAGCCTCGAAAGTGGTAAACAGCCAACCCCGGAATACCCCCTGGTACTACCGGAAATAAAATCCAGCCCCGCACCCTGACTGACTCGGCTGACTTTCCCCTCTTATGCGGTATCATTTTATACAATTCACATCTTATTAGTCTGCTGGTAAGATACAATAAGCATGGAATTCAAACGACAAAAATAATAGGGACTTGATCAACAGACATAACACACTGGAATGCGCAAGATGGAAGGAAGGCTGTATCCTGGGGAGGATTCCGATTGGCTGAATTGCATACAAAATTTCTCCATCTTCAGAGCCAGAGAGTCGAGCCATTGAGTTCGTCGTTTCGCTAAACGCTGATGAGGGGTTGACAACACTTACCACGTACCGACGATATAAAAAGGGGCATATTCCCTATTTCCATCCAGACAAATAGACAACTATTGGTCATGCAGACTAAACCCACCCTCGTCTTCGTCCCAGGGGCGTGGCACTTGCCCCAGTGCTTCGACCTCGTCCGCCCCATCTTCGAGGCCCACGGATTCCCCACCGAGGCCGTTGCCAACCCATCCATCGGCGCAGAGCCACCCACCAAAACAGGTGCCGATGATGCTGCGAACCTGCGAACCGTGTTGAGCCGATTAATTGAAGATGAAGGAAAGTCTGTCGTCTTAATCGCGCGCTCATACGGAGGTACTGTCGCCTCGAATGCGAGCGAAGGACTAGGGAGCGTGCAGAGAGCGAAACAGGGTAAGAATGGGGGTATCTCGCTGCTGATTTATCTGGCTGCGTTTGTGCTGCCAGAAGGGCAGAGCCTTGTTGATGGCTTGGGTGGGAAGCCGTCGCCGTGGATGCGTTCGAATGTGAGTATACCTTCATTATGCCTATATACGGTTATTAACAGTATAGGGCGACTACACCTACTCCTCCAACGAGGAGAACGTCTTCTACGCAGATATGGAACCCGAGCAACAGCAAAAAGCAATCAGCCAGCTCAGCCACACATCCATAAATGCTTTCCTGACGCCAATCGCGCATGAACCGTTCAAACACATGCGCACTGGGTATCTCTTCTGCGAACAGGATCAGGCACTGCAGATGCCTTTGCAGGAGACTTTCTGTTCCTTGCTGGAGACGGGGAGTAAGGAGGCCTCCCTCCCTGCTCCAGTCAGGGCGTCGCTGCCCAGTTCGCATTCTCCGTTTTTCAGTATGCCGGAGAGGACAGTTGAGAGTATTGAGGGAATGATTGGGGAGATTTAGTGTGATAGATTCATTTTGGGGTGGCTTTTTCTATACAAGAGCATGTCTATTTGTGATATTAGAATGTTTGTAAATAGATCCTTCCAAAGCTTGGTACTAAATATATACATAGACTCTACTATTCGTTGCCCCCTCAGAGCCAAATATCACAACCTGACTCTTCCCATCCAGTCTCCATATGACTGATTTGTACTACGCATATTGACTCCACTTATCTTAAACAGAACACGCTCTACGCATGTAATTGAGTCACGCAGATATTTCTCGTTGAGAATCGACTTCCATCCGCCAGCCAAAGTCTACCCACTCGGTTCAAAGCCGGCGGGAAGGTGTAAACCCATTCATGGCCTGATCAGTGGCAGTGGTTGCGTTGCTTCTCAGACTCGTAGATTAGAACTGGATGCTATATTTTATTTGAGTAGAACACGTCGGTCAATATTCGCTGCGGAATTATCAAAAGTTTACCGCAATGAAGTCCCCTGCTAGGATGGCCTTCTCGGTCTCGCAGGCGAAATCAACAAGAAATGATAATCATAATCGTAATATCTATCTCCCATCCGACTGAACAATCTCAATCTTATACTCCCCAAACTTACGACTGGGAACCTTTTTCTCAAACAGAATATCCAACTCCTCAAACGTCCTCCCCTTCGTCTCGGGCATACAGAAAAAGCAAAACACAAGACATATCGCACTCAAACCCGAGAAAAGGAAACCAAGCTTTCCACGCCAGTTTGCTTCATCTTCGTTCATCGCGTACGGGATCGCGACGGCGAATACGACGGACCAGATGAAGCAGCTTACCGTCGCGAGGGCGATGGTCGCACTGCGCAGTTTGGTCGATGATACTTCGGCCAGTAGGACGTAGCAGAATGGGCCGAGGGTGAGGTCGTAGATGAAGTTGCAGGCGAGCATGAGGGCGCATTGGGCCCAGGTTGGGCTGTTGGTTTGGCGAGGCGCAAAGTCGAGTGTTGCAATGATGAAGAGGAGGATGGCGAGGGCGGAGCAGCCGAAGAGATAGACGGTTCTTCGACCGATGTAGGAGAGTAATGGCCAGGAGATGATTGTGCCGAGTAAGCCCAGTGCTGTCAGGCCGAGATTCATGGAAAAGGCATCTGAGGAGTCGAGTCCGGCGACTTCCATGAAATGCACGGCGTAGTTGATGAAGAACACATTGCCGGAGAAGGACTGCATGTCGTATGCCATGACGCAAATAATCAAGCGACGTAGATTCGTGCCTTTGAAACAGTCGCGATAGTTGAATTTGTTCTCGTGGCCGAAACTCTCTTCCAGTCTGAGTGTTTCTTTGATATGCGCCAGTTTCAGACTCACATCGACATCCTTCGTTGCCAAACGAGTCAGCGATCGTGCTGCGCTGTCATATTCCCCCTTCTTGCACAGCCAATATGGCGGATCAGGGCAGAAGAAGATCAGCAGCAGCACGAACACAGGCAGAATCCACTGCGTCGCGATCGGAATCTTATACGACCAAACGCTCTCCATTGACTCCGTCCCCTTCAGAATCCCCGACGCAATGAGCGATCCAATCGAAAACGCCAAATTCGTCATGGACGCAGCGAAACCTCGCAACGCCAACGGAGTGACTTCACCCACATACGCCGACGCACAGATCGGATAAAACGCAATAATACACCCGTTGATGAGCTCGCCTGCAAACAGCTGCGCCGGTGTGTGGCTGAAAAACTGCAAAAAGATAAATGCGATCGACAAGATCGAACAAGCGGCCATCATGCGACGAGGGCCGAAACGATCGTACGCGAAGCCGGAACAGAGGGCGCCGATGATGGCGCCGACGTTGTTGGCGTAGTTGAAGGCTGAGAGCCAGCGGGCGGCGATGATATATTCGCCATTGTAATTGTAGCCATATGTGTGTTTGAAGGCGTTGAGGCCGACGAGACTGCGCACGATGCCTCCATCCTACAGTCTATTAGTATGTACCGTTTATAAAGAAAGAAAAGAAAAAAAAAAGAATAAGAAAGAAAAGACAGACGATTCCTTTCAGAATGGTCGCTAGATTAATAAATAACCCCCAAGCAAGAGCAGGCCAATACAGTCTGGCTGCTTCCCAAAAACCCAGCGAATGTTCGTCTTCCGTAAACTGAAGCGATTTTTCGGCCTCATCGGCAGCGACAGGCACAGCCTGCACCAGGGCGGGTTTTTCAGACAGCGACATTTTCAGAGAATAATTTCTACATTGAGGGATTTGAGAAGATTTCAGAAATATGCGAACTCAAGGTCCTTGGTATTCAATCCAATCAAGCGCGTGCATTAATCAGATGTTGCATCTAAAGTCTTGGTGTCTTGGTCTCTTGGCCCCCCACTATATCAGAGACGGAGGACGCCGCTAGATGCTCTTGACGTGCTCTGTCACCAGACATTCAAAGTCGCTTGTTCCATAGTAAATGGTGTTTTCATCATCGGGCGACGGTCCAGTGCTCAAGGTATCTCCATACTGCCAGTACAAATCCGCAGACACGCCTGTCGCGTTCAACGCCGTCTTTTGCCACGGCGATTCGAGGTTGCAGTGGTCGGATGTGACGCCGTATTCTTCAAACAGGCACGGCTTGCCGGCTGCTGCACAGGCAGTGCCATGCGAAGTTACCCAGCTGTTTCCAAAGGAGTTGGGGACGCCCCCTGTTCTTGTTAGTGGTGCAGTGCCGAATAGGGTGGTGCACTTACAGCTAGACGGATAGAGATGGAATGTCCCAAAATCAATATCCTTGATACCCAAGTTTTTGGTAAAGTTCAATCCCTCGCTGTATCCGAATGGATAGCTGCCATCAGACTGGATATCAAGGCCAAATCCCTCATCGCCAATGGCGACCAAATGATTCGCGTCCAGCGACTTGATATACTTGCTCGTCTTTGCGATCCAGTTATACAACACGTCCGTGTCGCAACCCTTGCACCGTGGCTCATTCGCCAATTCCCACGCAAAAACCGCAGTCGATTTCGCGTAGCGCGACACCACAGCCTTGATATACCTCTGGTATGCAGCCTGTATCTTGGTGTTGGTATACCACCCCGTCTGATCCCCCCCGTAGGCGGACGTATACGCCTCCATGCCGCCGTAGTCACTCCAGCTGTTCACAAAGTTGATAATCAGCTTGATGCCGTGTTTCTCAGCGGACGACACAACGTAATCCAGTCGCTGCAACCCATTTGCGCCCGTGTTGATCTGCGACGTCCCGTTGGCGTGATACTGGAACCAGACTTTGTTGTTGGCCGGAATAGAGTTGACGTCGTTGAAGCCCCAGACGCGGAGAATTTTGAGGCCCGACTCGCTCATGTGTTGAAAGACGAGGTCGACGTCATCATTGTTGGTCAGGAAGCCAATCCAGTAGGCATTGGAGCCGGCGTAGTAGCCTTTCTTGTTGTCGATGGTGAATTGGGTTCCTGAGGTGCTGACGAAGGAGGCCGAGGCAGAACCAGAGGGAGACGGCGCAGGAACAGACGAGGTAGAACCAGAAATAGAGGAAGAAGAGGCAGTGGAAGCTTTCGGAAGGGCAGCAGCCAGTGCTGCGAACGAGAGGATGGAGAGAAGCTTCATGGTTGCGTACTGATCGTTTGTTGACTGTTTGGTTGTGTCTGTTGTGTTGGTTGTGTTGGAAAAATAAGCTACCAGGATGAGTGAATATATATAACTACATTGGCGGAGGGCATCTCCGTGACGGATTCGGACGTTCTACAACGCTTCATGTTGATCACTTCAACTCCGCACCAAAAAGGGAAATGTTTCATGTTAACGACTACGAAATACATAGCAAGTAACAGATATACATCTACAACTACGGCTTCCTCTCATCCTCCCGCCAGTGTCGCTTCTCGGTCACGTCCACTCCCAACCACAACATATCCGGTCTACTATAGTGGCCAACAGCATCGACAAAGTGACGGCTCGACAGCAACATATCCAGGTCCAGATCAGCATAAATAATTCCCTCTTCAGTCGGTGGTAACACCTCGGACAGCCGTCGTCCATCCGGCCCGATGATAGCAGAACACCCTCCCCCAGCAACGCCAAACATCCCCCCGTCTATCTTCATCTTCTCAATCCCCTTTTCTCTCATCACAGCAGTCGTATGGAACACGAACGTCCCCGACTCAACCGCATACGTCTGCGATAAACTCAGACACCCCTCGCTTGACATCCCCCACAGCGCCTCACCCCCAGGATGAGGATGCAAAGGCGGCCAAGCAGCGATATGAAACTCCTCTCGCTGTCGCATCGTGTTATATTTCAGCAACGGCTGAATATGTTCCCAGCACGAGAGCGCCCCGACATTTCCAATCCCATCAAGCGCAGTCACATTCAGCAGACTGCCGCCCGATGCATCCCCGAAGATCGTCCGCTCCATGTGTGTAGGCTTTAACTTTCTCCGCCGCATCACGATCTCCCCTGCGTTATCGATGGTACACTGTGCGATGTAGACAGAGTTGCCGTCATTCTCGGAGAATCCGAGCGAAACGGCGATGTTATTCTGTGCTGCTGCGGTGCAGATTTGCCGTATCTCGTCCGAGTCGTAGGAGAGGGAGCTTTTGATATACAGTCTCGCCAACTCCATATCTACCGGCCGAGCCCTGCTTTATTAGCGGATCATACGTTAGAGCAGTAAATAGGGAGCCAACCAAATCCACGCTGGATATCCCGGAATCCAGCATTCAGGAAAGGTAATCAGCTGGGCGCCATGGTTGGCAGCCTCTTGAATCAGCTGACAGGTTTTGGCCACGGTCGCCCCGAGATCGAGCCATTCGGGTTCGTGTTGCGTGACAGCGACGCGGATCGATTTGGATGTAGCCATTTTGAAGATCTGATGTTTATTTTGAATTTGATGGTCTGTTTTGATGGGGGATTGGGGAGGATGGGGGATATGGCCGGTGAGCGAACAGCGTAAGGCGGATATATGGATATATTACCCCGCATTATATCTGGTCTTGACACGACACTAACTACTCTGACATTTTCCGAACGGCCTAATCTAGTTATCATGTCTTATCTTGGTGTAATGGCCACTGAAATCGCTGACAATCTGGGGTTGTAGACACTAGAACCAGATATAGCACAGCCCCAACTCAGCCACACAACCCAACGGTAGGCACCCATCATAATTCATAAGGCATAAACTCGGATAACCGACTCATCGGAACCAAAGCAATTATGAAACTCTTCACTCGGCTCCGTCGACTGTTTGCTGTCACCTCCGTAGCGATCGGACCCGAGACGCTAGAACCCAAAAGAGTAATGTCCACGTTGTGTTCTGGAAGCGACAATCTTAACCTGTTCCGATCTCATCCGGTCATGTGAGGGTCATGTGATGCACTATGACAGACTAGTGACTAATGGTTTGGGGTGGTTAGGTAATCAGGGACTGCAATTATCCGAATCTCGGCAGTTTGGCGGAATTTTAGCGGAAAAGAGATCGATTCTGGGGATTCCTGGGGTTGACACTGACATCTGTCACTACAGGATGGGGGGCATTATTCAATCTACATTCGTGCTATTATGATAAGAGTGTAAACAAGCAATGAGAAATAAGAAATAAGAATACGATCAACAGTTCCTGAGAAACTAAAAGTCAAAGTAAAAATACAAAAAGTAAAATAGACGAAAGCTTGATGACCTCACAGGCGACCCCAGAAAACTCTGATGCTGAGTCAGCCGCGAGTGCATTTTTCCGGGTGCAATCAAGGGATGCATATGCATTCGGATAAGGAATGCAGTAGATGATTGGATGCAGTAAGATCAAACAATAGTTACTAAATAATCACCAATAATAGCCATCAAACATAAAACATGGACGGGCGAAATGAAGGCAGGGATGGGATCACAGGATGATGCCGGTGGCGTCGTGCAAAGCTTGTTCTGGTGGCGTCCACAAAGCATCAAGTCGGCTCGGTCGGGATGGATTTCGGGATCTGGGCGTTGTTGAAACTTTTGTTGGATTGATAAGAATCTGTGTGTTTCTACGAGTTCTACGATGATGATGATGATGATATGGAAATGTACGATGATGCATTACCCCATACTCCAGACTCCGCAAACCCTGCATGAGGCCTCACCGGCGACTGAATCGGGCATTGCCACCCCTCATCTCCAGCTCTCCATCTTCTCCGGGTCTCCAGCTCTCCGTTCGTTTCCGCATTTCCGACGATTTGCCGAGTGGGGAACGCCGAATGCAGCACCATATACAATAATAGAAGATGAATGCAAATAATAATTATTATGATCACAATAATGGATGGAATGCTCTGGTAGATTACAATAAATAAAAAGGATGATAGAAGACACACAGAAAGATGCAACCACGGAACCTCATCTCCACTCTCTCACTTCTCCTCCACGGGGAGCCGACGTGGCCCCGATTCTTCGCCTCTTCTCACTGGACGTCGCCGTCGGCCTCGGCCGGTTTTTCTCCATCTCTTCGTCTGTCTTTCCCCCCGGACGCTGCCCGACACATCGTCATCTCGGCTCGTTTCTCGGACTGAGTTTTCGCTCTCGTCGACTGCTCCCCCGTTGGGAGTCCGGCTGAAAACGGGCTTAAAAAGGCGCTCAACGCCCTCCTTTTCCGTCTGCATTCGATCAGTAGCCCAGTCTTTGACAGCAGCCTTCCACTAGTCTGTCTCTTTTTCTCCTCCTTTTCCTTTTCTCTTTCCCTTCCTCATCCATCTCTACTGTTTACTCCTACTGCTACACCTACTCCTCCTACTCTACTTTCCCACCATGGGCCTCGAAACTTCTGCCCACCATGGCGAGTCCATCTCGGCCGCCCCTCCTCACCTCTCCAGCACGGACTCCTTCGACAACAAACCGTTGGACCGTGGTGTTGACACCCCTATCCCCCGCGTCACTCTCCGCGCCTTTGTCATGGGCACTTTCGTCTCCATGGGAGGTATGCTGTTCGGTTACGACACTGGTCAGATCTCTGGTTTCGAAGCCATGTCCAACTACATGCAGCGTTATGCTGAACATACCGGCCCGGGCCCTGAGGACTATGCCTTCAGCAACGTCCGGTCCGGTCTGATCGTCTCTATCCTGTCCATCGGTACCCTCATCGGTGCCTTGGTCGGTGCTCCTGTCGCTGATTACATCGGTCGTCGCTGGTCCATCACCATCTGGTGTTTGATCATGATGGTCGGTCTCATCGTCCAGATCGCTGCTCCCTCCGGTAACTGGGTCCAGATGGTCCTGGGTCGTTGGGTCACTGGTCTTGGTGTCGGTGGTTGCTCCCTCGTTGTCCCCATGTACCAGGGTGAGAGTGCTCCTCGTCATGTCCGTGGTGCCATGATCAGTTGCTACCAGCTCTTCGTCACCTTTGGTATCTTCCTCTCCTACTGTATCAACTTGGGAACCAACACCATGACGGGTACCGCCCAGTGGCGTATCACTTTGGGGTTGACCTTCCTCTTTGCCATCATGCTCGGTGGTGGTATGGCTTTCTTCCCCGAGACTCCTCGTTTCGAATACCGCCACGGCAAGGTCGACAGTGCTCGTCGCACCATGTCCAAGCTCTATGGTGTCCCTGAAAACCACAAAGTCATCATCAACGAGATGGAGGAGATCGGATACCAGCTCGAGGCTGAGCAGGCCGAGACCCAAGTCTGGCACGAGTTCATCACTGCCCCGCGCATGTTCTACCGTATCATGTTGGGTATGGCCCTCCAAGCGTTGCAGCAGCTTACTGGTTCCAACTACTTCTTCTACTACGTGAGTCTTCCTTGCTTTTCCCTTTTTGGTTCCCTCCCGCACCCATTCCCCTTCTGCCCTAGCCCCGTCCGCATTTGGCTTCGCTCCTGCTAACCTCAACACCAGGGTACCACTATCTTCAAAGGTGCCGGTATCTCCAACAGCTTCATCACCCAAGTCATCCTCGGCGCCGTCAACTTCGGCACAACCTTCGGTGGTCTCTATGTCGGTGAGAACTTCGGTCGCCGCAAGGCTCTCATCATTGGCGGTTTCAGCATGTTCGTTCTCTTCATGATCTTCGGTTCCATCGGCCACTTCCTCCTCGACGTTGAGAATCCCACCAACACCCCCGCCGTCGGCAAGGGCATGATTGTCGTCGCCTGCTTCTACATCGCAGTCTACGCCATGACCTGGGCCCCTCTCGTCTGGGCCATTTGCGCTGAGCTCTTCCCATCCAAGTACCGTGCCAAGGGCATGGCGCTGTCGACCGCTTCAAACTGGCTCTGGAACTTCCTGATCGGTTTCTTCACCCCCTTCATCACGAACGAGATTGACTTTGCCTACGGCTACGTCTTCGCCGGCTGCATGTTCGTCGGTGCCTTCATCGTCTACTTCTTCGTCATCGAAGGTCAGGGCCGTACCCTCGAGGAACTCGACTGGATGTACGTCCACAAAGTCGCTCCTTGGAAGAGCAGCAAGTTCGAGATCCCCCAGCGCGATATCCTCGGCGAGGACCGTGCCCAGCATACCCGTAAGGGCCAGGAGGAGTCGTACCATGCTGAGAACGCATAGACGTCTTTGCTTGTTTGTTTGAGCTTTTCGTTGCGATTCATTAAAACGGAGTTATGTTTATTCTGGGCCGGTCGGGATGGTTGGGTGCATTTTCTTTTGCATATTATTGCATACCTTTGATATCCCATTGTTATGATTTAGATGTTTAGACGCAATGATATCACTTCATTCAAGACATTATTTCTTCTACCTTCGACTCGTAGCTGCGATAAGAATAAACGTAAACTTTGTTCCCAAAAAGCCACAAAGTAAGAAGGCCCTGCCGAAACTCTAACCTACTGAATATTGAACTTTCTACATCTTTTTTTTCACCATGTACATGAAGCTTCATAACTTGCTTCCATCTTGTTCGAGTCAACTGCCATCGCTGTGCGGTTTACCTTTTCTACGTAAGACTTGCCAGATTACTGCTACGCCGTTTTGTTGTTCTAAAGGATCATGGAAATTGTCAACCATCTATTAGAATATTAGAACTTCCCGAATTAAACCAAGTCTCGCAATTCAACATGAAACCCCCACTGAACGGTTATGGAGAACCCCGAGCTCATGTTCTTCGAGCCACAAACCATATTCTCGCAACTAATGGCGTAGCCTGACAGACGATTCCATTAGAAAGGTGCTGGAAATATCAGATGTATTCAGTAGCCCCACGCAAGACCCGTAAACAGGTTCGAGTCACTTGGAAACGAACCCCCGTTGAAATGCTCGCCAGCTATGTCCTTCTTCTCGGGGCGAAAGCAACTGTCCCTTGAAATGTGCGGGGATCGCAAGCAAGCTTCCTTATCGCAGGAGACCCCATCTAGATGTCACAGGGCTCGCCAGCCAGGGTCTGATCCAGGATACATTCGACGTCTCTTGACAAGCGGTATGGGAAGTATCATTAGGATCTCGGGGAACAAGTGGTGAGATCGCCAACAACCCTTCATGTAGACATTGATAAATAGCGGCATTTGGCATTTTAATAATAAAACCTGTACAATGATTCCGAGTTAGCGAGACGAGGTAGAGAACTTGGTTGAAGATGTTCGGACATTACCATTTAAACATTCACACTCAGATGGATTCAGTAGCCCTGTTACTAATTATGTAGCCAGAAGCAGCTACATCTCCGGTAACAAGGGCAGAAGATTACAGTGCTTCTGTCCTGTCCAGAAGAACTCCATTGAAAGGTTATGGAGACCGTTAGGGACGTTGAAGACTGAGAGAGAGACTGACAGGGGTCTCTGTGGCATGGGAGGAGACCGCTGGACACAGGTTTCTTTCTACTGGCTCTAATCACCATCCGAGTTAGGGTATTCCGAGGGATAAAACCTGGTTCAACCCACCGATTTATTAGATGGAGTAAAGACGAAGTTAATCTCTGCGTATCCATCACGGCCACCGCATTGAAAGCGTATAAGATCCTTTGTGCCATCAATGTTCTCTCTTGTATGGTCCTCTGGTGGGGAAAGTTTGCTGGAATTAGTATCTCACTCCAATGAAATCAAGATTTGACTATGAAGAGGAACATAGAACATACAAGCGATATAAACTCATCCCTGGCAAAGTCAAATTGGGTAGAACGGGGTCTGGTCATTGAGAGATACGGAATGAACCCAATGCGAAGAGAATGCATACTCACGACAACCACCCCATTCGGCTGCTTTGCCATATAATTAATCTACCGTTCTGTGCAGGTTTTGGAACGAGACCTCGTGCTTTCGACAGTTAGTACACCTAAAGGGGATTGGTGGCTCACTTTACCTTGATCTTGGTCTCGCCACGCTGGGAGGGCTGGACTGCGGCTGACATGCTGAGAACAGAAGGCCCAGCTGGGACTGAAGAGATAAAGGACTTTTGATACGCGAAGGAGATAGAAAAATGAAGATACGGATGAGGATATGAGGGGAGGGATGGAAAGGAGAGAAGAAAGAGAGAAAAGAAAAAAAGAAAGAGTGAGGGGGTGGGGAGAGAAGAGGAGAGAAGCCCAGAGAGGACTGCCCTAAGGGTTGTCGAGTGAATACATCCAACGCGACGCACTGGTAGTCAAAACAAACCATGCTGGAGAATTTCTTCATCGAACTTCTACATATGCACTTGAATACCACGTAAATACTCTTTGAATTTAAATATTAGCTCGTATGCCGTGTGAATAGCCTATGAATCTCTGGAAGCTAACGGGGATATCACGACAATACTCGGTTATACTCGATTTCCAGATGGACAATGTCCAAACAAAGAATGATTTGTTCAACTATCTACCAACCTACAGAGATGTTAGTAACTAGGCGAAATTCTATTTATTGTTTGAGAGACGAGAAGAAAAGAAATGTTGGACAGCGCACTGCCATGCCGATTGAGCGAATAGCGAGTGAAGACTTTGTTTAAACTGAAGATGTCCTCATTGGGTATCACGAACATAAAATATCTCTTCCCTGTCTATATCTATTATTTCTTCAGTCCAATGACCGCCAGGTTTCGCGGACTTAGGCTGTAGTCAAACACCGGCTGGACCCAGCAATCTTTGATCGAGTCCTGCTCACGAAGAAATTGCCACCGATCCACGACAATGATAGCCTCAACGAGCTGAGAGCTGAAGGCCATTAAGCTCCACACGATACTTAAATGTTTCCTTGCCGGTTGGTATTGATTTTCATAGCAGTGAATGTCCTCATCAGTCAGGGTAGCAATCTGCTCCTGCACTCGAGAACCATATATCGGGTCTCGACTCATCTTGATAGTCGCAGCGCGAAAATATGCAGTAAAAGATTGAAAGGCGGATTTGGGCAATTTGCCAAGGATGATCGAGTTCGCTGCGTCTCCTGGAATAGAGTGGCTGGGAAGAACGCTGCGATCGACGAGAATACGTTGTAGCAGGGCACGGAAAAAATGACGGGTAAAGGACATTTCACTGTCATTGTAGCCCCAGTTGTATGGGGCTTGAACGGCTAATGCGCGGGCTGTAATGTTAAGCTTCATGCCGGTCGTTGCGCCCGGACTTTGGTAATTCTCGTAGTATTTAGACATGGGAAATCCGTGCGGGTCGTATGATGTGCCAGTCTCTTCCAGTCGAGGGTGGAGAGATTGAATGATAGGGAGGTCACAGGTGGATGGACCGAGGCGTTCAGTCAACAAATTGTAGCAACAACCGATCATAGCGACGGCCACAATCGAAGGGTTCACAACGAGAGATCGGATACCATGATGAACAAGGTTTCCGCAAGAGTGAAGGGAAACAACCATCAATCTAGCAGCACTCTCCTCTTTTCTCTCTTCACCGGAAGGTCCAGCAGATGATGGATGGATAACGTGGCTGATAATGGGCTCAAGATAGCCGTCTTGGATTTCATGTTCAATATAGCTGAGTGTACCACGAGTATGAACCTCTGGTGTCGGCAGCCTATCTTGTGATGGAGCTTTGATGGAGGGTCCGAACAGTTCGTCGGGTTGGAGCCTAATTTCGCCTAACATCTCGACAAAAGGAACGTCTTCCTGGATCTGTGGGCTCTCTATTATCGAGTTGGGTGCTTCCGTCGTTCCAGAAGCAATCTGCTCTGACGTCAAAACGTAGCTGTCGGATGAAAGTTTGTTCTTGTGAGAAGATCGAGCCTTCGGGTCCTTTGCCAATTTGGCTCGAACATCCATGTTTTTGGCACCGCTGATGTACTGATGCTTGCGCTCAATCGCGATGATATGCTTGTCGTACGGCGGACTGGCCAGCGTCCGTCCAAGGTAGTTCTGTCCAGATCCGAAATCGACAATGTGAGTGACTTCTTCCCCTCGGCGCTCGTTGACAGTTTTTGATAGGGATGCGACGTATTGAGAAAGGCATTCAACCTCGTGTACTTTTTTTCGGTTCATATGCATAGCAACTTGCTTTGGTAATTCGATAGTCTTCGATGATGAAGTGCATATTTCTCGTTTGAGCGCCAGACGGCGAATGTTGAAAATGTAGTCTAAAAGGCTCTGGGGAGGGAATGCTGCTCCATTCCAAGTACGGCTGCTTTGATCTACAAAGGACTCGCCGGCGCCTCGTAAGGGCTCAATATCCTCTCTTAAAAGCAGCTGAATGATATCTTGAGTATCATGCTGTTCAAAAAACGATCTCCAATCTTCTGGCAGTATTGTTGTATACAAATCGGGCTCGCGGGTCAAAAAGTCAACCATGTGGACGCCACCGCACAAATTCATGAAGAGCACCGATGTGGTGGAGAAGGATAGAAGGGCCTCAATGTAGGCATCGGGGCTTGCCCACGCCTCGGAGATGGGTAAGGGGCGATCGGGAGCCATGTAAAATGGTGGATGTGAAGCATTTCACTAAACCCTTAAAAATTCTTCATCGCGGGGAAGCCATAAGTTTATGGAGATCTTGATGCGCTGCTGACTCATCATCAACACCATAGCCCTTGATAAACTAGATTTCCTCTCATCTGTATTACCAACTGCCCGTTTGCATTGCAATGAGAATTAGACATAAAAATAAGACTGGGATGTAAAATTGCTACGGAGGGAAGGGTGTTTGGCTATGTTGGACGCTAAGGAAGGAGAGGCAGAGGCGGGCGATGAAGGCTCGAGAACTTGTAGTAGGAAGGTTGGATGGAGATGGTTGAAGAGAAAGATATAGTAAAAGAGGAGAGGGAAGTGAAACAAGAAAAACTGTACATTAAAATTCTGCGCTAGGCAGCGAGCCTGCACGTTGCTCAGTCGTGCTCAGTATTTCCTTGTTCTGGTACGGGAACAAATATGGCAAGGACCTGGTGTGCCCTGGAATACATCCTTAAACTATGATACCAATTGAAGATTACTCTGATTCCTCATAGAAGGATTCCGCCAAAGTCTGCACACGGTGGTAATATCCTCTCACATAACTCTGGAGTCTGACCTCCAGAAAGTCATGACCCATCCCGCATGTTTTTCCTCCACATTCTTCGCCCTCCACTATCTTATAGCACGTAGTTGTAATTTGGTGGAGGTAATCGCATGGCGTGGTGCAAATGTGTGCATGATTCGTTTTCATGACCTATAGAACGAATAATGTTAGCTGGGCTATGTTGTAAGAGACTCAATTTCACAGTTGGCATACCTCGCAAATTTTAAGACCCGTGCACTCTGGGAGCATACAGGGGATTCCCATGAGATGAACGGGGCAAATTCTCTGCAGTAGGTTTGCAGCGTAATGCTCTGCAGTCGCAGCGGCAGCAATCGCTGCTGTAGCAGGGGGGCAGCAATCGCAGCTGTAGCAGGAGCAGGAATCGAAGCTGGTGCACGAACCGGGAGCAGCAGTCGTACCAGGAGTCGGAGCTGGTGCAGGATGTAAGGCGTACTGAGGAATATATGCGCGAGCAAGAATCCCAGGAACATGCTCCACCCCTGTGATAAGGCTTGTTCTTGGTCAAACATCGGCATAATGTGCATCCCTATTCTGCGAATACAAATTGACGAGAGACTGAGATGAGAGAGACGAAGATGAGAGACTGAAAGAGGGGTGGGAAGGGAAGAAGAAGAAGAGGATGGAGGGGAAGAGGGAGAAATATAGAGGGGGGAGAGAAACAGCGAGAAGTCCCGAGGGCTTTGAGTGAATGACTGCTCGTGACACCCCTCCAGTGAAGACAGGAAATTTTTCTCATTCTCTTTTTGGCTCTGCTTGACGTGGGTCCTTGTTCCTCCAGCTGTAGGTGCTCCAGATTGACTGGTTCGATCAACTGTTCTGGATGATGCAAATGGCTTGTTCTAGATGGGTTCTATCAAAAAGGATGACGGTATACAAGGTACTCCACATTGAAGAAACATAACATTTTATCTAAAAACAGTCTAATCAGAACTAACTTCAAGTCTCTATAAGATCATCCTGCTCCTCCATAACCAGGCTATTACCACTTTGCCTTGCCCAGAGACTCTGATACTTCCCACCCCTTGCCAGCAGCTCCTCATGCGTTCCTCTCTCCACGATCCGTCCCTCATCCAGGACCAGGATCTGATCGGCACTCACAACTGTCGACAATCGATGCGCGATGACAAACGTTGTTCGTTTCGTTCTCAATCTATCCAACGCAGCCTGAATTTCCGACTCGGTGTTGGTATCTACCGCACTTGTCGCCTCGTCGAGAAGGAGAATCGGCGAGTCTTTGAGGAATACTCGGGCGATGGCTATGCGCTGTAACTCGCCGCCAGAGAGTTTGACTCCCTGCTCTCCGACTTTTGTCTCGTAGCGATCGGGGAAGGTGAGGATCCTATCATGAATAGCAGCTGCACGGCACGCAGTGAAGATCTCTTCATCGCTAGCTGATGGTTTTGCATAGCGCAGGTTTTCCATGATCGAAGCATTGAAAAGGAGCGGATCTTGTGGAACGACCCCGATAGCCTCGCGGAGAGAGCTGAGCGTGACACCACGAACATCATGGCCGTCAATCTCGACCCGTCCGGAAGAAACATCGTAGAAACGGAGCAGTAGTTTGAGAATGGAAGACTTCCCGGATCCGGTCATACCGACAAGAGCGACGGTCTCTCCCGGCGAGGCAGTAATGTTGACATCCGTCACGGTCGGCTTGCGAGGGTCATAAGAGAAATGCACATGGTTAAATGATACATGCCCATCCACAGACCCAAGATCCTTTGCGCCTTCTTGGTCAGTGACACTCGACTTCGTCTGAAGTAGAAGTAGAAGTCGCTCTGCGTCCACAAGCTGCGACATAAGCCATCTGTACTCCGCCGAAAGATACATGATAGGATAAATAAGCGTATCCCAATACTGAAGAAAAAACACAAAGTCACCAGGAGATGAACGGCCCTGCGAGATTTCAAAAACCACCAGGCACGCGAGAACAAAGAATGTAAGAGGAACCATCACTTCGAGTATTGCTTTTCCGTATGCGTCGCGCTGCCCGAAGCGCCTGCTCGCCTTGAGCTGGGCATCGACTGACTTGCTGAAACGGGATCGCTCGAAGAAGAACCGGTTGAAATAGGAGACGGTCTGCCAGCCTTGGATAGCCTGATGCATGACGCGCGTTTCGTCTCGTTGGGCTTTTGTGAGCTGACGCCTTGTGCCGATGTTCCAGTTGGATGTAATGACCTCGACCGTGATATAGGCGATGGACGCAACCACCATAGCCAGCGACGCATAGGCATTAAACTTCCAATACAGCATACCAGACGCAATAACTAAATCAGCTATCGTGGGAAGTATCTCATTAACAGCCGTTTCGAGAAGATTTGTCAACGATTCTCCCTGCTCAACGGCCTTCATGACCTCGGCCGAATCGCGCTGGGAATGAAAATCCATCGATAGATTCAGAACATGGCTAAACGCTGCATTTGTGATCTGCCGATATGAGAATTGCTTGATAGGAATCGTCACCAAGGCAAGAATCAACCCCAGCCCAGCGTCATTGCGAATCAGGTCCAATACTACCCAGATCCCGAGAGCCTTGAAAGGGGCTTCATTTGCGAGGATATCATCCGTCACGATACCCAGTTGTCGCGGCACAAGGATATTTAGTGCTCGGCCAGCTGCAACACACACAAGGCTTACCAAGATAGAGAGCTGCACTTTCTTGTCTTTTCGAGGGATGAGGTAGGGTAGAAAGATGGAAAAGTCCTTGACGTACGCGAACCAGCTGCCTGTTTCCTGAAGGCGTTTAGCTCGAGCTTGTTTGATGTCGTGATCGTCGTCGGATTCCGAGTCACTCTCGTCGTCATGGTCTGGGATAGCAGGTACTGTATCGTATGAGGCAGCTCCGTTCCCTAAGAGTGACTCTGATTCTTCAGAGTTTGCTGTAGGCTTCGAGGATGCGTATATCGAGATTACCGCGAAATATAAGAACAAAGAAAGCCGAAGAGCCAGACAGACCAGCTGTGGTACTGTCTGCGACCGACGAGACAAAGCGAGAAGTGGCGCGTCGAACGCGATATTGATGATCGATATCACCAACAGTTCATACCAGAGGCATTTTAGAATTCGAACTGAAGACCAAACTAAGACAAGTAGAATTGCGTGGAAGAGATCGGACTGGGAATCGACAAAGCCATTTCGGATGATTTCAATGGTGCCTGCAACAAGATAGGATATGATGATAAGAGTCGTCGGGAGGATGTGTGGCTTGATTTTATTTGATTCGGACTGTTTCACTCTGCCTATATTGAGGACGGTAGAAATGAGAAGATAGAGACTGGCTGTTAGGGCACAGCCGTAATGGAAGGCCTGTAGTATTGCCATTGAGAGCCGATATTAGATGGATAGAATGACATGAAGATTGAGTTCATCGATATCAATATATAAATGAAATTTCCAAAAATGCGAATATTAAGCTACTGCCTAATCTCACCGTTTAAATTTGGGGAACTGTTCTGATTGGCCAGGTTTGTGGCGTGGATCATGCAGATCAATACGAACTGACTCATTATGATTCACTATTCTTTAAAAAAGGAGTCACAAAGAGAGCCGAAAAGGAAATAATGCAGGTTATACAGAGATGACTGCAGATGGGTGGCCTGAATGTCCATAAGACCCTTATTTCTAGACTTCCCCACCGTCCATAGCCACATCTACAAATATCACCAAACAAAGAACACGATTCAAACCATTTCTATATTTTGGTTTGGATGGACGAAACCAGGAGCTGTCACGTCAGTCTTGTCTTTTTTTTTGTGTTTTTTGCCTGCATAGCGCAGACCTTCAATTCTATGCCACCCATCTTTTGCTGTGTTGAATCGGGCCCGAGGACCCGGGGCTCCACTCGAGGGCCAGTTGCAGAGATCACCATTCAAATCCCGGGTTGTCTACCATGAACCGGCTGACATCCCCAGACCAAGAAGTCGGTGGCTTCGCCGCAAGTACGGAAGCTTGATTTCGACTGCGCCACGAGATGCACAAGCACTGCAGCTGTTGAAATTATTTGATGCTGCCTGTGCATCCCATGGGTAGACATCAATTGTGGAGTGGACATCCGTATCAACTATGAGCCCCATGATTGAACTTGAGAGATTAGTATCAAGGCACATTTCTCAAGACTCCAGTGGAAACAAAATGTAATCCGCAACGAAATCAGATATGGAAAGTTCTGGAACCTTGTCACTCTGACCCAATCTATATGGCACTTCATTAATCTCAACCACTTTAATGACCATGCTAAACTTTAGCATGGTCATAAGACCCCGGGCTATCATACTATTACCATGAATACAAGCATTGTCCATCCGATGTGGGAGTAGATTGTATCCTTGCCATCTAAATACGATGGGATGGAAATTGAGCTTGTTGCATGGGATGAGGTTTCGATGAATTCTTCCATCAGCCCCACGGTGATAGCTAGATCAGTATAGCTACTGTGTACTGGAGCTGTACAGAACAGCAGCCGATCCAACCACTTCTGCCATGTCAGAGCAAGTTAACGCGCGGTTCAGCCTATCAAGGAATGCCGACAATATACCCGGTTGGTAGCTGAAACAAGTCTTGACAGCATCAGTCTGGCCAAGTCGTCGAAACTAAGCTTCTGCGAGCTAGACCGCCAAAAGCTATTGTAGAGATCGAAGATCCCTAAGGCACCTTTCAATCCGGGTTTGACTTGTGATCCATATCGGAGTAGATGGACTATGTTGAGTCTGTCAACGACCATCAAGGATTATCTTGGACTCCAAACTTACTTTGTTGCCATCATAAGCTCTCCAACTGTGGCTGTGGTGTAATCACAGTGTCTAAGCAAGACAAGTAGACGTCTGCCAGGCCATCTCTCTTGTGGATCCAACATGTAGTAGATCAACGCGAGATCCATGGAACAGTCAGACAATTATTGTATGTAGTCGATGTGAGGTGCTTTGTTTTAAAGCCTTCGGGTATCGTAGGGTATGTTCGCCAGAGGATTCATCTTCCATGTTGTGCCATGGATCAACATCGTTCCTTGGAAGAGTCATGAGTCAGTATAATCTTTGAAGTTTTGATGGGATGGGATCTTACTGATGTCTCGCAAACATGAGCACATACACGATGGAGGTGTATGCACGGAGAGGAAGATGCAGACAATAGAGCACACGGCAGAATTTCGATTACCTAAAACATGTCAGTCAGGATGATGTTTTAGGCAGGGAAGACACTTTACAAAACTATTGTCTGATAATCATCAAAGACAGATGGTCTGCGTGACAATGGATGCTATTGACGCACGACTCTTAGTTGTATGCAAAGAGATGATAGAGAAGAGATGATGATGATGAGAAAAGAAAGGGATAAGGAGGAGAGGTGAGAGATGAGGGTATATATAATAGAAGACAGGGTGAATATTTACTGATTCTGGTGGATGAATGAAGTATACATCACATCCTTCACACTATTAGGCTGCCATCTACCAAGCGACCATTTCATTCACATTTTCTATCATCAATCTTCATTCATGTCCATCAATCTACAATGAGTGAACTACAGAAAGTGGATTCAGACAAGAGTGACTGTATTACCCTGTCCAACCTGCAAGATACCTCCACTTCGCCTACCCTCTGGTACAGAATACATGTCCTCCTCTTCGACCTATACCACTTTAATGACCAACCCTCCGAAGACCGTCTCGAAAGCGTAACCGACCCATCCTACATCGGCCTTCCATACTTTAACGCATCTAAAGCAGACGCGATCAAGACTACCCTCATCGAGAAAAACTGAACAAGCGACTCAACCGACGCATGAAGACGCAAGAGTACGGCATGTGTGCTGCAGACGATCTAACATGAATATTGGGCAAGGCATTGAAGATCGACCGGGAAAAGCTGAAGAAGAATAAAAGGTTTCGAGGATTAATGCAGGAAAAAGGCTGGAATTGGGCGAGGAGCGATGGAGCGGGTTGTGATGAACTCAAATACATGTCGATCTATACTGCTTCGATCTGTATATAAATGGAATCATGCTCGCTTATCAAAGTGGGGTCTGTCAAATCACAATCTCCGACATCCTTCATCGCCTCCTTGATTCCTGCACAGTCCCTCGGAAACGGGCTAAGCATGCACCAGCCATACACTAGATGCTGCTAAACACTGCTAAATGGGGTCCAAGGGGGCGGAGGATGCGGGTGGACATTTTCCAGCCATGTTATTTGGTATCATCTCGGATTCAGCCTGGATATCCGCCTAGTGCTAACTAAGAAGCTTCCGCGCAGAGTGGTACGCATGTTGGAAGAATAATAAAACCATCCCAGTCGCTGTTCTGCAGTCTGGTTTAGTTTGTTCATCCTTTTCTTCATGAAGCTTTCCCGATAGGCAAGATGCGCCTTTCCATCCTCTTTTCTTCCATCTTCTTCCTCCCCACACTGGCTATCGAGGTCACATCCGGCTCAATATGCAGCTCAGCATGCGGCAAGGGCAAGACATATGGATGGGACATCGACTGCTGGGACGACCAGTTCAACACCTCCAAGCCGAATCCCAACATGGCCAATTGCCTGCTCTGCGAGAGTACCAGTCCGGCCTATAACACATCGACCGACAATGATCTCTACTGGTTTACCTGTATGTATCTGACACTTCATGCATGAATGAATCTGACCCTCTAGTCAATATGAAATGGACCCTCCAATATTGCCTCATCCAACACCCCACCAACAGCACCAACGCCAACTGCAACGACTACTGCACTCCTCTCTCCGCCGTCCTCAACCGTGCCTGGTTCCTCGATGATGGCAAAATGGTCAAGCAATACGCCTACTGCGACTGGGGCGAGCATCTCTTCCAGAAATACGCCCCTGACTGTGCTTCATGTCTGGCCAAATCCGAGGGTTCGGTCGTGCTGGCCAACTGTAAGTCATCCTACTCTGACCAATGAATGCACTTACTTATGCTTCCAGTCTTCAACAACCTCGTCACAGCCTGCGAAACCAAACCCAACGCCACTGCCGGCCGTCCCATCAACATGACCGAACCTCTCTTCAGCACAAAATGGGCCACGACATCCTCCACTCCCTCCGCCAATCCCTCCCCGCAATCATCTTCCCTATCCACCGGCGCAAAAGCAGGCATCGGCGTCGGCGTCGCAGCAGCGGGTATCGCCCTCATCGCAGCACTCGGCTTTGTCTGTCTCCAGAAACGAAAGAATAGATCGCGTCAGCAATTACGAGACTCGTCGTCCACGATGCAGCCTATCAACCAACCACAACCGCCGATTCAACCGCCCCGGGAGATGGATGCGGGCAATGTCAAACCCGTGCCGGAGTTGCAGAGTTGGCAGCCGGACATGAAGCATCAGCATCATGATACGGCGCCGCCGCCGGTGGAATTGGGGAGACATTCTGAGGAGAGGATAATTGCGCCGACTGAGTTGCCGGGCTAGTTTATCTGTGTATATTTATTGACTTTGATTTTTGGCGTATAAGATACCATGGGATAATTATGAGATATCCAAATCTACATTTACATAATTTAGTCAAGCAATAATAAGCTTTCTTAAGATTGGATGTGATATCAATGCATAGATAATCTTAACTGCAATAACGATATCCATCAATAGCCAATGATGAACAAGTGGCGTCATTTAAGAACCATCTAACGACATGCAGGTGAAACATCCATAGGGCTGTTATCGGTGGCGTACGGACCACGAATAAAGATGGAGAATAACCCAGTTTTTCTTTAGATAGACGAGGATATTCTATGGGTCCGATAACTACAATTTAGCAGCATAGATATCCACATAGTATACAAAGGACCAAGGTGGCAATAACGAATACAATGTCCAACTATCGTATGTTAAGCAGGTTACTCTTAGATACAAATACACGTTCATGATGGAATATATATTCCATCATCAAGAGACTGAAATATATCCATAGATCTAGTAACTACACTCCGATGTTCGTGAACCTATGGCATAGTGCTTCAACTCCACTGCCCTTTCAAATATATATTTCCATCTGAACGGTATATTTACCGTCCAGATCAAGAACCAACCCCAAAGCCTGACTGACTTATGATTCTACCATAACAGAATGATCCATTCTGCTTATCTGCTTACTATGCATCTGTTTCATATTCCTTGACTTCTTACACCTTTATCATTGCTTACTATTCGCAGACCGTAAAAATCAACCCGAATATCATTACCCGATACGGTTAGACAACACAGACCCTGCCAGAAGACAAGCCCCAGGGCAGTGTTGAAGCTTGACAAATTGATGTGATTTATTGAATCGGAGGCAAGGCAGAATAGGGGATATTTTATGCTTAATGGGGTGGCATTCAACGGTGTCTTTACTTTTGTTGTCTGGTCGTGTAGACGTTGAGGATAAAGTGTGAATACCCCGATCGGAGGAATGTGAAACAGCCACTGTGACAGATCTATATCAGCTGTCATATTGCATATCATCATATCAAGAATACTTTGCGTAGACTCGAGAAGTAGAATATAATAACGCAAACACAGTAAAAATGTAGATTTTGAGCACGTGAATGTAGAGCAAAGAACAAAGGAATCACATGACACCCCCTATTCGTCTTGGCCATCGTTCGTTCTTTCTTTGTCTGGCAAATAATAATATTCGATCCTTCAAACCTCAAACTTGTTTTCAACTGTTGATCCTCGTGGTCAGATGTCAGGCCTCCCATCGCATGGAGCTTGCTTGCCCAAGATCCATCGGGGGCACTAACCCGTTGAAAGGAACTGCCAAATGGCCCCCAAATCCACAGTAAGGCTGGTTGTGTTGTCTCTCCAATCACAACACCGACAGTTGGACTAGTCGAACTGTCGTTGAGGCTCGTGGCAGCCTTTATACTCGATCCAGCAGTGATATACAATGTGGACCCGATGGCTGTGGCGGGCAGTGAGCTGGCCAAGAACATAATAATAGTCAGCCAACAGGCTCATCCTGCGCCCATCGCAATCTCCAATCACAGCCCATGATGCTATTCGCACTATTGCCGTCCACACAGCCTCCAGGATGGCGATCAACAAACAGCCTTACGCCATCATGTCTGACATACATAAATATGCCCTCCATCGCCGTTCAATCTGGAGTCAGCTTCAAGCATCTCAATCACAATCACCATGTATTCCAGTCTTTTGGCGATTGTCGGTGGTCTTTCCACCCTGACAGCCGCTCTGCCCAGCAGCGCTCCCCAAGAGCCTTGTGCCCAGCTCAGCCATACTTTCAAAGAATGGAAGTCCGCTTATCTCAAGAACCCAATGAGTATGTCTTTTCCCTTTTATGCAGAGTGAATAAGCTAACAGGATAGGCGTGGACCACTACCTCCCCGGAGACCTTGTCCATGAATGCTTGCAGACGATCCCGTTCGACTCCAAGAGAGCCATCGAGTTCCTCGCCGAGGCCAGAAAGTACCTGCAGTTCCAGTCCACCACAGAGATCCTCAAGAACCCCCCGTCTGGATATCTGATGCCCGCAGTCGATCTGTTTGGTGGCTTGGACTTTATCGAACAGCAGGCAGCCAACAACAAGTACGCCAGCCAGACCGACTTTGATGTCGCCATCCACAACCTGCTCTCTTCGGCCCACGATGGCCATCTTAGCATCCAGGGGATGTGCTCCCAGTTGCTCTTCAACTACCAGATTACCATGCCCGTCGTCTCGGTGTCGAGCGACGGCCTGCAGCTTCCTCAAATTTACGCCGCAAACGACCTTCCCCTTCTCCGGAACGGCTCGCACCAGGTTTCTCCGGTCGTCAAGGTCGATGGCGAAGATGCCGAGACTTTCTTCAAGAGCCAGTCCATGAAGGCCGGCAACCAAGACCCCGATGCGCTGTACAACAGCGTCTTCCACACCTTTGCTCGCGGCGGCATTGGATCTTCTACCGCCGCTGGTACATGGACGGTGTCCACCGTCTGGCCCGGGCAGTCCAACTACACCTTTGAATTCGGCAACGGAACCACTCGCCAGGCCCAGACGGTGGCCGTCCCCAAGTCGAAGAGCTTTGACTACGGGAGTGGCAAGGAGATCTTCAAGGATCTTTGCATCCCCAAGAAGGCATCTTCCTCGTCCGCCATTGCCTCTTCGTCCGCCACTCCTGCCTCCTCTTCTTCTGCCCTGCTGTCGGCTACTCCCACTCCCACTCCTTCCTCCGGTGTCTCTGGAATGCCTGCCCCAACGACGCTCCCCAAGGCAGTTGTGCGCGAGCCCAACAACTTCGTTTCCGGATACTTCCTCAACGAGAAGGACACTCAGGATGTGGCGGTTCTCTTGATTCCCACCTTCGCAGTCAAGACCCCCTACCTGGAATCCTTTGTCAACTCGACCGCCAAATTCCTCAAGGAGGCCGCCGCAGCTGGCAAGAAGAAGTTGGTGATCGATGTCACTGGTAACGGTGGAGGTCTTGTCGAGCTCGGTCAGATCTTGTTCAAATTCCTGTTCCCCAACGCGCCCATCCAAAATGCCGGACGCTTCCGTTTCCACGAAGCCATCAACCTCATGGGAAAGACATACGGCTACCTCGACTACAACGACGGGCCAGAAGACTTGATGGAAATTAGAATTCTCAATGGATTCGCTCGCACAGCCGCTGTGACTCCGGATCAGAAACGCGGCTTCAAAACCGTGTCGGATCTGTATGGTCCCCACGAGATCATGGGCCAGAACGTCTCGAGCCTCTTTTCCAACAACCTCACCTTGACTTCTGAGACACCAGGGCTTGCTCAAGACTACGACATCACCGCCCCCCTCTTCAAGCCCGAAAACATTCTTCTCGTCACCGATGGATACTGCGCCTCGACCTGCACCATCTTCAGCGAGAACCTCAAGGACCAGGGCGTCAAGAGCCTCGTCTTCGGTGGCCGACCTCAGGATGGACCCATGCAAGCCATCGGTGGTGTCAAGGGTAGCCAGGCAGCCGAGCAACAGACCTTTGACCTCTTTGTCAGCGAAGCTCAAGGCCTCCAAGCCGCCTCTGTCGAGAACGGCGAGCCTCTTCTCACCCCCGAGGAGATGAAGCGATTCAACGAGACTGTTCCCGGTCTGAAGGATCTCGCCTTGCCTGGCAAGTTCAACGTCAACCTCAAGAACCAGTACGCTTCCGAGGACAGCATTGTTCCTTTGCAGTTTGTCTACGAGGCCGCGGACTGCCGACTCTTCTACACTGCCGAGAACATTCTCCGTCCTGGCACCAGCTGGGCCAAGGCTGCTCGCACTTTCTGGGGCAATGGCAAGTGTGTGGCTGGTTCGTCTGACAAGGCGACTCCTTCTGGAAAGCCTTCCAGTTCGGCCACCGCTTCTGCTACTCCTAGTAGCACTGCTTAGATAGGATGATTTCTTTTCTTCATGACTAGTGTATAACGCTTAATATGATAGACAATATGAGCACTTCACTTCAACTTCCTTTCCTTCAAACTGGTAGTATCAGATGATAGTCATTCGATAGCAATCCTTGACACTTGAAACCATAAACTCCAATCTACCTCTAAAACATCTAGTCTACGCTATATCTATCTATTTCACCCACCCATACATCTCTCTCATCCGATTCGCCAACCCCACCGCATCCCCCTTCGCCCACGGCATCGCATGGTGATAATTGATCTCAAACAACGTCGCAGCCGACGAATCGAAATACGCAGCCAGATTTTCTCGACAGAGAGGGAGGACGGCGTCTTTGAGCCCGTGCACGTGGATTGTCGGAATGGAGATCCGCTCGTCGTCGTCGCAGGCCCCTGCATCATTAGCATCCATCCATCTTGAATATGCATTGTATATAAGTATCTAAGACATACGATGCGCAATCTCCGACTCCATCGGCCCATAAGCCCCCATATAAATCACCCCAAACAACAACTCGATCCCGCCCTCTGCCAGCTCCCCCATCCTCTTCCTCCGCTGCTGATCAAGAAGCAACCCACTCGCTATCCTCGTCCCCTGACTGAATCCCAGCACGCCAACCCATGACCCGCTCGAGCTGTCGTCTTCCTCCATCATCTTCCATACCCGCTCCACCCCGTCCCGGCCGATACTATCATACCCGCTTCCGTCGGGGTAGTCGGCCCCGTGTGCGTCTTTCGTGAACCACGATTTGAAGGGCGCGAAGTCGCGGAAGGCAGGGAGGATGCCTGCTCCAGCGGGGGCGGTGAATGGGCCGTCGAAGTAGACCAGTTTGAAGGCATCTTCGACGGCCCGTTCGAGTTGTGTGCATTGCAGTTTGAAGATGGGGGCTGTGGAGCCGCCGCCGTGGAAGCAGGCGATGCGGGGGAGGGTGGATTTCATGATAATATACTAGCCAGGGTAATTGATGGAGTTGATAAAGATGAGCCGAGTGAAGTGGGAAAGAAGGGATATAAGAACGTCAAAGTCACCATGCAAGGGGAAAATGGCAATGTTACACCATCCGCACCACCTTCCTGTACGACCGTGACGGAGGTGACATGGCCCCTCTGCCTCCAAAACCCGTCAATCGGACGCAAGGGATGATCTAGAATTGTGACAGCCATACAGATGGTTGCTTCACATTGTATCTTACGCTTTTGACTCGACACGATATCGGTATCCCGACAGTGATCGGCATTCAGCTCGCTGATAAAGTGCCCGAAGCCGAGGGATGTTCGGGGTTTGTGTTACAAGGTCTGCCGATATTGTCGATCTAGATTGAATTTGGCTTGAATAGTGCGGAATAGGAAGAGGTTGGAATTCGGACTTTTGCGTCCGGTTTCTGGCCGATCGTGTCGCTGTGGCTGACGATTGGCCGGAAGTGTACACTTTGATATTATCAGGCGGATATCACATGCCCGACTAAAGTCAACTCAGAATCGATGGTATATTGGATTTTGTGGTTGTATTCGTCAGTATTGAGAGAATATAGAGTATCGAGTTGACGCTATACGCGTATTCCATATACTTGACAATCAAGAGTGTGGAATCTCGGACCATCACCAGGATCCACAACTTCAGCCCTAGAAGCGACAAGCTGCCAATCATCATGCTTTGCAGCCATATTCTCAAACAATCGCATTGTTCCCGACAAAGGATCCCAGCTTTTCGTACTTCATGCAGGAATATCAGACTCCTGCTGGGCCAGCGACCCAGTTGTGCGACAAGTGTTGGTGCTTTTAGCTGCGTGTAAAAGACTGTGCGAGGAAGACGCCATGTAGGAGCTCTTGGGGCATGAGGAACGGACAGGACCGTGTCATTTGGAGCAGGTGATTATGGGGATGTGCTGTGCTGCAGCGCTGGTTATCTCTTCCTGTGCAGGATTCTCGGCCACTTGACCAACATCAATCAGGAGGATGTGGTGACTGTAGAGAATGGACGAGGCCAAAGAGAAAGCATTTGTATTGCCCATCGGAGTCGCATCCCAGTCCAAATATTGTCTGAACCGGCTCGTCACTCTATCCGAAGTTCAGAGTAGATGAGGTGCATAGTGCAATGTTGTAGTGGCTAACTTGCAGGTCTTCAATTTATCGTTCCGGTTATCTTGTTGTCGCTTTTGCCGTTTACGCCCGAGTCGCCGAGGTGGTGAGTTATCTTGACAAGACATAAGTGTAGCTGACAAACTAGGCTTGTGTCGAAAGGTCGGATTGAACAAGCTCACACCAGTCTGACTCGGAATTATTCGATAAGAACAACCGGGTTTGTGATCCATCTTTGACCGATGATCGATGGTAATGGTCAGACCCGTCCATGGATCGCCATTCTGGTCATGCTCTTCCAGCAGATCGCCGGACAGGTGTTCGTGTCCTAGTATAGTGCATCATTCTTCAAAAATCAGCAAATTGGAAATCCATTTGTGCTGAATGTGCCGTTGAATATCGCCTGTATGATCTTCAACTTGGCTACATTTGCCTTGGTGGATGTCATCGGAAGTCGGTATGTTTTCGTCCTATATCTCTTCTCTCTGACTCTGACCAGCAGACCACTGTTGATAGCCGGCGCCTTCTTCATGGCCGCCTCAATGATGCTCGCATTCGGTTTCTACGGCCTATCCTGGGCATCAATGTACGTTGCCCTCTGCGTTCACAGCCCCATCTGACGTTTCAGAGCCTACGTCATCTTCGGCGAGGTCAGCCATGTCAAAGAGAGAACGAGTAACCTGGCTGTGTCTGTCTCGGTGGTTACCACGTTTGTGGTCTCGTTTACGGTGCCGTATCTTATCAGCACCCTGTATGCGGATCTGGGTGCGAAGGCGGGCTTTATATATGGTGGTTTTACGTTGGTTTCGGTGGGCGTGGTGTGGTTTTGTGTTCCTGAGCTGATGGGAGGTCGTTGGAGGTGGATAGCTTATTTGAGGTTGATAAGGCTAATAAGCGATGATAGTATAAATGTGGTGGCCTGATATCATGACTTGTCTGCCAGTTGTTATGTCAAGTATCGAACATGTGTGAATTTTCCAAATTACTACGTGCATTATGACTTTAAATAGCACACCACCACAATTGACAACTGGACCAATCACCGCAGCCCAGATATCAAGCTAAACAGCTAGTATTCCTGCCCAAACACCAGTGGCCAGTGTGATCCACTCACGGCTCTCCACGCAGCGATGCCCTGCAGATCGCCGCCAGCGTTGTAGACCGACTTTCGAGTACAAAAGACGCGTCTCCCACTTCCCCTCCTTAATCTACTAACACTAACTATCTATAATATAATGGCGTTCTTCCCGGAGTAATGGTTGTTTTGACCTTTTTTTCCAGCCTTTTTTCGCTCAATATGCCCCTTATCCCTCTGTTGGTTGTGCTGGCGGGTCTGGCTTATTATCTCTCGCGTCGGCGCAATGATCACGACGCCATCGAAGACAGCCCGCGTGTTGTCGTGAAAGGACACACGTATTCAGAATCAATAGAGATGAAAAAACCGCGACGGGTTTTTGAGATTCGCAATGCGTGTTTTGTCGGGTCGGGCTATGTGGGTGCGCATTCAATTTTACGTCCTCCACTGAGCCATGTTAACAGCTGCAGGCGCTTTAACTGCGATTGTCCTTGCGTCGAAAAACCCGCATATCCACTTCCACGTTGTCGACTTCGACCCCCACCGCATCGCGGCGTGGAATTCAGATTGTCTGCCCATTCTCGAACCGGGGGTGGACGAGTTGTTGAATAGCATCAATGCCGAGATGAGTTCGGTGCCGCTGGACGAGACCGAAAGCGAGGCGAGCGAGTATCAGCTCGTGCAGAGGAAGCGATTACCGAATATTTCCTTTTCGGCGGATGTTGAGGGTTGCATCGCGAGGGCGGATTTGGTGTTTTTATGTGTGGATAATGATACGCTGCGACAGTCTGATGGTGAGGATGGGTTGAATATGGTCCATCTGGAATCGGCTGTGCGGACGATCGCACGCATATCGACGGGGCACAAGATTGTTGTCCAGAAAAGTTCTGCGCCGTGTGGTATTGTCCACTGGATTGGAAAGGAGGTGAGCTTCCCACCTATCTAGATAACTTCATATACTGACGGTACAGCTCAAATCCTCTTCTTGCACCTTTGACGTCCTCTCCAACCCTGAATTCATCACCCCCGGCACTGCCATTCGCGATCTCCTCTATCCTCACCGCGTCGTCATCGGCCATATCGTCTCCGAAGGCATGGCATCCGCCGAAGCAGTCAACGCCCTGAAACGTCTATACACACCGTGGATTCCCGACGAGCGCATCGTCACGACAGACGCCTGGTCATCCGAACTATCCAAGATAGCAGTCAATGCACTCATCGCGCAGCGCATCAGCTCGCTACGATCGGTAAAGACGATCTGCGAAAAGGCAAACGCCAACATGGAGGATATCGCGCAGATCACCGGCTTCGACTGGGCGGGTGGAGCGCCGCAGATGGACGAGTCGCATTCGCGGTCGGATGTGCTGTGTTTGATTTATCTGGCTAGAGAGCTGGGCTTGAACGATGTCGCCGAGTACTGGAGGGCTGTGAGTCGAGTCAATCTGCAGAGTCGGATTGCGCTGCCTTCTGTTCCTGATGCTGAGCCTACTCAACCTCTGCTGGATGCCAAACCGGAGATGGAAATGGTGGAATGTGTTTGATGATTTACGATGTATTGAACTAGATAATGTACTACATGACTGTCCTATCCCATCTATGCCTTCAAGCCCTTGACCAGGCTATCTCCCAAATCCTTGATGCTCTCTTCGAAGGTCTTGGTGTCCTTGGCCTTCCAGTCGGCTTTGCTGCCAGGGACGGCCTTCTTGCCGTTGGTGAAGCCAATGTAGAGCACGTCTTCCTCGTCGTGGCCGTTATCGCCGCTGATCTTGTCGTTGGGGAAGCACAGCTGAGCCAGAGAAATGGATGCTTCGCCAGTCGATGTTCCGCCGTTGGTATCACCCCAGACACCGTAGTACTGCATCATCATTAGCCACTGTATCACATATAGAAGAATGTATAAGATAAACTCACCACCTGCCCCCCACAAACAACAGCCATAACACTCAACGGATCCATGCCATACTCCTGTGGATCAAACGACGGCTTATCCTCCTCATTCCCAAACACCACATACGGATGAATATTCGCATTCAAATCGCTAATCCCGTACTTGGCAACGGTATCCTTGAACGCCGTCTCACCCTGACTCGTCCCGTCATTACCACACGCACCGCCGTGCATGTTGACCCCGTCACAGTCGACGTCCATGTTGTCGTACTCGCCTCCATTGGCGGAGCTGTGGAGGAAGATGGCACCGTCAATGTCGCCGCAGTAGGCCCAGTTTTTGGAGCCGTCAACGCCGTCGGTGAAGCCGCTTGCGAGTTTGTTTTGGCATTTTCCGGACTGTCCAACTTGTCAATTGAGTGAATTTATGGGAAGGTGAGGTGGAGTACCTTGTGGTTGTTGTAGATTTGCTTGAGGTTATCGGGGATATCGTAGGCCGAGGCAATGCCAGCGGACACAACAGCAGCAGTGAGAAGACGCATTTTGATAGAGAAGATAGAGGACAAGATGAAAGAGAAGATGAATGAAATGATTGTGATTGTGATTATGATTGAGATATCCAGAGAAACCAGTCCCTTTTATAGCCATCTATTCTCTCCTCTACAGCTACAATATAGTACTGCCCCACCGATCACCGTCTGAACCTGTCGATCCATCCCGGATATGCACAAGTGCTGATGCACCAATTGAGAAAAAGGCCGCGAGACTGCCAAAACGGGGATATCCTCTATTCCAGTTTGTCATGGATACTACAGGGTGACTGGAGACTGTAGTCATCTTCACATTGGCCGTTGACGATGGGGGCCTTACTGAAAGAAGAATTTGGTCTGGGTTTGGGGGCTTTTTATGTACCTCGGCTCGCTTATTGGCTGTCAGCTGTCATATCTGCAGTCATTGTTATTATTCGGTGAATGAGTTTATTTCATCTTGACCGACTGGGTAAATGGTATGTTCAGATAGTAGACTCAGGAAATCTAGAATTATCACAATCACAAATGCAACAGTTCATATCAGTCTCGCAGTCCATCACCTAATCGAGACATCATGGATAGCTTCATTCTAACCAGAATAGGGAATGATCATCCAACTGAGACAATATCACAATATCGTCACATTTCAGCTGAAGACTGCATCTATTTTGGGTTATCTATAATCTGACAGCATACGTCTGCAGAATCTATCCTAAATATAACCTCGCTTATAGAGGATGTATACTATGATCTTCGCCGAAACACCAACGGCACCTCTTCACGCATACTCAACGTGAGCACTGTCGCACTCCCATCCAGCACCCTCTGCGCCTGTTTCTTCGCTTCTACGATGTCTCCACCAGCAAGGTCAATCTTATACTCGCGTAGTAAGACAGCCACCGCAACCACAAACTCTACCTGCGCGAATTTCTTCCCCATGCACCCCCTGAATCCATCGCTGAATGGCAAATACGCACCGCGGACGGGTCTGTGGATACTATTCGACTCTAAACCTGGTCCGACAAGACCCGTGATACCCTCGTTTCGGGCGAGAAAGCTAGATCGATTCCGCTTATCCCAGCGGGATGGGTTGAAGGTGTGCACGTCTTCGCCCCAGTATTCTTTCGAGTAGTGCAGACCGCCGCAGTTGAGGTTGACGGATGTGTGAGGGGGAATGTGGTGGGTTTGGTTGTTTATGGTGATGCTTGCTGGTGAGGACGAGGTGCATTTTGGAGGACTGACCACCGAGGGATACAGTCGGAGGGTTTCGAGCTGTTCTTTTAGTATTTGGTCGAGATGCTTGAAAAGGGAGTAGACATACCATGACGCATAGCGGAGTGATGAGTTTGGGATAGACGTGAGTGTATTCCCATTCGAATGGATCGTCAGAGTGATCATGGATAGCATATATTCCCCAGAACCTCATCGTTCGAGAGTCCTTTATCACGCGAACTCTCCGATTCCGTCTGCGACTGCACCATCCCTTCAAGCAGATTGTGATTCTTGACTCCACTCTGCCTCGTCTCTTCAAGTAACGCTCTCAAATACTTTCTCAAATCATCGTCCGCCTCAAACGTCCTCTTGAAGAATGGGAAACATCCCCGCGGAATCCACTTGGGCAGACCATTCGCCACAAACACCGACATGATATTATGATGCAGATACCCCATCACACCGCGAAAGGTGAAATGGAACCCCGGTGGAGGGGAGATCGCATCTTTGAACAAGCCCAATGCATCTTCTGTCGTTGCTTCGGGCGCTGGCCGGAAGGGCAGTTTCACGCCAAACCCAGCGCTGCAGATGATATTGAGGGTGAATTTGAGGATGTCGTCTCTGGGCGAGGAGAGCAGAAACTCAGTCGGACTGGTGGAGTATTCATCCACCCAGTATTCTGTCATTTGTTTGACTTGGCGGATGGTTTCTGACCAGACCAGGGCGTTGTTCTTTTCGTTGAATGTGGTTGATGTATAGCGGTGGTGGTGCGACCAGTCTTGGTCGGAACACTGCATAATTAGTACTTATACTTACCATCTACAGTATAGACGACTTACAGTAACGACATTCGGACCGAAAATGGCAACCGGTTCTACATCATCAGCACATACGCCATACTCAGTGCAGGGGAAATACCATATTGTTCCACCGGCTTCGGAAACCCCCTCCTATCCATGAAAATCTGACTGATCGCCCCCGCATCCGCAACAGCACAGGTCAAACTCCCTGGCGACGCGATGAGATAAACCGGTCCGTATTTCTCATGAAACCGCTCCTTTGCGCACCATCGCGACTTGAACGAGCTGATGTAAAAGTAATCCGCCAGCCATGGTGGAAGCAGTCGGATGAGCTGTATGAGGAAGCGGGTTTCGAAGAGCAGGAGATATGCGATGTTGTGTTCGGAGACGGGGAGGAGAATGTAAGGGAGGCCGGTTTGGATGGCGCGGTTACGGTGGTGGAGGAGGTTTTTGATTGTGTTTATTATGTAGAGAGTTAGGAGAGAGGAGAGGATGAGGGCGAGCATCTTGGGTGATGGTTGAAGGAACGAGGGGATACCTAGTCTCGTATTTAACCAGTAAAAGAGGGGATATTATCATCATGCGTTTTCACTTTCAGCCAGCCATTTTTGTTTTATGCCGATCGCTATTTTGTGTAACCTGAGACCTAGTAAATATGTGCTATTGGGGCTATACATCATGCATATGCATTCTGTAACTGTGGAATACGAATAATGCTTATTTCTAGATTTATACTATCTATAACCTCAGATCAAACCTTCTCCTCATGAACAGCGGCATCCTTCTCCCCAACACTCCCCTTGCGATTCTGCACCTCCGCCCCAAACTGGCCCTGGATATTCGCCGTCTTCCACGCCTTCACATCCATCTCAAATAACATATCAATCTCCTCCAGCGATCGCTGCGCCGTCTCGGGATACGTGAAGAACACATGCAGCGTCATGACCGTGCAGAAGACACCGAAGATAATGTACGTCTTCCATTGGATGTTGGTAAACGCGGGGGCGACAAAGTACGCCAGCGCAAAGTTGAAGATCCAGTTTCCGGCGGCGGCGATGCCGACGCCTTTGGCGCGGTACTTGAGGGGGAAGACTTCCGAGGCGTAGATCCATGCTGCGGGGGCCTGGACATTGTTAGTATGGTATGTGATTATGTGGTAGATGGAGGACATACCCAGGTGAAGCCGTAGATGGCGACGAAAATGTAGGAACAGGCGATGACGCCCTTGCCGGCTGGACCCTTGATGATCCAGCGCAGGTTCGCATCGCCGTTGACTTCATCGACGTAGTGGCCGTAGGTGGCCATCAGACCGGCAATGGCAAAGTGGCAGATCATGCAGAGAACAGAGCCAGAGAGGAGGAGAAGACGACGGCCGATGCGATCGATGAAGGGGAGCATGAGGCCGGTGGTGACGAGGAAGATGACATATTGGATGGCGGTCGAGTAGAGAGTTGTGTTTCCAGACTGACATCATTAGCATCTTGACTTACTCTGTATAGATGGATACTCACCATGCCGGCCATTTGAAAGACATATGCCACGTAGTACATGGCGACATTTCCACCCAGCAACTGCTGCCACACCTGCGCGCTCACGCCACACAGCGTACGCATCCAGATCTTCGGTCCAAACAAGGCCAGGATCGAAACATCCTTCGCTTCGTGCGCCAGGCGAGCTGCCTCCTGGACTTCCTCCCATTCCACCTGCACGACAGGGTCGTTGCGATCGCCATTCCCATGGATGAGGGCAAGCGTATCCAAACACTCCTCCCAGCGCTCTTTACCCGCCAGCCATCGAGGGGATTCGGGAAAGAAAAGCAGCGAGACGAGCAGAATCACACCCGGCACGGCTTGAACACCCCAGCAGATCCGAAACGCAGCAGGACCATCGACGCGAATCGAGCATCCATACGCGATGAGATACATGATCAACATGCCCCATTCGATCGACCACTGCTGGACACCCACGATACGACCTCTGATGCGGGCGGGGGCGAGCTCAGCAAGATACACGCAGACTTGCGACGATGTGATGCCGACTGCTAGACCGCTGATGACACGGCCGGCGACGAGATGGGCGATATTCTGTGCGCTGCACTGGATGACGGCGCCGATGATCCAGATGACAGAGGCGATCATGAGAGAGTATCGTCGGCCGATGCTGTCGGAGATGAAGCCGGCTGCGATGGCACCGCCAAAGGAGCCAGCGGACATGGAGGCAGTGATCTATTTTGTCAGGATCCATTACACAGCAGATAGAGATGACATACTCCGCCTTGAAGGTTGGAATCAGGATGGTTAAAGTACTCGAGATACTGTTCACTGGCGATCCAGGCACTCATCGAACTGACTGGTCAGCGTCATTCAGTTAAGTGTAGAAGAACAGAGCATAGAACTTACCTAACATCAAACCCGAACAGGGCACCGCCAATGGTGCCAAAGGCGGCGAGAACATAGATATTGGATATGCGATACATTTTGCCTGCTGATGCATCAAACACAAAAGGAAGAAGATGGCTTTATATCTACACGTCCCACCGGACTCTGGGGTGGTGAGACACAGGATGGCTGGAAACAGCAACGATCAACCGTGGAATGTGGAGATTCTCCGGGGATGACAAGATGGAGAACAAATCATGGAGAAGAGGGGAATGCGGAGGTCCGTCGGTTATATCGGTTGATATAATTAACCGAGCATTAGGAGAGAAGATTATTGATTATTAGATATAAAGATATAGTATGTAGATATAGATGATTAGTGGAAGATACAGTAGTAGAAGTATGTAGTAATAGTATATAGATGATCTTGATGCTATACAGAAGTCACCTACAATGTCCTCACCAGACACTCATGAACTCACCAGATCAATGAAATTAAGCGACTCAGCCTAATATGAAACAACGTCACCAGCCAGCAGCAGACTATCCCACATGAATCCCCGCCATTCGCTGCTCTCCTGCACCTCCAAATCAATCGCATTCCAGCCTCTCCTCATTCCGCCAATCTCAACCTGCACCACCCGCCATTCTCCCGCCGTCGTCGCCGATCGATACAACCCGGGATCATTCGATAATGAAGTCAGATTGCCGATTTTGCTTCCGTTGAGCAGGATTTGTGCCGTTGTTCCCGATGAGTAGCCCGCCAGCGATATCGTCAATGTAGCTGGTGATGTCGTGTTGCTGGTAAAGAGGATCCGCCATGTTCCTGAGGATTGTCCGAAACACCAGTCTTCTGTCTTGCTGCTTCCGACTGTGTAGGTGAGGTTTTTCGGGCATCTGGCCACCACGGCGTGTTCGTATGGAGACCCGCCGTATTTGAAGCCTAGCGTCTTTCGGTCAAAGTCGCCGATTTGGAAGATGATGTTCCGTGGCGGACTATCCCAGTTAATCTGGCCGAGTTTGTTCTCCTTTTCCTCCACCTTGACGTCGTTGTACTGCAGCGTCGTTGATACATCCCGGATTTCTCCTCCATCAGACCACGCTTGCAGTCCATACTCTCCTGTGCGGACATTCTCAAAGATGAAATTCCCCTTGTCATCAGCTTGGCTGGTATAATAATAGAGTGTCCCCATATCCAGCGCCGTCTTGTTCGGATGGTTATCGCCCAGGAATACAGATGCCCCTGATGCAGCTCGTCCATCAGACAGAACCAACCGACCAGAAACAGATCCTCGAGAATGATAGTCAGCATCATCGAACCACGTATACGGCCACGATGCAAACTCCTTGTCTGCTCTATCCTTTGCATCCGATTTCGACCCGTCATTCTATCCATCTGTTAATGGTATCCTTCATCAACGAAAAAACAGACATACCAAATACCACAACCAAGGCCCCCAGACCTTTCCATCCGGAAAAGCATCACTCGACGACGCCTGAAAATGCGTCCCGTGGATCATATTCAACTGCACCGCGTCACCCGTCGCACTCTCTCGATGCACCGTCAACTCCTGCTTCAGCTGATTCCCATTATAGTAATCCTTTCCCGGGTGGATATACCACGATCCAAACTCATCGCCATACACACCGTAGTAATCCTGCTCGCGGATAAACGTGCTAAAGTCGTATTTGGTGATATACGATCCGTCGGCGCGTTGCCATGTTTCATCCTGCACTTTGGTCGAGTTCAGAATGTCGGATAGAGTCGGCAGAGCCTCGTCTTTGATGTTCGTTCGACCGTTCGGAAAGGTGGTGTTATCTAGACGAAAGAGGGTGCGGAATTCGCCTAGTACTGGTAAGGCTCGGTTGATGAAGTATTGGTATGCGCCGGCGAGACCGTCGAAGATGACCCAGTGGAAGTCGCCTTCGTTTGCGGTGAAGCGGACGTCGAGATAGTCGTCGCCTTGGTGGTGGATGTCGCCAGATGTCCAGTTTAGATCGGATTGAGCGCCGTCTGATGGTCAGTTTGTATGTGTTTCTGTATATTAGAGACATCAGTAAACGTACTATAGCTGACATAGTGCCCCCATGCATCACCGACTAGATCGTGCTCTTTGTAGTACAACTTGACGCCATATTGTCGGCCGATGGTGATATTCCACAGATCATTCCCGATAACATGTGTTGTATCGTTGAGCCTTTGTAGGAAAGGGGCTGCGATAGCACCTCCCACCAGGGTGAGATAGTAGATGAGTAGAAACATGATTGATTCCTCATCCTGTCAGAAAACACGCATATATATACGACTCGGTGTAAAGCTGGCCGAGGGATTGTGCGGGCAACTCTTTCAGTGGTGGATTATCTTTGCTCGATTGGGTAATTTCACGGCTTCACTATCTTGGCGCAGTCACATTATTGATCATATGTACGATTGATCTCGTCAATCTAATCAATCTATCTGTCAAAATCAGGAACACCGCCAAGCGACCCAAAAATATCACCAACGTGATTCTCCGCCTCGATTCCTTTCTCAAATATAGACCAACCATCTACAATCCCCTGTACGACCTTCATCCCCGATAGATACAAGTTGCGAATCGCAGGTCCCATTCCTCCATGATCCAAGATAAACGGAATAGAAGGAACTTCAGACTCTGAATAACTCCGATCAAAATTGGATCCAGCCCTCATGAGAATGATACGCGAAAAGTCCACCTGCTTCTGAAGCGCTGCTCTCCATAGAGCCGCCAGAATCGCCGTGTCCTCTTGTGCTGCCATGACATACTCAGCCTTTCCAGACGTATACACCTTGAACGTCCTTGCCATGGCTTCGGAAAGGAGATTTCCATGCCAGAAAACATTCGACGAGGCTACGTCTCCTTCCACGATGTTGGGCTTGAGTGTAGCTGCGTGATATCTACCACCAGGTATGTCATATAGAGCCCGGTTCTCTGCAGCAGCAGCCGAGTCCTCAAGTACTGCCGTCCGAGCAAAGGAAATAGCCATCTGTCTGAGATTGTCATTCAGCTCGTACACCTCCGACCCATGCAGATCCTCGGCGTCCATGGGAACATAGCCAGACTCCCATGTCGAGGGAATTTCTCTCGCATCGTATTCCATTTGTAGATCGACCTGGACGGCAAATTTGGCGAATGCAACAGCGCCAATCGTTGCTTGTTTGGGATTCACGCCTGCGATGCCTGAGAGGAGGAAGTATGTTTTTGATAGGTCGAAGATGGTTGATGAGATTATTGCTGAGACTGATAAGGCTGCGTTGATTACTGTATCCAATATCAGTGATCATTATAGTTATAATTGAACATAGTCCTTACAGGCAGTTCCTACTACCACCAAGCATACAGAATTATCTGCAGTGCAATGTATCTGTTCATATCCTCGGTAAAGACCCGGCAGGGTGATCTTGTTGCCCATCTCCAAGCTACTCTCATCAGACAGCCAATTTGTTGCTTCTTTTTTAAACTATATAATGTTAGAACATGGCGTTTCTTGGCCTGTTAAGTCTCACCATAGTGAAGATAAACACTTTCGGTGCAATTCTTGGACGCCCACTGAAGCCAATAGCGCCCTGTGTATATTGAATGATGGAACTCATAGTGAATAGAGATTAGGTAAGAGTATAGGACGTATGCAGGATAAATACGATTTTTAAAAGAGACATCACGAGTTCAATAAATGCGGGGATCTCAGTTACACAAAGCTAGTAGTGGGTACGTGTTTAGTGGCGTGATATATGCAGCTGTCTAGCAGATAAAGCAAGGAATGATGACCTAGTAGTATCCTTTTGAGATGAAATCATTATAGGCCTATTTATTTCTTTTAGGACTGATCAGCTTTCCATTTCGTCCAGAGAAACATGACTTTATTGCGCTTCTAGTCTATTGTAGATTCCGACACACGATATATATTTGAGCCGTTGTCTCCGTTGGCTCAGATCGACCATATCTTACTACTGCTGAAATTGGAAGACAGCTTTGACGATGATTGTACTATTCACAATTCAGATGTACAGATGGGATGTCGTATTTACCATCACCTTGATCAGTGTTGTGCTGTAAACGTTTTGTACAGCAGCGTGTCAGCGGACCTGTTATGAGGCACGTGACCTCAGGGGCAAGACAGCCAGATATTTCTTCAATCAGTCATCTTGCCAGCAACATTGGTCGGATTAGAACGATAATGACTAGAAAATGATTGAAGTCTATCCAACGGACTGCATGCAGTTTTCTTTGGAATTTAACAGCGTGAGATGAATACAGCTTCGTGCCGCAGCCATCCGCCCTGAAGATGGCGCCTGTCGACAAGAGAGATGTCCAGCATGAAGGCACAGAACACCTGGCATTCAACAGCGACTGATCCGTTTCTTGACTCCTCTGGCTCTGAAAACCACAGCCCGATTCTACTCGCGTGATGGAGTTTGCATTCCCATTTCAAGACACAGATCGTCAACACAGGGCGCTGGGTCCACCTGACTGAAGCGGCGACGATGAAGTTTGTCGCTGAAAATACGTCTCTCCGGTACCAAAGGTCTATTGCCCGTTTGTGCGAAAGAATCAAACCTATATTGTGATGGAAAGAATCCATGGTGAGGAGATACCAAGGGCACGGAGGAAGTTGTCCGAGACATCTCGTGAAAAGCTATTTATCCATCCGCGACAACTGACGACAGAACTGCGATCGCTTAAACCGCCTCAAGGCATAGGAATACAGAGATGTGCTGGTGGCTCTTTTTATGACTGGCGCGCTCTCTCGCCGCATCAGCGGTTTGGGCCTTTCGAGACCATCTAAGAGTTCCACCCCCGGGCCAGAAAAGATTTGCAACTGTCGAGACCGAGGACGGCAGAGACATTGAAGACTGGGAAAATATCAAGGCAATGGCTGAAAAGCATGATGGGGGGTTGCCTCCACCTGTATTTATGGCGACCTGAATCGGCTAATATCCTTGTGCGGGGAGATGAAGTGGCTGGTATCATTGACTGGGAGTTTCCAGGTGGTATCCGCACTATTGGGAGTATGCATCTGCGTGGCTTGGAAATGTTACACGAACAGAGTGACAGCGGCAGGACGAGATGTTCCTTTATCCATTTCCGGCAGAGTTGGAAATGGAGAAAATCCGCCACAAATGTGGGGAGACTTGTGACAATGTTACACAAGATTGAGTAGATGACTCGACGGCAGGCTATTCGATCGATAGCTTTGTGTCACTCGTCCACATATTATGTGTCCAGGCTAACTATCTTACGATAACCCGACGGACCCTGTCTCAATCTAATATATTATAATAAACTAAGTAATGGACTTACCATGAATCACTTCGGATCTAGAACTCCTGTTCAACGGCAAACCATGGTCAATATGCATAACTCTGACTTGCATCCCATTCCAGCTCGAATCGGGCTAGAATGTCATGCATTAGGGGCAAGGAATGGAAGCTCGGCCTCGTGGGTGAAGGTGAAGTGTTCATTTCGGCATCACCGGCGAGGCTGGATGTAGTGTGACTGGGCAAGGCTTCTTATGCTGGGCAAGAATTGCTTTTTCCGGCGCGCATCAAGCGGTCAGGGTGGCTGTGGCGATAAGGATGGTGCCATTCAGGTTAATACAGCCTGGACATGCATATTGCGGAGAGTACAGCTCATCTATAACTCTAATCTAAATACAAACAAGATGGATGTAACCTGAACAAGTGATGGAGCGGATATCATCGGATATTTATTACATCCTACACCCTCAGATATCATCGTGCTCATCTCCTCTATCTTATCTCCCCAGCAAATCACCTTCCTCTCCGCTATCACCGTTTCGCCCTATCCCTGCTTCTAGAAACATTCGAGACACTAAGCCGCGTGTTTGATAGGAGGTGTCCGCATTGTTATCGTCCTACGGCTAGGTATCTCGCGCTCATACCACTTTACTTATCGCACTGCCTCATCCCGAGTATATAAGCCCATCCCCTTCATCTCGCTGCAATTCCATCCCACCAACCAACATGGCGAGTTCTACTGAATCCGACTTTAAAACCCCCAATGGAGTCGAAAAGACTCTCAGTCCGAACGGGGCTGTTGATGTCGACTATGGCGCCACCTCCGATCTGCATCGCACGCTTAGCACGCGGCACATGACCATGATTGCGCTGGGTTCCTCGATTGGGATGGGATTATGGCTGGGCAGTGGTACTTCGCTCGCAAGTGGTGGTCCGGCTTCTATATTCATCGGGTATATTCTGTCAGGAACGATGGTGTGGGCTGTCAGTCACTCCATCGGAGAGATGGCGGTCATGTATCCTCTGCCGTCTGCGTTTGTGCAATGGACGACGATCTTTGTTGATCCTTCGGCTGGGTTTGCATTAGGTTGGGCATATTGGTTCATGGGGTGGATTACTGTTGCCAACGAGCTGCAGGTATATCTTCTTCTTCCACCGGTTGAAGTAATACTGACTCGGTAGGGTGTGGTGACTGTCCTCGGCTTCTGGACCGACAAAGTGCCAACTGCTGCGTGGATTAGTATCTTCTGGGTCGTCATCATCTTTGTCAACGTCTTTGCCGTCAAGTTCTTTGGCGAAGTTGAAGTCGTCTCATCGACGATCAAATTCACCTGGATCATTGTCGTCATCATCTCGCTAATTGGTATGACCACCCACTCCTCTTCTGTTCTATACTGACTTCATAGTCATCTCTGCTGGCGGTGGCCCTGTAGGAGGCCCTATTGGCTTCCGATACTGGAATGCAGAGCCCTTCATCAACGGCTTCAAAGGCTTCCTCTCCGTCATGCCCACCTGTATCTTTGCCATGTCCGGCTCTGAATACTGCGGTATGGTGGCTGCTGAAACGTCGAACCCGCGCAAGGCTGTTCCCAAAGCTGTTGGCTCCATCTGGATGCGTCTGTCTCTGTTCTATGTGATCGGATCGCTCATGATCACCATTGCTGTGTCTCCCAACGACCACAATCTGTTCGGTGGCTCTGGAAGTAATGCGTCGCCGTTTGTCATTGCCTATCGCAATGCTGGCATTCCTGCTCTGGCACACATCATGAATGCTGTCATCTTCATCTCTGTCATTTCCTCGGGCAGTGTCTCTGCCTATGCTGGATCGCGCAATCTAATGGGCCTGGCGCATCTCAAAATGGCTCCATCTGTATGTATCCCCATCTTTTATCAACACAGATACTGACCCTCCAGTTCTTCGGCAAAGCGGACAAACAAGGCCGCCCCATCGCCAGTCTCACCGCAACCCTCCTCGTCGGCGGCGGCCTGGCCTATCTCAACGTGAACAACAGCGGCGCTGAAGTCTTCACCTGGCTATCCAACCTCACCTCCCTCTTCACCCTGTTCGGCTGGGGCATGATTTCCCTCTCGCACATCCGCATGCGATACGCCTGGAAAGCACAAGGGCGGTCCGTGTCCGACCTACCCTGGAAATCATGGACGTACCCATACGCCGCGATCTGGTCACTGTTCTGGTGCATCCTGCTGATTATTATCGAGTTTTATCTGAGCGTGTGGCCGTTGCACGAGGCGTCGTCGGCGAAGACCTTTTTCGCGAATTACGTTAGTGTTGTGGCGATTCTGGTCGTCTATGCTGGGGCTAGGATATATTATCGCGGAGCGTGGTGGGTGGACGCCAGCACGATCGATCTTGATGCCCAACGGCGCTTCTACGTGGATAACGACGAAGAGGCCAAGGGCGGGAGTGGTGTCAAGGGGTATTTGAAGAAGAGCCTCGGTGCGCTGACGGACTGATGTGTTTATATATTGTATTATCGAATATATATCTATTATTGTTTATTGTTATCGGTTCCCTTCCACCGAACGGACCAAACGTCCGAGATCAGATGCTGATCGACAGTCACTTGCCTCGTTCCGAGAGACATTCCTCCGAGAGGCGGGGTTGACAGTGCTAGTGTCTGAAGGATTGGCGCCGTTAAAACTAGCGACCTGAGTCATCTGACAGTGAAATCATCCTCTTTTCTATTTTATTTCGTCTTTATTTTATCTTCAATTGATGCCAATTGTGCGGTCACGATGATCTTCGAGCCGTCCGAACGCGTCGTTCTTCCTACCAAGGATCTGTTGTCGTATATTTTTGACAATCCGGGCTATGATCTGGATAAACCGGTAGGTCGATTAATTAATGGATTGATTGTATTTGTGACTCATGAGTGCAGGTGTACATTGATGTTGCCAATCCGTCGCGTACGATATCATGTCGTCATGCTCGAACTATCATCCGGCAGCTCATTGCTGGGTTGAGAGCGTCTGGAATGAAGAAGGGCGATTGTGTTGCTATCCATTCCTTCAATGATGTATGTCTCCCCTACCTTAAAAAATATCCTTCTAACTCTAGCAGATATACTATAGCATGCTGGTCCTGGCCATCATCGGCGCAGGAGGCATCTTCACCGGCACCAACCCAGCATACACCCCGATGGAACTCGCCCATCACTTCAAAGTCTCCGACAGCGTCTTTCTCATTTCCGAGCCGGAGATCCTGGACGCCCTCCTGACAGCCGCCAAGGAAGTCAACATTCCAGAGAAGAACATCTTCATCTTCAACCACCAGGGACAGACCGTCCCGTCTGGCTTCCGATCGTGGAACCACCTCCTCACCTTTGGTGAAGAAGACTGGGTGCGCTTCGACGACATCGACACAGTGCAAAAGACAACAGCAATGCGCCTCTTCAGCAGCGGCACCACCGGCCTCCCCAAAGGCGTCGCCCTCACGCACTACAACTTCATTGCGCAACAGGAAATCGTCAACGAACTGCATCCCCGTCCGTACCAGGTTTCGCAAATCATCGCCATCCCCGTGTTCCACGCCGCAGCAGCACCAACGGCACACATCGCCACTCTCAGGTCCGGGCAATCATTGTACCTGATGCGTCGATTCGACATGGAGACATTCCTGCGCACGATTGAGAAATACGAAATCACCGATTTGACCGTCGTGCCTCCGATCGCGATCGCAATTATCATGTCCCCGTTTACAAAGACAGGACCGTTTTTGAAAAAAGTCAAGGCGGCAGCTTGTGGAGCGGCCCCGTTGGATAAAAGTGTGCAGGAAAAGTTCCGCGCGTTGATGGCGGATGGAGCGCCGATGACGCAGGTTTGGGGCATGACGGAGACGTGCTGTGTTGCGACCAAGTTCCAGTATCCGGAGCAGGATGATACGGGGTCGGTGGGGAGGTTGATTGCGAGTGTTGAGGCTAAGTATGTATTTCTGCTGATTTGTTTGGGATGGGGCTGACGATTCAGGTTGATTGATGATAATGGGAATAACATCTCTGCGTATGGCGTGCGAGGGGAGTTTTGTGTCCGTGGGCCAACGGTCACGCCTGGATATTTCAAGAACGACAAGGCGAATGCGGAATCATTCGATGCTGATGGATGGTTCAAGACAGGCGATATCGCGTACTGTGATCGCGACACCTTGAAATGGTACATCGTCGACCGGAAGAAGGAACTCATCAAAGTCCGTGGATTCCAGGTTGCGCCGCCGGAAATCGAAGCGGTGCTTCTCGGCCATCCGCACATTGTGGATGCTGCAGTGATCGGAGTCACCATTCCCGGTGTGGATAGCGAATATCCCCGGGCATATGTCGTTCGTCGAGTTGGAGAAGGGGATAGACTGGTAGGTGAAGATGTCCAGAAGTATGTTCTTGAACGGTTGGCCAAGTTCAAGGCGCTCACTGGGGGCGTCAAGTTTGTTGATGCTATCCCGAAAAATCCCAGTGGGAAGATCCTGAAGAGGGCGTTGAGAGAGGATGCTAAGAAGGATATCGAGGCACGGCTGAGCAAGGCCAAGATGTGAGAGCCTGTATATGGTTGTCCATATTGTATATAGTTCTCATGAACCATGGTCTTCTTCTTCGACTGCTGTTTCATCAAGCTGGGTATCATTTTCTTGAACAACAGGGGTATCTTCTTCATCCTCCTGCTGCTGCTGTAAATGTAAGAATGCAGAATTGTCGCCAAACACATGCATCTCGGGTCTTCTGAACTCAATGAATGCTCGAAGAGTCTGGCGATGCAACTCCTTTGCATTCTCATCAATTCCTTCGCATTGTCCAGATCCCTAAGGAATAAGTCTGTCAGTTCAACAATGACAGAGGTCTGTTCCCACGGCACGAGTCCTAGCAATGCAGCTGAGATAGCACTATTCGGAAGAACACGCACGGATGGCTCCCACGGCTGTCTTATGCGATGATTCAGTTGCTGTCCAGACGGTAGATAGAACGGGGAAGTAAGCGTCTCATTTGCCTTTCTCAGCCCTTGGAAGCTCCCGAGCCCGGATATTTCCAGATCATTCCCGGTGTGGTTCTTGGCCATATATCGTAGTGGAAAGTAGAGCATCTTCTCCGTCGGACTGGATATAACAATCGGCGTCAGAGTGTGAAGTTCTGTTACTGAAAGATCATTGCCATCTGCAGCCTGGACATCCAGTCATTTCCCCATCACTGCTGCATCACTCAGCTTGACATCCTGCTCCTTGACGTCTTTCCGGATAACATCTTCCTCCTGGACACTATTCCACAATTCCTTGGCTTCTCTAGGCGGATATGCGACTCTTCTCGGAGCAGCCAATCCCTCCTGGACAGGAACCAACAGACCAAACCACAACGGATGCAAAGAGTGCCCAGGCATACCATTCGGATCATAGAACTCATGAGGATTCCCATGAATTCGAGCCCGTTCGTCATATTTTCCGTTCCACGAGAAGACCGCAGGTTCAGGATACGAGAAGAGTTGGCACGGAGAATATTCTTCCGATATAAACATGACAGCCTTTATTGATGAGCCAATCGGATGTTCCATTTAGCTGGATATTACGCCCAGTTATCTTCTCTTGATAGTTGCGTTCAAGTATGTTCCAGAACTCGTAGTACTTATGCGGTAGAGATTAGTATTATTCTCCATAAATATATCTTCCAGAGGAACGACTGTTATAACTATACATCATCCCTCAACATCAATCGCCCCTTTTTATCAGAGAATGAAAGCCTTGCATCAACTTTACCTGCCGCTTGATTCATCCCGCTAACTGTGGCCAGGTCATCACTATCGGGTACCATGCCATCCTCCAATCCATGATACAGCATTGGCAAGATGGATGACTTCCATATCCCCAGCTTTCGCTTCATGTTGATCCAAATGGTTGATATCAACAGAGCGATGCTACATAGCAGAAGCAGCAGTGGCAAGGTGAGCCATCGCCAATCAACCGCCACATAGCTTTCTGACACGGCCACCGTGCCTGCAACATCGGTGCTGTTGTTTTCGAGCACATACTTGGTCATAGACGCAGCAACATTCTTGGTCACTGTGCCCAGACCCATTCTCAGTATTTTATCTATGTTGTCCGTTGAAGCATCAGCGCTGGACAAAAAGGTCCATTCGGTGTCGCTTTTACCGCGGACAAACCAGTCCTGAGTACTGTAGCCCTTCAAGCCACCCCCAATCTCATTGTAGTAGAGTGTGTTCGGACAGACTGCAAACTCCCTGGCGTTGGCAAAACTGATGCGATCCCACGTGTTGCCGCCCGGTAGTTGTGTGACATTGACTGTAGCACCTTGGCCGGGTTGCCAGCAGACGGTCTCATTTTGATACCACGATCCCCCTGGGGTGTGATTGTAGGTAAATATCTTCCCCCAGTTCGGCTGGGAAATATTCATCGAAGGAATGCCCTCTGATACGGATATATTATATTCCCTGGTACATAACGATAAGATGCATCTTGTAACATTTAAGATCTCCAGGGCACATTCTGGGTGTTTCTGTGGCCTTTTCTTGTTCGTTGTCACATTGAGCCTCGCATGGGCCAAAGAGGTCATCTCATTCTTATACGGATACTTTCTTGTCCAGTCCTGGCCACTACTAAGGGGTCTCCCCCAGATATCAGCTTGCCAGATAACATCTTCAGGAATTTCCATCACGAGAGCACCGTCGCCTAGTGGTTTAACCTGAATGGGAGTTTGAATCCACGGGCCGTCCAAGATAGTGATATTGCACATTGTCTTCTGGATCCCAGTCATGTTGTGGTCCATTGTGACATTCGGGCAGGAGATGGACTTGGGCTGGGAGGTGATGTCTTCGCATCTACTGCAGTACCCTATTGAGGTGAAAGGGGCCCAGGTGCAGTTTCCAGATGGACATGTTGGATTCACGTTGAAGTCTTTCCCCCAGATCCCGGAATCGACTGAATCCCGAAAGCCATCATCCACGACAGGCATCGCGATGTGTGATTGCTTTGCGATTGCGCGTTTGGAGGGACTTTCAACTTGTCTGGTTGGATAAGTGACTATCTGCTGCATGAATGGCTCAAAGGCAAGTGCCAGAATAGTCACAATGGCACCGAGTGATATTAAGGAGCGACCCGGGCGTTGGAAGAGAATCGTCAACGATCCCCACGGCCCACGGCTGGCGTCGTCGACATTTTGAATCCCCTGCAGTTGTCGTTTTTTCTGGAACCACACCCACTTCAATTGCCCAATACATTCAGCCACGACAAAGATCATCGATGACTTGCACGCGGTCGTAAGTACAGACACGATGGCGTTCAATGTCAGTCCGTAGCGCAGGTTAGGCGTCGGTTTCTGATCATATACTCTCAGAACAGCGAAAATGGCAACGAAGCAGAGGATACTGAACGTCATGGCAAAGGTCTCACTAAACCACGTGTCCATGATGAGTCTCATCCATCTGGATTGAAGGTTTTGCGGCATTGTGTCGCGACGGTAATGGGTTTCAGGAAGCAATTCGGCACGGGATTGCTGGCTTCGGAGTCCAGTCACATTTGCACTGCGTGTCAACTCCACGGACTGCATTTTGAATCGAAGGATTCAAAAGAGGTTTCTGCGTCTTTTCTGAGGATCTTTGAGCGTGGCTGAGGCTGGTGCGGGGTTGCAAGGCTGTAACAATGATCGACGACGAGGCTGAGGAAAATGGCCCATGGTACGACCACGCCCTGCAGCATCCTGATTTATTTGACTAATATTGGAAACAGGTTCATTGGTAGTGTTCGTCATTGTTGCTGAGCTACAAGACATGGAATGAGGGATTCACTTTGGTCCGACTATGGCCGAATATCAGTGGTGCACCCTCCACACAAACTATACAGAACCTTGAATGGATATATCTTGCTATCAGGTTTCGAAATCCATATCAAATTCCAGTTCTTTGGTTCCTTTCGTGTAATAATATATGAATGTTTATAGAAAATTTTAAGACTTGAAGAGTTCAAATACATTGGGATAAATATATTTTTAGCCTTGTCTACATTCCTCACCACAAACCCTATTCGACTATATACTTTTAATTCATGATGACAGATAGCTTACCTGGATAATTATGCCAGGGGATATACTACAATCTCTATTTAGTGATGAGGGTCTTTATATTCTCTCAATTGACACAGAAACCATAGCTACATATACGCATGGCATTCAACTGTTAATCCATCCCTCATAATAGAATTATCAATTATATAACGCTGGATGGTGTACCTGCTACACATACAAAAAGAGGTTATAGGGAATCATTGACCTGGCACCAGAAAAATAACTCCAGCTAAGTGGATGTCTTGGACTGAGGCTATCCAATCACAATCTAACACGCCTCATTATTAGTCACCTTGGAGAGCCCCTCTTATGCTTTTTTCTTTCTTACCATATTTACATTTTATATATTTAAGACCCAGAAAATGCCTGTCGCTTCGCCCCTTGATGCCCTCCGGGTTCATCTGGCCTACGAACCGGTAGCTCTTAAATTCGGAACCAGCGGTCGCCGTGGCCTAGTGATCCATTTAACGCAACTGGAAATCTATACCAATGTGCTGGCCGAAATCCGGTACCTGCAGTCAATCGCGCCGTCCGAAGGCGGCATTGCCATCGGCGATGACTTTTACTTTGCCCATGACCTCCGCCCCAGCTCCACAGAGTATGTAGAGAATGGCCGCGGTGGTCTTTGCCAGGCGGTTCAGCAGGCGATCAAAGATGGAGGGATGCGCCCTGTCAATCTAGGTGCCATTCCGACACCTGCTCTCACCTTTTTTGCCCTTGAAAAGGGAAAGGGGAGCATCATGGTGACCGGCAGTCATATCCCGTTCGATCGGAACGGGTACAAATTGAATACTTCCAAAGGCGAGCTGTTGAAAGAGCATGAGCAGCCGATTGGTGAGGCTGTCAGTGTCACTCGTGGACAGCTCCTTGCGCAGCCCTATGCCGAGTCTGTTTTTGATTCCCAGGGCATGTTGCGCGGGGTGGATGCCACCCTGGTGGCCCCGGTGGCCAATGGCAAGACCGCCTATCTACAACGATATCTTGATTTCTTCAGCGGACAGACGCTGCAGGGTATGAAATTGCTCATCTACCAGCACTCGGCTGTCGGCCGTGATCTGCTCGTCGAGCTGCTCGAAAAGATGGGAGCCGAAGTGGTGGCTGTGGGTCGCAGCCAACAGTTCATTCCTATCGACACCGAGGCCATTGATCAGGCCCAGCTCGACACAGTCCAAGCCCTTTACGACGAATCCGGTCAGAGCTTCCATGCAGTCATCTCTACAGACGGTGATAGCGATCGCCCGCTTCTCCTTGCACCCGAGAACGGTAAGCTGCGTTTTTTCAGCGGCGACCTTTTAGGCATGGTAGTTGCAGAGTTTCTACGCCCCGATGCCGTCGTCGTCCCGATCAGCACCAACGATGGCATCGACCGTGGATCCCTCGCCGGCGTGTTGGAGAAGAAGACCAAAATCGGAAGCCCGTACGTGATTGCTGGAATGCAGCAGGCTATTGACAGAGGGTGTCGCCGCGTGGTTGGATGGGAAGCGAACGGCGGCTTCCTCACCGGCTCCGACATTGATATCGATGGCAAAGTGCTCACGGCGCTTCCCACTCGCGACGCCGTGCTGCCTTTACTGTGTGCTTTGTTCGCGACGCACCGATCTCAATCTACAGTCGCAACCCTGTTTGAAACGCTGCCGAAACGGTTCAGCCGGTCTGGATTGATCCGCAACTTTCCTCGTCCTATCAGTGCTAAGATTGTAGAGCGCCTCTCGCCTCCGGCTGCTAGCATGCAGGAGGTATACTATCAGTCTGGCTTGGAGGACATTATCGTCCGCGATGCCCAAGATGGCCCGGTCACCATTTCGGCCATTCATACTGAGAGGCTTGTCCGGATTCGCCGAGAACTTGAAGCAATATTTTCTGCCCAGCTCGGCTTTGCACCAATCACTCGGTTTAATTATACTGACGGAGTCCGCATTGGATTCGAGAATGGCGATGTTGCTCATCTACGGCCGTCGGGCAACGCTGACGAGCTCCGCATATATTCCGTCGCTGACCGGCAAGACCGCGCTGAAGAAATCGTCAAGCTAGGAGTTGCGGAGCCAGATGGTCTTCTGAGACGGTTGGCGAGTTTTGCCAAACTTTGAATTGGTTTGTGTTGTATCAATGGAGTTACTGCATTTGGACCTACTATGTAGCTATATTAGCAGAAGTATTTACCTATTATGGCAGGTAGATATATATCCTACTAACCTCGATAGAATCTTTGGCTATTCATTCATATACAAGTCAACTGTTAAAATAATTCATGTTGACGTCAAGTGTAAAATCCTAGTGTGAGGGGTTTATATACGGCTTCTTCATATAGAGTTTATACCTTCGTACGGCTTGACCCCTAGAACTCCATGTAAGCCTCTAGCAACCCCCCTCCCCAATTCTCAGCCCACGACCAAAATTGTTCATTGGGAGACAAACCCTCCAAGTCGTGAATGGTCCCAAAGGAGTTATACTGGAACTGTTGACTCCGTCGCCAATACAATGGTCTGCTTTATTTTCGTTAAACAGAATCAGAACATAGTCATACAGAACGAAGAGCTGAAAAGTGTCCATTTCCGATTGGGTTTCAAAACTACCATTCCAACCCGCAGTGCATAATATCTAGATAGAATTGCAGAACGATGGTATTTGTGGAACTTCTTCGAGGCATTTTTTCCTGCCATGGTTTGGAGCACTGTTTGGTCCGTACACTTCAGATACATATCAGGTTAATATACTCCTCGCCCCTCCTGGATGCTCTGCTCGGAACTCTGTTAGATTGTATATTTCTCCATCAATAATGACCCACAAGTCATCCAGGGAGTTGTGTTTAGAGACATCGTCTTTGGTGTATGATGGTGGCTCTGCCATGGCAATATTAGATAACGCATACACTTCATTACGGCAGGATATCTTATATGTATTACTGATATGTGTAAGCCTCGGTTTCCAAATGCATGCATGAATAAACTGTAAGTCATAATTCATGACATATCATCAAGCATAAATCAACTATTCCCAATATCATCTAGTATACTGCTAAGATTAAAGCCAGAATCCTGAGATAGCCCCTGCACCGTGTCCGTCAACACCTTTATTATCGGCACACGAGCAGTCAGAGTCAGACTGTTCAACACCTCTTCGTAATACGTGATGTGCTTGCCGTTGTACACAGTCGAGTTTACTGATGCGCATATTTCCAGTTCGCCGTCAGTGAGGGCGGACTTTTGCGCGGATAATATGTCCAATATATTTTCTAGCACTGTCTGGATGCTGAGGGTTGCTCGTAAGGGCATGCTGTTGTTGCCTGGTTTTAAGACGACGTTATCGAGAAAGCCTTGGCCGATGATGAGACCCGCTGTTTTGAGATTGAGTGTGACATTTCCCTGGTGGATCAGCATATATTGAAAAGAGGATAGATCAGGCATACCAGGGCTAAAGTGATAGCAGAATGATTGGGCAGTGTAATGGTGCCTCGAAGATTCGTCCCATCCTCTTCTGCGGGTGCAACAAGACGTGCAGAGTCGATTGACAAGCCACTGATTTTGTCGAGTCCTACATATGTCAGAATGGTATTGTATAACTCTGCATAGTGACTCACCATCGAGTTCGATATCTTTATCAAGCGTCAACCCTGCCTTTAGAGCCCCAAGATGCCCAACTGTAGATCCCTTTGCTGACAGGGTAAACTGCTTCGAGTAAGCAGCCCTGGTGATTGTTTCTACAAACTGCGCATGACTGATGATTTTGGTGTCCTTCTGTATAATACTCATCGGGGTTTTTCCTTTAAGATTGTATTCCGGTAGTCCAACATCGATCCATGGTTGAATTGGATGGACGTCTCGATTGAAGAGCGATAAGGTGAATGGTTCAGTTCGAACCGATAGACCAGCGGGAATACTGAGAGAGGTGTTGATCGAAAAGGTGATGGTGTCTGGTGTAGGATCGAGGATTCCTGCTGCGTAGACGGGAAGACTGGTGTCGTCGACTATTCTCTGCGCGATGGCGGGGACGATAAAGACGAAGCTATATCAATCAGAATTATGATCAAGTTAGAATGTCGATGGAGCCTACAAGATTGGTAGAAAGATGGCGAGAAATACGATAGCGGCCAATAGATAGCAGCACCAGAAGCGTTGGAAATGCCGGCGCGCTTTTAATTGCACTACCTTGTTTTTATTAAGGGATCCAGGGCCAGCAGATTCAATATGTTCGATCTCTGCATCCAAACTGGACAGTTTGGTTGCTTTGGTGTCTTTTTCTAGATCGCGATATTTATCTCCAACGGCCATGATGCTGTTTGAATGAACAGACTAGATTTACCTGCCCTAACTGACAGATATAAGTACTAGAAATCAACTTCCCATCTACAACACCAACCAATCATGCACATACATTACATGCCATTCCCCGCGCATACGCCAAAGGATTTAGACCACGCTTGGACATGAAACCATGTCTGATTGATCTTATTTACGGTCGAGCGGGGTGATCTTCAGCATCATCGCCATCAACCCCGCCATCAACCCCCTCCTTGTCTGGAGTTCCGCGGCAGTACACCCTGTCGTTGTATAATGTATAAAGCAAGATTGGTCTTTGCTTATGATAGCAGCCGTCCGTCCGGTCCGCGGTAGGTGGTATAGTTAAGCATTTGAATTCATGAGCGATTCGTGTTTATTTTGATAATTCAAGATCGTAGTGTATATTGATATTATATATCGTATATAACTAGTATGCTTTCATACATGCTCCGTGACATATATCGTTCCATTCACAATTGGCCATATCATCCTCGACACACGAAATAACCGCCATAATGGAAGCAAACAACACTACAATCGAGAAAGAAACATTTTTCATGCCCCCTTCCTACCCAGACGGTGCAACAGAGCCAAACGTCCTCAATGCTCTGGAAAAGCCCGAGCGCATTCAAAAGATCGTCCAGGAAGGCATCCTCCTCGCTGGCGGAGCAGCCGCTATCCTCCTCCAAGTCGCCATGCCAGGCGTTGGTAAAGGCGTCGACAAACACAGCAACTGTTCCTACCGGCCTTTAGACCGATTGCGAACTACCATGACGTAGATCTACTCTGGTGATGATCCACAGCTGCAAGTGTGGGTTGCTGCTACTCCGCAAGCCGTTGGAATTGATGTGTACGAGCAGGTGTTTGGTCGAATGAGCGAGGAAGCAGCAGAAGATGTGTATCGAGAATATGCCATACTCGCCGTCTCTTTACGCGTGAGACCTGGGATGTGGCCACAGGATCGTCGGGCATCTTGGATCTACTGGAATGTACATATTGAAAAGATACAGAAACATCACCCCAAATGCAAAGAACGTGGCCAAGGATTTACTATTCAGCAACCGCGTGCCGCTGAAAATTCGTGCTGTTCTTCCTTTGGTTCGACTTATGACAGCCGATATGCTCCCAGATCGCATCCGAGAAGAATATGGCCTCAAGATAGGCAAGTGTCGACGGAGAATGCAAGGAATTGTAACGGGATTGACCAAGGCAATGTATCCTGCTACACCAAAGTTCATCCGTACGTATCCATTGCGGTACTATATGAAGGATATGCGGAGACGGACCAAAGACGCCAAGTGATATTCCATCTGTTTATTACGTTTGAATACGATTTATCTATTCAAAATGCTATTTTATATTCACATGAAGTGGATCTAAACCGAACGGCCGAGGAACTTAAAAGCCTAAACCCCCGCATGGTCCCACTGAACGCGGGGTAAGTATGGGGCTTGACCACTTATTTGCGTCGATAGCAGTCATTCCTGATTCATGCTGCAGATCCAGACTAAGAGGATTCGCACCCATAGCCACCTGATCATCCAGACTTGGTAATCCGGTTTTTATGTTCAACCTGATTGGTCCCGCGTAGACGGGATCGACCACAACGGCCAAGCGAATCGTCGTCAACTCGTAGCTGACGTGCGGTACGTGGAGACAAGGCTAATACTTAGATTAGATCAACCCCTCACTCTCGAATCTCCTCTCGGAACGTGTTGCCTCTTCATCAAACCGAGGAACTCAATGTTGCAACGTACGAAACGGGCCGCTCGAGCGTGTTATTGGTGTCGTCACCGCAAGGTGCGCTGTGATGCATCTATCCGTGGCTGTCCTTGTACTCGGTGTCAGCAAGATGGCCGAGATAACTGTACTCTTCGATTAAGAATTCCGAGACGGTAGGTGATATTGTAGATCGATATTATGGCAGACTCCGTCTAAGTGTGAACAGGTCTAAAAATTCTGACCCTGACTCGGAGCAACAATCTACGAATCCAACGAGAGATTGGGATTTCAACAATCTAGACGAATCTGTAGATAAGGTATTCAATTACAGCAGAATCTCCGATGGTCTCGATGCTGTTATCAATCTTGACGGCGATACGTCCTTCATCTTCTACCCTTTCCTTGAGCTACACGGTCTTCTTCATCTAGCTCAAGAGGATGTGACATATCTATCATCAAAGGGATGCTTCAGTATTCCCAACTGGCTGACTATTAATGAGTTTGCCCGGCAATACTTCCTCCAGATTCATCCTTGTCTTCCTGTTCTGGATGAGGCTGAGTTCTGGCGTATTGCCGTTGATTCGGATAATGGGTTCACTGGATCACGGAAAATATCGTTGTTTGTTTTTCAGGCATTCCTATTTGCGAGCTGCCCAGTTAGTATTCCGATAATGCCTTATTATGATCGAGGATATGTCTAACTGTAATTCAGTTTGTCCCGTTGGAAACGCTACAAAAATGCGGATTTACCAACAAGCGAGATGCAAGAACAACATTATACAACCGTGCAAAGGTAACACCATACCATAGTATACTCATCTATTGCGTCTCTAATATAGCACCATTGTAGTTACTCTTCGATCTCAAAGCCGAAACCGACCCGTTCGCGAAAGCTCAAGGCGCCGTCCTTCTCACCCACCATACGTCAACTGACGATCCCCAAGCCGGTAGTATCTGGTTGATGCGCGCTATCCAGAATGCCATGATCGTCGGCTGCTCTCAAGAAATATCTTCTACAGAGATCGTGGTATCAATGAAAAAGCGGTTATGGTGGTCTATCCTTCTCCGGGATCGGGTCATTTCCATTGGCCTGCGGCGTCGTCCGCAAGTGACATCGATGGAGTTCAACACCGGAGATAACTGGCTGAAAGAGGAGGATTTCTCAGAGGATATATCCCAATCTCGAGTATACGAAGAAGATGTGAAAATTCTGCTCTTTCAAGTTATGCAGGAGCAGTGCAGACTGGCTGTCCTTCTGACGGATATGGTTGCGCTGGTGTTCTCATCACATGGCATTTCGTCGCCATCACTGTCGCTTCCAGAGTTCAAGGCCGTCATTGCTGCTATCAAGAGAATCAAATGTTCGTTGGATAAGTGGGAAGCTGGATCTAGTTTTCTTCCTTCGACGAGCCATGAACCAGTGACTTTGTTTACTAACTTGACGTATATGTACTACTAGTAGGACCACCTTTCTTCTCACCTACATTCCTGCTAATGAGTGTTCTAGTGCTGCAAGGGTTGATCTGGCTCAGTATGAAGCAATGATTATTGAGAAGCATCTTGCCTTCACTGGGAACGATTATCCCAATCAACTGGTGAACACAGGCAAGGATCTTCAGAATGCCATGACTGGCTTAACTGGTGTTATGGAGTTTTTCAGCGGAGAGGGTCGTGCAGAAAGGCTACCCCTCAGTGTGTAAGTCGTCTGCTTTGTTAGATTATTATAGTATACTGACCATCTAGACTGGCATACGCAGCCATGCCGCTCGTTCTCACTGCCATCGACGTAAAACTTTCACCCTCACAGTCAGAAATGATTATACGACAACGCCGTCTAGAACGTCTAGGAGAAATCGTCCGCCACTCGAAGGCGCTCTACGACGTGACTGACTTCGTGGCGATGAAAACTAACAATATCTTGCAGTTAGCATACATCACCACCCAAGATGTCTTTCTTCGATGCGGCTCACATGCCGTTCAAGAGCCGCCAAGAATGCACTCTGAAATATCCATTGGATCACCTGCTGATACACCTACTGATGGACTGGGTTCTTTTATCCAAGGACGACCCACAAACTGGCATGATGCATTCCTCGGCAATCCTCGAGCATACCTACGCATATCGACAACGGTTGACTATGGCCTGTCGAATGGTCGACTACCTTATGAAAATGCTCTTCCTCGATTGGTTCGACACCTGCCGTGGGTGGGATTGACAAGGCTTCCCTGGACGCAGGATAGTGAAGAACAGCCAAACGGTATAGATGAGCCAGACCAAAGGAAATCCGAGTTCAAGCTTGCTAGCTCTTGTGATACCCAGAATCGAGTGTACGATGATATCTGGACAGTTATTCCTGGACTGGCTGGGAAGGACCATGAAGATATGCCGGACAACTATGACTCGCCCACTGAAAGGGAGCTTGCGGGACATGCTGTCAATCTCGACTATTTCGACCTGGGGGGTATTCCATCCAGAAACAGTCCCCAATCAGAAGGTGAGGTTGTAGGATTGCAGGATGTACTCGACAGTGAAGAGCGCCAACCAGTGGAAGACACTGTATCATCAGGTGAGATGGAATATACTCAGGATGTGGACTGCGAGATTGATTCAGGACTGTTTACTTCATTGCTCCGTGCGCCACTAGATGATCTGCCTTGATTTGAGGGATGAAGTGATATTTTTACTTGAACCAACCATCTATTATTGGGAACTATATTACAACTCTTGCCCTCTATCTTAATTACAAAACATTACACAGACTTCCACAGGCGCTTGATCGGGTACAAGACATGCTGGTTGTTGCGAAGACACTCACTGTATCAGAGGTTGTGGGTACAATTCAGCATCTTATGGAAACAGCAGAGTGTAAGTTGAGTGCCGAATTACTTGAAGTCGCTGCATTATTAGATAGTGAAGGCCAGTTAATTATGAATGAAAGGACGGAAAGGATACAGCAATTATTTAATGTGGTATTCCATATCAGTCCTATGTTCATTACTCAAGGTGTTTTGTTAACGCCCAACACTGTCAATTGAGCTACGGTTCTGATTGATGGTGTGCATCAGGTAAGTCTATCAGAATCTGCATTACAACCTCAATTTAACAGTTGATAGCTACTACCGATGGCCCTCGATCTAATCAATACTGTCATGCCACTTTTCGATCTATTGCAGTGGGGTAATATGTTTAGCAGTCTAGGTCATTACAACAAATCAAAGCATCACCTCATAAAACGAATCCATCCCATACCCCATTTCGTATAAACACCGGCAGCCCCCCTGCATTATCATCATATCGTATCTCCAACTCTGGATCTTTAATCTCGATTGAAAATGGCAACCCATCTTCATAAGCCTTGATGACATCCACCAAATCCACTGCCCAATAGAACTCAACGACGTACTTCGGTACACGGAGTTCAGCCATCGGTCTGAAGATATTAATGTATGACTCCGTATCAGGTATCACGATAACGTCTCTGGTCAGGCTGAACGAAACGCGGAGATCTTGCAGTCCGCTCATCTGCGCGATGGCTTGCCATGCTTCCATCCAGAATTCACCCACGTCGAGTGGCCATGCAGAGTATTCTAAAGAGAAGAATCCATCATTTGGAAAGGCAAAGTCCACGGGTACGTCGATATGTAGGGAGCGGATAGCCTGGAATCGGTGTGGAAGCATTGCCTTGGGGAGGTCTGCGACTGTTCTTGTCTGGCGGACATTGAGCACATTGTCTGTGTACAGAACGTCGATTGCTTCCGAGTATCTGCTGTCGTTAGTAATGATATATCATATTCATAGATATGGGACTTACATTCGTCGACAGGACTGCAACAGTCCCATGATGTTTCCCGCCTTGGAGCAGCGATACCCCCAGAAGCTCTTGGTCGACCCATCCATCACCACTTCACCCCAGCAGCGATGCTCCCAATCTCGTATTCTTGGATTCCATTCATGGCAACGCATACTGCGCAGTCTCTTATGAGAACTAGCCACATGCAGCACCGAGCCATCCTCTGGAGCGAGAATCTCCTTGTAAATCAACCTGCGAATTTCCGGAGGCAATTTAAACAACAGACACTCATTCTGCGCATAGCTTTTCTGTTTACTCTTTTTGGGCAGCTCTGGTAATGGCAGCGACAGAGCACGCTTCCGAGGAGGCAATCCCTTTGGCCGAGTGGTGTGGCGCTCGCCATGCTGCCGTCTGTGACGCTTGCTTCGTGAATGCACGATCAGCGGTGTCAGAACGTATATAATACACGTGCCACCGACTAAGATGACCGGATATAATAATATATCGCTCAATTTCATCGTGATGGATTATCAGATGAAGGGAGATGGTGGGATTGTTGTCGATCAGCTGTTGGGAATGCAAGGATGACAGCGAGGCTGTGCTGGCTTCATGCCTGAGGCAGCAGCGTTTGACCAATGATATCACTTCTCCTACAATATGGAATATGGACATATAAAGGTCAAACAGCATGAAAATAGTATTGAGCAGGGCCTGGTGAGTGAATGGTAAAGTGCTGCAGAGGCTGTTTCCTCAACTCCAAAGGCCCAAGTTGACTGATCAACCATTCATTCAAACGACAAATATACATATATATATTTTCGAGGCCTCATATTCAGCACAACACTAACCCCAAAAAGCCCCCAGACTTCGAGATAATAAGAATTTCTCACTAAGCTATAGTAATAAGACCCTATTTATATATGATATTTATACACATTCTCTTATTTTACCATGCTGCTAGTTCTCCTATATTTTAGTTTAGTAGTAGCTTAATAATAACATAAATACAGCCTGCTTTCTCAAAACTTGAGAGGATCAAATGTTCAATATTCTTCATGACCGCATTTCCTATTTAGTATAGTTCCAATACGCCCGAATACCTTGTTCCACCGCAGTTGACATAGGGTATTGTTCAGTAGTTCGCTAAAGTACATGGGGCCGAGTGCTCAGTAAAAGCATCACTGAGTCTTAAGTAACTATCATGCCGTGGTCAGTCGTGGAGGCGGGGCTGTGTACCAAGAATGAAGCACAGAAGATACTCAGGAAGGCCAGATCTGTTTCCATAATTGAAAGCAGAATAAATTGGCTTCGCCTTGTGAGACTGAGGAATGACAAGGCTCCGTCTGGTCGAGTCTATTCGAGGTGACCGGATCAAGGGCGACTCGAAACTGATACCCGGCTCTTCCTCATGAGGATATTAACGAAATGATACCTCGGCATACGTTTCCACAGATAGGTCCGTGATTATTCTTGCAAGTAGCGTTTTCTCACCATCCAGGCAGGCCTTGTTGGGCAAAGTCCACTGACACCCCACCGAATGATATATCGTTATGGAAAGCGTGAGAAGGTTGGTCCGGATCAACGTTGGCTGCATTCTCAGCTAACCAAGATCTGACAATTGGCACTATTCTCGGGGGTGTAAGTGATTTTTCTCTCTGTATGGAGTGAGCTTCACACGCGCCCCAAGCCTGCAGGACAAGCTTGGTAAAACTCTCAAAGATGGGTCCCGGGGCCATACGAAGGGCCATTGATCGAACCGTAAAGTTGTCAGTGACGACTTCCCAAGCGCGCTCCGCATGTTTACAGAAGGGCCGCCTCTTCAAATCCTGGAGAATGTGAACGTATGCCGGGAAGGGCAGATGGAAGTCAAGAAGCCAACCATATCTCCTGGTCAGGGGGGAAAACATGACTTTTGTGTCGCTTTCAAGCCTGCGCATCGCCAGACGAACACCACTATCACGCTGATCGTCCGTCGGGCAGGTAGTCGAATACCTTGAATGATGCTCCATGAGAAGGAACTTGGCCAGGTATCCACGCACCATCCATGTTGCCATGAAATGAAGGGGGTTTTCCGGATCAGTAAACATGAAATACTTTCCCTCTATCATTCGCTCAAGAGCAGTGAGCTCTCTGTGTTCGTCCCTAGGAGTCTGTTGGGACTGGGTCACGAGAGCTTTCAGAACTGGGTTGGTGAAATCGAGGTGGAAGGCAGCATGACGGACGAAATCTGCTACTTCGCTTCGGACAACAACAAAGAGTGTCTCCGTTAATGGAGCTTGAACTGTCGGCAAAACTTTTATATCTGGCCGGAGATCAATGTCATTCACGTTCCAGGGGATCTTGGTATCCCAGAGAGGAGTCAGGATGGTAGACCGGTGGTCAGCAGCCATCTCTCCAATGCGAGAGTCAAACAGCACTAGGGACCACCAGAGCCTCCTGCGCATCTCAGCCTCAAAAGGCGGGTGCTTAGAACACTCCGACTCGCTGTGAATACCCATGCGCTGCGCCATACGGACCGCGATACCAAGCATGGATGACAAAGAACGAGGGTCCATAAAGGGCCTGACGGAGATCTAAGAGAGTCAGATGATAGGGAGAATTGCTTCCCCTAGAAGGCCTACCAGATAGAAAAAGAATGCAACGAGGCAGTTGCGATTGTCTGATCGCAAGAACCCGCAGTTGACCAGGGCTTGCTGGCAGGCAGACTGGAATTTCGCCAGAAGAGCCTGCTTGGGTGAGCCAAGTAGCACTTCGCATTCTTCCGAAGCAAGAGACAACATGGCCACGCAGTAGATGCTAAACATAAGGGCTTCAACACCGGGATCGACATTAGACAGATTACTGACGGCTTCAACAATCTGGTTTTGTGTCGTATGGGTATGGGTGACTTTGAGAAGCGGGTCGACATTGTCCAGGTAAATCTGCCACAGCCGAAATATTTGTGCCGGTTCAGGCTGCAGAAAGGAGAGGTCGACAGCCGCTTGGGAGATGCCAAAGATGGGATCAATGTTTCCGTAGGCTTGGTCCCATGCCTTCTTGACCAGGTTTTCGTCCATATAATCAGGCATGCTGCCACCATTATCGGGCTGTTCTAGTCAGCATCAGTTGGCCAGGATGGGAGCAGCTGAGAATACCGCTTGATTTATAGCATGCCAGACATCTCTGCAGGATCTATTAGCCTATTCCGACAATCTTCATGGGGAAGACAGAAGTTTACTTTGCCTCGTGAGCCGTGGCTGATTTGACGACCGGGGAAGACGACCTTCCTGGTTCTCTATCACTAGGCGGCTCACTTTGCAAGATGCGGTCAGATGCTTGTGAGGGGATGTTATGGTCGCCAGCGGAGTCCCCATGGAGCGGGTCGAATTTTACATTGTTCTGTCTGAGGAGCCTCTCGTACTCATGCAGCCGTTCCAACAACTGTCGTTCAGGGAACCTACGCTTTCGGCGACGAGGGAGCTGATCGGACGGTATACACTGCGCCTGGGACCGGAGACAGTTTGCACAAGGCACATTGCGATCGCACCTGACCTTCCGCCGCTGACAGAGAACACAGGCAAACATGCGTGACATAGGCTCTGTAGGCAAGCTGGGCTGGGTATTTCTCGCAGACATCTTGCAGACAAATCTAGAGCAGACAAGTGCAAAGGAGATGGACGTTATCGGCCTTGAACTTTTTAGTTTCGGGCCTCGGGCACAAATGCGCTGACTCAACATCCCCGGAGCTTAGAAACGCCCGAGCAGCTCGTCGGTCTTGTGCTTCTGCTCCGAACCCAGTAACCTATCAATTTCTGATTGAAGCGAGCGAAATATAAAAGGATACAGTTGCAATCAATCTGGTAAGTCAGTGTCAATTTACAATTTACTTCCGCCGACCTAACCATGTCTTCCACAGCAGACCACCAACCCGACGATGAAGAGGCGGAGAAGAATTTCCAGCCGAAATCTCCCCAGTTCTGGCTGATCATTCTGGGCGTGTATTTTTCGATCTTTCTGGTTGCCCTGGTCAGTCTGCTGATTCCGTCTCTCTAACTGCTTGCTGATCGGTCGATAGGACCGCACAATCATTGCAACTGCCATCCCTCGCATCACGGATGAATTCAATTCGATCGCCGACATCGGCTGGTATGGCAGCAGCTATATGCTCACATCGGCCTCGTTCAGTCCTCTTTATGGCCGGGCATATCAAATCTACTCGACCAAATGGACTTTCCTCACCTCCCTGGTCATTTTTGAAGCGGGTTCGGCCGTCTGTGGTGCTGCACCAAACTCAACAGCCTTCATTCTTGGGCGCGCAGTGGCTGGACTTGGGGGAGCAGGCATCTTCACCGGCGGCATGATGGCCATTGTGCCTCTGGTGCCCCTCCGCAAGCGTCCGATCTTCGTCTCCATTTTCGGGATGGCATTTGGGATCTCATCGGTGCTGGGCCCTATCATCGGCGGCAGTTTCACCGACCACATGTAAGTAAAGCGTGGCCGGCAGATACAGTTGAGCTGACCTCTCGCAGCACCTGGCGCTGGTGTTTCTATGTGAATCTTCCAATCGGCGGCTTCACCATGCTCGCTGTCCTGCTATTCTTTCACGTGGAATCTCCTCCCCGCGCAGACCTCGGATGGGTAGGCCATGTCAAGCCCCTCGACCCGCTGGGGGTCGCGCTCTTTATCCCTTCAATTGTCTGCTTGATATTGGCACTGCAGTGGGGAGGTACTGAATATTCATGGTCAGCACCGACGATCATTGGCCTCTTGGTAACTTTCGCTGTACTGCTTCTCGCCTTTGTCGCCGTGGAGATCGCCACCCCACAGACGGCGATGATACCATCCCGCGTCGTCCTCAACCGTTCGATCACCGGTAGTATGTTTTTCGTCTTCATGCTGACCGGTGGCATGATGTCACTGGTCTATTATCTGAGTATCTGGTTCCAAGCCGTCAAGGCCGATACCGCGACGGAAGCCGGGCTCAGTACACTCCCTCTGGTATTATCCTTGGTCGTGATGGGTGTGATATCTGCCGTGATCACCCAGAAGATCGGTTACTATGTCCCTGCGATGATAACAGCTCCCGTACTATGCTCTATTGGAGCAGGCATGATATCAACGCTCTCCCCGACTTCCAATCACAGCCACTGGATCGGATACCAGGTCATATTTGGTCTCGGAATTGGCTGCGGATTCCAAACATCCAACATGGCCGCGCAGACTGTCCTACCACGCGCTGACATTCCGATCGGTATGTCTTTGATGATCTTTATGCAACAGATCGGAGGCTCCATCTTCCTTGCTGTTGACCAGAACCTCTTGTCAAACAAACTGGTTGAACAGCTCTCTCATGTTGCAGGCCTGGACGCAAATCTCGTCATCAATACCGGTGCCACTGAGCTTCGAAATGTGGTGCCATCAAGCGAGCTTAGCACTGTCATAGATGCCTACAACTACGCGCTGACTCGTATCTTCATCCTGGCGACTGGGATTAGCGCCAGTACCATGCTCGGCGCATTGGCTATGGAGTGGAGGAGCATCAAAGGAAACGGAGATGTTGGTTCTCGGGCAGAGGAGAAGGAAAAGGACTGGCGAAGGAGGAAGAACAGAAGTGATCCTGAGACAGAGCGGATGCAAGGAAAAGCACGGTCATCATTCCACTGCTGTAAATAATTAACCAATGTACCATGGTTGCCAAATCACGGAGACACAGTCGGCCATATTTGTCTAGTCCAGATACTCAATCAACAATATCCACTTTTGTCTTTAGGTCGGATTGGCCGAGTCCGAGAGACCCACTTACGGCGAGTACATTCCATGCCAAAAGTCGTATAATTATCTATTACATAATCTCCTAAAATGACCTTTATAATATTTTATTGGTGTTACAGGTGGATATACTAAAAAGTATATATGAGTATTTTTTAATCGTAAACGTTAATATAAAGGGGCTATGAAAATCGGGTGTACCACGGAACTCGTTATGGCCGACTATACCACTCCCTCTTCGGACACTCCGAACCCCCGAACTTGTTTGTATATATATGGCAGACGTCCCTCCCGCTTGGAATTCCATTTTCCCCGTCGCGCTATGAATAGGTGAAGGCTGAATTCGACAAGCTATGTCTTACAAACTCGAAAAGGACGTTGCCTGGGAAAGCAGCGTATGTGGAACGCTCTACAAGCAGCTCTTTGTCCATCCACCCTCGCTCTCCACCACCGTGCGGCTTGAAGGAAAGACTGCCATCGTTACTGGGGCAAATAGCGGTCTTGGCTTCGAGGCATCGCGGCAGCTTCTTCAGCGCGGATTGTCTCGTCTCGTCGTGGCTGTGCGCTCGCAGGAGAAGGGCGATGTTGCCGCCAAGAAACTTATGGAGGAGTTCCCTGGTGCGGAAATCGATCTGTCATTGCTAGACCTATGGGACTATGACTCCATCAAAGCTTTCGTCAAGCGATGCCGTGGTTTAGAGCGGATCGACTATGCGATCCTGAACGCCGGGTTGCAGCGACGACAGTTCGAGTGGAATGATAAGACCGCCCATGAGGTCGTCCTCCAGACCAACTTTCTTTCCACGGCCCTGCTGGCCACCATGCTTGCATCGGTGATGAAGGAGAAGAAAATACGGCGTGGAATGGCGACGCCACCAGTCTTGACGGTTGTGGGCTCGGACACGATGTACTTCAGCAAGCTGAAAGCGATGGGTCCTGTTTTCCCTCTGATGGACGACCAGGCGCAGTTTCAAGGATTTCAACAGTACATGGACGCAAAGTTGCTGCTTATGATGTTTACTGTTCGGCTGGCCGATCAATATGACCCAAACGACATCACACTAAATGTTTGTTCCCCCGGGTTGACATACGGGACGAATCTGGGACAAGACGCCCGTCGATCTTCGCCCGGCGCAGCATTGATCGTTAGGCCGTTTGTCAGGGCCCTCGGGCGACCACTGGACCGGGGGGCGAGTGTATACATACACGCTCTTATGCATGGCCAGGAAAGCCACGGCTGTTTTATCAGTGAGTGGACAGTGAAGCCGTAAGTACCCCAATCTCTTCACGTTTTTAGGATGATCCTAACTAGATTACCGCAGGTATGCGGCTGTGATGTACACTGAAGATGGCTGTGGTATGATGGACAGGCTATGGCACGAGGCTATGGAAGAGTTCAAAAAGATTCCAGAGCTGGCTGATGAGTACATAGATGAAGAGCGTTAGGATACTTGCATTCCTAAAGCCGGGAAGGGATCAGTGAATATGAAACAGCTGCAGAGGCTGCCTTTGCAACTGCTTCACAAAAGGCGTTGGTGTCTCCTTCTGATACTAGGCGATACCTTCAACAAAAACGTTTCCCACAATCTTATAGTATGACTGGCCATCAACACATGAATACTCTCGTAGTACAAGAAGCTGTGCAATACCAGAGGGAGCAATGACCATATCTCCATTTTGAGCACCATTCTCGGCAATCCCAACCCCCCCCCCCCAAGCCAGGAGTTGGCAATCGTCACAACTGTCATTCCGGCCACTTCAAGAACACGCTTGCCGTTGTCTAGAGCCAGGATGCCCGATATCCTGTCCAATACATCATTCCTTTCAAAGACAGAATACCTTTTTATCATGTCAGCTATCACTTTCAACTGCGGCAAGTCCTTTGAATCAGGACGACCCCAACAGGCTATAAGAAATCACTCTGGCAGGCTATTCAGACACGCCACACTGGACTGACTGCTAGAGTTGATGATGTGTGTCCCCTCCCGCTTGTATTAACTAAAGGGAGTAGCTACTAGCGGAGCTGTATTACAATATCAGAAAGGTCAAGCATTAGTGCGTCGTCTATACAAACCAAAGTATATAAGATAGAAGATAAATTTGCTTTTCACGGCCTTGGGTCTTCAATCCTATGCTTTGGTCTTTATCTAGCTGCTAATCACAAGGTCAGTCCGCAAGCCCAACCCCTTCATTCCAGATAATCAACACCGTTTAGCTCACAAAATCAAAATCATTCCCGCGTCTGCTAGCTCCCTTGGGCTCTCCAGGCTGTAGCTTGCAACCTCGGTTCTTAAAGCTGCAACATGACTACTGATGGTCGTGCCGAAGTTGAGATCTACGAAGCGGATAACAGATATAAGCGAGGTGTCCTGCGTGGCCCTAACCAGCGGTGTGTTGTGCCGAATAGTGCTGGTGACTTTCAGTAAACTTGACAAGGCATTTCAAAACCGCCGGGAAGCCCTGCTGAATGATGTTGCGGTAAGATGTCAGTGTCGCGTTACTGACATTAGTTAACTTTTGGCATTTGCTCATACTGTTGCGTCGAAGAAGATTTCATTCTGTCTTAGCCAAGACATTAGACATAAGAGGTAATCTTTTTAGATGAGTGAGTCTAAACTTTATGTGCCTCCAGCGCTATACCTCTTTCCACGGTACTTTCCTCCTCGAGGAACATTCCCAGACATATAAGATATCAAACAACGAGCGAACTGTCTACGGAAAGAAATAAGGACATCGCATGTTAATAACAGCCAAAACCGGGCCTGAGCTTTTTACCTATTGCTCAATAGAAGCACGTGGTTGTTGATTCACCTCTTGTTGCTAATATAAGGTCTTTAAGCGATTTTTTCCTTGGCAAATTGATACATCCACCTGCATGGATATTATTATTTTGGAGGTTTGACTTTTGCCGATGTCAAATTTGACCAAAGATTTCTTCCCCTCGGTTCCCTGAGGTGGAATCTAGTGCCTGTCTCCTAGTAAGCTGTATAGCTGTATATCCCCCAAGGAAACTTACTAAGGAAAATTATTTTACATACATGTTACAATGCAGGTGAGGTACATGGCAGTGATTAGCCTGAGGGATGTGTTAAATATAACTATTCTTGAGCTGGGCGGTGATGATTGGAGACACGTTTGGGATCGTGTATGGAAGATCATAGTATACTAGGTCTGGGGAACATTCAAGGTGTTTCCAGCCTAAGCCTATTAGGTTTCATGGCCGGCTAGGATAGGGAAAGAGAGACCTAGCTTTTACCTTTCTCGGCTACACCCCCCTCTCTGTTATTAAAGTTGCTCATTCCTATAAATATTAGGGTAAGACTGCATTCATCCCAACTTTGCGGGGCTATCCAACCTGCATTTGATGTTAGGGGTAAATCCCATATCCTTCCCATGATTACAGCCAGGATGAACTAATTAGGTAAAGCTGTTCATAAGAGTATTGGTAGATTGATTAGGTGACTAGAATGTCTACTTGCCTCGAAGTGCAGCGGGGCATTGAGCATCATTGAACAATTAACTCCAAGCTCATTGATTCTTTCTCTCTTTCCCCTTGATTGACGCAAGCGTCTATATGCTTTTCGCTATTGGCCGAGGGAGAATTTGTTCGCAGGACTCAGCACCCCTTACAGTGGAAATGGAGCAAAATCCCCCATGCCTGGCCAAAGAGGGGAGCAAACCATGGCGCATTTTTCTTACAGTCCATATACGCTTGCTGGTCGACCTCGGACAAATAGAACGTTTCGAGATAGCGATGCTGTGCCACTGGTCAAGGGAAGGTGATCGAGATAGTGACAATGAACTGGTCATTAATTGACTAGTTTACTCGATACTGAATCAGCTTCCACCTTTGAACTTTGACCTCAACCAAGCCTAAGGGTGTCACTGTGATAATACATCACACTGTCTTCCCAAAAAGCCATGTTATTAACTTACTGTAGTGCTATACCTACGGCACTATACATATTCTAGTCTGCAAGGTTTGTAGGATAAGGCTGGTTAAATGTCAGGCGGATATGAACATGGGGAATATAGCCGATCTTGATCTACAACAAGTCTAATCAACCTTGTACTACGCAGGCTGGCACTTAAATAGGAACCAATGGCATCTGTCACAGTTGCTCTTGAAACCCAGACAATGGCCCACATTTGACTATCTTGTTTACTCGTCATGGGAGGGATATTCAGAGGCTCAAATGATTAGATATGCATCCTTTTTAGCAATTTTACCCGTCATCGTTTCCTTGCCTTGAGTTCCTGACAATTATTTCGGACAGTATAGGTGCATGCGAGACAGCCTAAGGTTGCACTTTCCAGAGATGACAATGAGCGCTAGGGGGCTCTTTCATAGACGAAGAAGCTGCTGTTAGTATTTATCCAATTTCCCTTTTTGATAATTTCTATCAGACAGTCACTTCCCCTCCCACTATGGCATTTGACATTGTTCAGCCACGACCACCAAGACTGAGTCCCAGACGCCACCTAAGAGCTCAAAAACAGACACAGACCATTTCTCAAACAATGAATGGCTTTTGTACTCAGCTCAAGTTATTGACCACTTCAGGTGGGTTCGAGAATGTCCTGTCACCTGTTAACGAATTCACAACTCCCAAAAAAAGAATTAGAGCAGAAGGGAATGCAGGTTGACAAGTATAAGGAAGAGATGGAAGTGAAGGAGAAAAACAACCAGGTCTTGGTTATGAGTTTGCAAAGTATCATGAAAAAAAGCCCACAAACATGAAGGAATGCAAGAGCAGCTACATTCCATTAGAAGAGGTCTTGATGAGAAAAAGAAACACTGCGCTGAAAAAGATAAATTGGTCGAGGAACTGAAAAAGAAAAACGACGACTGCCAGCGGTCTTGCCACGAAGCACGCAAAAAGGTCAATATTGCGAACGGCAACATTGATAAACTACAGAAAAAAATTAAAGAGCAAGACAAAACGATAGAAACAATGAAAGGGCTCATGCTGAGCTTGAAACACTTTTATCGGAAAGCAAAAACGCAGCAAAACGGACGACGGAGACCAACGTATTTTGGCAGCAGTCACTCCAGGAAAATCAAAAACAACTCCAGAAAATTGAAGGTTTATTAATACGGAGCCACCAGGAGGATGAAGATCAAATGTATGGCGTGCAGATCTATTTGAAATGATTTACTTACCAGTCATGTCATTCTAGGGTCCAGAAATTCAACGCCTTGTGGGAAAATGTCACGCAGAAAATACGTTGCCACATGCAAAAAAAATTTGCCTGATCAAGCACTTCAGATATTGGAATCAGTGACCCCTTAGATGTTCACCCGTGTGCTGACAAATCAATGCAAAATCCGTAGGCCTGGAAATCATTCAAGAAAAGAAGCGACCAAGCCCTGCGGCACCATATACCACTTCCGCTTTCCAACTCCAGGGCAGCAAAGGAAATGCGTCAGATTGCCCCTATCTTATAGATGGCTTCTTTTTGTCCTTGATCGCTCTTGCTTTTTCAAGACCGAGAGAGAGTATCACGTATAGTACAAGTTCTCTCTACGTCATACCATGCTAACTACAAGATCGAATAGACTTCAATCCTTTCTCCTGATAGCCTCTGATTCTATTTCACAAGTAGTAGCTGTGCTAAGGTCATCTAGACAAGACATAAGTTAGGATGCTATAGTTCAGTAATGATTCAAGATTGCTTCATTCTAGAGGGGATAATACATAGTGAAGATCAAGGAGAGAGCGTCCATCAAGGCCAACGAGAACGCTGCATTCATTAGACAAGGAAGAAAAGGGACAGCATAATCCATATATCTTAACCGCATCTATATAATCTGCTAGAAAATAATTCATCAACCATGTATAGTGATCGGTTCGGAAGGGCTTTGCAACAAAAGGCTGGCAATATATTTTCTTACATCTTTTACATAATTGGCCGTCTCATACAACTGATCAACGCTGTATATTTAATTTAAGAATTAGCACTTTTATTCTTTATTATTTGGGTGCTATACTACTCTATTCGAAATGTCGATCTGCAAACACCCTTTTGCCCCTAAATTATAAAGGTATATACATGACCTAGGGGGAAACAAGACTTCCGGATCATACATTCAGATCATGGTAGAGCCAAACATTCGGCTCAACATAAGTACAGCGATCTTCCCCTACGTACAGTCGCATTGGGACTAAGCCACCTGTAAAAGACACCTCAATGTACAAACGGTTGGTACCTTTTTCCAACTTCAATGAACCGGAATGTACTCTCCACTTGTCGAATTGGGTCCATTGTTGCCAGGCAGCGATGCTTCCCTCTATCAGCATACTATTCCAGGCTACCTGGATCACCTTCCCTCCGAGGCGAACATGTTTCCGCAACCATGGGTCAAAAGGAAGACTCCTATCCGGGGCGTATTGCTGACAATGCCAATTGATATATTTTGCCATATTGACCAATGGGTATTCTGATTTCCGCGTAGGACGGAGGGGGACAACCAGCATCTCGAGGCCTTTGTTCATGGCCGTCAGCTTCATTGCTTGAATCATGGCCTCTGCGAGTCCAACGGATCTTCGGGCCGGATGGACAGTGATAGAGATGGCGGATAGCGCATTCGGATGTTCTGAGCGATAGCAGATATCATCAATATAGTCGACAGGATGCGGCTTGATCGTATGGACCGCGGACGGTGGCTTCGGGGGAAGAAGGCCCTGCCGACTTAGAAATTGGTTGAAGCCCCTGGTGAGAATGGCATCATATCCTCCATCGGGAAGTGTTTTCAAGACCTCCGGATGTGTAGACAGCCCTACACGGCCACCGATTTGATCGAGCTCAGGCCAGTAGAAAGGAATAGACCGACCACATGCAGCAATCGTTTCCTGGCCACAATCCTCCTCCACCATGGCATACTGGAACTCTGCGAGACCAGGACACTTTGCTAGCCGGCTAGCATATTTCTGATAGCACGTGTCTTGGTCCAGAAATACAGGCCAGGCAGTGTTGAGGGGATGGTCCTTTCTCTCTAACTCTTTCCAAATTTCTGGTCGGCAGCTTGCTGAGTAGAGGTGATACTTTTGACTGTCAAGAACGGGCATCATATCGTCTAGTTATGCGGGACGAGTGATAAATTGCTTGATTTTATCACAGTATTGGGTTGCTCTATCCCGGGGCACGCCCTCCTTTATTCTGTAGTCATGGTCGGACTTTCAAAACAGCAGGGGTGGTGGGTATCACATATCTATACGATCGCAAGCACACTATTGATGCAGACTAGTTTGGTGAATCACCCCCACTTCACGCCAAGACCAGCCAGCCAGATCTTAGGCCCTGTTCAATTGCCGTGACAAAGCTAACTATGCACTACATTACCAACATTATTTATGCTTACGTCCTAGATTACACCAGATTTCCACACTATTGATCTCATCACGATCCTGGCTCCAGTGGGGTACTCCAGTCACAGCCAGTGCTGCAGTCCACCTGCAGTGGATTATGGAGCGGTCAGGCAGCCATACATAAACTCCCAGATCCAGAGTATTGTCGCATACTACAGATAAATATGGATCTAATCCATATGTAACAGGACACGTATAATTCTCTCCTATGTTCGGCTTCAACGTTGCTCCCAGAGTTTGGGTGGCAGTCACTCATGCAGGCTTTTAGTTGCCACATTGGTAAAGTAAATGAGAATAGTCACAGTTTCTCCACTGTGATGACAATGCAGCAGGGTTCAGCTTTTACTGCGACTGGAAACTAGTTGGAAATGTATCTGATGATCCCGGACTGGCAAATTTCAGCTCTCATGAACCAGCCACCAGCAGTTGCTCAATTGTTCGTTCTGATTTGGTGCCCCACCAATGGATAAAAAAAGAGGCAATATCTTTTCTTTTCTATTATACCTTTTGTTTGTTCTTGTTCTTGTTCTTTCCAACTTTTTTTTTTGCTAGGTGTGTCTGGCACCAGATAATCATTGCTGGCGTACTATAAGCAAATATGGAGGTCGATTCGTGTATTTTCCCATCGCTCGGCCATGACTTGCACTCTGGTCCTGCCACGGCGTGTCAACAGATTGACCACGAAGCTATAGGAAATGCAGGGAGATTTTGCGCAGAGAATGGGATCAGTCTTGAGAATCTGTTAATGGGTGTTTGGTCTATCATCCTGACCCAGTTCACGGACATGTCAGTCGCATGTTTTGGTAAGGCGACAGCGTTTCATGAGATGGAAACCTGCGTTGTGGTGGTGGATCGAGAAACCCGGATCCCAGAGTTCTTGAAGAACATCAGTTTGGCACACAACTCCGAAGCAAACCAGATAAAGTTCAACACTGCTCTTTACCTCTCGGATGAGGATGGCTCAATCCCAGATACCAAACAACTGGTGAGTATATTCCGAATGGCAATGTGTATTCGAATTGACCTTTCAGGCCTGCGACCTCCTTCTCATCCATCGCAACGGCACGAGCCCATCCACCAGCCTCCATTATTCCGTCGCCCTCTTACCCACAAGTGCAGCCGAAAACCTCTCCAGTACAATCATACAGACGTTGGAATCCATCATTGAAAACTGGGAAGAGCGTGTGCAGGATGTGCAATTATTCAGTCCTGTAAACAGAGACTACGTCGCACAATGGAATGATCGGAGCTCGCTTCCTCACTTCAACGAATTCTTGCCTGATATTATATCCGAACAAGCCAAATCGCAAGCCGAGGAACAAGCGGTCTGCGCATGGGACGGAGACTTGACGTATGCAGAGTTGGAGGCGCTGTCATCGACCCTATCGTCGCACCTACAGCGACGGGCAATTGGCCCTGACGTGTTTGTTCCAATTTGCTTTGCGAAATCTCGGTGGATGGTCGTGGCTATGTTGGCCATTCTAAAGGCCGGAGCAGCTGTTGTCCCCTTGGACCCAGCTCAGCCGGTGAGCCGGTTGCAAAACATCATCGCACAGGTGAACGGTCAGATCATCCTCACTTCGGAACAGAATGCAGGGTTATTGGCGGATGAAGCCGAAATCATCGTCATCAGCGAATTGACTATGAGGCAATTGTCGGATACCCAAATGACAGGGCGGCCATTGGTGAACAGCAGTCACCCGGCCTTGGTTTTGTTTACCTCTGGAAGTACGGGCAGTCCCAAAGGTTCTGTCTCGAGTCACGGGGCTCTGGCAACTGTTGGACAGTACGGGGATGTGCTTGAGATCCACAGAGGCACACGAGTGTTGCAGTTTTCCTCGTACAGCTTCATGCCCTCGGTCAATGATATCTTCTGCTCTCTGACAAACGGAGCCACGATATGCATTCCTTCGGACCACGAACGTGTCAATGACCTGACCGGTGCCATCTGCCGGATGCGCGTGGACAATTGCCTGCTCATCACCTCTGTCGTTAGCTTGATTGATCCCCAAAAACCTACCTCCCTAACGTCTATCCTCTGCGCTGGAGAGCCCATGACTAAGAGCATCATCCAGACATGGGGTGACAAAGTCAAGCTGAAGCAATCGCTGGGCCAGACGGAGTGGACGACTCTCATTGCGGTTCAGCCAAAGATGGCTTCGCTTCCTCCGAACAATGTTGGTTGCGCGGTGGTTGCAAAGACCTGGCTAGTCGATCCTCATGATCCGGCCAAATTGGCACCGGTGGGAGCCGTGGCGGAGCTCTGTATTGAGGGGCCTGGGCTGTCCAGTGGATATCTGAACAATCCAGCCAAGACTGCAGAGAGCTTCATTGAAAACCCCCTATGGCTGAAGGCCTTCCGGCCAGACGGGCAAGGCCGGGTATTCTGCACCGGGGATCTAGTGCGATATAACGCCGATGGCAGTCTGAGCTATCTTGGCCGCAAGGGGACAATGGTGAAGATCCGTGGCCAGCGGGTGGAACTGGGTGAGGTCGAGCATCATCTTCGTCAATCGTTTCCAGATGCAGGCACTGTAGTTGTTGAAGTGGTGACTCTAAAAGGAAGAAATGCCGCTCCGATCCTGGTTGCCTTTGTTGGCCCAAAGCCAGGTGCCGTATGCAAGGGTGATATGGCCACAGAATCGACAGATTCCATCTTTGCCGTAGCCGACAGGAAGTTCACATTGGAGCTATCCGATGCTAACGAGAGGATACTTGGTACATTGCCTTCATACATGGCACCTGCACTCTACGTGGCTCTGAAGTCGGTTCCTGAAACGGTGACTAACAAGATTAATCGTCGGATACTCCGCGAGCATGCCAGCACGTTCACTCGACAGGATCTGGAGTTGTTTTCTTCAGATAGCGTGCAAAAAGTGCCTCCTTCGACAGACTTGGAGCATGCGCTGCATCGTATCGTGGTCCAGACCCTCGATGTTGAACCTGACGCTATTGGTATTCACGACAGCTTCTTTGCTATTGGAGGGGATTCCTTCATTGCGATGCGGTTGGTCTCTTCATGTCGCGACGAGGGCATTTTTTTGACAGTGAAAGACATTTTTACGGAGAAGACCATCTCCAGACTGAGTGCCATTGCAGAGGGACAAGGGAGAAAATTAACAACAATGGATAACGGCGATTGGCGTCCATTTGACTTGTTACAATCTCGGAACCAGGAAGTTGAACATGTGCTGCAACGGAGATTGCAGATGGTTGGATTCTCCGGCGATGAGAAGATAGAAGACGCATACCCCTGCTCGCAGATGCAACAAGGAATCCTTCTTAGCCAGGCGCGAGATCCTGATAAATATCATATCTATCAAGTGTGGGAAGTCGTGCCTGTCAGTGGCAAGGCCGTCGAAATGGACCGGCTCGAGAGGGCCTGGCAGAGACTGGTTGATTACCATTCCGTGCTGAGGACTGCAATTTTATTTGGCGCACCAGAGGAAGAACATGCAACCCAGGTTTTGCTGAAGGCCGGCCTGCGAACACCTCAAATACTACACTGCAGCACCGATGATGATGTCTGCACGACCTTCCAACGCAACCGTAGAGTACATGTCCCAGGAAAGCAGTCACTGCCACGACTATCACTTTGCCAAACATCCACAGGAAAGGTCTTCTGTCTCCTGGAGATTAATCACACGTTCATTGACTCTGCATCCATGGCCATCTTCGTCCGTGATTTCTCACGTGCGTACGACGATGCGCTTCCGGGACGCTTTGGGCCGCCATATCGTAACTATATCTCACATCTGCAGAGCCTATCGATGGAAAGATGTTTGAACTACTGGAGAGAATATTTGACTGGCTGTGATCCCTGCGTATTCCCGCAGCTTAATGAAGGGTCATGCACAGCGCCAGATGCAAATGAGTGTCGCCAAGTGAAGGTTCCATTCGAAAGCGAATCCAAGATTCGAAGCTTCTGTCAGACACACGACGTGACTTTGTCGGACCTTTTCCGGGTAGCCTGGGCGCTGGTGCTACAATCATTTACCGGTTCGGAAACGGTGTGCTTTGGCTACATGACGTCTGGCCGGGATGCCCCTATCCCGGACGTTCAGGATTCTATCGGTGCATTCATCAACGTGCTGATATGTCGGATTGACCTGGGGCGATCCTCACCCATCATGGAGATTCTTCGGCAGAGTCAAGCGGACTTTTTACACAGTCTTCCTCATCAACACTTCTCTTTGGCAGAAGTTCTGCACACAATGCACCTCGGTAGCACTGCCATGTTCAACACAGCCATGTCTCTGACTGCTGATCAACCTAGCCGGGATGCAGGACGTTCAATCTCATTGGTTGGCAAACAGCAAGACGATCAGACAGAGTATGATATCTGGTTGGAAGGAATCGTCAAGGGAGATCGCATCGAAGCTACTCTGATATATTGGACATCGGCTCTCTCTGAGGCGCAGGCCAAGGGCGTTGCCAGTGTGTTTAGTCAAGCATTGTCCGAGATTATCAACAAACCCAGCCAGGCCACCGGGACGATGAATCTCATCAGTCCCCACGATGACGCTCAGCTCTTACTCTGGAACTCCCAGATTCCAAAGGCTGCAACCCAGTGTATCCATGAACTGGTTCACCAGCGGTGTGTTGAGCAACCAGATGCCCCTGCCGTCTGTGCCTGGGATGGTAATATTACCTATGCTGAGCTGGATCAACTCTCCACAGACCTTGCTATTTATCTGGTCGGTCATGGTGTTGGCCCGGAGGTTCTCGTGCCGGTTTGCTTTGAAAAGTCCCAATGGACGACTGTGGCAATTTTGGGTGTCTTAAAAGCAGGCGGTGCGTTTGTGTTACTAGATCCATCACATCCAAGAAGCCGATTGAAAGAGATGTGTCAGGAATCCCACGCCAACTTGGCCATTGTTTCTGCTCAGGTCGGATCAATGGATTTGCAATTAGCGCCCACAATGATTCCTCTTGGATATGCTAACTACAAGTGGAGTGGAATCGGCCACCAGGCGCTGCCTCGTACAACACCCCAAAATTTAGCCTACGCGGTCTTTACATCCGGATCGACGGGGAAACCAAAGGGGGTTCTGATTGAGCATAATACGTTCTGCACGATGGCAAATGAATACCTGAAGATGACCGACTCTGATAAAGGTATGAGGTTTTTGCAATTTGCATCGTATGCCTTCGATGTTAGTGTATCGGATCACCTGGCAACTCTTCTTGCCGGCGGCTGCATCTGTATTCCATCCGAGACGGAGCGCAATAGTGACCTGCCCGGTGCCATCAACCGAATGAGAGTCACCTGTGCCGACCTGACCCCTTCTTTCCTGCGCTCATTACAGCCAGACGACATACCCACGGTCAAGACCATAATTCTTGGGGGTGAAGCAATGGCGCGGGCCGATATTGCGCGATGGTCAGAAAAGGTCCGCATGGTCAATGTATACGGACCTGCCGAATGTGGCGTGGGTGCAACGGTACAACCTAGAGTGACACTGGACTCCAACCCCCAGAATATCGGTTTCCCAACCGGAGGAGTCTGCTGGGTCGTTGATAAAGGCAACCACGGGAAGCTGGTTCCCGTTGGTGCCACTGGTGAGCTGTTGATTGAAGGCCCCATCGTTGGCCGCGGATACCTCAACAACCCGGAAACGACGGCAGAGGTATTCATCGATGCCCCAGGCTGGCTGCCTCACTATCGCGCTGTGAGAGGAAGTAGACTGTATAAGACGGGCGATCTGGTGCGTTATGCGGAAGATGGATCGCTGCGGTACATAGGGCGCAAGGATATGCAGGTCAAACTCCGCGGACAGCGAATCGAGCTGGGGGACGTTGAACATCATGTCGGCCAGTACTTCGAGGGAGCGCAAGATGTGGTTGCAGAGGTCGTGACTCCACCAGGGAAGAAACCGATACTAGCGGCTTTTATCTATTGTGGTGGGAAGCTCAACGGTGATTTCCTGGCAATCCCAGATGACGATTTCCGTTCCAGGGCCGCTACAGCCGAATCAAAGCTGGAGGAATCAGTCCCAGCCTACATGGTTCCTGGGGTCTTCATTCCGCTGTCCCATATACCGTTGACCAAAACTGCAAAGACGGACCGTCGCCGGTTGCGAGACGCTGCGGTAGAGAGATTGAATGCGTACACTGCACGACAGGGAGAGAAACGACCTCCATCTACAGAGACTGAAAGTACTTTGCAACACGTCTGGGCCCGCGTGATGAACATCGAACCGCAAAGAATTGGAATCGATGACAGCTTCTTCCGTCTTGGGGGTGACTCCATCACGGCGATGCAGGCAACCGCGCAGTGCAGAGTCAACGGAATCAATCTGAGCGTGGCAGATATTTTCCGCCACAAGACTATTGCAGAGTTAGCCCCCCGCGTGAAGATGGGTGAGGCTTCAGTAACCAAGATTAGTGAAATTGGTGAACGTTTTGATACCTGGTTTGATGCATCAGTGGCAGCTAGCATATGTAGATCAGCTAGTGGAAGTACAACCATTGTCATTTGGCAGCTATATTTCTCATATGGGGAACAGTACAAATGAAGATACTGAGTACTGGAAAGCCTATCTATCAGCAAAGTCACATTGTTTTCTATCGACCACCACCTCTACATCGGCTATCGGGTCATTACAGAATATCCCTGTCAACTTAACCAGACGTGCTGAAGCATCTGCTTTCTGTCAGCGATCCGAGATAACGGTTTCCACCCTACTCAAGGCTGCGTGGGCGATCGTTCTCCATGTCCTTGTGAAGACAGACTCGGTCTGCTTTGGATACATCATTTCTGGACGACATATGCCTGCCAATGGGATGCAGGAAATTATTGGGCCCCTTTTGAACCTCTTGGTCTGCCAGTTGGATGTTCACAGCGACTTGACTTATCGCGAACTATGCGATAGTATCCAGGAGGATTATCAGGAATCTCTAGCTCACCACCTCGGTGCCTTGCCTGCACTCGACAATCTTAATCTAAGCCCACCATCCGAGCACCTCTTTGACACTTTAGTTAACCATCGGAAGCAGGGCGGATCAGATGGTGTTGCTGGACTTCCCTGGGTGATTAGAGAGCTATATGCATATGATCCAATGGAGGTATGTATACATCCTGCACGCATTGCCCCACCACGATATTTTGCTTATCAAAGCTAGTTCAATGTTGTTGTCCAGATCGACGAGGCCGATGACTCCCTTGCCGCCTCAATTGATTACTGGGATGGCAAGGTCTCGCACAACTTCATGAAGACGGTTGCGTCGACATTCGACAGCGCTATTTCCTCTATCATTGACGCCTCCAAAATTTCTGGTTTTCAGCCAGAGGATTAAAACCAAAGTGTATCTAGAACAAGAGGCTCTAAAGTTGTTCGATTCATTTACTCAGTCAACCAAAGAGATTTTTCTAATTAGCCACAAGATGAGAGGAGCTAAGACTAAGGCAGGTGCCATTACAGTTAGTGTAAGAATTAATAATTCTTTTTCTAGGGCTCTAAGCTGGATCGCGATGGGAAAGTCCAGAGGACAATTTATTCACCCATTTAGGCGCGCCACCTCTTCAGATTAGGCTATTTAGCACAGCCACCCCTTAGTTCCACATTACAGATTACCTTCCCTGGTGGTAAAAATCACTAGTAAAATTAAGGGTTTAGGATGGAGTTTGAGTGGAGAGCCAGTCACAGTAGAATGTATATCTTGCAGATACAAGGGTTGCTACTATGGAATATGCATTTGTTTGTGGACTATTTTTATCCTTGTACTTTTATTTTGAATTTATTATTTCCACCATAATTACAGGTAGCCCATAGATCTTTTGAGAATTTGCTAATCAATGTATTAAGCAACGCCAAGTGGTTCGCATACCATCATACCGTGGAACTCGTCGCTATTTATATATATCCGTGTGGTAACCAGCTCCATTTCTGAGGAGAACATGATATCAATTCCACATGAAAAATATATCCCTTTGACCAAAAAGATGCATTTTGTGTTGTGATTATTCATTCAACTCAAAAGGTGATCACCATGATTAATTAATCTTCATGGAATTAATATGGGCTGGTGAAATCGAGGTGGGAGGCAGAATGACGGACGAAATCTACTATTGTGCGTAGCCCTTGACATATAAAGCCTGTTCGCACTAGTTAGAAATCCTAGGAATTTATTATCAATCTATAATAACAAGACCTTGATTATATATAATATTCATATAGATTTTCTCATTTTACTATAGTATTATATTCTCTTATATTCATAAGATACCGTATCTAGTTTAGTAAATAGCTTTAAATATTAACAAAAATACAGCCTGCTTCCCAAGAACTGAGACGATCAGGCATTTAATATTCTTCATGATCGCATTCTCTATTCAGTAAAGTTCCAATACATCCGAATTCCAATCAGTCCGAATACCGTGCTCCACTGCAGATGACATAGGGTATCGTTCAGCAGTTCAAAAAGTAAAATACACGTTGGGCCGAGTGCTCAGTAGAATCATCGCTGAAGCTTGGGCGCTTCCATGCCATGGCCAGTCGTGGGAACCGGGCTGTGTATGAAACACAAAAGAAACTCAGGAAGGCCAGGGTTAGTTCCAGTGGTTAAAAGGAGAATAAACTGGGTACGCCTCATGAGACTCTGAGGAATGACAAGGCTCAGTCTGGTCGAGTCTATTCGAGGTGGCCGGTCCAAGACGCCACCGAACTGACCCTCGGCTGTTCCCTATGAGTATATTGGCGGGAACGACTCTCTTAAAGAATTCAATCTATGCAGCCAGCTATTAGCTTTGTATCAATTGCAATCATATCGTCTCGCTCCTTCTCACACTACCTATTCCTCGGACGCTTTCTACCCGCTTCCTTGACCCGGCTGCCTCGCAGCGTAACAACCTGACCTTAGCATTTCATATGCGTGATGTGATTTATATATATCTACTGAGCAGCCTCACTTGTACCTAGACGCGATGGGAGATCTTCTTGTGGGATGAATTCTATATACAAACAACAACATTCCGTATCAGGCAGTTGGCTGATCACCAACATGCCAGAAATCACCAACCCTAAAGCCTTCAGGAAATGGATCGGTTGGGTCAAGCACAACCTGTCTAAAACCCGTAATCCAAGCTGTTCCTTTGAGCGTTGGCAGGACTGCATCATACTTGCCCACCTTGGTTGTTCCCCGAATGTAGCACGCAAATTCAGTTCCAGTGATACTCTGATGGTAGAAAGGCTCGTTCTCCTGCAATAGGCCCCTCGCATGAAGAACTGCCATACGGGCAGAGGTGCCCGCGCCACAGGGGCTGCGGTCCAGTCGACCAGGAGATACAACAACCGTGTTCGATGCTCTCTTTCCCTGTATCCCACCCATGCCTGTCAAATCCTCCAAGGGTGCTGTGAGCATACATGCACTTATCCCGCTGATCAGGGAATTTTCTGGATGTGTCGGTGTGATTTTGGCCCGAACGGCTCGCTTGATCATTTCGCCCATCTCCACCAGCTGTGCCCCGAATTGACTTTCGATTTTCAAGCCAACAGTAGCCACGTCAACGATCACAAAGATCATACCCCCCCAAGCAATATCCACGTTGATGGTACCAAGGCCAGGAATATCAATCGGGTAGTCTAGAGCGAATACGAAGGCTGGGATATTGTCGAATGTCACGCTGGTACACTTGCCTTTGCTGCGGTCACATCCAGCGGTAACAGTAATTAAGCCAGCAGCGGTATCCAACGTTAATTGCGTTGTGGGCTCTTGCATTGTGATCATCCCGGTCTCCAAAAGCACCGTTGTGGCGCAGATGGTATTTGAACCGGACATTGGCACGTATTCGTCGCTTTCCATAATGAGAAGGCCGGCATCGGCAGCCGGGTTAGTTGGCGGGAGAATCAGGTTACAGCACATTGATGGTCGGCCCCGGGGTTCATTGAGGAGAAGTTTGCGAATATGGTCCGCATTGGTTTCGAAATAGACCATCTTCTCGTACATCGTTTTGCCAGGGACATCGAGGACACCGCCAATAATCACGTCGCCGACTTCACCGGCAGCGTGAGCATCGACCACCGATAGGGTTCGAGAGAATCGCATGGCGTGAATGTTTGCTTCCAGAACCTAGGATGCTTGGTTATGTCAAAGGAGACCACATCGTATTTGAAGAACGGACTGACAATGAGCTGGTTTATATCTTCTGGTTATAACCTGCCTGGTTCGTTGGACACCGTTGTAGTAGGCAAAAATTCCCGGTCGCAGGCACGAGCATTTAATCCCCCCCGAAAGGCAATTTGTGTGTCTTTCCCCACCGTGGGCTGGATCCAAGATTACTCGACGGACACAATGGATCACCGTCACCCAATCGGATCCATGATTGGATAATTCATATCTGGAGTCGTTTTAGTTACGGATGAACCGGACAACGCCTTAAGTAGGTGATCCCGAGTAGTCTTTTTTGGTGGATCATTCTACGGGTTGGTCAACACGCCTGTCCGCTTTGACAAGATATCGACATTGGGGCTTTGCCTCCCAGCTTACTGTAAGATATTATCTTGTTCATATTCGGCCATGACCCCAAGATACCCGATCAATCAATCGTGGACGCCCAATCAAAACCGCCGAGAGGCCCCATGACCCAGGGCTTTACGTTATGCAATTGGATAACGTATTCGTGGGTCATCTCATTTTACAATCAACCTGACCGCATATTCGGCAGGCTATCCCGACTACAAGTCCAATGACTCACTCTCTGTCTGAACTCGGAGGCAGTATTTGTGAGCTTCGGTGAGCTCTTGGTGGATTATTGTACCGTTTGGATGCCCTATTGGACCTATTGAACGCCAAGAGACGAGACACGCCTCTAATATCATCCTTCCATACACACGAGAACAGTTCATGCCCAGTGGCAAACCATTGGTGATGTTGGTTTCTACACTGGGCACATAGGCTATCTAGCAAACCCTAAATGTTCGAAGCGAGGGTGGAAGAATGCACCTTGGTGACACACTTGTAACGGTTTTAAATCTCCAGCGTCCTTGCCTCGACTTCCAACGCTTCCAAGATGGCAGTTTTGATGTCCGCAGGACGTGGCTCCTACCCGAGAAGCCTTCGAGCTCTTATCGCCTTGCAACGTGACGTGGCGCCATAACAGAGAGACGCAAAATCAATATGGTTGTCTGCCTCATGTGCTTCAAACCTTCGTACTTCAGCTGATTGGATGAGCCCACGCATCTGCGCGTCGCGGGATGTCACCTCAGACAGACCGTCCCAGTCATTACAGATTCCATCTATGGGTGGCTCTCCGTACGTTTTCTGTCCACAATCCTTCCACGCAATATTATCCGTCCCAGAGTTGGAAATCCAGTAAGCTGGCTTGTGGAGCTTCTCCCGAGCCTGAAGAGCACGGCTGATCGCTCTTGAAGAGTCAATGTACTCTATACTCGCAAGATGCAGTATAATATCTGCTTTGGATGCCTCGGCTTCGATGAGCTGCGTGTCGTCGGGGTCACCGTAAACGAGGCGAACCGATGGGTAACGTGACAGCACCTGGCCCCTTTCTCCTTCATTCGAACGAGGCAGGATGTTCTTGCCACACAGAAAGGATATTTCTGAGTAATAACATGCCACAGAGCTCCTCCAATGTAGCCTAGACCACGAGTCAGTGTTGTACAAAATCAATTTTTAGGGCTATACTATTCATTAACCATTTACGCACCTGTTATACCAGTTATGAAAATAGAAGCACATTCGGGGATTCCTGACTTCGTCAACTGTTTGATAGTATTTAGCTGATACTATGATGAAATATATAGGATTAAAAGAAGGTGGCAAGCTACTTTTGGGTGACACTTATAGCTACGGACGGCGATGATGCTCTGCTGGTTGATACTCATCTGGGTAAAGGATCTCGGGAAGTTCTCTAACTAATAAAGGTGAAATCACGATTATTAAGTTGAGGAGAAAGTCTCCGTGCCGGAATCTACAGTCTATCCGAGTCAGCTTCTCTGACCCTTCTTGACAAGAGTTCTGAGAAAATCCCCGAGAAGCGAGAGTTGCAGCTGACATAGCTCGTTGTAATAACGTAACTCCTATCGAGGCCAAGGAGGACGAGAAACGACCTTGGTCGGAGGTTGCAAGATTATTTTCAGATCAGTTTCCACGCCGGAGCCGGGGCTCTATTCAAGTGTTTTGCAGCACGACCCTCAAGAAATGGGCACATTAACACAGTATGCATTTTCAGCTGTTTTTTTTTGGTCGGTTCCTCTCATACGATGTGATCCGTTGTTTTGTTGTCACGATTTCGGGTCGCGCATGCTTGCCAAGCTCTCTTAATCAAAGGGTTCGTACGAGAACCCCATACCAGCAGCTTCTATATTAAATAAATAGTTATTCTACTAGAGGGAATAATTGATTAACAATCATTCTTTTAGTGACTTATTATTTTTACATTGTGAATCGATTAATATGTATATATGGCCAGTGGCTATATACGTTTTACATTATATTAATCTAGGTGTATAGTATATCTACATAGATATTACCTAGACTGTGGACCGCCAGTTTAAACATACTCATGATTTACGGCAAGCCCATGAAGTGGAATAAAATCGTTCGTGAACCCCCTAGCGGATGCGAAAGCAAGTGATCCTAAAAGCAAGGCGGGAGTTGGCAACCATTGCTCATCGGGATTCTGATCCATTGGATCCGAGCCCTGCAAAACGCGGGATGTATCTGGTCAAGGTCGAGTATAATTAACTTGTCGAGGAGGAGATTCTTTTGTGCAGAACACAAGAGACAAGACAGCATATCCATCTTTAATTTATTCCAATTGCATAGCTCATCTCGTCAACCTCTCCCCCGATCACACTTCCAATGGGTCTCCTGGTGGATCTCACCGACAACACCTACTTTGTGCAAGGTGCTGCGGTGACGCTCGCTTTACTCCTCATTACGGCTTTCTACCATGATATTCTGGACGAATTCAGCTATCGGCAATTTCCACTAGCTGGGAAGGAGCCCTGGGAGTTTACAAACACCAAAGCCAGGACGCGATGGGCAACCAAAGCAGAGGATATCATTGTTGCGGGTTTGGAAAAGGTACGCATCCAGGTTCTAGTCGCAACTTCTTTTTTCAATCTTGTTATTTAGTCTAACTGACTTGGTAGGGGATGAAGGTGTTTCAGGTAATGACTGGCATTTGTGCCATGCTTATCCTGGATCCTAGCCTTGCCGAGGAAGTCAAGAATGATGAGAGATTGAGCTTTGTGGGCAACGTGAAACAGGTGAAGAGCTTAACATTCTATCGATTTGTAGCAGAGGGACTGACTGTATTGGTGATGATAGGTTTTCTTTTCCAATCTCCATGGATTCAATGGTTTCGGGGTCATTCAGGACGACGACATATTCGTTGATGTCGTTAAGGGCAAACTCACTCAGGGTCTCAGTAAGTCTTCTTGCCTATGTTCCATATATAGATCGGTAGTTTACTGACATGGCTAGATCAACGTATCGTACCACTGTCCAAAGTGGCTGAAGTGACGTTGGACGAGATAATTCCTCGCAAAAAAGGTACTGACAAACGCCAACATTCTCCCAGTCCCATTATACCCTAATGATATCACAGAATGGACCCCATTTCACTTTGCCCAGCATTCCACCGCAATGGTCGCCCGACTGTCCTCGTACGTCTTCCTGGGCGAGCGAATCTCCCATAACAAGCAATGGCTCAACATCGCCGTGAATTACACCATCCACGTCCATGCTGCCGTGCAGGTTCTCCGGTTCTGGCCGTCGCTGCTACGACCCCTCGCGTTACGATTCCATCCCGCCTGTCGCACAGCACAAAACGATCTCAAAGTCGGCCGGCAAATCATCTCCAAGGAGCTGGCCGACCGTGAAAACGACCCCAACTACGGCAAGGGCAAGAAATGGGAAGATTCGCTGGACTGGTTTGCGGAAGTGGCGGCTGGTCGTCCGTACGACCGGGCCGTGACGCAGATCGGACTGTCGCTGGTCTCGACGCATACGACGGGCCAGCTGTGGGTGAATACGGTGTTTGATCTCGCTGCGTATCCGGAGTATTTTCAGCCGCTGCGAGACGAGATCAAGGCAGTGGTGGAGGCGGATGGGCGGTTGAAACATGCCAGTTTGCCCAAGTTGAAACTGATGGATAGCTTTATCAAGGAGTCGCAGCGTCTTAATCCGGGAGAGATTGGTTGGTTCATCTATCCCCGTCTCGCAGGAGCTCTCGCTAATGGAATCAAACCAGCCTCGATGCACCGCGTTGCCACACAGCCCATCAAGCTCTCCACCGGGATAACCATCCCACAGGGCGCCAACGTCATGGTATCCTCTCACTGGCGGAAGAGCCCCGAGTACTACGAGCACCCAGAATCATTTGACGGGTTCCGATTTGCCAGAATGCGCGAGAGACCCGGCGAAGAGAACCGGCACCAAGCGACCACAACCAGCGCCGAGCATCTAGGCTTCGGACATGGTCTGCACGTATGCCCTGGTCGGTTCATGGCGGTCAATGAAATCAAAATCCTGTTGATTCACATGCTGCTCAAATACGATTGGAAATACGCGGAGAAGAGGGACCGGCCGGAGTCGATTCCCATGGGACCAGACCTGTTGTTGGATAAGTCAGTCAAATTGCTCTTCCGGGCTCGTGAGCCTGAACTAGATCTTTCGATGCTTTATTAGTTGTTGATCACTTATGTTGTGTTGGTCTTTTGGGGGACTGTGGTTTTGATAGGAATGCGAAGTTGAACTATCTATATCTATCTATGAATAATCTTGCAGAACTCGCTCGCTTTCTAAGAGACTCCTGTCGCCCATTGTAACATGAAGAAAAGTTGTAAAATCATCCATACTACTCGACACCAGATCCAGCAAAAGATGTGTCCAACATGCTCAAATCGGCATCTAATGTACGGGCAGAAAGGCAATCCGTCAATAAAGTAGCCATTGCCAAATCACCTATAGTATCAAATTAGACATCTAGAGCGGAAAGGTCCGACGGCTATGGGATAGAGCTTACTGGGGGATAGCGTCGACGGATCCTCCTGAGGCAGAGAGATAGACGCTTCCTGATTCCCTTGCAACACGCAGTTGGTGGTCAACGCTGAAGGATCGAGACTATTCTCCTCCAGGAGAGAGGACTCGTGAAACAGCGGAAACGATGAGAGTGGTGAGGAAATATCCCAAGATGGCAATCCAAATGAGGACAAAGTAGCCGAAGATGTCGATGTGGATGCCGATGCGGATGGCGAACTCGATACCCTAGCCCAGCATGGATTATAGTCTTTTGGGGGCGACTGAGACTGCATCAAGACCAGGCTTCGCTGACTCTCTCGGAGTCTCCTTCGTAGGCCGAGCAGAATGCGCGTCCATTTTGTTGCTGGCCAGGCGGGCTGGCAGCCCGTCATTGTCAGGATCATCTCATCTAGTGCATGGTCGACCCGCATTTCCTGAGTGCGAGTCGCATGGCAGCCGATGCTGCAGCTTTTGGAGACGGAGATGATAATCTTGACGAGTACTACTGTGGCATGGATGACTCTGAGGAGGACAACGGTTGGGAGCACTTGGATATCGCGTTGTGGGAGCAGTGTAAACGCGGAGATGACGTTGTGAGCGGACTCTAAGCATTCCATGAGGGATTGTTCTGGCGAGGAGAATAGGCACGGTGCATGCTGAGTTTCGTCGCTTCGTTGGTTTTTGGCGAGGCGAGTGTGGTTTATTGCTGCTTCATAGATACAAACCCTACATGCGTGATAGAGGATGGATGCAATAGCTTTCTGGGTGGAAGTGAAATTTCCGTCATACTGTCGCAAGGTGGATTGGGCTTCAATGGCCTGATTACATTGGCTCAGGATGTCGTGTATCTCTCCTGGAGAGGTTATTTGTGAAGGAGGCTGCAGCCTCAGGGCACAGTCCAGTGTGATCTGCTGTAAACCAAGATAGTAGACCAAGGTAGCATCACCGGGCTGTGCGAGTGGCGAGCTCGTCAACATACCCATGCATTCCTCCGCATGCCCATTGGATCTTAATGGACGGGGACTGGGCAATCTCATTGACACCCTGTATATAACCCGGCCGTCAGTCTAATTATCGGCTGTCTCAGACCGGCCCTGAAAACATACATTGTCTCCAGATAATACGTAGCCAGCCACGCTCGACCAGCTTCGAGATGCTGCGCCTCTGTTCCGATCCAATGCGCCGTCCTTGACCGTAAGAACGCCGCTATCTCCATCGCACCATAACACAGATGCTCAAAGCTCGTCGTATCGTGCGGAGCGGGAATATACCAGAGCGCTAAGAGAACGACTGTCTGTAACAGCTCGACGGTGTATTCCTCACTATTGCCCATGCAGGAGTCGAGAACACTAAACACCAAGACGCGCAGCCTGGCCTGGATATCGACGCTACACATGGCTCTAGCGGCAGTCGCAATGACCGCCAGAAACAATAACGGACTAGACAATCGCACCTGCGCTGCAGATACGGCACGGCCAAAGACGACTGCCGGGAAACAAACTGCCAGATCTGTACAGTAGCAGTGGAAGAGACGATCTGCTTCCGCATGGTCGACGATTTGCGCCATGCCTGTTTCCACAAATGCAGTGGTGTTGGTATTTTTAGGCGCTATGAAGCATCAGCCACAGCATGGGATAATCCTTTTCGTTGTCTTCCGTTCCTTTCCTTTCCTTTCTTTCAAACAATGAAATAAAAGAACCAAGGCACACACCTTGAAAGGGCCCTGCACGCTGCTGATAACCACGTTGCGACCTCCACCCAACCACCTCGCCAGCCTCACGCCTCTGCTCTTGCTGGCACAGCGCAAGTAGACCACACACTCGCTCCTCCAGCACCGAGAGTTGTGACTGTACCGGAAGGGACTTGGTCGGTTGACTTCGCGTGGCGGGAACACACACTCTCTGGCCTTTCGCGCACCGCTTACAGGGCCGACTCCGGTCTGGCTGCTCACAACGCACTTTGGACACTCGACAGAGCTCGCAGGCCCGGGCGCGTTCGTATCCGTCTAGGTCCATCTTACCATGCACTGCTAGGCTCTATATGGTATGTTGGAGGGGAGAATAGCTTCACTTTGGGACCGGTAGTTGATCTGAACGTCCCAAATACCCGAGCTGTCAACACGGGAGCTAGCAGCTAGTACTTCTAAACTTTAGATTTAGCAATATCTTAGAAACAAACCATGAAACTCAAATCTGGCGGGATCGGAGTCTCAAGGCAGGAGACTGAGTATATCCTATCTGAATCGTAGTCGTACACCAGGCAAGGGGTCAGTGGCCAAGAATGCGGGCCACGTTACTGCATTTTTGGCTCGATGATCTTTTTCTCGACTTAGCGGTCAGTCGTCTTCCTATCTTATCTTGCAAAACTGCTGTGAGGGGTTTGCGTCTGTTGCCCTTCTTCGGACAGCTACGTCGGTATGTGCAGAAAGCTACAGCATTGTCTCAGACGCAAAGTTCATGTAATATCAAATCTAACACAATTCAGCATTTGGAAAGACTGTGATCTAGAACCAACAAAACACATTCGAAACCTGTCGTATAATAAAGGAAGGGATGCGGGAAACCCGAAATCACAACACTGGCATAACGAAAAGAAAAAGAAAAGAAAAATATATCACGCGGCCTCGGTCGTCGCCAGCACACGAGGAATGAGTCTGATAGGCAAGGGAACCTTTTGCCAGCCGAGATAGATGTTTTGATAATGCCAGTTCTCGTAGCCGGGGATCTTTTCGATGTCAAAGTTCCAAATCAGACGCGCGATGGTCAATCGGAGCTCAATCCAGGCCAGACTGAGGAGAGAATTAGCTCTATGCAGGAAATCAAAGGGAGTCGAATGATGAAAGACACCTACTTGCGACCAATACAGCCTCGAGGCCCGTAGCTGAACGGTTGCAGAGCCTCTCTTTTATCAGACGCGAATTCCGGATCGCCCAGCCATCGCTCGGGGCAAAAGTCGTATGCACGATGGAAGTATTTTTCCGTGTGGTACATGACCACCTGGGTAATGGAGACAGTCGTCTGGATCAAAGTGTCAACAAACAAAAACGGCAGATAAATAGGCACTGGATCCTTACATTCTTCGGCACAAATCGACCCGCGATGTAATCATCCATGTTGGTGCGTCGTGGGAGATGGGCAGGCGTGGGCGGATAGCGTCTCATGCCCTCTGTGAGAACGGCAGTCAGATATTCAAGCCCGTTCACGGCATCCAACGTAATCTCGTCCTCGGACTGGAATCGCGACCGCACATCATGCGCCAGTCGTGCAAACGCTCGAGGGTTCTGCGATAGAAAATGCGTCGTTCCGGCCAGGACATTCGCCGTCGTGTCACTGCCAGCCACCACGACCGTGGCACAGTTTTGGATAAACTCAGCTTCGGAGACGCCACTGTCGGGCTTCACCAGACGGCATAGCAGGTCCATCCGAGGATCGGTCGACTGGAGCCGGGCCAAGGCTTTCTCACGCGTCATTCGCATGTGGTTGTGACGGTGCCGGGTGAGATGCTGCGGGATGAACAGTCGCAAGAACGGGCGAATGAAGCGGGGGTAGTACAAGGTACAGCGAAGAAAGGCACTCAGCTTGATATTGTCAAAGACAATGCTGATCCAGTAGTGGAAGGTCGAGTTCTGGAGACAGTCGAAGGTGCTGCCAAAGGCCAGATCGCCAATCACATCGAACGTCAAGAACTGACACAGTCAGCGACCATCTTCCATTGAATGGGACACTCACGTTGTACCACCGCACCAGGTCGACCGGCTGCCCGGTCTGGCTCATCTCGTGCAGTCGGCGGAAAAAAAGATCCCCGTATTGCTTGATGACGGGGACCTGATCGCGCAAGGCACGATCGGAGAATCCATGGGCCATCATCCGTCGCAGCTCGCCATGACGCTTGGTTGGGGCGCCGACAATACTCAGTCGGCCGGACGAAGTGACGCTGTAGAAGGTGGGATCTTTGTCAAACTCGCCTTTGCCAGTGCGATAGCCGTAGATGTCGTTCCAGGCCGCGGGATCGTTGAAAGACAGCTCATCCGGGGCAATCCGGACCACATCACCGTATTTGGCATGTACTTTGCCAATTTCAAACGAAACCTTGCCTGAGAGGAGCTTCCGACAGTACCAGATGCGAGTGGCGCGGGCTTCGAATGGCCCGGGGAAATGGCGGAGTGGGTGGAAATACAAATTATATATCACCCATCCCAGTGAGTATGAAACCAACTAGGAGGCTTTAGCTCGACTTGTAACTGGGATACTCGCTAGAATGTCAGCACTTACTACACCAATGGCGATATTGGCCAACAAGAGCCACGAAGCCTCGTGAAATATTTTAATCCCTGTGGGGGGAAGTAAGAACGGGTCCACCGATGTGTAGTACTTGTCCATGGTTGAATGTTGCTGCACTTTCTGCGAGGCAAACATCAACTCATTTCAATGGAATTTAGAACAGGCTCGCGATGCTATAGAAACAATAACGATGATCCATGATCCAAAAATACCGAATGCTGATCCATCGGTCCGAATTGGATCCCCCCCGCATACCTGCAGCAGCCACGCCTGAGGCAGTCATCTTGCTGGCATTTGTGTATTGAGATGGAACCGTCACTTTACCAACACACCCTCACCTTGCTGTCCCACCATGTTGGCCACGATTCTGCTCAAGCTGGGCGATAACCTCTATGTGTTATTCGCGCTGGCTCTTTTTGTTCTCGTCGCTGTATTGAATCGCCCACGAAAGTTTCCTGTCAACCTCCCTATCCTGTCTCCCTCAGGAGAGTCTGGACCATCTGGTGCTCGAAAGGATATCCAGGCATTTGTTCGTAATGGCTTCCAAGTTGTCCAACAGGGATACGACCAGGTATACTCTCTACCACGACAGCAATGCATATCTATCTACTAACCTCTGCAGTATTCCAAAAAAGGCCAAAACTTCTTCATGCGCACCCCCGACGGGTTGGTCTTCGTCGCCGCCCCTCGATTCATCGAAGAACTCCGCCAAGCACCAGACGACAAACTGTCCGCCATGGCAGCCAGCAACGACGTTCTCCAAGTGCAATATACCCTCCATCCAGAACTAGCGCACACCTGGTACGAATTCGATACGATACGTACGGATCTGACGAGAAGTCTGGCACCGACTTTACCAGACGTGGTGGACCAGTGCCATCGCGGGTACGTTTCGCTATTAGGACAACCATCCGGTAAGAACGCAGCGTGAGATGAACATCAAATACATGAGAGCTGAATAAAAACCAAACATCCTAGACTGGACATCGAAGCACATGTGGCCGATTTGCTGTCGGATCGTGACCCAGGTGACGAATCGATTGTTGTTCGGCGAGGAAATGGCGAATCACCCGGCGTTCACTGAACTGGCTGCGAATTACACCTATACGGTCTTTGGGGGAGCACACACCATCCGGTACTATCCGTCCTGGACGCGGTCGTTTATCATGTGGTGGAAGACTCGGATGGGAGAGGAGAAGGCGTTGGCAAAGAAACTTCTTGGACCGCTGCTGATTAGTAGGATCAAGCGGATCAAAGAGGCTAGAAGAACGAATGGGGAGTCGGAGCGTGGACAAAAGAGACCGAATGACGCCGGTGAGAGGAAATACAGGATCTTCTGCTCATAGTTTAGACCGCTGATATTTGACAGTGCAATGGGTGCTGGAACTGACTCCGCCCCACCATCTGGACGACATCGACCTTCTCGTAGCCCGCATGTTGCACCTGGTTGTCTCGGCGATTCACACCAGCAGCTCGACGTTCATGGATACCATGTACGATCTTGCTCTGCACCCGGAAGTGGTCGCTCCGCTCCGCGAAGAAATCGATCGTGTCATGGCTGCAGAAGGGGGATGGACGAAGCAGGGACTGACCAAGATGCATAAATTAGACAGTCTCATCAAGGAAAGCTCGCGATGGCATCCTTTCATCACAGGTATGAAGAATATCACCACATATCGTGAACAATCATCTTATACAATATGGTGTAGGGGCGCTTGACAGACGAGCGATTCAAGATCTCCGCCTCAGTGACGGAAGCGTCATCCCAAAAGGCTGCCAAGTGACCGTCCCTCACCTGCCAATGCTCTTTGACGAGGATCTGTACGGCCCTACCGCGAACGAATTCGACCCCTTTCGATTCTCGAAGAGAAAGGAGACGCCCGGCGAGGAGAATAAGCATCTCTTTGTGCAAACCTCATCGGACTATATGTTTTTCGGGTATGTCCATACATGATATTCTATCGATTATTCTGACATTGTATAGATACGGCCGACATGCCTGTCCTGGACGCTTCTTTGCCGCCAACGAGTTGAAGATATTGATTATCCACGCTCTGTCCATGTACGACATGCGCTATCCAAAGAATCAAGACAAACCACAGTCCACCTGGCACGGATCCTTCCGGACACTGGATCAGTCCGTTCATTTGGAGATCAAAGCACGAGAAAAACCATCTATCCCATTTAGTGCCTAGCATAATGCAATCTTACGTATCTTTAAGCCAATCTCTCATCCATAGTAATCACGAACACCCCGTAGCCACCGTCTCCCCCAAACGCACCCCATACAACCGATCCCCACCCCCCACCACCAGCATATCCCCCGCCAGAGCAAAGTTCGAAATCTGTCCTCCATGCCCTGGAGCCACGCCAAACGCAGCCGAATTAAACACAGCCAGCACTTTCCCCGCCGCACTCCGGATCACAATGCCCTCCCCCTCCGCCGTCCACACCCGTCCCGCATCGTCCACATGAACCCCATCCGGATAGCCCGTCCTCGCGAGTCCAAACTGCCGTCGATTCACCGGCAGCATGGCATCATTCAAATCATACGCGTAGATACTCGGTCCCGCCGTCGGCGCATAGCCCTGATTCCCTTCCCCCACGCCCCCAGCCCCTGTACCCAAGCTATCCGTGATATAAAGCGTTTTGTGGTCCGGAGAGACGGTGATTCCGTTCGGGACAACAATATCTAACCGACTAATGATGGGAAGGAGGATCTTCTCGTCCGGATCCCAGCGCCACACGCCGTTGGGGAGGAGAACGGGGCTGGTGATGGGGACGGTGGGACCGTCTGGTTCGAGGGCTGTGAAGAAGGTCGTGAAGAAGAGGTAGGATTTGTTGGTCGTCGGGTGTGTGGCCCAAGCGATGTCATCCACGAGACTGAATGGGAGACCAAAGTAGGAGTTGAATATCGTGGTCGTTTCTAACGTGGATGGATCGATGGTGGTCGTGCCTGGTGTCGGGGGAATGTTGCCCATGTAGACTAATCCGTCGAAATAGGTGCCCCCTGCACCGTAGGGGACTTGCGTGATGTTTCGCACCGTTCCATCTTGGAGGTTGTATGCTGTCGCCTGGCTCGGAGATGGGTATCTGGTCCGTGGTATGGATGTTTAGCTTGTATATCCTGGGATCACTTGGATCGGGCTTACATACCGGGCATAGTTACCAGTAAACCACACCTCATTCAGAAACGGGACATAGATACCGGCCTCATAGAACGCCCCGCTTCCAGGTAAGTCAAGCAAAACCTCTGCGACAAGATCACGGTGACAGAATGACAGTTCGGCTGGCTGGTAGCAGGTAATCACACCACTTGCTGCCGACCCAAGACGCCGATTGATCGACGCATCCGAGGTGGAGGTATCAGCCAGAAATGTACCATGGAGATCTGAAATGAAAGTTCCGGGAAGGAGGTATGTCCAAGTATCAGGGATATGGCTTGTTCCAGTCGGACCGAGAAGGGTGGACAGCACAGATCCAAAGGCAACGGTCACGAAGTTTCCCAGTGTGGCCATCATCTCGAACTCTGGAGGTTTACTTTTCGAGGGAGGAATTGAAATTAAATCATTCGAAAACTAGCGGTGTGCACATTAGGTGAGTGTATGTTAGGGGTTAGAGGGATCATGTATGTAGGTGGGATCGATATACATGGACCTGCGTATAAGCAGCTTTACACTTGTTGAATTTCTTGGTTTTTGATGATTGTAATTGGCATCAAATACTATAGCCTAACCTATGGAATATTCGTAGCAATCTGCCTCATTCTCCGTCATACCGGGCTTTCAAATCTCCACAACGGTAACAGGCTGGCCTTTCGTCTCCTGAGCAGCGGGAGCAGACCTCTTCAACGCCCCAACAGTCGTCGACACGATCTCATTCAGCTCGCCATCACCACGAACAGCTCCTCGTTGACCCATGAAATGTTCCACCACAGAAGCCGCAATGCGCCCACGCAACTGGGATGTACTCATAGGACATTCAGCAGCATAATTACCCGCGGTCCACGCAAACGGAATGGCATGAAGAGCATGCTCGTCCTGTACCTCGGGCACGAGCTCCTCAACGATTCTCCTCAGATAGGGCGAGAATAAGCGACTTTCAATATAGGCCCCGTGTAACTTCCACATCTGCTCTGCCGGAAACAGAGTAGACCGGAAACAAAGCCGAGACAGAGCGTCCACAGTCTCCAGCGCAACGGGTGGCGATATATCAGCTATCACAGAGGGAAGGGTAATCTGCTGGTACTCTGGATCAGTCATTTTCAAGGCCGCCAGCACATAGGTCTCTGTGAGCGTGATAGAGCCGTAGGTGACCTTTTCAATCCAAATCCGGGTCAGACCCTCTTCCTTTCGGGGGTTGGTGAGAAGGAATGCTCTTCCTATTGTCTGCGAGTGTTGGATTGCGGATTTCAGTGCGGTGGCTGATGGAATAATACAAGCTTTGCTGAGGGCCAGCAAGGCGTACGCCGTCACCTCGTCAGACTGTTCGGTCCCCCAGGATCCATCGGGGTTCTGAGCATTCAAAACGCGCATGACAACTTGATGAAGACAGATGAGAACCGAATCCGTCACAAAGGCGGGTGACAAGGCCGGGAGAGAGCCCTGACCCCAGACGAGAAGCAGATTCGACAATGCCTCCGCTACCAGCATGCATGGGTAGAACTGGGAGAGGTTCTGCTTTTGTTAGCGTGGCTTACACTGGGATTTAGACAAGATGAAAGACACACCCATTTATCTTCTAGATTATTATCAGACCACCAGGTGCGGGTGAGAAACGAGGCGATCTTGATAATCTGCGGCGTCAAGTCCGCCACATTCGGCTGAGCCAGGAGACACACGAGAGCATTGCAATTGGCCGACAAACTCGGGTTGCGCTCGCGGTCATACGTGCGAAAATGGGTCTCGGCTTCAAACTTGCTCAGCAGACCCTGATGCGAGGTAGGATGGCCGAGGAGACTCAGGGTCAAGATCGACTTTGCTGTGTCGTCCACGTCGGCTTCCATTCCTGGTGCTGCAGGGGTCAGATAATTATTCATAGACATAGGAGACGCTGGGAGACATACAAAAGCCCAATGTGCCTTTGTTCTTGTCTAATGCGTCTGTGAGAAAATGGGCAAAACGCTCTGCACGTTCTTTTCCAATATCCTGGACGGTAAATCCTGCTTCCAACAGAGTTGTAAGCACCTGTCTTGTGTTAGCTGAATGTATATACACATATATATAGCAGAAGAAATACCCAGGTAAGCTCAAAGCAGGTGGATGGAAAAGCACTCGGCATCCCCCCACTGCCCTGGCCACTGCCCGAGACAAGCACCCGCTGCAAAAACTGCTCGCACTCCTCATCCCAAGTCGAGCCTCCCATCAGACAAGCTGCCGTCGACGATGGCGACCCCATATAGCCTCCGTCGACTTTGTGATGCCGCACACGGTCATAGTCGATCTGGCCCCAAAACGCCTCGAGACCGTGCAAGGCCGTCAGCTTAGCAGGGGAGTACAAATACGCCGCTTTGAACCCAGCCAGCTTCTGCTCACGGAGCCGAGCCAGGGAATCCTGACCGGGAAACGTGAATTTGATCTCATGCTCCGCGAGCAGCTCCAGCATCTTCGGCACCAGTACCTCAAACCCCACATGGTCGCAGGTGTCCACGTCCCATGATTGCAGAAGGGCGTGGAGGGCTTTTGTGGCTGATTGGATTCGCTGGTCGAGGTCTTGGTGTGAGTACTCGGTCAACTGATAGGGATGGCGTTGGTGCAGCAACAGGGCAAGCAATGCAGCGGCCGTGTTGAGAATCCCATCCACCGAGGCTGCGTACGTCGGCCAGCTCCCATCGTCTTTCTGCGTGTCGAGCAGATAGCGGAAACATTCGGGAAATCGCCAGGTCTTGCCGTGAGGACCAGGTTTGGCTACCATGGCGACCCAGGCAGTGTCATACACCGCGCAGCTCATAAAGCCAAAGTCGCCATTTTCCACGGGGAGGAGAGAAAGAAGCTTATCCAAGCGTTCTGCGTACATGATGTTGGTGAATGGCACAAATAGATCAATTCAAGGACTTGGCTATCACTTGCCATCCAGGACTTCCATTGCCGCCATAAATAGTAAACGGTTTCTGGATCTGCTTCATGCATGATCCCGCAGATCCGAAAGCCCGCATTCCTGATCCAACTCTCCGATGCTGATGATATGCAAGGTTTTGGTTACAATCACGTATATATACGATCATCTATCTTTAGGGAGGAACAATCATCGACATCATCATCGCCCTCTAAGATGGCATCTGTACCAGCTCCCCCATTTGTCCACGTCGAAGGAATGAGCAATTTCCGATCGATAGGAGGATATCCCCTTGAGACAGCATCGACAAACAATCACCGCTCCACGAGGCAAGGATTCGCATTTCGCAGTGCCGATCCAACCTACGTCACCCAGAAAGGCCTGGAAACCATCCTTTCGCTCGACATCACTCGAGCCTTTGACCTCCGCTCACTGGAAGAAGCAAAGGCACAGCGCGCAAAACTCCAGGCCGCCTCAGGATGTCTCGACTGCAGCATCAGCCAGCACATGATCCACCAGCCCACACCCCTATTTCCAGATGGGGACTGGAGTCCAGAGGCCGCAGGGGAGCGGTATCTGCAGTACGCCCAGGCTGAGGGAGATGGGATATCGGGCTACGTGGAGGTCTACGGAAACATGCTCGAGGAAGGTTGGATGGCGATTCGCGAGATTCTGCTTCATGTCCGGGACCGGCCTACAGAGGCGTTTCTATGCCATTGTAGTGCAGGGAAAGATCGTACGGGGATTGTCATTGCGGTTTTGTTGAAGGTTGCAGGGTGCTCGGATGATCTTGTGTGCAGAGAGTATGAGTTGACCGAGATCGGGTTGGCTCGACGGAGGGAGTTTATCGTGCAGCATCTGCTTAAGAAGCCGGAAATGAATGGATCGAGGGAACTGGCCGAAAGAGTGGCGGGGGCCAGGTATGAGAATATGAAGGAAACGCTGGAGATGGTGCAAACTAGATATAGAGGGATGAGGGGCTATTGCAAGGAGATTTGCGGCTTGACCGACGAAGATCTATCTATTATCCAGGGGAACTTGACTAGTCCGGAGAGTCCTATCTTCTAACTGCTTCTTTCCTTGCACGTTGTCTATCAACGTGGAGGCTATTTATTGCTCCTGTCCAGATAGCACATCAACGGCGGCTTCTCCCACACCACGTATGTCTTCTGGCCATGAACCCACTCCTGGCTCTCGTCACTCAGTCGCAGGTCAAACCGCCACAGAATCCGGGCGAGAATAGTGCGCATCTCGTAGTATGCCAGGTTTCGTCCCAGACACGCCCCGGGACCCACGAGAAAAGATTGGAAACAGCCTCGAGCATCATGGTAGAATGGAGATCCCTCTTCCCGGGCTGATTCCAGCCAGCGCTCCGGACAGAAGCGATCTGCTTGAAAAAAGGATTGCGGATCGCGAGCTGCTGCGAGCCGGGCGACGCCAACTCCCATCTGCACTGTTAGTTCTGATAGACAAGAAAGGGTGAGATAGACATACCCCACCAGGGACATCGTAGCCTGCAATCTTGGTGATTCCCGCCGGTGTCAGACGAGGCGAGATGAACGGCGCTGGAGGGTACAGTCGCAGCGTCTCATCCAAACAAGCCAGCATATAAGGTAGTCGACCCGCTGCATTCAAAAAGGTGATTTCACTTTCACTCCTGAAGGCATTGCGAACTTCGGCCACCACCTGCGCGTTTGATTAGTATCAGGTCCACGCAACACTGGAGCCACTGACCTTGCGAAGAGCTTCCGGATTCCTGCCGAGGAAATAGGTCACTCCAGACAGTAAGGTGGCGGTGGTCTCGGATCCCGCCATGATCAACGTACTGGCGGTGCGGATAATCTCGCCTTCGGTCATGCCTCCCTCGTCTTTGTGTTTGAGAGTATATGACAGAAAGTCCCGACGTTCTTCCATCGTGCCCTTGGCCAGTCGGCTTCGAACCGTAGACACGGTATATTCCTTGTGTCGCTGGCGGGAGCTCCTGAGATCGGCCGAGGCCAGCAGCCCAATAATGATTTTCGCCCCGGGGTAGGTAGCAAAGCAGCGGATGATATTAAACGTGCGGATGTTGTTGAACACAGACGCCACCCACGGATGATACTCGCCCTCAATCAACGAGTCAAACGACTGCCCAAAGGCCAGGTCGCTGATGACATCGAACGTGGTCAGGTTGTACCACTTGACCATGTCCACCGGCGAGCCCGTCGACGCGGCATCGGTGATCTTGTCCATCAGCAGACTGATATGGCTGGAGATGCGGTCTTCCTGTTCGCGGAGCGCTTTTTCCGAGAAGGCATGGGAGAGTTGACGGCGGATGCGTGCGTGGTCGGCGTGCGTTGAGTTGATGATGTCCGCTGGGGTATCGGGTTTATCGTGCACGAATGCAAAACGCGGCCATTTGGCCAGGTAATTTGGATGCGCATAGATGTCTTTCCAGGCCTGCTCGTCTCGGAAGGATAATTCATCGGGTGAAATGCGGACAACTGGTCCGTACTGGGCATGCAGTTCACACAGGCGAAGGTCGATATCGCCCGTGGCGCAGATGATGTCTTTGAAGATGTGGTAGGCCGCCCATAATCTCGGACCAGGAAAGTGGCGAGCTGGATGGAAGTAGACGTTGTAGATCCCTTGGCCCAGGATCAGGAAAAGCAGCTGTGAGGATTAGTGATGGCCGGGGATAGAAGTATAGAGACTCACGCCCAAGGCCAATAACCCCAGCACGTAGCCAGCATTGGTGGCTAATTCCACCAGCGTCATCTTGTTATCCACTGCAGAAGACTGCTGGATTGATTGCTATTGCGACCGTCTCTGTCAAAGAGGTAGAAAAGATGGGATGGTGGAAATCCCCCTTGCATTCTCTCATTTTGCAGATCCCGATGGATCACCGAGAAAGCCAACATTCTTCATTTACCTTATCCATACATATACGAACTGGCTGTAGAGAATATTTCCATTTTCGTATGAGACATCAACACATCATGACCAAAGACAATACCACATCATTCCCCTCGCACGCCATCTACGAGCCACGCCGGACATTAAAAGTGCTGGTCATAGGGGCTGGTGCGTCCGGTCTATTATTAGCATACAAACTACAGCGGCACTTTGATTGTGTGGAAATCACGGTGTTTGAGAAGAACCCCGCAGTGTCCGGCACTTGGTTTGAGAATCGATATCCGGGATGTGCCTGTGACGTTCCTTCGCATTGTGAGTCTCTTTGATGTTAATACAGTCTCCTCTAATTCCCCAGGCTATACATGGTCCTTCGAGCCCAACCCCAACTGGTCCGCCAACTACGCTGGAGCCGACGAGATTCGACAATACTTTGTCGATTTCTGCCATCGCCACGACTTGCAGAAATATATCCATCTGGAACATGAGGTGGTCCACGCAGCGTGGAAGTCGGAGACTGGCCACTGGGAGGTGCAAGTGCGCGATATACAACACAATTCTCACACACAGCATACTGCGCATATCTTGATTAATGCTACTGGAATACTGAATCAATGGAAGTGGCCATCCATTCCCGGATTACAGTCGTTCCAGGGAGATCTTTTGCACAGTGCAGCATGGGACTCGTCAGTCAATCTAGAGGATAAAACGGTCGCTGTCATTGGAAACGGGTACGTTCGCTTTCTTGTATTTTGCTAGTTTCCGGACCATCTAATTCAAATCAGATCATCCGGAATCCAGATTGTCCCAGCGATTCTACCCCAAGTGCGCAAACTCGTGCACTTTACTCGTCAAGCGGCATGGGTCGCACCTCCAGTCAATGAAGAGTATCAGGAATACTCGCCCGAACAGATCGAACGCTTTCGCTCAGACCCAACATACCTGCTTGGGGTTCGTCGACAGATTGAAGCACGGATGAACGGCTCATTTCTGAAATTCATCCAAGGCTCAGACATGCAACGTCGTGCACACGAGTATGTCATGCTGCACATGATGAAGAGACTGGACGGAGACGCCTCCCTGGCAGAGACCTTGGTACCAACCTTCCCATTTGGCTGTCGAAGACCGACGCCAGGAACCGGGTATCTCGAAGCACTGAAGGACTCGAAAGTGGAAACAATTACCGGAGCCCGAATCGCGAATGTGACGGGTAACCAGGTGGTCCTCGAGAATGGCACGTCGTATACGGTGGATGCGATTGTGTGCGCCACGGGATTCGATACGTCTTACAAACCACGATTCCCACTGGTCGGCAGAGACAGCACCACTCTCAGCGAGGCCTGGAAGGACGAAGTGTCTGCATATCTGGGGCTTACAGTTCCTGGATTTCCCAACTATTTTTCCATCTTGGGACCGAACTGTCCGGTGGGTAACGGGCCGGTGTTGATCAGTATCGAAAAACAGGTCGAATATATTGTTCAGGTACTGGGGAAAATGCAGAAGGAGAATCTACAGTCATTTGAAGTCCGGCGGACGGCAACAGACTCGTTTAACCAATGGAAGGATGCATTCATGCAAAACACGGTGTGGACGAGTGGTTGTCGCAGCTGGTATCAGAATGGCTCGAAAGGGAACCAGATCGTGGCTCTCTGGCCTGGATCCACGTTGCACTATTTGGAGGCGATTCAGCATCCACGATACGAGGACTACATCTGGACCAGTCCACCTGGTGTCAATCCATGGGCCTTTCTAGGCAACGGGCAGAGTACGGCCGAAACCCGTCCCGGAGGCGACACGAGTTGGTATCTGCGTTCGAAAGATGATTCATTTATAGATCCATGTCTGAGACAGCTTTAGATGCTATAGAAATTCGATGCCCCCTTTCCTCTGGAACCCATGGCCAGATATCTGTTACCACAACCGGTACACCAACCTCCCATGACTCTCGCCCTTCATCATTTCCTGAAACCCATCGTTCAACTGATCCAGCTGCCGGATTTCATATTCTGGGGCGATTTGGTGCTGCACCGCAATCTCGAGCGCTTCTTCCAACTCTTCTTTGGAGCCTTGATTCGTAGCCACCAGTGACAAGTCACGCTTCACCATGTCCAGTAGACTCACGGGAATCTCACCCTTGGGAACACCAATCGCGATGATCCGACCATGGTTCGCAGTAACTGCAAAAGCAGCTTTATATGCTGCTACCGCACCGGTAGCCACAATCGTCGCAGACGCCTGATCAGCATGAGTGGCATCTGTCGAGTAAAAAGTCTCGTCGGCGCCAGATCGTGCTGCCAGCCCGAGCTTTTTATCGTTGACGTCGACTGTCTCTTATTAGCACAGGGTGTTACGGGCAGTGCTTGAGTGCGTACATCCTCGAACGTAGTATCCCAAGGCTTTGGCATACTGTATAACCAGATGTCCGACGCCTCCGCAGCCAATCACATTGACACTTTGCACTCCAGGAGGAACTTTCCTCAGGGCGCCATAAGCTGTCACTCCAGCACAAAGAAGGGGAGCAGTACTGTCAACTTAGCATATTAAGTAGTGAGATTTTACGACACATGGGTCGCTTACACCTCATCCGATAATGCATCGGGAATCTTCACTGTCGACAAAGGATCCGCCACGGCGTACTGACTGAACCCGCCATAAGGTCCTTGAAACCCAACAGAGGTCTTCTTGTTACAGAAGCGATGGTTTCCAGTTTGACACTCGTTGCAATCCTCTGATCCCACACAACGGGTTATCCTTCGATTCACTGTGCTTTCTGGATGCGAGGGGGATACGTACTGCAGGTAAACGACGATGGCATAAAACCTGCTCTGTCTCCTTTTTTGAATCCGCGCACGGCGCTGCCGACTGACTCTATGACTCCAACCGCTGATTCATGTCCAGTAAGCCTCGCAGCCATAAAAGTTAGAGTAGATGCGTACGTTCATGGCCTGGACAATACGGTGCCACAGCGCCCACGACACCCAGCCAGCCCGCCAGGTCCGAGTTGCACAGAGAACAGGCTGTAACCTTGACGAGAATCTGGTCTTGCGAAGGAGTCGGAATAGGTATGTTTAGGATCTGGAGGGGCTTGTTATACTGGGACTGGTTAGCTGCCGTTCCATCAGGGTCCTTTTGTTGTATTAAACATGTCTTACCTCGACAACAGTAGCAGCCCGCATAGTGGGTATGTCCTCAGTGATAGAACCCATTCCTTGTGATTCTTTGGTCTAAATGATGTTTGCATAAAAGTGTATTGCCCCGTATAGATGGAATATATATTTGGTTGACAGACGTTATAAATCGGAGACTGTCGGTGATCATCGGAGAAGAGGATCAGATGGATTGCATTGCAGATATTTATGCACGAGTCCCCGGCTACCTCAGCTGTAATATTCCCTCTTTGGTTTTCATTTTGCCTTTATCTGTAAACATAGTCAATCCAAACCCTACAATCTATAATGCCTACACTGGATCCGAACACTCCACCCCCGCATGGCTGCTTCATCGCCAACGAGGTATGTATTCTCAAACATGAAGAAAATAATCAACCTTAGGACACTCTGATACATCACCAGTATTCCGCCGGCAAAGGCACCTCGTGGAAACTCACCAATCCCAAAAATAGCCAACCATTCCACGAACTGACCGGGGCGAGTTCTGAGCAAGTTCACGAAGCCGTTGACGCAGCGACTCACGCTTTCCATACTGGCGAATGGTCGCGTTGCACCGGATACTCGCGTGGACGGTACCTCACTCAACTCGCAGATTTAATCGAGGAAAACGGACATGCTCTGGCGACCTTCGAGAGTCTGGCATCGGGTCGACCCATCTCGATGGTTCTGAAGAGCGATGTCCCCCGCGTCGCTGAAGTTTTCCGATGTACTCAACCCCCCCCCCCCGATATGACTACTGATTTACGATTGTATGACGAAAGAAGTCATCATGTGTTAATGTTGGCGTTGTTTCTTGCAGATTACGCCGGCTGGGCTGATAAAATACGGGGCGATTCCTTCCCCGCCGAGGACGGCTTCTATAAGATAGTCGAGCAGAAACCACTGGGAGTCTGCGCAGCCATCACGGCCTGGAATGCTTCGTTGCATTTTCTGGCCTGGAAGGTCGGCCCGGCTCTTGCATTGGGCAATACGGTCATCATCAAGCCGAGCGAAAAGTCTCCCTTGGGCACGTTGGCGTTTGGGTCGCTAGTGCAGGCCGCTGGCTTGCCGGCTGGTGTGGTGAATATCCTTTCGGGTATTTCCTCGCCCCCTTTTTTTTGTTGATTGCCTCTCATACATCCATCGACTCAGAGGGTCGCTAACAGGATCGCAGGAGATGGCACGATAGGAGACCTCCTCGCTCGGCATGGCTCGGTACAGAAAGTCTCCTTCACGGGGTCTCTAAAAACAGGCCGAAAGATTCAAATAGCCGCGGCTCAGTCCAACCTGAAGCGAGTGACGTTGGAGCTCGGGGGCAAGTCGCCTGCGATTGTATTCGAAGACGCAGATCTTCCAACAGCGCTGACATGGTGCGTCCGAGGCATCACGGTCAACAGTGGGCAGATATGTGCGGCGACGTCGCGGCTCCTTGTGCATGAAAGCATGGCCACGGAGTTTGTTCAGAGACTACAGAGAGAGTTCGATGCGATCGCTCAATCCCTCGGACAGGATCCGCAGGAAATGACAACTACCTATGGACCATTGGTCGACCGGGCGCAGTATGAGAGCGTGGCTAGCTACGTTGGAGACGAAGAGCAACGAAGGCAGTTGCTTGGTCGGCCCCTCGAAGACGGACATTACATGCCTCCTATTGTGATTCAAAGCCCATCGCATGACTCGCCGGTGTATCAGGAGGAGGTGTTTGGCCCTGTTCTCTGCGTGGAGAGCTTTGCGACTGAAGACGAGGCACTTCGGAAAGCCCATGATACTGAGTACGGTCTAGCCGCCTCTATCTACACGCAGAATCTCAATCGCGCCGTTCGCATCTGGCAGAAGATTGGCGCAGGCAGTGTCTACCTCAACTGTGCGGCTGTTGTTGGTCCGCAGGTTCCTTGTGGCGGTTTTCAATCGAGTGGACTGGGGAGGGAGTTGGGCGAGTATGCCCTGCGACATTATGCAGAGCCGCGTACGATTTGGATCAAGTGAGTTGAAGCGCTGGATATTGTATGATTGATGCTAATGACTATGCAGTATTGGTCGCTAGGAGCCCTGACTATACCATGGAGCTATATATATTCATAGATACATATATATTGTGTACGGGAACAAACCCTCACAATCTCAGAACAGAAGTATTTCCGAAAAACGGACCCTAAATCAATCAGATTAGAGCATTGCAAAGAAAAAAGATTCAAATTGCGGAGTACCATCTGAATGTTCTGACGCCCTCGGATTCGCCATTCTCGAGAGGTCCGATTTTTGACCCAAAAATCCTGATACGTGCCCCATGTCCACAACGCCTACGACCGTCAGCCATGAACCATAGAATGTAGTGTTTTGAAGTAAAAAAGAATCAAACAATCTAACCTCGCCATACATGTCACCCGTCCCAAAGTGGTTGGCCCAGTAATAAGTCCAACTATTCGCGGTGGTCCCATTCGGCGACACCTGGATCAACTGCGTCGTCAAAGCATGCTGACTCGTCACGGGCGCCATGATGGTCGATAATGCCTCGGAAACATTCGCAAGGCCTTGTACCACCCCGATAAAACCGGAATAGTTCGCCCAGATGTCCGGGTGGAAGATGCGATCTAGCTGGCTCCATGCCTTGCCGTCCAGCACGAATGGATACAGACTCATGGTGCGCTGAATGGCGAGAAGATCGGCCTGAGGGGGTACATCTCCCTCGATCTTTGCGGGAATATCGATCCATGGAAGGGGAGGGGCGTCAGCATTGAGTGAAACATTGGAATTGGCTAGAACCAGCGAGGCCAGAATCGCCAGTGGCAGTAATAGGAAGGATCTCCGCATGGTGGATGGACTATGTACGTAAGGGATAGGAAAGAAGTGATGGATTGCAAGAAGGGGGATCAAGTGCGAAAACTGGCATGGCGATGGTATCGGCAGCAGTATTTATTGCTCCAGAACCAGGGCGGATGTAACGCTGCATTTATTTGTCTCTCTTTGCATGACGCCGACGATCCGAGCTGATTTCTTTTTTAGTCGTCATCATTTCGGCGTTTGACTTTATTTTGGGATACAGATTCGTACTATTGACCTCGCGATGAGCTGGTAATATTGCATCGTTCCCTTGTTTTTTCTGTTTTATCTTGCATACTGACCGTACAGTTGCACCGCCGAGGACCAGGCCAAACGGCTCTTCGAAGCGACCAGCCCCGTCCAACCATCAGCAGTCGAAGAACTCTTCAACCAACTCCAACCGATAAAGCCCTCATTCCTGATTGGCGAATGGGACGGAAATAGCCTGGACACCGGCCATCCCGGTCTCAAGCTGCTCCAGGCGATGCGGTGGGCGGGTAAGACATTTCGATCCGTGGATGACGCCGATCCGATTGTGACGCTGGACGATGCTGGCAATCGCATCTGGAAAGAGGAGTACGGTAATGCTGTGGTGAGTCCTCTGCATTTATTATATATATATATATAGTGCAAGATCTAATGACACAGGTACGAGAAATGGCGTTTCGCGGAGTCGTTTCGGCGGCGATGATCTACGACACCAAGCCCATCATGGACCATTTTCGATACGTGGACGAAAAGACAGTGCTGGGTGTGATGGAAACCCCCAAGCAGGCTGGAAGCGGAACCTTTTATTTCTATCTGCAGCGTCGTGCTTCTGTCTAAGTGTCTACCAATAATTACATTCTAAAGTCAACCATTATTTCTGTCCCCGCAATTTCGTCGCGCCTGGTGCGCATTCCGTGCTGAGCTTCGTGAGAATCGCGCATTGCAGTATATGCATCGTAGCTTGGCCTTTTCTCCAAACCGCTCTCGCTGATGGCGAACGAGATTGCTGCGGTTGGAAAAGCGACGACCGCGACAACAGGACTCCCAGCAGCGATAGCCTGGCTCGGTGTCCTGGTAAGACGATGGTGAGAAGGAGGTCGAGTCACCGGCTGCCATGGTGGCGCCCATGTCGTCTGGGGCAATTTGTATATCTTCATTTAGCTGGTCTACCTGTCGAGCATCTGATTCTTTGTCGATGCTGGGGTAAGGGTCTTGGTGAGTTGTGTCTGGATGGAGAACATCCACCATTGATTGACGTACCTCGTAGGACCCCGTTGAAGTACATCCAGCTGACTACGTAGCTCGTCGAGATATTGTAGAATCACAGGGGTAGAATCTCGATGGATAGTGGGCTCGGGTGATCTGACTGTCGTGGGGAGTAGGTCTAATAAGGGCATACTATCCAGGGGCCTGGGCGATGACTGCGGACGGATGGCAGAAGCCTGTGAGCTCATACGAGGGTCGGCAGACGATTCACGCAGGAAGGATGGCCAAGGAGAATGATCGTCGGTTGATTCGGGCATGGGATCCGATAACAGCAAGTCCCAGGCGTCCCTAAGGGTCATCAGTACGATGGTCGGCTGTATGCAATAGCCAAGGGAACCTACGCGAATGTGGTGGCCATAGTAGGATGGTGAGATTGTGTATGTTCAAAAACTCTCGTGGGTGTTTTCAATTTATACCAGCACTGTTATACAATCGTATCGCTACAGCGTACTTTCAATAGGTACTTTTGAGCTTTCTTTCCCATCAAGTGATATTGCTTTCCTATCTCCACAGAAGGAATGTGCATGTACAAGCAATGCATCTGATCCCTCGGGCGCTCCGTCGTCCAGCATGTAAGGCGATTGAATGCCATGCGGATCACCATGCTCATATTTAAATCAATAGTCCGATGTTAGCACAAAATCATAGAGCAGCAGTTTCACCTCGTAGCTGGCGGCAACAAACCCATCATGTCATCTCTCAGCACGGCTAGCCAGGATACCAACGAACCAAGCGCGCCCAGCGGTGACATCTCCCCGGTCACCAGCTGGCCGCCGGAAGAGAGTGACCAAGAGTTCACGAGCTCATGTTGTGGTGTTGAGAGAAAATCGCCGACAGAATGGAACAATCGGACCGAAATGGTCAGTGAAGTGGCCCCCGGCCAGATTGCGCATGTGCTGACGGAAGGTGAAAGATCATCAATAAGCCGTATGAGTATTTGATTTCCCTTGGAGGCAAAGAATTCCGAAGACAGTTTCTCCAGGCGTTGAATGTGTGGCTCAAGGTAGACGAGAGCAAATGCAATGTGGTCAACGACACCATCAACATGCTGCACAACGGTTCTCTGCTGTGAGTATCCCTCTCCGCTGTAGCATACCCAAGGCCAGACACTGATCAATCCAGCATCGACGACATCCAGGACGAGTCCCGATTTCGTCGCGGCTCCTTGGCCGCCCACGAAGTCTACGGCATCGCGCAGACCATCAACACGGCCAACTACGTCTACTTCAAAGCGCAGCAATCGCTCTTGCAGCTCGACAAATGGCCGGCTCTCATGAAGATCTTCAACGAGGAACTGCTGCATCTGCACCGCGGACAGGGCATGGAGCTGTTCTGGCGCGACACCCTCCAACCGCCCAGCCAGGAAGACTACATCTGGATGAGCATGAACAAGACCGGCGGACTCTTTCGACTCACGCTTCGCTTGCTGCAGACACTCAGTGACTGCACCTATGACATCCAACCACTCGCAGAGACCGTCGGACTGCTATTTCAAATCGTGGATGATTACAAGAATCTGAAGGATTCCACGGTACGCCCAATGCGGGGAAGAGATTAAGTCTGTAACTGACGCGTGAACAGATGATTGACCACAAAGGCTTCTTCGAAGACCTGACCGAAGGCAAATTTTCCTTCCCCATCTCGCACGCCATCTGGACCAACTCGGACAAAAAGAGCGAGCTCTTACGCATCATGCGCATGAAAACCACCGACGATGATCTGAAGCGGTTCGTCGTTCAGTGTCTGGAGGAGGGTGGAAGTCTACAATACACGCGCGAGTTCATTCATAAGCTACATTTGGAGGCTATGCATCTCCTGTCGCAGATTCCGGAGCCGAATCCGCTGCTGGAGAAGTTGGTTTTGAAGTTGCAGGTTCCTGTTTGAGACGTTTGGGCGTTTTCGTTTTCTCTTCTACTGTGTTTTGTTTCTGTTTTATTTTTAATAGATAGAATCCAGAGTTCGTAGACAGGATAGCAGAATTCTCTGGCTTTTATCGAGAGCACATCTTATTCTGGACTTGTCAACTTATCAGATTGATGCTTGAGATAACGCAACCATCAAGCAGTGGTAGGGACTCTATTTTCTTTTAATATACGGCATCTTGATGCCTGATTGAACTAAACATTGGATAAATGAAAAACAAGATAGACAGCTCCTATCCAGCCGCCACAGCTGTGAGGACCAGTTTCTCCCACTTCATGCACAAACTCAACACCACAACCAGCCCCCCTCCAACAGCAGCCAGAACAAACGTCTGATCCATAGCATCTATGATCGCCCCTAGGGCCTTCTGTTTAGTGTGTGAATCCAAAGTGCTTACAAATGCTGATTGCGTTCCGGAAATGGCGCTGACGAGCGTGGCATGCGACTGGTTGGGCAACACCCATGATAAGCCTGAAACCAACGGATCAGATATCATGTAGGATTTCAGGAGTGGGATGGGGGCTGGGTATAACTCACGTTTGATTGCCTCATTTAAAAACACACATTCGGTAATAGCCAATCCGAACGTGAGTCCGTTCAGCTGGGCGGTAGTGACAAAGGTAATTGCCGCTGCGATGTGTGCAGGAGGTGTTTTGGCCTGGGCGACCGAATGCCCCAACTGCATGTACATGCCTGCACCCAAGCCGAGAAGCGCAGAGTAGCCGTAGATGGCAGCGAAGCTGGTCTCGGGACTGACGGTACAAAGCAATGACGCTCCGACGAGCGACAAGATCCCCCCGACCAGATACCATGGCTTATAGACTGGGAACTGAGATACGAGGAATCCGCCTCCAACACCGGAACAGACCAAAGGTAGGATAAACGGTAGTAAGCGCACAGCCGACTGGAGAGCACCGTCAGACGAGATGAACTGAAAGTAGAGCGGAATCATGTAGGTCGGCACGGTGATGCAGGTGGCCACCGAGCAACTGCATACAAACAACATCAAGAGGAGCGGATGCTGTCGTGACACCATTTCGACAGGAAACAGACGGGTCTGGGCTGTCGTCGCCAGGCAGAAGACCTGCTGCAGCGCAAAGGCTACAAAGGCCACTCCACTCACCACCAGTGCAGCAATGATGCCCCCCGAATGCCAGGGATACTGCACTCCGCCAAAATTCAGCCCAATCACCCCGGCTACGAACGCAATAATGAGAAGTGCAGAGCCCAAATAGTCCAGTCGACGTAGGCGTTTCAGGACGCTGGTGCCTTCCACTCGCTGCGGCTGCACCGACGGAATCAGCCAGGCGTACACGGGGGAAAACAGGCCCCCAATGCAGAGATTGATGTAGAATGACCATCGCCATCCAGCTCCGCTATCCGTAAAGGCTCCACCCAGGACAGGGCCCAGAACGGTGCCGCCTCCATAGGTGATTCCCAGCAAGCCGATGTATCGTGGTCGTTCTTCTAACGTGGTCAGGCGAGGGATGAAGTTCATCACACCGATATATTGGCCAACGCCACCGATGCCACACACCACACGCCCTCCAATCAGGACATTCATGGTGGGCGCAGCACCGCAGATGGTCGACCCAATCTCGAAGATGATAATGGAAGCGATGTAGAGCCACTTGAGATTGAACACACTAAACAGCTGCAGCCAGCTAAGTAAGGTGCCACTCGACGCCATGACAAATGCTACCCCTAACCAAGCGATTTTGTCTAGCCCATCCAGTGATTGGACTATTGCGGGTTGGATATTGGCCACGATCGTGCTGTCCAAAGCATAGAGGAATGTTGAACTGTAAATGGCAATAACCACGAGAAACCAGCGGATCCCGTGGATCTGGCGTGGTGGTTCCTCCATATCGGTCGATGTCGTGTATACAGTAAAGCCAGGATTGCTTAGGGTTATCTAACATCTTTTTCCTTTGTTTTGTTAAAAATATATTTAATTTGTTTACTCTGTTGTCTTTTTTCTACTAGTTTTACTTCTGTCTGAAAACTCAATGCTCCACATTCCTTGGTCCACAGCATATTTGATCCTCTCGGGATGGATCGATTCCCACCTGCATTGCACATCAACCGCATATAATGTAATGCATCTGCGTAGCGGCCCAAATTGGGCCACCGCCCATTACATGTCTTATAACAGACAAAGCCATATCATCGAATTCACATTCTTCCTTCTCCATACCCTTTTTTTTTCAAACCTTGATCCAAACCAAAATGAGTGCCACAAACCGCCATGCTCTTGTTCTGGGCGCTTCGGGCGTCGCCGGATGGGCCGTGGTGAATGAGTTGCTGGAAGGATACCCCGCCAAAGGAACCTTTTCCAAAGTCACCGCCGCTGTCAATCGCCCTCTCAAGGTGGAGGAGTCAGGATGGCCCTCCCCATCTGACATCGATTTCAGGCTGATTTCCGGCGTCAACCTGCGAGATGGAGGCGATTTGGTTGATTCTATTCCCGATTTACACAGCGTGACTCATCTGTACTATTTTGGTCTGTCTATCCATAACTACTATGCTGCGCTGCGGCTGATAGAGATCCTCCAGCCTACCAACAGAACGATGACCCGCCCACCGAGATCTCAACGAACCTGACCATGCTGGATGGGGTCATCAAATCCTTGGCTAAACACGCGGTCGATTTCCAATTCGTCGTGGTCCCAACTGGCACTCGCGTAAGCTATCCTGTTACCACATGCGCGCATATTCATCAGCATCAATACTCATCTGAAATCAACAGGCCTACGGATACTACGTCCCCGGGGGCGTCTTCAAGCCACCGTTCCGTGAAGACATGGGCCGCCTGCCCGAGCCCGAAGGAAGCAAGCTCTTCTACTACGCCATGGAAGACTATCTCCACAAAGCCAGTTCCGGCCAACCCTGGACCTGGTGCGAGGTGCGACCCGACGCCATCATCGGCTTCACCCCGAACGGCAGCACATTCAGCCTGGCTGCTCACTGGTATAACTATCTCTCCCTGTACGCAGCCGTGGAAGGCCCCGGTGCCTCCATTCCTTACCCGGGTAACTTGACCGCGTATAAATCCCTCTTCAACGGGGCGTCCGCCGACATCATCGCCCGGTTCTCCATCTACGCCTCTCTGCACCCTGAACAGACAGGAAACGGCGAGATATACAACATTGCCGATGAGGACCGGCCCCAGAGCATGGAGCACATCTGGCCGGCTGTTGCGGGCGCGTTTGGCCTGAAAGGCACGCCCCCCGTGGAGAATCAGGAGCCGCTCTTGCTTCGTCCAAGCGATTACATGGCCGTCCATGGCCATAAACAGCCTGCGTTTTCGGGTAGCCAATTGACCAAGGGAAACTGGATTGATGATTTTGGGTCCTGGTATACGTTTGATCGGCCCTTGGCTTTGGATAAAATCCGGGCTGTGGGTTTCGATGAACAGCGGGATGCTGCGGATGCTTATGTGAAGACTCTGAAGCTCTTTCAGGCTGCTGATAATAAGGGAAAATAAGAGCTGTCTCTGGATTGAGTTGTCAGTTTCAGCACCAGCGTATTGTGAATATCTTTGCACAGCTTAGGTTGTTCATATGTTGTCCTGCAGTCTCTTAGATAGTGAACTCACTTACAATATCCACCAAAAACATCGTACGCCAGTTTCAACTCGAAGCAGGGCGGAGCTGATACATTGTAGTCTTCAGTGATAAAGATTTTCAAAATATCCAGAGTTGGATGAAATAAGAAGCCTATAATGATGCTATGATTCATGAGTTCTAAGTGAAGTCTTGTTTCTCAAATATAAGGTAAAATAGAAATATGTTTAGACGTAATTCTTATAGATAAACACTCTCTTTGATAATAATTGAAAATTTGCAACAATTATTCCATCGTCTATTGATAATAAATGTTTGGCACATCACCTTGTGGTCGCGATAGCTACTTAAGAGAGAAAAGCAAAAATGGTTTGAGTGCGATGTATCACATAGCCACTTGATTCGATTTCAGAAACTCGAGCTATTGTAAAGACCAACTATCTCTGTCCATGGATGGCCACACATGGCTCCTTGATGCGGTCGTTCGAAGACTAGAAATATACTCGTCATGTCGTTTATTGTCGACAAAGGCATCCTACAATATATGATCGCCTCGACAGCCGTGAGCCGTACATTCAACATCTTTGGAACTACTTTCAGGTGAGGGGGGCTTCCAATCAGGTGCTCCACGGTATCCCCAGGCTTGAGCAGGTACCGCGGATCGTTAAAGACAACCTTTGGGCAATCTCCACTGTTTAAGTATTAAATTAGAGAGGGCTAGAGTCTGTTATCTCTGAACTCTTAGTTATATATATAAGGATAAGGTAGTATTCAGAAGTACAACCTTAAAAAAATATTTCAAAGATATATAAAAATAGTAAAGCTCTTAAATATAGTTCAACCCCATTTTAAAACCACTAATTATTTAAACTTTTGGATAACTATCTTCAAACCTGTATATTTAAGAACTGGCCCTTTTTTTAAGCACTATTCTCCGTACTGGCCTATTTAAGATATCGATCTCCAGGCACCCGTTTCCCCCGACGTATTTATATATATCCCGTACCCACGTTCAACGCCAACTTCTAGAGATCAATCCCAGATAAAGAACACATTAGAGGTACTCTATTGATAAATGCCCAACACCCGCTAAAAAAGTCTATGTAGAAGCACTTTTATTCTATCACCTAAACCAGCACAGTGATTATCCCCCCTGTTCTTTTGGCCGTGCCTCCTCCATCTCAACCTGCTTTCTGGCATTCGCCTGCTCTGCATTTTCCTGGATTTTGCGCATATACGCAGCTGACTGTCCGGCATATTTACACCTCGTCCGGACAGCTGCGCCGTATTTATAGAAGAGAAATGGGGCGGGTACGTACGCTAGCGACAGGAATGCAGGAATACACGATGCCCAGTGGATACCGAGTCGGTCGTACATGTATGTCGTGAAGAGGGGGAATGCTGCACCCGCCAGAGATCGGAGGAGGGAGTTTGCTGCTAATACAGACGCAGCGTAGATAGTGTAGGAATCGATGAGGTAGTTCATCACCCCGAGGTAGATGATGACAACGCCAAAGCCGAAAGGCGCGACGGCGATGATGCTGACAATCCAGTGGATGGAGGGCGAGTTTGTCCAGGCAAACCAGAACAGGCCGATGGGGATAAGAATAGAGGCAAGCATGCACGGTGGCAATCTCGCTTCAGGCGGTGCAAACCCATCATGCTCTTCATGCACGCGCGCATACCGTTTATTATCTGTAATAGTGTAGAACGTCGCCAGAATCATCCCCGTCATGACGCCGATAAACGCCAGTCCTCCAACACCCTGATTCCACCCTCGATACTTCTCATACACAATCGGAAACGCCGCAAACATCATATACAGCGTCCCATACACAATAGCAATGTAAACCGCAAAAAGAAACACGATCGGTTCCCGGAACAGCAACACCCACGGTGTCGACATGGACGATTGAAGTAGTTTCGGCAATGACCGTTTCCCCTTGTCAATTTCCACTTTGCTTCTATACACTTTGCCTGTCATCTGGGATAGGCGTTCGGCTCGTTTGCGGAGAAGAATCGGTGCGTATGTCTCTGGGAGAAGGAGGGTGATTAGAATCAATACGAGCCCTGCGCATATGGCTAGGAATCCTTCAACCCATCGCCAACCTGCGTTCATCCCGAGGAAGCCACCGATGAATGGACCTAGACAGGGTCCCATGAATGGCGCTCCGGCGTATAGACCGAGAGCAAGAGCGCGCTGCTTGGCGGGGAACATGTCAGAAATGGTACCGCCGCCATTGGCAAATGGTGAAGATCCGAATGAACCAGCGAGGAAACGAAGGACAAGAAGAGTTTGGATATTCTGAGCACCGGCACAGCCAGCAGAAAACGCAGCCATGGCGACGAAACTAACGAAAAACGGTCGCTGTCGCCCAAAGACCTCACTTAGTGGAGCCCAGAGAAGAGGCCCAATTGCGAAACCAAGCACGAAAAGAGACAAACCGATGGTGGCGACTTCCTCGCTGGCTTCGAAATGCGACATGATCTGTTTGATACTGCCACTATACGCAGACGAGGTCAGAGAAACAATCAGAGTCGAAAAGGCGACGGTCAACGTGATGGTGATCTTCTTTCCCAGACTGAATAACATCGGATTGCGAGGGTCGTTTGGAATCCAGGATACCGCATATGGGTCATCCTGAGTGCCGGATCCAGGATAGTCATATTCGAGGATTTCACGAGTCACGACGCCTTGGTCGGTGAGCAATCGCCAGTGCGGGATTGTCTCTGGGCTCTCCATGTGTTTTTCATCTTCAGCCATGGTGGTGTTGACGCAATGCGTCAATGGGGAGAAAAGAAAATGCCCAAAAATCAGACGCCGATCGAGAGAAGCAGCTTTAACCAGAAATGAATGCGATCGCGCTGATCGATCTGTGTTGAGAGAGGGCCATGTGGACAGTGTTCGATTGAAAAAAGGGACAAACCTCAGGGGATCTTGTTTTTGTTAAAATCTGAATTGAACATCAGCAGCAGACCCACTAGCCAGCGCAGAATAACAAATCAACTCAATAAACACAGCCTAGAAACCCAATCATTTGCGGCTGAAGCCGAAGCTATTGAAACCGAACAGATTTTGAGGCCCGAAGGGGCAATCGGTCCTCGGCATGTGTCGGCTTTGCTCGGCTGTTCCGATTGGCTGTTCCATGTATCTAATCATATCTTATCGTTATACATGTCCCGATTAGGTAGTCTTATGCATATTATGTTTATTATGATTATCTACTGCATATCTGTGTTCCCCTCTAGCTCATACGAGAAATGTGACACAGCTGCAATCCCCTCTTTGCCTACATATTCGTCCCACAATGCCTGAATATCCCCAGGAGCATCCCACTTAGCATTGGGCATCAGAGTCACATGCCATCGCCTCACGCCCAGCTCCTCCCTCGTTGGCCCTTGAACCCACTCACCCTTCTCCCCAGGCGCCAGACATTCAGCAATGATGGTATTGTCATTCATGGGGACTTGGCCGACCGAGATCATCAGGTTCCGCAAACTTGGCATGCGCAATGCAGCCGCAGCCGCCGACTTCATCAGTGCACCAAACATTTCGGGATCTGGCTGTGTGCGCCACATGTGATATGGCGAGTCCCCGTTCAGCAGTTCTTCTCGGTCCTCGTTGATGTCTTCATTTATCTCCGAGTTGAATGATGAGTTGGAGTCAGATGAGCTGTTGTCATCGTCGGCGTACGCGGCACTTGGCGGGGATTCACTTTCTTCTGCACTGGGATCGCCTGTGTAGTACCAGCGACCGTCGTAGGTGATCAGTGCTCCTTCGACTTTCACTCGTTCGAGATATGGGAATGTGGCTTCATCGAAGAGAGCTGGGGAAATTAGCCAGTCGCCAGTGAGACTGAGTGTAGTCAGACGGGCGCGATCGGCCAGTTTTCGAATAGCCACGTTTAAAACATCGCCATGGGGATATTTGGGATCAAGAGATGAATTTATAAAAGAGTGGTTGTGGGGAATGCCTTGTTCAATATAGATGCTGAGCGACTTGAGGTTGCGTAGAGACGGTGACTCCAATGCTTTGGCGAGAGCTATTGATGTTAGCCTATGCAAGGGCCATGCAGGGTGATATTACATTGCCTGTGCTCTTTTATCATCTCTGCGTGTTTATTTTTAGGTGCATTTAATTTCAGAGTCAGACTTTCCAAATACGGCATTGACGAGATGATCTGACCGATCGTTGCAGGATGGATTTCTCTTCGTGCATTGGGGATCTCCAACTCATTGACTGATGACAATACTGGCAGATTGACATTGTCTAAACTGAGATAAATGCCCTTGTGGTGCCATCGTGTCCAGCCCAGTCCATACGGAGTCTGGTCAGTAGGGGATGATGCTGCAATCTCCACGCTCATCCCCTGCGTCTGCCAGGTTGCCAACTCATGATAGAGATCGATGATTCCTTGGTTAAAAACCTGCTGGTTGACTCGTGTTTCTCTTTTCGTCTCCAAGCAGAATTTTCGATTTTCGCTGTATGCTGGCAGTGTTATTTCATAGCGTAGTCGTCTCAATAATTTCCTTCTTCGAGGAGATGCTAATACTTGGCAGAAAATATCCAGATCTGCACTTGACGTTGTAATTTGTGCCATGGTGAAACGTTCCACGGCATACTGCCACGGTCGAGAGAGGGTCGCATAGGGGTGGATATTCCGGACTGGTGGTTCCCATGGTAATCGAGTATCCTCAGAATCATCAAACAGAGATAAGTGATACACGATCAACTCGAGGATTTCCTGGCTGAGGGATTCCATTGTTGATTGTTGATGAGGTCCAAGTAAGGCATTTGAATTTTGGGCTTTAAGGGAGAGTTTAGTGGGGAGGATCCACTATCAAAGTTTATCCCCGTGCTTTCTATTTTTACATTTATTGTTTACTATTATGTATCGGTGATATTAGTGTTTTTTTACGCAAAGTACATCAATCTCTGACATAATATAAGAACCGGAGATCTCTACTTCCTATCCCCTAGATCTACTCATGCACTGCCATCAACATCTGCAATCACCCTTTCCCTCTCATACTGCTCTATACTTCTCGTCACCAGATCAACACGAGATGCATTTCTCGGCGATCGAGAAATACTGTTCGGCAACCACGACCCCAACCAGAATATTTACGACAAAGCACCAGCCCGGATGGTATCCGGTGGATTCGGTCGCGATAGACCAGCTACAATCTTTTTCGCCCATTCATAGTCGGAGTGGCGCCGTCGTCGAAGGGCTTCCCGCTGTATATAACATTCAGCCTGTCCCGGGCTAGGTAGTAGAGTGGGCTCTTCGAGGCAGTAGGCGATATGTTGAGCTGGTTGCTGCTTATATATGATTGTGTGGTTCCGGATTTAATAGCGACGATCTTGAGGCCAAATGGCGATAGTTCAGCATGGAGAGAGACAGTCAATATGGTGAGAGATGATTTGGATGTTGCATAGAGGCCTGTAAATGGTGGAGCGACGACAGGTGCAATCGGGGTATGATTGACGATGATACCACGCGTGGACTTGAGCAGTAGCGGCAGGAATGCCTGTATCATGGAAATATTGGCTCAGACGTTGAGATCGAATAGCTTCTTTGCATCTGGGATCGATGCATCTGTTAATGCAGAGAAGTAGGTCGCACCGGCATTGTTGACCAGTATATGAGGGCTTCCTCCTGTCAGCTTGTGGACTTGTTCAACGCATTCCTTGATCGAGGTATCGCAGAGAACATCCAACGATAGTGTCTCAATCCCAGCGCCCTTAGCATTGGATAATTTTGCAGGGTTTCGTGCAGTCGGAAACACGCGATAACCGCACTGATGGAATGCAACAGCCTGGGCAGAGCCCAGTGCGCTGTCTGAACAGCCAGTAATAAGAACTGTTTTTTCAGACATCATTATTCAGTTGAAATACGCGACGTAAATTATGGCATTGCGTTTGTTGATACAGCCTACGTGCCTGCTGTATACGACGGGACAATTAATACATGGCGCGTGCTCAGCCCTTGCCAATTCACGCGTCACTCGGCTTCGGCGTAACAAATATGATAGTCCGGACGATAATAGGCTTCACTTAATCTGTAATAGGCAGCTGATGCTAGTACTAATGGTAGATAAGGGCCTTAACAACAATGCCCGATGTTCACCATTACCACGTCAGCCATATCAACCACGGGCATTGAGGGCTCACATAATGTTTCACGATTTTGAATACAAGGCACTTCGTTAAATCATATAATCACCGTTCAGAATCAAATCAGCATCAATATCCTGTAAACTCGGCATGCCAGCCGTCAGACTATCAATCCAAGCAAGTTCAACCTCACTCGAAACCCCCAATTCACCGTCAGACTCAGCAGCTGCGTCTGCTGAGGCATCCGATGCAAGAACATCAGTAACCATATTCACGTCTTCAGTGCGTCTCTTCTGATGCAACCATAGTAGTAACCGGGCGTTACTACATGCCTCTTTGAGATTACTCGTTTGAAATATAAAAGTGACATGGCGCAGCGTCTGCATCGCCTCTCTTAACAGTCGTAACGATGCCCGACTATCGATAACCAGTAGCGTGCAGACAATCTGAAACGGAATGTTGGCGACTTGATGCCACGGACTGATGGAGTCGGCGAGTGTTCGTGCTGCCCAGAGGGCTTTGCGCATGAATGCAAGTACAGCGTCCATGCCTGGGTCTTCGTTGATTTTACCGATGAGATGGCTGCTTTGAGTGTGTATTCGGCGGAGAATGCAGAGGAGGAGATTACATTGAGCCATCACGAGGGGAGGTTGGTGATCTTGACTGGAGACGAGTTGTGATAGAGTGGAGTGCAGATTGTCTTCGTCTTGTGGCTCACTTGGATCAAGACTGGCGGATACTGGAAGGAGAGATAGCAGTTTCTCCGTATAGTCCCCTGGTGTTGTAGACTGGAGTGTGGTGGTCTGTGGTTGTTGTTGAAGGGATACGCGGGCAAGGCCCAGATCGAAAGATATCCAAGTGTGCAGATGTTGTGCAACACCAACCAGTCTCTGTCTGATATTTGGATCTGCCGTGATGGGAGTGAGGACAGTATTTGACCTGGTCGGAGATTCAAAATGCAGTCCTGCGGCTTCGATCAAATGCATTGTCGTGCAGCTGGCCATCCAGGCAGCCAGTGGAGCAGCTGTCATTCGGAGATATACAACTTGGCATACCCATCCAGTGATCATGTCTATAGATGGCACTCCTGATGTGATGTGGTTGTCGAGGATGGATCGAGACAGTTTGATCAGACTTCCCTCTACTGAAGGGGTGGACTGACGACTGAAGAAGGATCCGAGGGCAGCGACACCACATAAAACAGCATCGTAGCCGTCTGTAGAATCGGGAGAAGTCCATCTTGTCCTCACGTGGCGGAAAAAGGACTCGCGATTGATGAATCCATAGCATGGATCAATCTTTTCAAAATAAACGGACGCAAGAAGATTCAAGTTGGACTCAGATATAAGATCCGCAATGCGCGATGCACTAGACATCTCGACCGAGGACGGCCCACGAGGTCCAACGTTCCACGCAAAGACGTGCGGTCGAGGCGCATTGGCCGGATCAATAGAAAGAGCCAATCGTCTAACAAACGCCGGTCCAGAATTCGCCTCTAAAGACTGAACAAAAGAGTGATCGTTCGGCGTTAACTTTGGCGTGGTAGCTGTTTGGTGGCTTTGATGGCTTGGAGTGTTAACAGGCGAGTGGATTCGTCTCTCGCGAGACTCAAACGAGCACTCATATTCAAACCGGACGCATGAACTGCATGGTCGACGGCCGTTGCATTTTCTCTTGCGCTCTCTGCATGGCTCGCATGCTTTTCTCGCTCGTTTTCGCATGGATTGGGTTGGAGTGTCCGACATGATGGACGTGGAACGTGGGTTTACTATATGTGCGCGGGAAAGTGGTCGGGAAGAGTGGAAAAGACGGGTGTTGCGGGATTTATAAAGCATGAGCCACTTTTGAGCTCGTATTCATTCGTTTCAGCGTGTCATCGTTGCGCGATGATGAAACACATGCACGGTCATTCCGCAATACCCGCGATACCCGCCATGTCCCGCCATATGACATCACGAGTCCTATATAACCCCCTTAATCCAGCACGAAATCATGATTCCATCAAAAATGTCTCTCATTAGCAAATTGGCATCAAAATTCCCATGGGCTTCTGCCCCCTTGGTTGTAGGCGCCCCGATGCGTGTCTTTTCGGGCCCTGCACTCGCGACTGCCATCTCCAGCGCAGGCGGCCTGGGGTTCATCGGACCCGGGACAACAACGCAAAATACAGTCAAAGACTTGGAAGAGACATTCAAGATCATTCAAGATGCTCGGTCAACATCTAGCTTCAAAGGTCTTCCGTCGACCTACGACTCCCTCCCTGTCGGGGTGGGATTTCAATTATGGAGTGACGATCTCGACATAGCCAGTGCAGCCATTCAGAACTTCAAGCCGTGTGCTGCGTGGCTATACGCACCGCGAAATGGTCAATCAGATCTTGATATATGGTCTGAAAAAATACGTACTGCGTCACCGGATATTCAGATCTGGGTGCAGATCGGCACTATCGCAGAAGTGAAAGGACTTCTCCAAAGCTCCCACCGACCGGATGCGATTATCGTCCAAGGCACCGAGGCAGGAGGCCACGGTCGTCGTGATGGGATCGGATTGATGTCACTTCTCCCAGAGATAGCAGATATCGTCAAGGAGAGTGGGATCCCTCTTCTCGCCGCAGGTGGAATTGCAGATGGTAGAGGAGCTGCGGCCGCGCTGTGTCTGGGTGCCTCGGGAATTGTCATGGGCACACGATTCCTCGCATCCAACGAAGCTCGGATTAGCAAGGGCTATCAGCAGGAAGTGGTGCGGGCGAAAGATGGTGCCGCCAATACTGTGAGAACGCTGCTCTACAATCATCTTCGCGGCACAACTGGTTGGCCGGAACCGTATGTCCCTCGGGGTATCATCAATAAGACATGGGCCGATCATCTGGAAGGGAAATCTTTTGAGGAACTGAAGAAACTACATGATGAATCGGCAGCAACCGGGGATAAAGGATGGGGTCCCGAAGGACGAGTTGCAACGTATGCAGGCGCATCCATTGGTTTGATTCATGATATAAAGAGTGCATCGGATATTGTTCGCGATATGCAGGATGCGTTTCAGGAACAGTTGGATATAAAGCCGAGGTTGTAAAATAATACAGCAGAGTAACTATTTATTTCCCAAGCCAGGAACATTGAAGAAAGCCACCTGCACCGTCATGTCATCGCGTATATTCCGGGAGAATGGAGATCCCAAGGCGAGTAGACCTGCCACCATCTCATGATGATTGCCACCGAGGGAGTTCCTCACCAAATGCACAGCGGCATTGTCATCTTGGACTGTCGTTTTTCCCTCTTTAAATCTCCAATCCTCGTCTTTTCGAAACTCACCAAAGTCGAAGGGTTCATACTCTGGCTCTGGTGTGCTGCTTCCCTTCTGACCTGCCGCGGATTCCACCCATTTCCCAACCAAATCAACAGCTTGTTGGTTAGACAGCACATCCCACATACCGTCTGTTGCCATGATCAAGAATGATGGTCGGCTGGGGTCAATCTTGGTAGTTGTCACGACCGGCTCGGCAGTCAGATATGGCGGTGTTTGGACGTTGTATCTCGGCGTCAGAGGCGATGGAGCACCGAATCGTCTCTTCAGCTCCTGCTGCAAATCCAAAGACCATTTCCACCGACCATCGCCAAAGGCCCGAGAGACCATCATCCCCAGAACCCGTCCATTCTTGGATATGCCTTCTTCTCCTGGGTGCTCCTTGTCGATCCTGGCAATTTCGTCTTGATTACTGCCAGTTTGGTCTACTGACAATGGTATCGCTTCCCACTTTCCGTCTGGTCCTTTCTGTCCTAAGACGGCTCTGGAATCGCCTGTACATGCCACATGCAGTTTGCTCGAAGCAGAATCGTACATGGATAGGAGAGCGCATGAACCAGCATAACCGGGAGCCAACTTCTTGATCTTGTCCTGTAATGACTCGCTGCTCTGGGATGTCTCCAGTGCTGTCTTGATAATCGCGTCGTCGAGGTCGACAAACGCCTTAATCACGGCATTTTGAACCAGCTCCTCGGGTACATTCTTTTCATCCGAGGTTGGCTTGACTTGGCTCAGGCTGTGTCGCACAAAGGGCAACAGTTGGTCTTTTAACAACTCTGCAGTCTGCCAACCAGCATGTCCGTCGAAAACCGCCCAGGTCATCCACTGACTGCCGTCATTCAACGGGGAGGGCAGTTTACCATGGGTGAAACGGTCCTCACACAGACTATTCGACGCCAATTGCGTGCCATCGTATCTATCGACCCCGGCAACATTTTTCACTGCGAATGAATACGCATCTTGCGATATCATACGCGTTACCTCCTCTTTAGAAGGACCGTGCTCAGCGACCAAGTGGTCAGTTGGCGGACTTTCCAGATGCGGTACACCATCGCGGGGAGTGATCAACCACCACAGGCCAGACGTACTGATCGCACCGGCTGTCAAGATATACCGCGTCAAGTTTGAAGATGTGCTTTTTGTTGAAGAAAAATGCCTAGCCCGTGTTCGTAAGATCGACCTTGTGGCTACGCGACCTAGACGCGTCCGAGCCGCGCCGAATGACAACATTCTTGCTAAGGTGACTGGAGGAAGTAGGTCAAAGAAATAATGTCAGTGAAAGCTGAACAAGCATTCCAGTTATGGCTATACGAAGAAGTGACGATGGAAGCAGATCCTCAGCTGATGTTGTGCAACACACAGGAGTCCAGATGTGGCTTAGCGTGGTCGATCATCACGTGCTACGTGCCACGGCATTCCAACACACTCGAATAAGCAACGAGACAACATCGAAATTATTACAATGCTAATTCCACTATCAAATAGATCCATCTAGTGTCCAGTCGATCCCCCATCATGCAGTGGGACTCGGGGGAGTCTTGGCCATTCAGCAACACCCGCTCCGCCCCGCCCCGCCCCATGGAATTTGTCACTCCATGAGCTTATCAGCCCATCCGCCACATCCGGCATGCTCTGTAAAGTCCCACTTCAAGGGGTATCGTTTAATCGGAATCTCCCTGCATAAAGTCTAATTATATAGCCTACGTGTCAGCCAATATGAATAACACGTGATCTGACAGGGGTTGAACCCATCACATAGCTAGGGGCTTAGCAGTCTTTCATTCTTCAATCAACCCCTTGATTCCCTTCTGATTGCCAGCTATATCGACAGTGTCCAAGAAAGATGGATGACTTGGACTTGGATTCAGAAAAGGGCCTCTCGATGGGGGCTGGAAGGGAATTCCCGCCCTTACTATCTGATTCTGATCAGTATCTCGTTGATTTCGATGGCCCGGATGACACGTCTCATCCGCGCAATTGGTCTCTCCCTGCCAAGTTCGTCTTCTTTTCCTTCACAGATGGATGCAGATGCAGCTAACTCGAGAAGAATCTACACATCCTGTCTTGCCTGCATCGGGACATTTGTCGCCACATTTACAAGCGGCATATTCGCAGCAGGTATTCCCGGAGTCAGCAATGAATTCAACGTCAGCGAAGTGGTGGGAAATCTGGGAACAACTCTCTTCGTTCTTGGCTTCGCCTCTGGGCCGCTGCTATGGGCGCCTGCCTCTGAGTTGTTTGGGCGTCGATGGCCGCTGACGATTGGGATGCTGGGCACTGCCATCTTTACCATTTCTTCTGCGGTGGCTAAAGATGTCCAGACTTTGATCATCTGCCGATTCTTTGCTGGCATGTTCGGGGCCAGCCAGCTGTCCGTAGTGCCAGGAGTGATTGCAGATCTGTACAACACCGCTGATCGTGGCATTGTGCTCTCCTTGTATTCCCTGACTGTTTTTTGTGGGCCTTTCTCTGCTCCATTCATCGGCGGATTTACGGCCATGAGCTCTCTCGGATGGCGCTGGACGCTCTATATCCCTTCCTTTATCGCATTCTTAAACGGCACACTGGATCTCCTTTATCTAAAAGAGACATACGCACCGTGTCTCCTGGCTGAAAAGGCAGTGCATATTCGCCGTCAGAGCGGCAACTGGGCCATCCACGCCAAACAGGAAGAAATTGAATTCGATATTCATGAACTCATACGGAAGAACTTCACCCTTCCCATCCAAATGCTGATCACTGAGCCTATTGTCTTCCTTCTCTCGCTATACATGTCATTTATATATAGCTTAGCATACGCTTTGCTCGAAGCATATCCATATGTTTTTCAAGAGATCTACCACATGAACTTGGGAGTCAGCGGTCTCCCCTTTATCGGCCTGATTGTGGGACAGGTTCTGGGATGTGTGTATATCTTATCGCAGCACAACTCGTACGTCAAGAAGCTGGACGCAAATCCAGGCATCTCCAACCCCGAGTTGCGCCTTCCTCCAGCAACTCTCGGTGCTCCAGTCTTTACTGCCGGTGTTTTTTGGTATGTCTTATCGTATATTCAATTGGTTCTTTCTAACAGCCGTAGGTTTGGCTGGACCGGCTTTACCTCGTCTGTACACTGGATGGCCCCTACAGCAGCAGGAGTCCTAGTCGGCTTTGGCATCTTTTGCATCTTCGTTCCTTGTTTCTCCTATCTTGTCGATGCTTATTTACCTCTGTACGTCTGATGCCTCTGATATGCATAACAATGCTTACTGACATCTAGGGCGGCATCGACTGTTGCTGGTCATATCATTCTCCGGTCGACTATTGCTGCCAGCTTCCCGCTATTCACGCGCCAGATGTTTCACAACCTCGGGGTAGAATGGGCTGGTACTTTGCTGGGTTGTATTGCCTTGGTGATGATTCCTATTCCTGTTGTTTTTCGCAGATATGGACCGTGGTTTAGGAGTAAAAGTAAACTGGCACCATAGTCACAGTCAAATATATATATCCCACTCAGAAGGAAATATCAGTATAACCACAATAAAATCCTCGTAGAATGTATATTTGCAGAGGTTATTAGTAAATTGAATAGAACAAAATAAATATATTAAACATAAAGACAATCAACTTTGGAGGAACAACGCTTTAGAAATAAAGATGCCATGGCGATATGGAATATATTCAACCGTATCAGCTGGATTTATCTGCACCTCTCCCCACATTACGGGATGATATGGTGCGTCCTGGTCATCTGGCGGTGGGTGGCATGCAGCACTGATAGCCGCACTGCAATTAAAAGCAAGAGGCATCATGGGCGCTTTGAACTTTCGAAAGGACAGTCCGGTGATGATGGCAGCTGCCGTGATTATGATAAGCTCGGCAATGAGCAGCGCCATAGCCGAGTACCCGCATTTATTGAGGATAACTGGTTTACCGTGGACGTTGTATGGTAGAACCTGAACAAAGAATAGACGTTCGGATACCAGCCAGTGTACGATTGTAAATGCCAGCAGCATCGGGGCGCTGTATCGGTAGGGAATGATCAGGTAGATTGTCGATCGCTGCTCTGCTTTGGGAAAGGAAACGCGAAGGGGTTTTTGTTCAATTGCAAAGTCATTGTACTCGACTGGTAGCAGCATCCGGGTGAGCATATTGTTATACAGAAAGTACAGACCAGTGACCAGCAGCTGAACGGTATTCACGAGAAGAACCATGCCCACGAAGCTATTGCTGAGGCCTGTCAGCGTCGCGGACGTATTAATTAGACCGGGGCCAATACTGGAAAGCGACATTCCATTGCTGTCCACTACGGCCCAGAGCATACCTAGGTACCGATAGGACCGAAACAGAGTGGGGTGAGATAACCGGCTATAAGCCGCAGGCTGAGCTTGGCTGCACTGGCCCAGTGACGAGGCTGCGTTAGAGGTTGTGTAGGATGGATTGGAGGGGGTAGCTTAGGTATTGGTTGGGTAGGCTGCGGCCTGAGATGGACTGATTTCCAGATATAAATTGGCCAGTCTGGAAGGCGACGAGTATCCCGGTCAAGCATGCATTCGTTGGCAGTGGTGGGATCGGGTCGTTTGAGGAAGGAGGCAATCACATCGCCAATGGTGTTGAAGACATCGCTGCGGTCTTCATGGGTGGTGATGAACATGCAGACGACCTTGACCAAGTTGCAGGCAATCACAACAAGGCGGATGGGGATGTTGACAAAGACTCGACAGTGCTCGGAGATCCTCTCAGCCAGACATGACTCGACAAGAGGGGTTCCCTGCAGTGTGTCGAATCCCCCAGGAGGCCAGTCTCAGTCTGTACTATTGCTACAGCTGTTCTGAGGCCAGTGGCTGATGTCGACAGGCAGCCTGTCTTGCGATACGGTAGTGATATTCAGGGCTGCCTGCTGTGTGCAGCCTTGCCCACGGCGTATATGTTGATGCAGTCATTCCCAGCGAGCGTTTCGAATAGATCTGCAAGCATACTTTGGCGAAGACTACTCGCGTTGTGCCCAACATAATACTCGAAGCAGTCTCCGGTGGAAAACTGACTATCTGGGTAGCTTGCATTTGCGAACTGCAGGGGTACAGACACCACGCTAGAGTCATTCGCACTGGTAGATGAATAGACTGCAGAGTTGTATCTTGCTCCACTGTTAGTTTGATATGGAATGACCCATGGGATATACAAACATCAGCTGGATAACTATCGAAGTTCCAAACATCAACACCCACAATATCTTACGACGCCGATGTAGAAGGATCCAGTTCTTGATATTGAATGACCCGACAGACAGCCAGATACGCCGAGCAGGTGCCTCATCCACATCTTGCCGAGTCGGTGCCATCAGCAGCTGACAGCAGTAGCTGCTCGTGGCAACCAGGGCTGTACTAAGCATATTGATCATAACATGCACGCCTGTGGTGGTGTTCTTTGCCTTTTCACAGCCGCCATCAGTAAGGGAAAACGACACAAAGTCAAATCGACGGCCATAGATGCCCGCCACCATGGTGAGAGCCACATTGAGCACGAGTATAACGGCATTTGCGTACGCGTATAAGCGAACTCCTCTCACCCATTCTCTAGATTCGGCCGGTAATCCATCCGAGATCTCACCGGTTGAGGCTTCACCGGTTCGTGGCTCATCGTCTGTGGCTTGCACAAGCGTATAACCGGGGTTTTGCGGCGGTGGAGGTGCATCCGAGACACTGATGCTCTGCAGCTCCACATCCCGGCCAGATATCGATCCGAGAGATCTGTGCGGTAGAAGATGATGAGTGATCAGGGTCCATCTCGAGATTGGTGGAGATGAGTGGATGGAGTCAGAATCATTGGCAAGGCTGGCAATTCAGAGATATTAGCCAATCAGAAGCCGTTCCTGGTGATTCCTGATCGATCCCTGCATAGCCTCGGGCACTTCGCCGCTGCTCAGCCTTGTCTCCACTGTAGACTGCTCATTCGTGCGCATATCTCGATGCATCTGCATATCTCGTCCCTCGGAAGTAGAATTGGGGGCCAAATGGATGCCAAGTACACCGTTTCCCAACTTTTTCATTCACATGCTATCTGATTTTTATTTTTATTTTTTGATCATTGTTATTGGAATTTGTTCAACATTTATGGTCTACAGATATAATATAAGTATACTATTACATAAAATAGTAGTTGAGTAGACCAAATATAGAAAAGGATTGGCATGACTGTAGGGCAGAGTGGCAGGGCTGATCGGAGACAGCCGACAACTTAATTAATTCGGTTAATCAGGTATGCCATACCCTTAGTATGGGGGGCCTAGTTAATATACAAATAAGCACTAATTAGCAATTTTATTATCCACTCTGCAACATTCTCCTGCCCGACGTCTATAAATTCCGGTCTATATCCTGATATCTTCTCTACGACAACAACAACAACAACATCAGCTCTCCACAAAGACAACCTCTCTGATAACACATACAGTTCTCTCTCTTTCTACACACATTCAAGCATATCCAACATGCAGTTCAGCATTCTCTCCCTCGGCCTGATGGCCACATCCACTCTGGCCGCCAAAGACGTTGTGTCGATGTTTATCCCCGACAGTGACGGCATGTCCTATAATGGAAAGGTCATTGGCATTGTATGGACCTCCAATCTCCATCCTCAATCTATACTAACACCGCCAGAACGGTACTACAACTTCATATGAACTTGCCTGTGCCGATGCCTCTGCCACGACCTCTGCCCCTTCTGCTACGGCGAGCTGCAACATGGAGGAAAATGGACATCCCACTATCATCTCAGCACCCTACAGCATTCATGTCATGGACCCCCCTGGCCAAGTGTAAGTCAATCTGTCTATCCCTTGTCCTTGTCATATACTGATTTGATCAGCAAAAATATCGTCGACTGCCAGCTTCACGGCAAAAACGCTACCTGCACTGGAACTTTGACTGCATATGAAGGGGGATCTATGATGAACACATTTACAGTCCCTATTACCTCCAACAGAGTTACCGTTACTGCAACGGATGTGTCGACTACCATTGCATCTACGAAGGCTACTGCTACTGCCACTGGTGCTTCGGCTACAGCTGATGCTACTTCGGATTCTGCTTCTGCCTCGGCAACACCTACTGTGACTGACAATGCTGCCATGGCTCAGATGACAGGTAATGCTCACTTGCTTGCTGGTGGTGCTGCCATCGCAATGGCATTTGCTATGGTTTAGGATTGATGGTGTGATTGGTTTGATTAATGATGGTGATTAGATGAGCGATATGTATGTTTGATATATTTATAGACAGTTAGCGATTGCATCGATTAGAGCTTCGAGTTAGTGGTTGGAATAATTTCATTTACCAATATCAACATGGTATTTAGAATAATGCCAGTTCCATACTCATAGTCCATAAGGTGGTCGTACGGTCACGCACGATGGACCAGTGCCTTGTCAAGGTAGTTCAAGATCTGAGTATTCCCATTCTGCATGGCAATGTCATAGGCTGCCAAACCCTCCGAGGCTGTTCGAATAAGCGGATCCGCTCCCTTCCCAGCCAGTGCAGCCACTACTTTGTCCCATTCATATTCCACCGCAAGATGCAATGCTGTAACGCCATTTCTTGGGAATTCAGGATCATCTGCCGTTATCCTCTGATCTAGATCCTTTCCCGTTTTGACAGTGGCGTTCAGATCTCATATTGGATTATTTTCGTACTGAGAATCCCAAACGATTCCATATGGGATGGACCGGGAGTGTATTTAACGCAGCTGTGGACAAAGGGCACTTCGAACTCACCGAGATTCTTCTCGTGGTGCCAACATCACCCTGGCCATCAGAACCTTCTCTCCTTTATACACTGCCATAAAGAATGATAATGAGCCGATGGCCTCGACCCATCTTCAACGTACGTGTACCCAGAAGGCACGACAGTTTTGATCGAACTAGCCAAGCGGGGGAACGATGGGATGGTCAACGTCCTCTTGGACCATCGCGCAGATCCAATCTACTATAATGCAGAGGGGGTGTCAGGGCTGACTGCTGCGTCCGAGCACTGCATGAAATGGGAGACAATCTTACGCCTTTTCCATGTGTATGTAAATGTAGGCGGCGATATCAATTACGACGAGCCAACAATGCCCCAAGAGTATCGACGATGGCCGCGCCTTGATGGCCGTCCTGAGCATCTGCCTCTCTATCGGTTTGCGCTGGATGGCTCCGTGCAAGGCGTCAACCTGCTACTGGAGCATAACGCGGATCCCGCCTCCACCAAAGGCAAATGCGGACTGACTGCATTGCAAACTGCTCTAGTCGAATGCCTCCCAAATAGTGAAGCTTATAACGAAATTAGCGAAATGCTAATTGAAGCCATCGACAAAGACACTCCAGTGGCTTTGGGAACAGTTGTTTGAAGTTTGCCTTACGATAGCCCTCATCAAGGAATTCTTACGCTTTGTCGGGGTCCTTATAGGGGCCTGGGTGTTCAAGGTAGGTGATGGAATGGACAGCAACGATAGAACTCGGCATTGTATAGGGCAGCCGTCAGTCGCTGCGCCAACTCTTTTCCAGTTTGAATCAAGGCGTTTAAATCAGGATCTGGAAGGTTGGCTGCCACAATAGAAGAATTTCTTGGGGTAGAGAAGTCAGCATTGTGGCTGTTGTCTGCGCAGATATTGAAGACTGGGGATGGAAACGTCCGGTTTGTAGACACTTTAAAGCATTCTGTAGTGGGCCAGCTGGCAGCCTTCCGATTGCTTAGCCAGAATCATCAAATTATAAAGTATTTATTTATGGTTTTTGATGTGATAGTAATGAGATGAGTGATATATGCGCGCTGTCGGATGTTATATTAGTCCTATGAAACAGTTTTAACATTACCATTACTGATATCTTTTCCCATGACTCTATTATACAACATATCCATGCACTTCGGAAGATCTCATGACTCAACAGGTGTTGCCTTTTTCATCATATCCAGAATGGCCGGATGGCGTCGTGTGATGGCCACACCCAAAAGAATTTTTCCGGCGTCGTTTGTTGCCAAAACATCAGCCCCATTATCAAGCAGCATGGCCACCACCTTTGCCCGTCGACGGGATACAGCCAGATGCAACGCAGTGGCACCTCTTTTTGCGGGGACGCGATGTTCGGATGGGCTTCGCTGTTCCAGGCCTGCTCCGCGTCAAACAGCGGCATCTATCAATAGTCGGCATACTTCGTCGTGTCGAGTCTTGTAACGCTTCAATAGCAGGACATGATGCAGCGGAATCATTTCTCGGTCTCCACCGATCAAAGCTGGATCTGCATTATGCTCAAGGAGCATTTTGACACCTTGCACACAGCCCTTCCTCGCAAAGTGCTGTAGAGGAAGGAGAGCCGGGTGGTCGTAGCGCGAGCTTCGTCTACATCCAGGAGGAATTACTGCCTTGTCTGAATTGATATCCCCGCCTGTATCTGTGTATGCATGGAGGATGCGCTCTAGCGTCTTCCATCGTAACCGCCTGGCAGCTGTCAATGCCGAAATCCCAAGGCAAAGGGAGACTGGATTTGCGCCGTGATCGAGGAGTATATTCACAATGTTTTCTTTCCCTTCCATGGCTGCTTCCATCAAGGCCGTTCTGCCAAATCCAAAGTCCGGGGATGGGCTGGCACCATTATCAAGAAGATGCGGAGTATTTTGACATTGTTCCTCCTTATGACGTACTCTAAAACATGCTTTTCTTTGGTCCAGAGCAACATGTCGTTTGCTAATGGCTGGTCTGTCTTGAGCTGGTCTTTGGCCGCATCGACGATTCGTTGCACCACGGCAGCAGAACACCTCCTGGCTGCCATGTCCAGTGTAGAGCACGTACTGTCCTTGGCCCTGCTCGTCACATCCGCCCCTTTGTCAATGAGCCAGATGGCCATTGATTCCTTCCGATCCCTGACGACTGGGTATAACATACACCCGTAGAGGGCCCGAATTATTCTCCTCGAGCCTTTGCATTCAGATAAATATGCCTCTATCAGCTGTGTATTCTCTGCCTTGGCAGCCATTCTCAACAGAAAGTAGACATGTTTGCCACTCTTTAGTACACTCCCAGGCCTGAAACGAAAATAATTCAGGATGGTCTCCAACCGCCATTGCCCGATATAATTAAATATACATCTGCTCAGTGGTTTTTCTCTCTTGCTTTCTTGCTTCCAGAATCATGTGGTGTATCGCACTCAGCGTCGAGTCCTTGATCATACAACAAAGGGGTAAAAAAACACGCGAAGGGTTTCTGTGTTTGAACCAGGCTATTCAAATCCGCAAGGGAAAGGTGTTCGGCTATACATAGTAGCAACTCGAGAGGGAAAGAGGATAGCATTATGTAGAGTCTTGTAGATGAATGAAGATGAATGAAGATGTATTGTCCACACATTCAATTAAATGTCGGACTTAAATAACCCCGGCTATTTCCCTTTTGGGCAACCGTTTTGATGTCTGCAGAATGCAGATTACCAACCTTGCATGATTTGCCATGCATGACCCATTGCTGCCTATTGCTGCCTGTTACTGCCTAAATAGATGCAGATTCACAGGCGTCAATGGTTCCTGTTTCAGTAAAATAGCCCGAACATTCTCCATCGCCAGTCTCTCAAAGCCAATTTCCGTCTCGATCGTACCACCGGCGGTATGTGCCGTCATCCTATCTTATTAGCTGGAATCAATTCAGGGAAAGGCAGACATACGTAACATTCTTCATCGAAGCCAACTCTTTATTAACCTGTGGTTCGAATTCATGAACATCCAATCCAGCCGCGAAGAGATGTCCTGATTTCAATGCTTCCACCAATGCTTCTTCATCGACTAATGCTCCGCGAGCGATATTGACGAATCGTGATCCTTTTTTGAATTTACCCAGTGTCTCTCTAGTGATCAATTTCGATCCTCCAAATGGCGTAGCAAGAAGGACACAGTCTGACGTTGAAAGAAGTTCATCTATTGTCGGACAAAACACAGCGTTGACAGCCTCCTCTTGGGTGGCTGGTTTGCGGTAGAGATCATGATAGTAGATCTTCATTCCAAAGCAGGCGTGTGCTTTTGTGGCGATTTTACTGCAAGGTTAGTTTTATTTTTATGGTCAGTAGACACACTTACTGTCCGATATTCCCTAATCCAATTATACCCAGAATGTGATCTTTAGGATTATGAGCAGTTCGTGCTGTATGGCGATGCGCATCCATCCACAGGTCTGGATCTGTCGATCGGGCTCCACTCATTGACCATTGCATGTTTCGGAAGACGGCGATGATGTGGAAGATGGCCTTAACAGTCAGTATAATCCTGTCTCAAGTGAGTTTACAGACCATATCAGCAACCGCTTCACTGGATGCTTGTGCTCCGTTACAGTAGATAATCCCTAACAGAATTAGTTCATATCCGATAGTTATATGAAGAAGTGCCTACCATTCTCAGCCAAAACATCCACATCAGCCCAATCATACCCTGCCCCAGCACTGGCAAAGATCTTGACACTCGAAGGCAGTAACGGAACCAACTCTCTATCCCATCGTCCCATTTCACCGCCTGTATTCCAGAACGGACGGAGGATGGCGTGGAAGTCGCCCCATTTCTTCTCTTTCAGAGATGCCATGAATGCGTCACGTTGTCGCTCTTCGGCAGATGGTCGGATGATGGTAAACTGTTCTGAAAGCTGGGTATACAGATCATGGTTGAATTTGATCGGGTCTCCGATGTGGAGGATGATCGGTTTGGATGCCATTATGATGTTTGCCTATTCGGAGGAATATGGAAATGGGCATCAATATGGATGATGAGAGGGTGGTTTTGACAAGAGCTGTCGTGCAAGAATCAGGATTCTGCCCGTATATCCTGCCCCACTTCCTATTCAATATAATTCCTTTATCTCTAGTCTGGCATACAGCGGGTTTCTCTCCGACTGGACCTACCCCGCTGTGGCATTGCGGGGAAGTGCTGATCCACGGAACACGTCCGAACTGACTTGACTCTATTGACACTATGCTATATCGTATATCTGTAGTTCGGATGACACTGCCATTTCGCAGCGACTGCAGCACAAACTGACCCCTCGCTAGCAGGATCCCTTCCCGCATTCAGATCATCATCTGCCGCTTTATCGAGCTTTCGATTTCTCCATTGCAGAGTAAAATGCAACACAGTAGCCATGACGATACACAGCGCACAAAAGCAGACATTGGCGACATTCGCCGGCCAGTATCGCGGTCCTTGCGAGGAGGGGTAAAAGTAACTGGCGTAGATCGAGGCGAAATTCGATCCCGCGTTGACGACGGCATATGCAACTGCGCGTTTTGGTGCCGGGCGAGGGAGAGAAGTCGAGACCCAGGATAGAATACAGCCAAAGGATCCATAGATGGACATCATCATGAAGGTGGCGATATATCGAGCTGCTGTCTGCAGGGTGGCAGCGCTGATGATGAAGCCGATGCTGCAGAAGATCTGGGGCCAGATGACATGCAGCCATCGTTCATTGGTATGGTCGCTGTGAAATGAGTTGCAGACACAAAGGATGGCAGCGAAGATATAAGGAGGGGCCGAGAGGAGCAACGTATTCGTAGTCCCATACCCAAGAGTCTTGACGATGGTTGGGAAGAAATTCGTAAATGCAGCACCGGTGTTGAGCCCAAGTTGCATGATCCAGATGATGTATAGAGCCGGGTCTCTGAAGGCCATTTTGAGGCCATCCCAGTTGCTACTGGCTTCATGGTCATCTTTCTCATTGGCCTCTTCGTCAATTCGAAGCATGGCAAGCTTTCGTTCACTGTCGGTCAGCCATTTAGTCGTCGCTGGATAGTCAGGGAGAATAAGCATCGCAAGGGCTGCAACTGGAAGGGTGGCACTGCCTTCTATTATAACTGATACAATCAGATATATTCAGTACAGCAATTTGATTTATCATTAAACTCACAAAGCCATTGCCACGAAGGCAGGCCGGCCTTTCCGTCCATTCCAGACATTATACCGCTACCAAGTAATCCTCCAAATGCGCCTGCCAGTTGGGCTGCAGTGAACAGAATCGATATTCTTGCAGCAAGTTCTTTCTTCGTATACCAGGAAGAAAAGAGGAACAAGGCACCGGCTGAAAATAGTCAGTATAGACGGCAAGCCAAAGCAGGTGGACATACGAAAGAATGGAGCTTCCACGAAACCAAGAATGAAGCGTAGTGCCAGCAGTCCATGATAGTTCTGAACAGCCCCGGTACAGGCACTGACAATTCCCCAGCCACACATAATAGCGGGCTTTCTTGTTAGTTTGAACTGTTTCTTAGTCTTTGGGCGCTTACCAAGAATAAAGACGGTCTGGTCTTGTTCAAGATCATGTTGGTTGGAATCTGTGTCAAGATATACCCGACGAAGAAGATACCTATCGAGTAAGCCATTGTTCCTACTATATGGGAAACATACTGATGATTGTGTTATATTCCGACCCTCCAAGGCCAACGTCTTCTTCCAAAGAGCCTAGTCGAGCTGTTGCGATATTATTTCGATCCAAGTAGTTGAGGATATCTGGTCTGTTAGTATGCATTTGCTCGATACTGCAACACGTACAAATGAGCATCATCAGAGGCATCAAGCGAAAGTCGATCTTTCGAACCAACACCGTTTCCAAATGCTGTCTATCATGTATAACGACATTGTCGTCTTTGGAGTCAGAGATGTCTCTGTCAATAGTATCCACCCTCTCGAGCCCGTCCATGCTGTCTTTGTGTGAAGCCATGTTGATAATAATCACCATCTATCTGCCTTCTCTATCTATTTAAATACCCCACTTTCAGAGTCCGGGGTACCCCACCAAACCTAAACAGATCCATGGCATTTGGACTCGGCAAGCTCGCCGAACCAAACGACGCGGAAGTTGTCCGGATAACACGAATTCAAGCTACTATTTATTAACATTCAATCCATAGACTGGGCTTGTCGTATGTACACGTGCAGACATAGTCTTGCCCATGAGTAAGCTGAGCAACCCTTCCAGTGGCGTATCAACCAATGATGACAACATCTCCATCCTGTATGCACTGAAAGTGACGCCAAATCCACGGAGATGACCTGTCTAGTAATATCTCCATAGAACACCCGTGGCGAAATCATCTGCACCCTGCATAGATAGATAGCTGAGTTTGAAGAGATCAATGGTGCACCTTGATTGCAATATATCTTGACCAGGATTATATGGAAGGCAAAACGTCAAACTGGGGATGTTTGTTGAAATGTAGACTGTTCGCCTGTATGTGTAGCTAAGCTATGTACAAGTATAATTCCAGCCTGTGCAAGCAGATGATTCGATCATGCTGAAAAACAAATTACCGGTATATCCGATGAATGACCGCGGTGTTAGCAATTTATATTAATTCCTAGAGGTTGCCATCTCATTTGACATCCTCAAGCTGTTGAAAATAGCCACAACTTTTTAAAATGGAGACGCATCCCAGCGAACACGCCGGACATGGCGATTGGGATCCTTGATATGATTCCGGGAATGCAGCCATCTCCGGTTATCCATGAGGATAACACTCCCCTCCTGCATCATCTGAGCCGTCAGATGGATCGTCTCCTCTTCCACCTGTGGCCCCTTCAGCACTGCCTGCAATGTCGAAAATGCCGCTTCGGCCGCGGAGGTCAACGGTGTGATGATATCTTGTCGAAACCGCAGTTCCGGGCGATTATCTAGATCTCCAGCAAACACACTGCCGATGATGTGTGTTTCGTCTTTGTTCTTGATGAACTCCGGTGGCACCGTGATCCGGAATTCGGGCTTTGCCAGAGCAACACGAACAGGTGGTGGCAATTGTCGTAGCAGCTGGTCCGATTTCAAAACACTCAATGTGCCCCCTCCACAACGATCCGGTTCCAGCACTTGCAGCGCAAAGTATCGCGGGGGCGATGTTTCATAACTACAGTCCGTGTGCCATGCGAAGTTACCCATTGTATGTGAGCGAGCCTGATGCCCATTTTCGATTGTCTGCGGGCTGGGTCGGACATCCCAGAACCAGCCGCGGGAGGAACTGTGGTCGATGGGGAGACCGTGGCCGTGGTATCGGTGTAATTGATGGATTAACTTCTCGATATAGCGACTGTCTGTGTCTTTGAAGCCTAATGTGATTTTGAGGACTCCACCTCGGACGAGGTGCGAATGGACGGCGGCGACGTGGGATTGGTTTTGGACATCGTTCATTTGTGCTGTCAAAAGGGGGATATCAGTGGGTAAGGTATCTGCAGCTGTTAGTTATTATATAGCGATGATGCAATCTGCGACTTACTTTGGGGCAGATGCAAGGCCATTCGTGTCTGGCGACAAGCAGCAGCCGAGCTGATCGGCAGCGTCTGCACTCGGCTGGCGAGTGATTTGAATAGTGGCCTACTCATTCTGAAACAGCAATATGTGTTGTCTGAAAGCAAGACAGGAGAAAGGCACAGATTGATAAGAAATGTTCTCAGAGGTGGAATCTGCCAGTTTATCTGCAATCATAATATCGATTGCCGATCAATTATCAGGCGACGCAAAACCTGCCAAGTCCGTGTGAGCCCAGCCATTGATTTGGTTTACGACTGGCGCAAAATGAAAGACCAGTGCAAAACAGCCACCACGGGCTCCAGCCGTGGCTGTATTGTGCGATACGAGCCAGTCCGAATTGGCGATGACAATCACTGCAGCAACTCATCGTGTCTCATAGCGGGAATTGCATTTGACGAACTCGCGATCTTGGACGGCATTGGCCAATCAAAGCAGTGGAAAAGGTGAGGGGTGGATACTTCAGCCGTACGACGGGAAGCTCTAGGTAGTGGGGCGTTACCGTAATATTACCAGATCATGATCTGAATTACACATAATGAAAATGGAACTTCTCATCGTCATAGCCTGTTCATTAGGAGACCGAGTGGTAGTTCCAACTGCCAGTTATAGGAGTATATATCTATGAATTCAAACAGGTTCATGGTGGAGTTCTATGATATGAAAAGAAGCGTCCAGTAGTTGATGTGTATCTTTCAAGATTGCACCGGATATATATTTCCGACAGGATACAACCATGGATCAGCTCAGGGACCACCTGAATAACTTCCTACTGTCACCATGGAATAATCCTCTTCGTAAGGTTAGCAATGTAGTTCAAACTAAGTAATTTTAATTTAATATGCGCTATGTATACATATCATACACACCTCACCCATCCGAAACCACATATTCACAACTCACTCTCATAACCAGACTCATTGTCAGACTCACTCTCAGAGTCAGCTCGATTCGGCTGCTTCCTCTGCAGGCCATAGTCCTCAATAAACAGCGACAGAACAAACATGAAAATCATCAAACCGGCATACGAGAGGAAAACACGCTTCACACCATGCAAGTACACCGAGGAGATGAGTTGCTTGTCTTCATTAGACAGAGGGAGATCGCCCAGAGCAAAGGCGGACGAGGTTAGCTGTGAGATGAGGTCGGAAGTGAATTTTGCTTGCAGCGATCTCTGCAGAGTGTTGTTGAGAATAGCACCGGATACTGGACATGGTTAGTTGTGTTCCATAACAAGAAAGTGAGGGACATGCCTGTTATGCCGACAGCACCACCAATGTCACGGAGAAAGTTCCTCAGACCAGTCATCACAGCCCGGTCTGCGTTGTGAGATCCAGCAAGCAGTCCAACCAGAGCTAATCATCCAGTTAGTAAGTCTAAGCCATATGGAGCAGTCAACATACCAGGTTGCAGCGAACATCCAACACCGTATCCTTCGAAAATACCAAGGACGAAGAACATCCAAACAGGAGAGCTCTGGTTATAGAGGAGGGCCTTGACAGACGCACCGACTGCCCAGAGAAAAGCCCCAGACCGAATAATAGGCATATAGTGACCCAAGTATGCAACGCCAATCCCTGTAAGCCCCGATGTCATGCCATGAGCAATGACCATGGGGAGGATATACGATCCAGCGACAGCAGGACTGCAGCCTCGCACGTTTTGGAAATAGAGAGGGATGTAGAAGAGATTTCCCCAAAAAACCCAGCCGATCATCAGGTTGAGTCCCAGGAGGATATTGGTGGAGCGGCCGTTTTTGAACAGGTGCACTGAGTTGTCAGCTGATGCTTCAAATTGAGTGAAGAATACATACTTGGAAGGACAGGGTACTTGACAAAACGCCATTCAATCACGATGAAGGCGATAAACAGGAGAACACCGATGATCAACATGCCACAGGTGAAGGGGGAGTTCCATCCGATAGACGACCCTCCTTGCGATACAGGAATCTAGTTCTGTTAGCTCTGGCCGAGTGTAAATGATATCGACATACCAAAATGAACACAATAGCCAGCATGCTAGTGCACACTCCCAACCAGTCAATCTTCTTCAATTTCGCCCAAATATCCTCCGGAGCCGTCGAACTGGGCAGGACAAAACCAAGGTGAACAATGGCACCCATGGTCAACGGACAGATGAACCAGAATGCCCATCGCCACGAGGTCAGTTCGGTCAACCATCCTCCAACAACAGGACCAAGGCCATTACCAAGGGCAACGGCAATACCGAGGATCCCAAAGTAGTATCCTCGCTGTTCCAAGGTGGTGATGTCGGAGACGGCAATCTGCACCAGCGCATTGATCGCACCGGCACCGAAACCAGTGAATGCTCGTGTTGCGTACAGTTGAGTGGGAGTCTGGGAGAGACCAGAGAGAAAGTTGCCGAACCCCATAATAGCCAGAGTGGTGATGAGACATGCTTTACGGCCAAAGATATCCGACAGTCGTCCATTGATGAGTTGGATACTGGTGCTGGTGGTCAAGAAACTGGCGCCAACCCACGAGATAGACGATCCCGTGTTCAGACTAGAGGCGATAGCAGGCAGAGTGGTCGAGATGGCAGTCTGATCCAGGAATGAAGTAAACTGAACGAGAGCCAGCGCCGCAAAGACCATCAACAGGGGCTTGTGAGGCAGAATGTGCGTTTGGTAGTCCTTGACGGGCGCCAACAGCGGCGTGTCTTCTGTCGCGGCCGCGCGCTCTTCATGATCATCTCGTCCAAGGCGCGCCATGATAACTGATTGGACTTAGAGTAGTCGCAGTTGATGCATTGATGTTTTTGACACTGAAGAAAACGCAGATTCGGAGGAGAGCACGTGTCGCTCAGATGGAAAATACCGTGTATAGACGCGTGTAATACCAGAACCCGCCCAGCTGGATCGGGACGGCAAGATCGGAGACAAACCATGGATCCGACTGGGACTATTGGCTTGTAATCGCGTTGATTGGACATTGCTTATCCCGAAATTGGCTGCAGTTCAGCTGATCTTTTCCTCTTCGGCCGCAGCGCTGAAGTTGATTTGGTTTTTCCTCTCAGCTGTGTGTGATAGTGCGATTTGATGGTTTTGAATACGGGGAAGCTGAAGAATCGACCGTATGAAATGTCTTGAAACAGTGTAAAACGGATTACGAATTGCAATACAGCCAGCGATCATCACACTAGCATGTCAGTTGAACAACTAACACGAGAAGCAACAAAGCCCAGCCGATGATTTCATCCATTCTCCCATGCGTCATTTCTCTACATCAGCATCAATGGAGTCAAAAACACCGTTGCTAGAGTCACAGCCGACAATTCATATTATCCAAGGCGATCTTGGCTGCCTTTTCGATTCCTTTTGGGCTGTTTACCGTGCTTTACTGGTCTCCAGCGGGTCTATTGAAGCTGCCGCAATGGACGCATCACTGCATCCACAAGGTCCCTCTGTCCAGCCAGCGTGTATCGTACGACATTCTCAAAGACATCCTGCTCAAAACGCCTGAACCGGCCAAAGCACGTGAATAGAGTCAATTCTACACCAAACAATCACATCTGCCCGGACAAGGACTGACGAACACTGAATGGATCAAGCTAAATGGCGAGAATTTGGGATCCCAGACGTGGAAATCACCTCCCATGATACATCCCTCACAAATCGTGACACCCAACAACTGACACCGCACAACACCACCGGCCTGGTTGATGAGGTGCTTCATGAAGTTATGCTGGCTGAAAATGTCACCAATGATGGCGACTTCATTCCGGCATTCTTTACAGGGCCCGGAATGGGAAACGTCACAGCGCAGTTCGTCAGTTCGTTCATTTTTGTAAACTGGGGTTTGAAAGAGGATATTGATGCTTTGCACAACGCGAATGTCTCCCTCGAGGGCATAATTGCCATCATGAAATCCGTGCAGGTGTCGCGCTCCCTCGAGAACAAGAACTAGTATATCTCCCGCGCAGAACAAGCCGTCAATGCACTATTGGCGGGTGCAGTGGGCGTCATCATGTATTCCGACCCCGAGAGCGATGGCTCCATCACCGAGGCAAACGGGGTCGGTTGAGTTCCGAGCATGAGTGTTGAACCGTTCTGTTCTGTCTTGGAGTAATCGACTGACCACCGACTAGATGGTTTCGTCGCACCGTCAATGCCCATTTCGTATGCCGATGCGATTCCGCTCATTACGGCGTGGCCATGGTCCGGCGGTAGCTGATTCCAACCAAAGATGGCAGTGTGGTGGTCTTGGCTACTAAGGCGTCCAGTATAACGTCGGCCCATCGCCAGAGGTCACTGAGGTGAACCTCGCCATTGACGTGGACCGGTTTGACGGCCAGGTTCATAATGCCTTCGGCACCATCAAAGGCAGCGTGATGCTGGATGAAGTGGTCATCCTGGGATCCCACAGCGATGCGTGGGGTTCTGGAGCTGGAGATGCAGGCAGTGGATTGAGTGGCTGAATGAAGTCGCCCGAAGCTTTGGGGCTGCCCTCAAGACAGGACGGAGACCGGCACGTACGATCATATTCGCCAGATTTGAAGGTGAGGAATTCGACCAAACCGGAGCTCGAGGCTGGCTGAAGGAAACCCGCAAATGGGTGAACGCTGAGCTGATGGCGTATCTGAACGTGGTCGTGGCAGGATCTAGCACGAAGCTGCGTATCAAGGCGAGCCCATTGCTGAACAAGGCGCTGGTAGCGGAGGAGACACCATGGTCTTCATCCACGATGAATGCATCGCGAGTCTGGACATGAGCTCTTCGCCCGACGCCACCGACCCTATCCTTCCCTATCACTCCCAATTCAACACGGTCGAATGGATGGACAGGTACGGTGATCTCGCCTGGGAGTATCATACCACGACAGTCAAAATCTGGGGTTTGATAGCAACGACTCTCCTCGAGACGCCTGTTCTGGTGATGAATGCGGCCGATTATGCATCCGCGCTGGGCCAATATCTGGACCAAGTCCGCCAAAACCACCCCTTTCCATTTGAATTCAAGTATGCACCTCTCTACAATGCGACCGAGCGGTTTGCCCAGGCATCAATGCCGTTTGATCAGCATGCAGCTGAGCTGGCTAGTCGATTGGATAGTCAGCAAGATACCGAGTCTGCATTGTACGAAGAAATCCGCGCCATCAACCACAAGTATATTGCCCCGGAAAGCCAATTCTCCTTCACTCCCAGTCCGGATTCCGGCATGGCCCCTAACCCGCAACATGCCATTCAACACATGACGTCACGGCATATGGATTCAGAGGCTTTCCCGCTTCTTACGTGTTCCTTTGATGGTGGATATGCTACACTGTCTGAGGTACGTAGCTCTTCCTTTGCGGAATGCTTATACTAACATTGTAGTAGACAGGGAGAGACATTATCGCCAGCAGAATCGATGCTGCTGCGGACTCACTCATTCGAGTTTAATGACACTGGGACTTTTCAATACGAGCTATGATTCCATCACCAATCTCATTGTATAATTTATAACTTGAAATTAATTGTTCAATATTCTGACCAATAACAAACGCCCGTATGACTCAGCATAATACGAACTACACACAAGGAACGGCAGCATAAAAGAGACGAAAAACAGGGGGCAGGGATAGAAACCGATGCATCGAAGTATGCTAGACAGCAAAAGCTAACACGAAGATATTCCCAAATATCACGGTATAATCTAATGAACACGCCGTAGATGCTCCTCCAAGTTATCCTTTCGGTTGAATTTTGCCTTGCATTCCCCCTTCCAACACTTGTAAGAGCGAGGAGAGATATGCTTGGTCTGAACATGCCGCATCAACTCTGCTGGACGTCGAAAGCTACCGGCATAGTTGCAATTCTTCCATTCGCATGTGAGTCGAGAGACATCATCCTGTCTGTGTCTCGGATAATGTCAACAACTGTATTGTTCAAGAGACAATGATGAAAAGGGAACGACATACGGGGGTGTAGACTCGTGATGGTGATCATGAGATGTATTTTCTTTGTTTTGGACGCCGCTGGAAGATGTTGACCTGCGTTGGCTGTCCATTGCTGGACGAGATAAGGCATCAGTCGAAAGACCAATGCGGTGAATACTGTTGTCATTCATGATCGAGAGGTTCGTGGTGCTTGGCTCGCGATCTGTGCCATCATAGACCAGACTACGGGGATTGATAGAAGCTGTAGGACCCATATCTAAGTCAGTTGGGGGGAATGGCATCACACTCCATTCGAACGGCATCGGGGGTGGGCGCGGGGAGGGATCATGTGGGGGATCATATGGGGAAAGAAAAGAAGAAGGTGAATTTAGTGCCATTGATGTGTAACAACCAGCGGTGAAGCCCTGGTGAGGAGAGGTCATGGATTCATCAAGTCTAGTATAGAAGTATGGATCGGTACTTTGTGAAGAGCAACTCATTTTGAAGCAACTGGGGTAAAAATGACAGGGAGCAACAGTAATTGATTCAAAGTGGAACGAAGAGGTAGAGAACAAAGTGAATTGGTGCCAATTGAGCCAGAGAGCCAGGCATATTTATATTCACCATGAGGCAATGAACAATTCTCACAGATTGAGGCGGACGCGACATGGGATCTACACGAGTGGATCCCGACTTTATTTCCCTACGTAGGGAAAAGGGTAAGTGGCCAATCACCATGCAGGTTGAATGATCTGATAGGTCTGACGGGCCCACCTTCTGGCCCATCCAAGGCCCGTGCGCAAATGGGTGGGAAGATATGGTGGACCGTTCCGAAGTTTGCCTGACGCGACATCCAAATCTCGTGTCAATGTCAACTCTACCTGAAAGACGTGGTCTTCTGCTCTTATTCAAGCTCGTCAACCATATTTGAATACAGATCGCGATGGATAATCAAGCCTGGGAAACCCACAAGGCCGGAATCGAGTGCCCCTATCTCGAAGAAGGCCAGACACTCAAGGATCTCAAGGAACCTCTGGCAACACATGGTTTCCCCAAGACGTAAGATACTCTGTCTATCTTTGACGAAACGTCCTGACATGCACCAGGAAAAACCAGTACGAAACGAAATCCAAGCAATGGGGCTTGAAGAAAAATCGTGGCGGGTCCCAGAAATGGAAATGTGTGACATATCAACTGGAGAAGAGGAAGGGCAAGCAGAGCGAGCTATTCATCGATGGCATCGAGTACCCGACTAACACGGTGAACTATGGAACATCCCGACAAGAATGTCAATCGAGTATCGCCAAGTTAGATTCAGGTAAGCCCAGGAGGATGCAAACCAACATGTCATCAGCTCATTCTCTGGCCGCGGAAGCTGTTTCACTCCACTCAATATCGCAGCAGGACATTAAGATGTAAGTCTAACACGGGGCATGAAGAGGGCTAGATGCGATACCAATCATCTTCCAAAAGGCAATGGTGCACGCACAGCTTTGCAATAGCAGTTGAAAAGGACAATGGAGCCGCTGAGCACGGCCGCATTGATATGCTGCAACTGCTGCTCAATGCAGGTGCATTATCTGAAGGCGAGGATTGGTGGCAGCTGGTTCGCGTAGTCAAAGTGACAGAGATGTATGCAAACAATGCCACGGCGTGGTGTGTGAAGGCTATCTGTGGCTGGACAGAGTCAGACCCTTGCTGCTACAAGATATATCAAGATGAATACGCAGTGGGCTTGGGTCCAGGTTGACCTAGTTTCTCTGTTAAAGGTAATCAGACTTGGTCATTTTTAGCTCAATTCTAACTGGGATTCACATCCTGATCAGCTGGTGTGAAAACTGTGAGCCTTCTAGAATAGAAAATATATACAACCTTGTGTATATACCTTAGGATAATCTCTATGTTTTTTGATTAGTTTACTAAATACTACATACTATTACCTATCAGTATAAATATATATAATATGCGATAGTAAATAATCTAAGGAATTATGTACTTCCATTTAGCAATACTTTGTATATCTCAACACTATCTATGTATTCCATTCTGTGCTTTGACTTTATCCAGATGTTGTTCTGTTTAATTTAACCCTGTTGTTCCTGTGTATGAACCTGACTCTTTGCGTCCACCACAGGAACAGCTTCCGCATTATCCCGATCAACACCAAGCACAACTCCTTCATTCCTTGTACTCAGATGATGAGCCCGAATAAACAACGTGAGTATCGTAGCCAGTCCTGCAAAGGCAACATACTATAAATGTTAGATTGATATTGTCGAAACGAGGGAGCATACCATAGTCCACGTCGTCCTCAATGCACGGAAATACACCTCTTTAACGATTTCCTGCTGTGCCCTCGGCAATGTATGGATCTGCTCGACATTGACCGATGCATCTGCACCATTAAACTGTTTCGCCACATCATTTCCCAACGTATCGACCAAACCTGGATTCTCAGCATTCATTCGATTCTGAAAAACAACACCGCCAACCACCACCGATATAGCCGTGGATATGGATCTCATCAGAGCCATCGTCGCCGTAACAGCCGCAGTATCACGAACAGGGACTACAGCTTGTGCGGCCAGAATCGGCGCATCGATGTTCATGCCTATACCCACTCCAGCCAGAATGGAGAAACCGAACATCTTTGCTGGCGATTCCTCGTGTTTTAGATATACGAAGAGACCAACACCGAGGGTGAGCAATACCTGCCCGATGTACATGACAGGTATGTATTTTCCTGTTTTCTGAATGAAGACACCTGCTGCTGCTGCTGCAAGGGAGGATGCGACGACGAGAGGGAGGAGATAGAGGCCAGATCTGAGGGCGTTGGCACCGAATACTGATTGCGAGTATAGAGGAAGGTAGTAGGCTATTCCCATAAAAACATACGCATTGAATGAGAAGACGGCGTATGCTGCTGCTGGAGATATGGAGGAGAAGAGGCGAAGGGGAATGATGGGATTCCTTGCGAACTTCCATTCATAGAGGATGAAGAGGGCGACCACAACACAGCCCATGACGATCAGGCAGATGACTGTTGCTGAGGCCCAGGGATAGGTGACGCCGCCAAAGTTGAGGCCGAGAAGGATCATGAGGATACTGCCAACGCTGAGAACACTTCCAGTCCAGTCAATGGCTTTGAGGCCTGCTCGAATGGGGGTTTTGGGACTGGGAAGTTTGAGCACGAAGATGAAGACGAAGAATACAACACCACCAATAGGCACTAAAGAGTTAGATAGATAGTGAAGGTCGATGGAGTACATACAGTTGATCCAGAAACACCATCGCCAGCTGCTGATGTCAGTATATGAAGTATCCAAGAAGAGACACTCACTTGGCTCGACTAGTAAGAACACCACCCAGAACAGGCCCAACAGCACTCCCCACTGCCCAGATAACAGCTGTGATGGCCAGATATAATCCACGATCTCTCAGGGAAAGCATATCGCAGATAATCACATTCACCAGTGTGCCCATTCCAGCCGCTCCCAGACCTTGAATAACACGACCGACGATGAAGGAACTGATTTCGTTTACTGTTGCGCAGATGATGCTGCCAACAAGGAATGTAGACAAAGCAATGAGGATGATGGGTTTGCGACCCCAGATATCGGCGACTGTGCCGTATATAGGAACGATGGCTGTATAGGCCAGGATGAAGGAACTGCCGATCCAGGTATACCCAGCAACCGAGCCAAAGTCACTGACAATGGTTGGGAGAGCAGTGGTGATGATGGTGAGATCGAGGGCAGAGAGGGTGACAGACAGACAGAGGGAAGTCATCGTGATGGCAAGTGTGGTTGTGGATAGCTGCATGGATCGTGTTTCTTCGGGTTGGTTGATATTTCCAAAAGAACCAGTGGGAATAGAAGAGCTATTTTGATTATTAGTAGGAGACATGATGATTATTTATTGTATGTAAGTGTAGTAGAGCAGAAGTAAATATAGGCAAATATATACATCGAGGGACAAGCCCAATTAGGAAATTAGGGCTGGATATTCTAGCCCTGTGGGAGAAAGAAGATGCTAAAAACGAGCTTAAAAAACGGGGGGGACATCGACAGCCCGCAAAAATGAGTTATTTTAGGAGTGAGACATGCTGATGTCATGTGCAGGGATGGCCGTCCTGTATATCTTAGTGCGTGCTTATTGGATGAATGTGACGATTAACTGAGATAGAATCAATTCCACTGACTAGATAGTATCCTCTAAGTTCATTTAAAATTATGTATAGAAAATGCAGTTAACGATAATCTGCTAAACACAATCGCAGCTCAGCACATTTACATATCTCATAGCCAAAGTAGTGAACAGAGCAGTCACCCTGCAGCCAAATGCAAGCCAGCATACGGACAGCGTACTGCAAGCAGTATATAGTGTCTTATGCAGGATATGCTCAGATAACCTACTTATATCACCGGATTATTCAGTAGTTGGAAGGTGACTAGGTAAAAATCCAGATACACTCGGTATATGTTTAGTGTAACCATTTGGCATTTATACATTGGACTTGCACTCAATACTTGTAGCTTTATGATGATATAGTGAGTTTAACGTAATTTTATAGTGCATTGGCCTTTAATCTATCTCTACAATGGATACTCCACGCTACCGGAAACGGGATTCGGCGACAGTAAAAGTCGGATTTGCTTGACGAACGCATCTAGATAGTAGACTACATCATGTTATATTATCCATCTTCACCTATACCATATCATATAATGGAGAACGAAACGGTTACATATCCATGTTTAGGTAATATCAATGTTGTATCGCTGCAATTGCCGTTTTCAGATATGCGTACGATGGAATGTTTCATTGCACAAAACCAACATGATTTGTCAATGCAATAAACTTTAATTGACTGTCCGCTTATAAATATCCCCACCCTATCACCCCTTCTCAGCTAGACAATCCATACTCCTTGACCTTGATGGCAATATGAAGCTGCAAACCATCCTGCTGTCCCTCCCGCTGGCCTCTGTGGCCACTGCTGAAGTCACCCTCAACAAGCTGTATTTCGATCGTCTCTGTCCGAAAAACGAGGAGCTCGAGCTCGAAATCTCACCCAATGTCTTTGTGACCTACAGCTGCCACCGCTCAGTAGCCACCTCGGTGAAGACAGCTGCCTCTGACGCCGAGGACCCCTACGAGTGTGCCATGGAGTGTTCTAAAACCAAAGGCTGTGTTGGCGGCTTGTGGAGTGGCCGGGTTAAGAATGCTGAGGACCCATGCAGTTTGGCTATGCATGCTGCTGGAGAGCCTGAGCTCCGAAACAGACTCGACGTTGTGTACATGGCTGTGCGGGATGGCAACGCCGAACCAGTAGAATGCGCGGAGGAGGCAAAGATTATCCATGATTTGATCAGCAAGAACGAGGCACTGAAGAAGGAGCTGGAGGAGTGCAAGACACACAGTGATGATGACGATGATGATGAAGCTACCACGCCTCCCACTCCTCCTCCTTCAAAGGAATGGACGATCAAAACAGGCCACCGTAAGCTGCTGTTGCCAAACTGTTATATGAGGCTATACTGACTCTCACAGACTTGATAAACCACCACTATTTGAGCCCCCAAGGCGGAAATGGACGGCGCAGTCTGGATGACTGCATGGCACTGTGCGAGAAGACCACTGGATGCCAGGGAGTCACCCGGAACAGAACGACGGGCACCTGCTGGCTGGCAAGAGACGCAAAGCCCCCGACCAGAGTTCTGGGACAGACCCCCAATGCGAATCTCGATTCTGCCATTCTTAAATGAAGTTGATATAGCAGAGATGCATTTATAGTCAGCCTGTCCTTGCAGAGGAATTACCGGGCGGTTCCATTGGAAGCATTGGCGCTAGTTGAAATGCATCACATGCATTTCAATTATTGCATTGACATATGTGGCTGAGAGAATATAATTGATTAAGTATAATTGATTCCATCATCAAATGCCATTATCCTTAACGTCGGGCTTACATGCTCATAAATATCCAACTCAAATCAATGTACACATTCCTCCCATGAATTCTCTCATTAATTTCAATCAAGTATCTGACTGACCCACTCCTCGGTGGGGTTTCAAGACCGCCAGGATGGTGCAGTATAAAGATGACCCAAATAGTGTTTCAATGCAGACAGTAACCAAGTCAGAATGCTGCTCAACCCGTATTTCTGGATTTTGTCAAGTTTGGCAGGATTGAGAGAGGATTCCAATTTGTGTATCAGCGTTAGAAGACGGAGTGATATTATTCAACATACATGAGATATGATAATGCTAGTCTCTTGTCAAGTCTCATCTTCGAAGAATTAGGATGAACTGTCGAGATGATTATAACAATAGGCGTCTATTAGGCCTAATCGGAAAAGCTTATCAGATCACAGCCCCAAAGACTACCTTAAGTGGGGGCTGAAACAAGGCTGCCTTCTGTCTTTCTGATTGGCCATTTACTATTCCAGCCCCCATGGACCACTCGGTGGATGCATTCCTGCCGTTGATCCAATCGGCCGGTTGTTGGCCCGACTGTTTCATTTATCAGGCTGTCTTCCATCTCATCTCATCGTCAACCACCTCAATATGGACGAGTCATTGGCGCATCCTTCTAGAAAGATTCTCCTGGTCGTCACCACTGGAGGCTTTACCCATGCCAGTCAGTATGCCTTTCTTGTACCATGAAATTCTGCTAATCCAGCAGGTCCCGTCTTCGAGATAGGCCGCGTGCTGTCCGAGCGAGGCCACAGGATTGAATTCGCCACTCTCGACGGCCAGGAACACTGGATCAAGGGTTATGAGTTCATCTCCAAGATCCATCCTCTCGGTCCAGGGCCAACTGCCGAGCAGCTCAACGCGCATTATCTGCGCATGCGATCGTGGGACATGTCCAAGGGCATCAACATGGACTCCAAGTATATGTTTGATTCCTTCTGGCCGCAGACATACCGCGGGTTGAAAGCCATCATGGAGGATCCCGCGACGCGACCTGCCATGATGGTCGGTGACTTCTTCGTCGACGCCGTCAAGGATATGCTCGTCGAGTACCGTATTCCCATCGCCATGGTCTGGCCGAACATGCCGTTCCTCATGATGCCGTGCAAGTACATTCCTGGTGAACCGGGCTTTCAGATCGATGGTACGACGACGTCAGAGAATGCGTCCATGTGGCTGCGCATCAAGAACGAACTGGTCCCAGTCCTCAGTCTGCCCACCATCATCAAGTGGATGAAATGGACTGGCCAGATGCGCCGTCGGACTGGTGTGACTTATCCTGTACATAAGATCCAGAAACCAGACTATCTCATCTTCGTCAACTCTTTCTTTGGTCTTGAGATTCCTCGTGATCTTCCCCCGACTTGTGCAGCTGTCGGACCGCTGCTGAGTGATACGTATGCTGCTCTGGATGGAGAGTTGGATACCTTCCTTTCGCAGCACAAATCGGTCATTTATATTGCACTCGGAACGCACATCATCGTGTCTAACCACGAGGCAACAAAGATCATCAATGCTCTCATCCGCCTTTTGGAAGCGCAGTTAATCGACGGAGTCATCTGGGCCGTGGCCCAGAGTGGTCGACAGGACTTGGATGTTGACAGTACATTCCAGACCAGCAAGAGACAATTACGACTGGGCGACCTGCTCGATGGCCACCATCCAGACTGGATGTTCTCCTTCTTCGCACCACAGCGAGCCATTCTCGACCACGAATCCACCAAGATCTACTTCACCCACGGCGGGGGATCCAGTGCCAACGAAGGCCTCTTCCACGGTAAGCCAATGCTGTCGATGGGTATATTTGGCGATCAGATTCAAAACACCACTCGCCTCGTGGCTGGTGGCGTGGCTGAATCCCTGAACAAGTATCACTTCACCTCCGACGAGCTGTACACCAAAGCGCAGGACATCATCCGTGATGAAGATGGAACTTTCCATCGCAACGCTCTGCGCATGATGCGTATTGCCCACGTGGCCTCTCGCCGCAAGTACCACGCAGGCGATCTGATCGAGGAGATGATGTACGACAATGAGCTGCGCTTCAAAGATGGCAAAGAGTTGCGTCCGATGCATCTGCAGACGGCGGATATGCGCATGCCTGCATACAAGGCCAAGAACTGGGATATGTATGCTGTCTTCGCGGTGGGATTTGCTGCGATGGTTGCATCGACTGCGTTCGGGGGTAAGTGGCTGTGGAGGAACAGAAATGTGATAGAGCCAGTTACATCTTTCCTGGGTAGTTAGAAGTGGTTTAAGAGTATTCAGTATAGAGTCAGATCCGCACTGAGTGCATAGTAAATGGATATCTTCTACAAATAACGTATCAATTACTGCAGCTCGATACATAGATTGGGTATGACCATGCAAATGGACACAATCCAGTAGCCAACCCAACATCTAGAATTCATTTCTGCACATCTGCCTGTATCATCCTCATTGCCCCCAATCCCACTACTGAAATACAGCTCACACCCGCAAATGCTACTTATGCGTCTCGGTGGGCGCAGATAGCGCTAGCACATGAGTGCCAAAGCAGCTGTTGCCACGGAATAGCAAAAGTGGTAGTAATATTACTGTATTGTGTTTCAAGGCGCCCTTTACGCTCGAGACAGGAGCAATGAGTCTATGGGAGTCGGACTCCATGATAAGACTAGCTGCTGCTATATACGAACACAACTAAAGGGATCGCCATGCCGAATGATGGCTGTAGCCTATTGACAGAATCCAGACAAGCCATACGGCCGTATGACCTGGAGGATATAAACACCGATGAGGAAGCCATTATATGACGGCGGTTGACGCTCTTCATTCGAGCTGGTTGCTTGTTTGATTCATCGGCTACTAAAACATACAACACTGCTAATAAACCCCAATGCAACCTAGAAGGTCTACACTATATACATTATCTCGATTATAACTTATTTCTACATTGGGGGGCAAATATAATTACAAGTGTATTCTTCTATATAGCAATAAAGATGTACAAAAATCTATTCACCAAACATGACTGGCCAAAATCCACGCCAATAAATTCGAAATTGCAACAAGGCGCCAGGGCAAAGTAAGCCATGGACTTTGTACGACATTGGCAATGAAAATACAAGCCAAGAGTCTTGAGTAGCTTGATTATCGCGTATTCATCATGCGACCTGATTCTGACATTCTACACATTCCACCTGTATGCACATAAAGTGCCAAGCCACCCCACCTTCTTGAGAGCCTTTGAAACTACCATGTGTGTCTGGCCGAGATAAGATTCACCTAGCCTTTGAAGAAAGGTAGACATGCTATTCAATATCCTGGTATCTATGATAGGATGACTTGGAAATTCTCTTGCAGAGATAATAAAGCTGAGATTATCTTCTAGCCGCCACAAGATAAAGTGAGGGGTATGTATTATCACTTAATACGCCACCAATGATATACTGGAAGAATCAAGTTTCTGGAAAAAGGACCTAGACTGTGCCCCCACACTATTACGAATTGTTCATACGAGGCAGTGGGCGCATTTTGGTCAGAGTATCATCAAAAGGCTGGGCAGGTATTAGGCGATCCTCCGGCTGACATGCCGAGTTGATCATGGAAATATGGTGCTAAAGTTTGTTGCTGAGTATACCCACAGCCTATGCTGGCTGTGTACTTCGACTTTCTTTGACTTGCCAAATCAGGAAGAATGAATGGAAGATGACATCTGGCAGAGTTACGTAAAGATGCACCCGGTAAAACCATTTAGCAAATATTTATTCTTACACAGCCTACCCCATGGGGTATGGTGTCAGCAACACTTTATCTCATACGTGCTTTTGCCACCACAGATAGACATATCACCTTCCTTTCCAAGAAAGTTGGCAATACCTTCCGAGGTATCTGACCACCAAGAGCTTTTAGGAGATGCGTATTACATACCATCGTCAAGGGCTGCAGCGAACGCAAGCCATGTGGCGACAAAGTGCGACAAGCAAAACGCCATGTTGATGCTGGGAGGACGCAGTCTGATTGGCGGGTATTATCGGAAGCGGGCCGGTGCCGGGGCTCCACCTGCGGATCAGCGAATCGAAAGTGCAGGAAACGCCCCCTTGCTGTCTCACCTCAGCAAAAGAATGAACGGCCAACGAATCAGGACATCGGACAGACATCGATTAAGATGGCCCCCACGTGACAGAGCCTCCATATGGCCTTGTTGGCTGTCTGGTATACGATCGACCAACTCTATCTCCGGGGTCGCCCGTCAAGGCTAGAATCCTTCAGGATGCCTCGAATGAGATGTTCAGTTTACAGTGCTGACACATGGCGTTCACGCCTGAGACAGCAATCCTGCTATATATCAGATCTGACAATGTCGATCCCAAGGCTGTGTTGTCGTTATATTTGCTTCAATACACTCATATTCCTTCCGCTCACCTCACTAACCAATGTGAAGTTCAGTTCCTATCGCTGTTTATCTACATTCCGGTAAGATGGACTCTTCGAAGCTCCGAGCAGCCTGTGATCGATGCCACCAACTCAAGAATCGCTGTGCACGGTCTGGAGGACTAGACAGCCGATGCGATCGATGCGAGAGACTCGATATCGACTGTGTGTTTGGAACGAATCTACGGATGGGCCGTCCAAGAGGCCAACGATCAAGAGCTGCAAAGAAAAGTCAAGCAGTACGAGCTCCCAGTTCTCCAAGCCATTCTCGACGATCTTCATCCCGGGCTTCGTCCAAAATACCGGGGAAAGAAAAGGATTACGAGTCATTGGACACACCTGGGCTGGATGGAGATGGATCAACAGTTGGAGCAACACCACGGCTGTGGGAGGATACATTGTCTGATGGGGCTCAAGGCATTGATCTTGACATGCTGCTGCCAGAAGGTGAATACCTCTTCTCGACTTGACAGTAGTAACTCTGATTCAGTCTGTTCAAACAGGTTCGCCGTCTGTTCCTGCCTCAAACCACAACTCGGAATGGGATTTCGACTTTCTAGCATTCCCCCAACCGCTGCATATGAACGGCAACTATCATGATAGTTCCCCAAACAATACCCATCTGGGATGCGCGTCAGAAGAGAGATATTTGGGATGTCATGAGCTCTTGACTGCAAGCAAGATTCCATTCGAGCCACAAACAAGAGATATACAGTCGCGCCGTGGACCGACAACCGGGAGATTACTAGAGCTACAGACCCAGCTACACCGATTGATGTGTGCACAAACCCCTGGAAACCATGAGGGCATTCATGTTGAGTCCAATAATATTCAACCGCACCCCCATCCTCCCCTGGATGAAGTACTGGGCGCGATGAACAGCCTTCTGGAGATGCTAAAAGATGACAACATGGAGACGCTATACGAGAACAAGACACAACGACCGGAATGTCCAGACTATCTGAGTATCCTGCATGCACTCACGTGCTATACGTATCTCATGGAGATTCTGGAGCCTATCGTTTCATCTTTGGCCAGTCAGATTGAAGGACGAGTCAATCTGATGCCTGCACCCTCAGAGCCGGCGGATGACAGACGATCAGCACTAACACTAGGAAGTTTCAGCCTTGCATCGCAGCCAACATTGAATGCGCATTTGGTGTTGCATATCGTCTTTAAGATGGTCCAACGACTACACGGTTGTCTCCAATCAATGGCATTTGCACATCGAAGCCCTCTGAATGATGGGATTTACTCTAGTACGCCAACAAGTATTGCAGCTCATTCTCTGCTGCGAGTAATTGAAAAAAAAGACATGTTACTACTAGATAAGTTGCGATATGTGACAGATGGGAGGTATGTCTGACTAGATCATAATCTTCATTATAGTTAATACAATCATCGTATCCATCTGTAGTGTGACTGTATCGAGTGCAACTGTTGGGAATGTCTTTATATGACGCTGACAGCCTTGTCTGACAGACTAATGTAGATACGGGGTTACATCCAATATAAATAGCCATCAAAAGTCGCCGGTCGAGTGCCGCCGGGAAAGTCTTTAGTCTCTCCATATCTGAAACAATTCGATCATCTCTCCACATCTACTGTCTGTCAGGAACTACGACGCACATCACACAATGACACCCCTTCCAGCAGTAAGTGATCGTGCTCTTTGAATAGCTTCATCATGCTGATACCATCTAGATCCTTTGCCTTCATGGCCACGGCACCAACGCTGCCATTTTCCACCTGCAGGCTCGTCGAATCGTCTCTGCCCTGCACACCCGTTTTCGCTTCATCTTTGTCAATGCTCCTTTTGATTCCCCTCCAGGACCAGGTGTTCAACCGGCATTCACAGACCTTGGGCCTTTCTACCGCTGGCATTGCGACTCGACTGTCGTTGGTGAGTTTGACATCACGTCTGAGGATGTAGAACGCGAACGACGCCATGTGCGCGATTTATTGACAGGCTACTTTGAACGTGAGAATGCTGGAGAGGGACCGGGTATTGTGGGAATCATGGCATTTAGCCAGGGAACACGGCTAGCAACGGGAATATGTATGGATAGAGAGTTGCGAAAAGGCGTCAAGTTTGCCATCTTGATCGGAGGCACGTTTCCTACGCTAGATGTGGATGTATTCGAGAATGAGGCTGTTGGAATGACTGCATTGGAAGATGATCGAAGCACTGGATACGACAAGGAATTGGAAGAGTTCTTTGGGCGCTTTTCGCCCTCATCATCATCTGGAGATGGTTCACTATCTCCCACGGCATCCACATCATCCATCTCGAGTGATGTGAACGCTCTTATCAACATTCCGTCCATCCACATTCAGGGCAGCGCTGATCCATGGCGATGCGAAGGTACGAAGCTGCGGCAAACATACTACAACCCTGATCTGACGACTGTCATCAACTTCCGTGGGGGCCATCAAGTGCCAACAGGTGCAAAGGAAGCCAAGATAGTTGAAGCAGCAGTTACAACAGCGTGGGATAGGGCAATGACTCTGAGGTGTATTGACTGATATAGTCTACCGATACACGATCTATAGCTTTCTGAATAGTACTATTTCTGACGATCAACCGAGAACCTATATGTTGCAAAGCTGGTATACAGCCCCTCCATCCCCCAAAGAGTCTGTCGATTCCTCCATTCGGGGTGGTTCACGCCGTCTGGCCATTCTGAGATATCCAGCGATATCGCACCATGGCGGGGCACCGTACCATTCCCTTGGCCTTTCTTTAATCGGATTGTCCCTGTAGACATTAGTATGTTGTATCTTCATGTATCAGTCTGCCTTACCCTCTTCTTCCCAGGTATGCACGTGGAGGGCATCCCGATCTGTGAACAACCGCATTGTGATTCCAGAATGAGGCGACGATAGCACTGCCACCGGCGACTCCTCTTTACTTCCTTCGTGCTTGTGAGACAATGCAACCGTTTGATCATATCCACGGGGAATACTCCTTGCGGAAGACCAAAAGTCGTGCCCTTGTCCCTGTCGGTTGCTTAATAAATCCCCCGTTGGCAGCCTGAGTTCATCCACTGCAAATCGCATTCCAGCGGACGGCAGGTGTAACGTATGCTCTTCTATCGTCTTTGTGGTATTCCAACGGAAGCCATCGAGGTTGAAAAAGGCCTGCTGGCTGAGGTTGATGGGACCGTGTCGTCGCAAGGGCGTCACCCCAAAGGCGATGCGCCACTCGTAAGGCGTGACAGTGTGGGTAAGGCACGAGGCAAAGACACCAGGGAAACCATTCCACATGCGATCAAACAGCACGAAAGTGATGCTATTGTCGATGTGGGCGGCAATATCCCAGCTCTGGCGGCCCCAGCCCTCATTGCCACCGTTGAAGAGCGCTGTTCCGTTGTGTGCGTTGCCAGTGACATTGTATACCGTGTCGCCGACACGATAGCGTGCACCGCTCATATATCCCGCATATCGACCTGTCTTTATCAGTGGAAGTATTCGACATTGGCAATGAAGGCTCACCTATAACACCATTCAGCCAGGGATTGGACTGCATCTGAGGATATCCGGTCGGATCATCCAGCCCCAGAACAATGTCAACCTCCTCTCCACAAGTGTCATTTATCCAAAGATTCGTGACAGCTGCTCCATGGTTGGTAAAGGCCAGACGAATGCCTTCAGCTTGGATCACGTATTTCCCCTCCTCGTTGGTGGGCCACAGCGCCGTAAGAGCAGCAAACGGATTCCCACGTGTCCAGACGGACTTGACGGCTGCCAGAAAGGCTGTGGTTACTTTGAGGACTTTCATTTCGTGTACATGCAGTTTATGGATTGCAGTATCTCATATAATATACTGATGGCGACCGGTTCAGCCGGCGACTTTTTGACCGGGGACTTCTATATATAGCATTGTTTGGGAATAAATGCATGATTCGCAATAGCTACCAGTAAAAAATATGCAATCTATATCAGCACCAACCCTCAATAACTCTCAGTCGTGCATGTACACCCTCCTTTGACCTCATCACTTGTCCAGCCTCGACAATCCCTGCTGTATCCGGATTCGCCAAAGTGACATCGAACCGGCCAACAACAGCCGCAACAAGACAGGCGAGTTCGGCCCTCGCAAAGGCGTGCCCAAGGCAGTTTCTCGACCCCGCTGAAAAAGACAACATCGCGTAGTTGCTCGTAGCACCGCCGGATTTGGCCTTGCCAGGCTCCATCCAGCGCTCTGGGTTGAAGACGTCAGCGTCTGGTCCCCACAGCGCCGGGTCGAGGTTGGTTGCTGCCGGTGCATACAGAACGAGAGTTCCCTGGGGGATATGCTGGCCTACGATAGTTGAGTCCCGCTCTGCCACCTTGACCACCATGGGGGTGAAGGGGTAGAATCGCAGGGCTTCGCTGCAGACGGCGTTCAGATACGGGAGACTCTCAATGCGCGATGGATCCACGGCGGCCATTGATGGTGCCCATGCTCGAATCTCATCTCGCAGACGCTGTTGCATTTCTGGGCGTCGTCCCAGTTCGTACATGGTCCATTCAAAGGTGGCAGCGGTCGACTCGTGGCCGGCGGAGAGAAAGACCATGACATACTCGACAAGCTGCTCCGGAGTAAAGGCACCGCTAGCGAGAGCAACACTGATAATGTCTTTGCGATCCCCAGCCCCTTTCGAATCGTATATTTTGGCCTCTCGCTCCTGAATGACCTTTCTGGCGACGCTGCGCACGTACTTGGCGCCCTCGGCGATCTCGAGGTTCTTCTTGACTGGCAGCTGTAGCAAGACGCCCAGATTCATGAAGTTGCTGAGCAATCCAATCCAGTTCAACGACTTGTTTGGCTTGACATTGATTTTCTCGTAGTGCTGTCGCAGCTCGCTGTGTGGATTCTGGAGGGTCTCAAAGTCGTATCCCATCCCGGCCAGGCCAATGTTGTCCAACGCTGCCCTGGATCCCCAGTTGTTGATTGAAACGGGAGACTGTGGACTGGCCTCAATCTGCGCCTGCATTCCATCTGCCATCTGTACGCATTTGTCCCAGAAGACGTGAGTGATCTCCTTGATATGCGTGGTGGTGAAGGCGGGGTTGAAGTTCTTGCGATGCAGCTTGACTTCATCTGTAGTAAAGGAGAAAGTACTTCCGGTGACCCTCTTGACCAGCAGTTTAAATGTGCTGGACTGCCCAAAGTCGTACGCATTCAAACTCATCATGTCTCTTAATGCATTCGGGGTAGTGACGAGGATGCGCTCGATGCTCATGGGCCCATAGTACCGGATGAGGCCATTGTTAGGCACATTATGGTAGAACCCCCGAACAATTTTCCATTGATAGTCGGGGAAGAATTCATCCAGATTTCCGGTGAGAAATTTGCGATTCTGCTCAAGATCAGTTGGTTGTTTAGTATGATGGCTGTTTTACATACCGGCGGAGTTGGAAGACGCCGGAAGGGGGTCAGATATGCTGGATAGAGAACAATCCAGTAGAAGGCCCAGCCAATGAAGGAAATAAATTCAAATGCGAGAGCACCAAGAACAAAGTCCAAAGAGTGGAGACTGATGGCTTTGTACGCGAGTGTAGTCAATGTACAGGCAACGATTGCGAGCCAGCTAGCCAGAAATGAAGCCATTATGGTGGATGTATGAAGCCACAGCGTCGAATAGAGCATATATGGTAATGATATTTATCAGTATCCCCTTTCTGCTCCCCTCATGGTTGAACATCCCATCCATCCTTCCATTCTTTAACCACTCAGTTCGAACCGGCGACTTTCAACCGGCGAGTTTAACTTCAAATCCATGTGTTTGCTGACCGGTGCCTAGTCATCAGTTCAATGATAGGTTTATGATAAGCAAGTCGAATTCATCTAATTATTCAGATCATCGTTCGACAGCAGCATTTGTGTCATTCCATTTACATACGCATCTGATCATCATGCCATCGCAGCTACTACAGCAAACCGCCATCATCGGCCGTGATGATGGAGCTCTGGCAATATCACACCATGTCGACATTCCTGAGCTCCAAGACGACATGATCCTCGTGAAAAATGTTGCTGTTGCTTTGAACCCAATTGATGCCAAAATGGTCGGCAAATTGGCAACACCGGGAGCGATTGCAGGCATGGATTTCGCCGGCGAGGTCATCTCCATTGGAAGGAATGCCCATCCTGCTGCCTGCATCCAGATTGGGGACCGTGTCTGTGGTGCTGTGCCGGGGATGCATTCTCTCACGCCAACCGTGGGCGCTTTTTCTCAGTTCGTTGGGGCTGCAGATATTACGACGGTGAAGATCCCACCCCATATGTCTTTTGAAGAGGGTGCGTCCTTTGGAAGCGGCATTGGGACAATCGGTCTGGCTCTGTTCAAGTCGTTGCGTGTGCCAGGAACACCCTCGCATCCGGCTGAGAAGCCCCGGGATGTGCTCGTGTATGGAGGCAGCACTGCAACAGGGACGCTCGCGATACAACTGATCAAATTGTGAGCTCCTTTGGCCTCGTGATATCTAATCCATCTAACACCTCCAGGTCAGGGTTGAATCCCATTGTAACCTGTTCTCCTCGCAACTTCGACCTAGTCCGGTCTTATGGAGCAGCAGCCGTGTTTGACTATAAGCAGCCATCGTGCACTGATGATATCCGCAAACATACCCGGAACTCGCTCAAGTTCGTGTTGGACTGCATTGCGGAACCGGAAACGATGCAGTTCTGCTACAAATGCCTGGGACGAGCAGGTGGCAAATACACAGCGCTGGAGCCATATCCCGAGTTTCTGCACGACAGACCCAAGACGGTCACGCCAGATTGGGTCCTGGGGCCCACAATATTGGGCAAGAAACTGGGATGGCCAGCGCCGTTTGCAAAAGAGGCAGACGCAGAGCAGCGCAAGTTTGGCATCGAGTGGTTTACAACGGCCCAGAAGCTGCTGGATGAGGGAAAGCTGAAGCCACACCCGATTCGGGTGATGGAAGGTGGATTTGATGGTGTCTTTGAGGGGCTTGATCTTCTGAAAAAGAAGACGATATCCGGGCAGAAACTGGTCTGTCGTGTCAGAGACTGTAGCGATGGTGAGATCGACAAGATCCTGGCCGAGGCTGGTGAAAAGCGATATCTGGTGCAGTTTAAGGATCGACCAGAGTTCAAGAAGTGGATTGGCGTGGAGGAACTGGGCAAGAAGCCGTCTGTCTTGTACGATTGGTATAAGAGCAAGTGGGCAGAGGCAGATGTCTGACGCCAGGATATATATCGAAGCAGTAGATGTCAGTGAACTTGATCCATGAATATTCTCTTATAAGTATCTCGCATTGAATATATCTCCTATCATTGTATTCAGAATAGCCATATGATATTCTCAACTAGTATGGTTGTGTTGACACGTTGTGATTGTTTAACGTGACGCGACACCACGTGACCGACTTCCCCTCGACCTCTGAATAGCTTCAAGTCCAGCAACCCACCAGTTGCATCGACTAACCCACACACCAAACCCAGCACATCACAAGAGCTCATCTCAGTCACGCCAAAAAATTACTATTTGACCATGGCCTGCTATAACCCCGGTTTTCGCCCGGAGCCGGCGACTTGTGCGTGTTTTCTGGGCCCGTCTTACGGCCTCCGGTGTTCTTTGCGCCACTCAAGATGACACGACCAAACAACCATACCATGTAATGCGTGAAAGTCAAGACCGGCTCTAAATGACCGGTGGGGTGTTGAGAACGTTGGGATGACTTCCGCCGGCCTGACCAGGGACACGGATGCCTTGTCCTGTGCAGCGACAAATAATATCTGTCAGTATTTGACTCCATGACTTCATTATAGCAGTGAATTAATTGTCTCTCTTGCTGTATCGGAATAGGCAAACTTTCACTGTCTAGAAGTGGTCCGGTTCAACACTCCAAGATACAGATATCCGTTCTAGCCATCTGCTGTTCAACACCAATCTGCATAGACACCAAAGTCATGATGTCAAAGCACAACGAGCCTATTGCAATTGTTGGCATGGGATGCCGCTTCCCTGGTGCCTCGAATAATTCCTCAAAGCTGTGGGACTTGTTGAGATCCCCTTGTGATGTGTCCCAGGAAATCCCATCCAACCGCTTCAATATCGACCGTTTCTACCACAAAGACGGGACTCATCATGGCACCACCAATGTCCGACGCTCCTACTTTCTGGATGGTGATGTTGATATGTTTGACACCAAGTTCTTCGCTATCCCTCCCAGCGAGGCCGAGGTTATCGATCCCCAGCAACGTCTTCTCCTGGAAGTCGTATTTGAAGCGATCGAGAACTCGGGACTCACTCTGGACGGACTAGCAGGGTCTAACACTGCTGTCTATGTTGGGCTCATGTGTCAAGACTTCTTCGCAATCCAAGCCCAGGACGTCAACTCCCTTCCTACCTACGCCGCCACTGGCGTTGCGGCCAGCAATGCCTCCAGCCGTGTGTCTTATTTTTTTAACTGGCACGGCCCCTCAATGACCATTGATACGGCATGCTCTTCTAGCATGGTCGGTGTGCATGAAGCAGTCCAGGCGCTTCGAAATGGAACTTCCCGGGTCGCGGTGGCATGTGGAACGAACTTGCTGGTGTCTGCATTGCCGTATATTATGGAAAGCAATCTTGGAATGCTCTCGCCCGACGGCCAATCACGTATGTGGGATGCAGATGCCAATGGCTACGCGAGAGGCGAAGGTGTTGCATCTCTTGTACTCAAGACACTGAGCTCAGCAATCGAGGATGGTGACGAGATTGCATGTATTATCCGAGAGGTCAGCGTCAACCATGACGGTCGAACAAAAGGGCTCACCATGCCCAGTGCTACAGCGCAGGCCTCTCTCATCAAAGCTACATATGCTAAAGCAGGACTCGACCCGACGACAAAATCCGGCCGTTGCCAGTTCTTCGAAGCCCATGGCACTGGAACTCCAGCAGGAGATCCCCAGGAAGCTGAGGCTCTATGCAAAGCCTTCTTTCCATCGAATAACTCGGATGATGATACGCTACTCGTTGGATCTGTCAAAACCGTCATCGGGCATACCGAAGGAACAGCTGGTATCGCAGGTTTGATGAAGGCATGTTTGGCTCTCCAACACTCGACGATACCACCAAACCTCCTCTTCAATCGCCTCAACCCCGCCCTTGAGCCTTTCATAAAGCATCTCCGCATCCCCTTATCGAGTCAGCCATGGCCGACACTTCCAGATGGGGAGCCACGCAGAGCAAGTGTCAACAGCTTTGGGTTTGGGGGAACAAATGCGCACGCAATCCTTGAGAGCTACACGCCATCTTCCTGTCATTCAGCCGGCAGGGATGGCATTAATCCTCCCGCGTGTCCAATCCCAACTGTGCTTTCAGCGGCCTCCGACCAGTCATTACTTGCGTTGCTCGAATCTATTCTGGGCTTTCTTGACGATAAACCGACTGTTGATGTTTCGGAACTAGCATATACACTCAGCACAAAACGCTCCATCCTGTCACAGAGACTGGCTCTATCCGCTTTATCAGTTGAACAACTTCGCGAGAAGATCACGGCAAAAATCGAAGCTGCTACCGCTGATTCTCCCGTTGGCACCTCGGCCTTGCCTTCAGCACCAGCGATACTGGGCGTGTTTACCGGACAGGGGGCGCAGTGGCCAACAATGGGATCGAGACTGATCGCTTCAATTCCGATGGCTCGCCGTATTCTGGACCATCTCGATGAATATCTGGCAACCTTGCCCGAGTGTCATCGACCACGTTGGAATTTAATGGATGAGCTCTCCGCAGACAGTACCAGTCGTCTTAGCGAAGCAGCGCTGTCACAGCCGCTCTGCACAGCTGTGCAGATTATTCTTGTTGACCTCCTACGTACCGCAGGAGTAAGATTCGGGGCTGTTGTTGGTCACTCATCGGGCGAGATTGGGGCCGCCTATGCCGCTGGCTATCTGTCATCGTATGATGCAATCCGCATTGCCTATTATCGAGGGTATTTCGCAAAGCTCGCAGCAGGCCCATCGGCTGAGAAGGGTGGCATGATGGCCGTCGGAACATCGTTCGACGATGCAAATGACCTTTGCGAATTGGATGACTTTAACGGTAGACTATCCGTGGCTGCCCATAACTCATCAACCTCGGTGACTCTCTCGGGCGATGTCGATGCTATCACAGAAGCACAAGCAGTCTTCGAAGAGGAGGCAAAATTTGTTAGGACCCTCCGAGTAGACACGGCATATCATTCGGTCCACATGCTGCGTTGCGTGTCACCTTACCTGAGGGCACTCCAGCACTGCAGGATCCAGCCTCTCAAACCTAATGACGACGCGCCACAGTGGTTCTCGAGTGTGCATGATGGTCGGCTGATAAGCAATCAAGATTTTAACGATCTTGCTGGTCAATACTGGGTTGACAATATGACCCAGCCCGTCCTGTTCTATCCAGCTATTCAAAAGTGCATGAGCTCGGTGAATATAAACTACGCGCTAGAAGTTGGGCCACACCCAGCCCTCCAGGGGCCTGCAACGGAATGTATTCTTGCCGCCACTGGTCAGAGTATCCCCTATTCGGGTGTGTTGAAGCGAGGCAAAAATGATGTCGAAGCATTCTCTGATGCTCTCGGTTCCGCCTGGGTGCATTTCGGTCTTACAGGGGTTGACCTCGGGATTTTCTACAGAGCATGTCACAAAGAGCCTGCTATCCTCCGGGGCTTGCCATCCTATCCCTGGAACCATGACCGGGTGTTGTGGGCAGAGTCTCGGATCAGCAAGTATTTCAGGACCCAGGGCGGGCGTTTTCACGATCTCCTTGGAACGCTCACTGCTGATGGGCCTGTGGAAGAATGGCGATGGCGAAACGTGCTCAAAGCCAAAGAGCTAAAATGGCTTTCTGGCCATGTATTGCAAGGTCAGACTGTCTTTCCTGGTACAGGATACATTGCCCTGGCAATGGAGGCAGCGATGGAGATAGCAGCAGTGGAAGGAGAGCCAGTGGAATCGATTGATCTTTTCGATCTCGAGATCCGCAAAGCCATTGCCATAAATGACACAACTGGCACTGAGCTGCTTGTTTCTATGACGAACGTGACCACTGAAGTTGGCTTCATCACAGCAGATTTCGCTGCTTACTCGACCGTCAGCAAGGATTCGGGTCAACTGGCACTCAACTGCAGTGGAAGCGTGCGCATCACTCTGGGCAGTGACATCACTCACCATTTCTCCATTCGATCTCCTCCCCCATCGAGCATGGCTGTGGTAGATGTTGATCGCTTCTACCAGGTCTTGCACGACGATTTTGGCTATGGGTATGAGGGCCCTTTCAGGGGGTTAACACGCATCTTACGAAAGTCGGGATTCTCAACGGCGACAATCCAGTGTCATCCGTTTGCAGAGGACGAGACAAGCCTTTTATTTCATCCGGGTATGCTGGATAGTGCTCTCCAAGGGTTGAACGCCGCCTACAGTGCACCCGGGGATGGCCGTCTCTGGTCCATCGTTGCGCCAACCTCATGCCGCCGCGTGACGATGATTCCTGCGCTTTGTGGGGAAAGGATGACCGACCAGGTGGAGGTCGACTGTAATATCACGGACCCTCGTAACGGCTTCATCACTGGTGATGTCGATGTGTACTCGTCCAACTACGAACAAAGGATCATCGAGATTGAGGGGATGAAGTTCTCACCCTTTGCTGCGCCGACAGCTGAAGATGATCGGCTTATGTTTCAAGAATCCTTCCTTTCAGTTGACAGGCCTGATGCAGATCTTGTCTTTGGAAATAGACAATCATCACCCGAAGAGAGGACTAAGGGTTTAGATGCCGAACGCGCAGCCTTTTTCTACCTGAAGAACCTGCACCTCTCTGTCAGCCCGAAAGAGCGTGAGAAGCTGCCCTGGTATCGCCAGGCCCTCATCAAGAATGCCGAGAAACTCTACTACTACGTTAAAGACGGAAAGCACTCTTTCGCGTCGCCGACCTGGATTAACGATACTCGAGAGATGATATTGGATATTATGGAAAGGTAAGTCGCCTCCTTTGTCTTTTGTAGAGGCATAGCTCATTTGTACGACAGTCATGGCGATGATGCCGATTTCAACCTGACCAAGGCGGTTGGTGAGCATCTTCTTATTCCCTCGGTGCTGAATGGTGAAACCAGCATTCTCGAATATATGACTGCGAACAATTATCTCGACCGATATTACATCGATGCTATTGGATTTGGGCTTCTGAATGACCTCATTGCTGGAATAATGGAGCAGATCTGCACCAAGTTTCCTAGCATGGACTTCCTAGAGATTGGAGCCGGTACTGGCGGAGCGACGCAGGCTGTTCTTGGGAGAATCAAACACGCCTATTCATCGTACACCTACACTGACATCTCTAATGGCTTCTTTGAAAGAGCAGCAGGAGAGAAATTCCAAGCTCATGCCCACAAAATGGCTTTCAAAACGCTCAATATTGAAAAAGATCCTGCTTCTCAAGGCTTTCACCCTCATTCCTACGATGTCATAATTGCATCCAACGTCCTACATGCCACCAAATCACTCAAGGAGACTCTAGAGCACACTCGGAGTCTGTTAAAACCTGGTGGCTATCTCGTCATGGTAGAGGTAATCCGCACCGATGTGATGCGGCATGGCCTCGTAATGGGCGGTCTTCCTGGATGGTGGATTGGTGAGCAGGACGGCCGACTCGGTGGCCCCAGCATAACTATTGAGCAGTGGGATGCGGTCCTCCGAGAGACCGGCTTCGGTGGCATTGAAACGAACTCCCCTATGCCTGATCCGATGGTGGTGCCTGGATCCGTGATTGTTGCCCAAGCACAAGATATCCAGTTTGGTATGCTGCGCAGCCCTCTCGGCTCCAAGCAAAAGACAAGTCAGGGGACACTTGTTATTCTCGGAGGCACAACGCCGGTGTCATCGCCTCTACGCAGCCAGTTCAATACTTTGCTTGGACCGCACTTCGAGAGCATCATCCTCATGGAACGTCTAGATGATATCTCTGGTGAGTTTGAGCTGTGGAATGGTGCTCATATTCTGAGTCTGATGGAACTCGATTCAAACCTCTTCGAGGGTATGGACGAATCCCGATGGGAAAAACTAAAACAAGTACTCGGCTCAGCCGCGAGTGTTCTGTGGTTGCTGAAGGGGAGTCGGGCCGCCAATCCGCACGGGGGCACTACCCTAGGTCTCTTCAGGACGCTTTTCTATGAACTTCCCGGGGCACTGTTGCAGACTGTTGAGGTCGGTGATGATTTTGAGAACTTGAGCCCTAACTTGTACATTGTTGCCGAACTCATGGGAAGACTTCGGTCAATGGCTACGATGGTCCGGACAGGTGAGCTTGATAATTTTTTGTGGAGCTTTGAGCCAGAGCTGGTCCTGGAGAATGCTCGACTTTACATCACCAGAATCCGTCCACATGCTGAGCAGAATGCGCGGTACAACTCGGCCAAACGACCTATCAGCCGTCTTGTGGATATTGACTCGACAAATCTCAATCTAAGTCGGGCCGATAATTCGTATGTCCTGCATGAGAAACATGAGCTCCAGTTGTCAGCAACGGGGACGCATGACGCCGAGTATGTGACAGTCCGTGTCTCTTGCTCGCTCCTCTGTTCTCTTAGAACTCCGGCTGGGTATGTCTTTGTAGCTCTCGGTGCCAATAGCAACACTGGAGAGAAAATGCTTTCCTTCTCGGATTGCAACTCGTCTTCCATTACAGTCCCAAAGTCGTGGACTATCTGTCTCAATAAGGACGAGTCAGAGATTGTCGACGCACAATACCTGTCTTTCGTGGTTGCCGAACTCATGACCCAGCAAATTCTGACAATAGTCCCATCCACGGGCACGGTGCTTGTCTTCGAACCGGACCCTGTCATCGCGTCATTGCTATCCAAAAGGCTCGCCGATTCAGGGAGAAAGGCCTTGTTTATCACAACACGATCCGAAGTCAACCTCCGTCGAAACTGGATGTATCTTCACCCCCACAGCACCCAGCGCGCCGTTAACTCAGCTGTTCCCAAGGATGTGTCTCTATACATTGACACTTCTGAAATTGTCGTCTCAGGAACGTTAGAGGAGAGACTTGGTTTGCGAATTGCCACTGCTCTGTCCCCAATCTGCGAGAAGATAACCCTGTCAAACCTGGTGGCTCAACAAGCCTCGAAGCTTCCTGAACGCGCTCCCGAATCAATCACTAAACTGCTCAGTAGAGTCACTTTGTTTGCGTCGTCGATGCTAAATGCAGTCCCTGACGGTGCACCGCTTAATATGCTCCCTTTGAAACAAATTATATCACCCACATCCCCCCCGAGCTCCAATTCTCTCGTGGATTGGAGACCGGAGCACCCTGTGCCCATCTCTGTTCAACCCGTGTTTGAGCGAATGAACTTGTTCCGGGCCGACAGAACATACTGGCTTGCCGGGTTATCAGGCGATCTTGGACGATCACTCGCTGATTTCATGATCTCCCACGGTGCTAAACATGTCGTCCTTAGCAGCCGAATACCCAGGGTTGACGATGAATGGGCACAGCTTCACAGAGCCCAGGGTGCAACTGTGGCTTACTTTGCTGGGTGAGAGTCTACTGTCCATAGTCCCCCGCTTGTTGCTAATCTGCTGCTCTAGGGACCTCACCAATTTTGACTCGGTTAAGCAAATGTACAACACCATCAACGAAACCATGCCCGTCATTGGTGGTGTTGCAAACGGTGCCATGGTTCTGCGAGATGGTTCCTTCACTACATTGGGCTGGGAAGATTTCCAGACAGTTCTTCGCTCCAAGGTCGACAGCACCACCAATCTCAACCGCCTCTTATCCAACACCAATGAACCACTTGACTGGTTCATTGGGCTCAGTTCTATTGTCGGAACGACGGGCAATCCTGGACAGTCAGCCTACTCAGCAGGTAACTGCTTCATGAAAGCCGTTATTCGCCAGCGTCGTAACCAGGGCCTTGCCGGGTCCATCATTGATATCAGTAGAGTCATAGGTGTCGGTTATATCGAGCGTGAGAGCTCAGGCCGCCTGACCAAAGAGCATCAGGAACGCCTGTCGAGTCGATCTGGAGCACTGCCGATGAGTGAGATCGATCTGCATCAGCTTTTTGCCGAAGCTATCGTTTCTGGACGTCCTGACTCGGGACTCAACCCCGAGGTCATCAGTGGACTGGCACCCATTACTACTGAACAGACAAGAGACGTCTTCTGGGCCACGAATGCCAGATTTTCCTTGCTAATCAGGAAGGCGAGCAGTGCTGCAGTAGTGGGTGACAAGACCTCGAATGTCCCTGTCCGGAAACTGTTGGAGGTTGCAACAACGACTCAGGATGTGAGAAAGATTCTGCTCGGTAAGTGGCAGTCACTGCCTGGCTAACTATCGTCACCATATTTCACCTGCTAACCTTTTTCTTTCAGGTGCTTTCAAAGCAAAGTTGCGAAGCTCCATGTTTCTGTCGGAGTCCGATGCTTTATCTGACTCTACGCCACTCGTGGACATGGGCGTTGACAGTCTAGTTGGCGTAGAGATGCGATCTTGGTTCCTCAAGGAGCTTGGTGTCGATATTCCCGTGATGAAAATCCTCGGTGGTGCATCTATCGCGGAGCTGGTCGACGGTGTTTTGGATAATCTCTCGCAGGAACTGCTGGAAAAACCAGCTGATGAGCAGAAGGATGGTCCAGATGGTGTAGTCAATGGAGGTGCCAATGACAGTACATCCACTGAAGGCAGTCTCTCTGATGCACCCACAGAGTATGTTTTGGTCCAGGATGATCCCAAAGGGCTGATAAATGAGCGTTGGAATAATGGTGTTGTAAATCCTGTTGCTGTTGCTGGCGTTGCTTAGATATTTATTCATCTGTAGTTTGAGCCGACCGGGATACTGTCATCTTTATCGTTCTGAGCTCATGATATATTACCTTGCATACCAACGTAAATCCAGAAGTCTGCTTGTGCATAGTAGAATATCATAAGGTCATTATATATAGTTACGTGATGCGTTATGTGAAAATACTTCTGCACTGCTATATACTATCTGTCCAATGCAATTTGCTTGAGCTTCATCACTCTACACATTCATCATCCGATCGGAATCCTCAATCGATTTTTTGCAGTGTATCCGACTCGGAACTCTTCTACACGCGCGGAAGGAGGGAAATCCGTCGGATCTGATAGCCCCGGATCCCGGGGATCGTGCATTCCTATTGGCTCGGCCCTGCACGTATCCGCTCCGATGTCGTGCACGTGACCACTTCCCACTATCTTGGCATCGAGTGGAAATGACAATTTTGGCTGCGGCAGAAGCAGAAATATCGAATGATTTTCTGATCTATCATGATGTGCAGTCTATTGCAACCCTATAAGCGTCGTATATGCATAATACCCACCAACCAGATGTAGCGATATAAAAAGAAATGCCCTCTTGATAACTCATTACTCGATCGTCCTTGAAGACGCCAAGCACAGCCTTGTATAACCCTTGAAACAGCCAACAACCAACACAATGACTCGTTGACAGCCCACGCCACGAACAAACCGGCGCCGGAACCGGTGACTTTTACAGCATGCGGCAGTCAAACGCTGGATACTCACTGCTGCTTCAGTTTTCCGTTTTGACATTGACAGAATCGCATCTGCGTTGATCTATCTGCATTTCCACCATGACGATGCCGGCCGATCAAGAGGATGTCCCCTCTGTTGCTGATCGGGTTGCGCCTCAACACGATGGACCCTCTACAGATGAAGTGCCTCCAATGGAGCTCCAAGGCTTGAAGCTATACGCGATCCTGGTGGGCATCTTCATCGGCGCATTGCTAATGTCTCTCGATGTCTTTGTGATATCTACGGTGTGTATTCTCTATCCAGCATCAAGTAGTAAACTGATATCCGCAGGCCCTTCCATCCATCATCGCCGACTTCCACGATACAGCCGGCATGTCCTGGTATCCCGCCGCCTACTCGCTCACTGTCTGCGCCATCACGCCTCTCGTCGGCAAGATTGCCACCGTTTTCCCACTGCGCTGGGTGTATCAGTGCTTCTTCCTGGTCTTCGAGATTGGCAGTGCGATATGCGGCTTTGCGCCGAATAGCGCGTCCTTTATCGCAGGCAGGGCTATCGCAGGCATCGGCGCTGCTGGTGTCGCCGGGGGTGGATTCACAATCGTGCTGAACATCTCCTCGCCGAAGAAACGGCCGATCAACATGGCTCTCATCAGCAGCTGCTTCGGGATCGGACTCATCCTGGGCCCCATCGTCGGCGGTGCACTCACGCAACAGGCAACATGGCGCTGGTGTTTCTGGATGAATCTGCCCCCTGGCGCTATCACTCTGGCTGCGCTGTTCTTCTTCTTTCACCCACCCCCGATGCAGCGCGTCGAGGGCCTTCTCAAACGGATTCAGAGCCTGGATCTGATCGGATGTGCCATGTTTGTCCCGGCCATCTTCATGGCGCTGATGGCGTTGCAGTGGGGGGACAGCTGGGGCTGGTCCTCGCCGACAATCATCGGGCTGTTTGTGGGCGCTGGCGTGCTGCTGTTGCTGTTTGCCGCGTGGGAGGTGTGGATGGACGATGACGCAATGATCCCCCCGGTGGCCCTGCGCCGGACAGTGACTATCTGCGTGCTCTTCACCTTCTGCCATATGGGGATGATGACCATCCAGTCGTACTATCTTCCTCAATGGTTCCAGGGCGTGCAAGGAGTCGGTGCACTCGACAGCGGCGTCCGCTTACTGCCATCGGTGCTATCGCAGATCGTGGGATCTCTCATTTCCGGTGCTTTAGGTGAGCTTCTGTCCATTCTCAAGGAATTCTCTGGATGATTTGAGTTTATAAACTGACCCAGAAAGCGCCGCACATCAAGTATTACAACCCATGGTTCTTCATCGAGCCAGTCCTCATCTGCATCGCCGCCGGGATGTATACGCGATTCACCGTGTCGACGCCGGCCAGCCACTGGATTGGCTTCCAGGTACTCTACGGACTGGGCATTGGCCCTGGGATGCAAATGCCATCGCTGGCAGTGCAGCTGGCCCTGAAGGACTGGCCCAAGCTGGTGCCCATCGGTGTCTCACTGCTCCTGTTTGCACAGTATCTGGGCGCCACTGTTTTCCAGGTCATCGGAGGCACCATCTTCAACTTGTATCTGAAGCGGCGACTCACAGACATTGGATTGAGTACAGAGCAGGTTTCTCTGCTCCTCACGTCAGGAACCTCGCAGGTTCGCCAGACAGCCGCCAAGTATTTTCCTGACCTGCTCGAGCCTGTGCTAGAGGCGCTCAACTATGCCGTCACCAGAACCTTTGTAAGTGTTATTTGCTATGTACTTGAGATATGAACTAACAGAAGACCAACAGTTTGCTCCAGTTGTGGCAGGGGGGGTCGCCTTTCTGCTTGCGTTTGGCGTTGAGTGGAATAGAATCGAGATAGCCAAGAAGCCCGAGGACGACAAAGAGATGGGCAGCCAACTGCAGCATCGTGACCAGCCCTCTACGTTCGAATTAGCCCCGCTAGCAGGCGAGCCTCAGGCGTCTCAGGCATCACTCGATGCCGGTGAGATGTTCGAAACTGCCAAGCGGAGATCCAATACGGAAAGCTGGAGCCCAGTCCGATAGCAGACAATCAATGGAGCAGCATTCTTCAGATGAAGCGGTTATTCCAGCTGAAGAGGGTATTACTATATTGTTTGCCAATCAGTTGGCCGTTCTTGACGCCGAGGTCGAACAACATGTCGGACGGGAAATGCCCGAAGATGTGCGTCAGCTGGAATGACCAAGGGGTAAAGGCAGTTTTCAGGTCATATTAATCCCGGACTGATAAATCAGAAGATAAGGCAGTGTGATAAGGCAGTGTGATTAAGTGATTCTGCAGGTGATAATGCCGAGATTCAGCTACAGTCAGATTATCAGTCTATGCGTGAATGTCTTGTATCTTGATAGTATCATATTACCTTAATGTGGACATATCGCACGGAATATAAACTGGCAGCATGCCATTGCCCGTTCTGACAAACTTTAAAGACAGGCTGGGCATGAATAACCATCCCATGATAGAATGACACCTCGAGTTACACAATATGCAGTTTGAATGTCAGCATGCACCCATCCTTGTCGAATAGAGCCAATAAGCAGCATTCGGGGTTTGGTCAGCCTGACAGGCCTGAAAAATAAATACCAACGTCAAGTGCGATACAAACAAGAGCAAAACTAACGACAGCGGAATCATCATGTCTATGGCTTCTCAGATCAAGTCTTTCGTCCTCGGTCTTCCGTACTTGATCGGGTTTATGTTCAACCTTCCCCTCCTCAATCGACTCTCTCCGTCTCCACTGCTAGGCAATAAAAATTCAGCTGGTCTGAAGAAGCGGTTGATATGCCATGTCGTCGACGAGCTGGCACTGAACAAACCGGAGCAGCTCTTTTGCGTGCATCCCATCTCGAATGACCTAGCCCAGGGATGGCGTCATATCTCCATGAAAGATCTTGCAGACGCCGTCAACTACACAGCCTGGTGGATTGAGAAGACGATTGGCGTTGGAACAGGGGCAGAGCCTATAACGTATATCGGCACAAATGATGCTCGTTATGTGGCATTCTTCCTAGCATGCCTGAAAACTGGTCATGTAGTCAGTATTCAACGATTCTATAGTCCGATAGAGTACTAACATGCCAGGCACTCCTACTCTCTCCCAGAAACTCGACGGCCGCGTCGCTGCATATTCTCGGTGCGACGAGATGCTCCAAGATTGTGTACAGCGATAGTCGACGCAAGTTTGTTGGTCAGCTACAAGATGCAGACGTGGGCATCCGTTCGTGGGAGATGCCTGATCTGTGGAAGGTCTTTGGTCAGAAGAGTGCAGTCTATCCATTCACGGCAAGATATGACGATGTGGAGGATCAGGCGGCTGTTATCATCCATAGTTCTGGCTCGACTGGTGGGTTATCCGGATATGTCGGAGATATTGACATAGCTAATACCAGCAGGTCTGCCCAAACCGGTGTATCTCACCAACGGATTCTTTGCAGTTATCGACAGATTCGACCAGATCCCAACACCAGCAGGCCGACAGAGTGCGGTGCTTAACACGGCGATGCCCGGACAGTCTGTCTTCAGCATGTCGCCAATGTTCCATATCATTGGCCTCTATGTGTGCACGGTGCCCATATTCCATGGCAAGCCCATTGTGCTGAGCCCAGAGAGACCGATGACGGATGCTTTGCTCACCGAGATTGTCGATGTCACCAAGCCCGATGGCGCAATTCTCACGCCCTCTGTCATTGAAGACATTATCTCGTCAGAGCAGGGCAAGGATACTTTAACTAGCTTCAAAGGAATCTTCTACGGTGGCGCCCCGTTCTCCCCTGGCGTTGGCGATTGGTTGCAGCAACACGTCCCGATTTACTCCATCTTTGGCTCCAGCGAAAGTGGGTATATCGGCTGTTATACCCCACTTGACAGCGAAGACTGGCAGTATCATGAATGGAATCCTCTTCTAGGAGCCAAGATGGAGGACATTGGAGATGGAGTATACGAGTTGGTCATGCACAGGGACGGCAACCGGGATTTCAAAGGCATCTTCCACACCTTCCCAGATATCCAGCAGTATCGAATCAAGGATCTGTTCGTGGCCCATCCCAGCAAGCCCGGTCTGTGGAAATACTACGGCAGAAGCGACGATGTGATTGTGCTGAGCAATGGGGAAAAGTTCAATCCGATCGACATGGAAAAGGCTATCGAGAGAGATCCGTTGGTGGCGAAATGCCTCATCGTCGGCCAGGAACGGTTCCAATCAGCTCTGCTCGTGCAGGTTGACTGGCAGCAAGTTGGCAGCGAAGACAGTGATTCTATCATTGGGAGAATCTGGCCTGCCGTGGAAAAAGCAAATCGAACGGCCCCTGGACACGCGAAGATATTGAAGACGAAGATCAAACTGGTTGCGGAGTCCAAGCCATTCACGCTGACTGCCAAAGGGTCAATCCAGCGGAGACAAGTGGCCAGGGACTATGCCGACGACATTGAGGCTGTGTATTCGCAGGTTGATGAAGAGACCACTGCTTTGCCTGCGGCGGCGACATTCAACGAGATCAAGGAATACATCAATGCCACTGTATCTCGACTACTCTCTGTAGAGCACGTCAGCAATAGCAGTGACATATTCTCCCTGGGAATCGACTCGCTGCAGACTCTGCAACTCGGCAAGATTCTACAAGGCGCTGTTCGTTTCTCAAAACCAGAAAGCAGCTACCAGAGTATCACCATCCAGAAGCTATACTCATTATCAACAATCGATGAGCTATCCGGATATGTATACCAGGTGATCTATGGTGGTCCGAGTTTCGTCCATGAGAAACACGCAGATGCACTCCGAACAGAGCGGGTTGCTGCAATGGTGAGCAAGTACACCATTGACTTGCCAAAGAGGAAGGCACAGCATTTCAAGCGGGCACGAACCAGCACCGTGATTCTGACCGGTTCGACTGGGTCGTTGGGCAACTATATTCTCAGGGAACTGCTGAACGAGCCCTCCATCCTCAAGATATACTGTCTCAACCGCTCTGGAGATGCAAAACAGAGGCAGTTCCAGAGCTTCAAAGAGAAGGGGCTGACCGTTGATGGCTTGGACTCGCGGGTTGAGTTCCTTCAGGCCCAATTCGGATCGGTGCAGCTGGGCCTGTCTGATCAGAGGTATACAGAACTGCAGCAGTCGGTGGACCTGATCATCCACAATGCATGGAAGGTCAACTTCAACCATCGCGTTGAGGCCTTCGAAAACCCTCATATCCACGGCGTGCGTCATCTGGTTGACCTCTGCCTGGCCAGTTCAAATGCGCCCCATCTCCATTTCATCTCGTCCATCTCGACCGTCGGTAACTGGACTTCCAAGCACAGCCAGTCCATTCCAGAAGCCACTCTCGACAGCCCCGATGTCACGATGCAGCAAGGATATGGAGAGTCCAAGTATCTCGCAGAGCAGATCTGCGCCGCTGCCTCGTCGGCCTCCGGGGTTCCCACTAGCATCCATCGAGTTGGGCAGATCGGGGGTCCAACGACAGCAAAGGGAGTCTGGAACCGACAGGAATGGCTGCCGTCGATGATTGCCACGTCGAAGACACTTGGGAAGATCCCAAAGACGCTCGGAAATACGTTGGTTGACTGGACTCCGGTGGTGAGTGTGGTAGGCCATCTTTCATGACTCGACTAACACTGTTTGAATAGGATGATGCAGCCAGAATCATCGTTGACATCACTCAATCCCGACGCAGCAACGAGCATTCCAGGCGAGCGGCTGTTTTCCATCTTGTGAATCCCAATGCCACGACTTGGGAGTCGCTGATCCCAGCTGTACAGAAGTTTTACCCAGTCGAGCCAGTTGACCTGAAGGACTGGGTTATAGCTCTAGAATCTTTCAACAATCCCACCAATGTCGATCTCCTGACCAAGCCAGCGCTGAAGATCATCGAGTTTTACCAGGAGCTGCTGAGCGCGGAGGATGTCCTCGTGGCAGAAACAAGACAAACCCAGGCTGCCAGCAAGACGATGCGTGCCATTAGGCCAGTCGATGCATCATTGATGGAGACTTGGTTGAAGCAGTGGAGTTTTTGATTTGTGAATTGGTATCAAGTTGGTAGTATTTATGGATAATGTCTTATGCGATGCTCTTCATTCATGGCACTCGCTGTGGTAATATCTACAAATCATTAGTAGAGCCTAGTCACGACAAATGAGAGCATAGCTGATCGGACATGTTGGGTAGTGTAGATATATATTTCGGTGGAGTGCAACAAGACAATAATCTATTCGAGAAACGCGAGCAAGGGGAGGCAGCAATAAAGAACAATTTCAGTGATAAATATTTGAGCCTTTCGTCTTTCCGCTAACCTGGAGTCTATTTTCAGTCGATGCTCTCCATACAAATTCCTGTGGAGAGCATGGCAGCCCCACTGCGGCTGAATCTCCTCATCCCCACATCCCCCTCATCTCCATCTCCCCATCTCCATCTCCATCTCCATCTCATCAACTCACATCAATGGCCTCACCCATGGCTCCAACTGCCACAGAACATGACTTCTGATCCCAATCCTTCGCGATTTCTTCCCCTCTCCTCCTCCCCTTCGCCAACTCCCAGCGCCCTCCAGCCGCGCCGACCGAGTGTCGACCCGACGCGTGAGATCTTTGCGATTATTAGTTAGGGTTAGGGTTAGGGTTAGGGTTAGGGTTAGGGTTAGGGTTAGGGTTAGGGTTAGGGTTAGGGTTAGGGTTAGGGTTAGGGTTAGGGTTAG